CAGAGCGAGCGACGACGAAGTATTCTTGAGCCGGCGGAGGAGCTAGGCGTGCGTCAAATGGAGAATAATGATGACAACACAGCCGTAACGGACGAGGACACTGCAAGCCAACTCCCTTGGCTCTGGTGTTGTCAAGCCCAGGGGCAAAAAAAAAAAAAAAAAAAAAAAAGCAAGGGCAATTCAAGGCTGACGTCCCCAGGAGCTTGCTTCGACAACAAGTGTTCAATGGCAACCAACTACCAACAGCGGTTGTCAATTGAACCCCTCCCAATGTCAATGTCAATGTCAATCAATGTCCGTCCGTCAGTCAGTCAACCACCCCCGCCCCCCTTGTCCTCCGTTTGAGCCAACGCCATCACGAGAGCCATCCACCTGGGCGACGAGCCAGACGTCCATACGAATCAGCAGGCCCGCATGAACAGGGTCAGCAGGGGATGCCAAGGAAAGCGACTTCGCAAGGAAACAAGATGGTTTTTGGCCTCTGTGTCGGTTTCATGGCCGCCATTTCGGCAAAGCGTCTCTTCTCGGCCGTCATGGTTCCCTCCCGAATCCCGTCGCGGCCACATGCCTGCTGAATCACCAACGAAGCCTGGCTTTGAGATGTCGTGTCACGCATTTTGATCCGGCGGATTGGCCTTGCCGGGTCGACTCGACCGACGCTTTCCCATTCCCATGCGTCGAGCGGGATGGCGTATGTGAAAGTTATCGCCCCATGTCCAAACGTAGCACGGCTCGCAGGCTTGCTATAAAGACAAGATAATTAATTACTGGCACACCCGAACTGACGTGGGATTGATCTCGCAGGCATAGATAGCGCCATGTGTCGTGCTCAGACTCCGTATGCCAAGAGGTACTCCGTATTATCGTGAGAGTGGGTGCAGCGCAACCTCATGCATTTTGCGGTTGATTGGAATCTTCACCGGACGGGCAAGGTTGCGGGTTTCTTTTTTTTTTTCTTTTTTTTTTTTTGTACAAAACCTTGTCCCAACACATAGAGTACACGTTGTAGGTTGTGTTTGTGACGAGCCGGGTATAACCTTGATAGTTGGTACCATCCGCAAGGTCGGAACGACGTCGTGGAGCCTGGCCAAAAGCCAAATGGAACATGCCATCATGAGCGATTGGACCATGGGGTCATGGCGAATGCGGCTTCATGACTTGTAGTCAGTCGTTGTTGGGTGAAGGCCGCCGTCACCGCCGTGGACCTTGACAATCTTGGCAAGACTCGACCACTCGTTTGTGCTGTGCTAGCTGGATGTAGCCTTGCTGGACTCTTTTGGCTCTGAATGATGAACCATGGCTCCCCACATGACCGACTACAACATCTCCGTGTGCGTTGTGCGTGTGCGTGTGCGTGTGCGTGTGCGTGTGCATTTGCATTCTGCATTGGCGTCTCACCTGAACATTGACCGTCCGTCCGTTAGTTGCCAATCGCCATGGCCAAATAAAACAGGCAGGCGCGGCTGCACCCCAATTTACTTTTTCACCAGACATTTTGGCTGGCCCTCGTACTCCACCGACCACCGACCGCCGACCGGTACGGCCTGATGGCCTGCTCAGTGATGGCATGATGGCGTCGTTGGTCCAAAGGCTGAAGCTGAAATGAAATGCTCGAGATGACTTGCTGGCCAAACTTTGTTTCGGTGTTTCGGGGCCAGATAATGAATGACAAGGTTGCGCTGGCAAACTCACCGCGTCCGGGTGCCATGTCACTGGACCGTCATTCTTCCCTTCATGTATGCGGCTGACGTAACCCGGCTTCTTGCATCGTCCGGCCGACTGGCCCTTGCGTATGTACGTACGCAGCACCCATCCATGTCTTTTGTCTTCATTTTATATATAGCTGTTTCCCTTTCCCTCTCAGTCCGTACTTGCGTAGTGGGCGACGCAAGTCATGCCTGCTGACTGACCATTCGGCATTCATGCCCCATGGCCAAGCAAAGCAAGCTCTGGCCCGCCCGGTCGAGGCTCACGGGCGGAATGAATCCTGAGGACTCGCTCCACGCCTCCTCAGTTAGTTGCAATCTAGAGGACGACGACGACGACGACGACGACGACGACAAGAATAGCTGCGCTCCCGGCCCGTCTTCCCCTGCACGTCAAGGAGCTGAAAGGCTGTTTGTTGTTGGTCCTTGTCCTGCCTTGCCACGAAATGCGACGCCGCCAGCTTCATTCACAAGTATGCCATGCCATGCCATGCCATGCCATGCCGGTCTGCCCTCTGCTTTGGTCTGCACTTCCTAGTCATGTCTGTTCGGCGAGCCCTGGGATCCTGGGCTCCGTTTTGCCATGTTGGCCATGTCTCGCAACATCTGACTGCTCAGGTGGGCGATGGCACGGCTGCGTGTTCCCACCGTGCCATGACCTTCCCATTCTTGCGCCGCTTTTGACGCCAGTTATGCGCCATGGCTCACGTTATGGCTCCATGTCCAGGCTCAGGCTCAGGCTGTCTTGGTGGTCGCCCGCAGCCCCTCCCATGCGTACCGAGCTCAGCGCGTCTTGCTCCTCATCTCAGGCCGCTTGACGAGCCTTCTTGTCGCAGCTCGAGCTTAGTCTGCCCAACCGTCCCCTCATTATTCATCCATCCATCCAGAGATCATACCCCCCCATCCATGTTCCAGGAAGCACGGCCGGCCGGCCCAATGGTTCCGCCCTGGTGGTGACAGCAATGATACCGAGTACTTTATATGGCCCGCCTCTTCCCCCCCGCCCCGGGCCCCAGGTCCCAGGCCCCAGCATGTCATCGCTGTTGGCTTTTGGCTCTGGCTCTGGTCAAAGGTTGAAAGAGCCCATGCCCCCTTTTCTGGGCTGGGCCCTCATCTGCTCATCGGCCATGCTCATGTCCACGGCATGGACCACGAGTCCCCTCCTCACCACGTCGCCTCGGCTGGCCGGCCGGCGGCTGGCCGACTGTTGCATCTCACACAGAGGGGCGCCGTCGTGGTCCAGAGAGTGAGTCCGTACAGACAAAGGAAGTCTCGGCATCCCAGATCCAGACAGACCCCAACTCAAACCAAGCCGCGCACCAGACTGGGACTGGACTGGTCCGACTCGACTTGACTTGCTGAATTGACGCATGGGGTTTGACTTACCTACGTACTGACTCTTCCTCCCGGCTCTCCCGTCCCATTTTGGCTCCAGACCACTTCTCCATACATTTATTCAATTCACACCCGCTCCTATCATCGCCCTTGGTGCAATATGCAATACCTGACGACTCCGTACCCTCGCCCGCGCATCCCATCCCATCCCATCCCATCCCACCCCTCTCTCCTCCGCCGCCGCCGTGTGCTTTTTGTATGGCCGGTCCATCCAAGCCCGGCTCAATGGCGCCCTCGTTTGATGATCTTCTGACACTGCTGGCGTCCCATTTTATCTCGTTTGATGGGATGCCCACTCATCAAGCATCGCTCGGGTGAGCTTGAATCATCGTGCTCTTCTTACTAGCCCAGCGCCCGCTGCCCGCTTCCGCTGCTTTTGCGGTTCTAGCTGCTGTTTCTGATGTCGCTCCTCTTTTTCTTGCGCTTGCTTTCTTCCTTGCGCACACACAAAACAGCACACACTCGGGCTGCCTCCTCCCCTCCTCAATCTCCATGGTGCTCGTGCCCTCTCTTGAGCCGTGTTTGTTTTTGGCTTCTTGTTGGCAGCTCTGCGTGCCATCCGCCTACATCAGCTTCCGCTCGGCTGCTCCCAAGACTCTCGTCCCTCTACATACCATGCATATGAGCTCCCACGAGCTCTGTCCGCCTCGACCGACTAGATCTCTGGCTAAGCAGCGCTGGTAGGGCTCCCTCTTACTGCCTGCTGTCTTGCCTCGTGCCTCATTGTCCTTCTCCTCCTCCTCCGCCGTCCGTGTCCGCCGTTTGTCTCGTCTCTGCTGCATTGGGAAGAATAAAAGTCTCTCGTGCTCGCCGTCTCCTGTCGCTGTCATCACCGTGCGCCGGTCGTCTTGTCCTTGGCTACATCGTCATTTTGTTACCAGAACATCTCAGCCTCCGCATGTTGAGCTCGGGCCGAAGACTAAGAGGAAGACGACGGTCACTGATAGTGTGTCGGTCTGCGCCAGCCAAGTATCAAGCTCTTGTCTATTCACAGGCTTCAAGGGCGTACGAGCCGAACGTCTACATTCGTAGCAGGCATCTGACCCAGCTGTATCGATACTCGCCCCGTGCACGGGTTGGTAATAGACATCGGACGGAGACACTGCCCTCTTACCTCTGGTTCACCGCCGCTGGGAGGGCGGTTCTGCACTATCGTCGCTTCTGATTCACTCCTGGGAAGATTGGGTGGGATCTTTTTTTCTTTTCCTTTATTACAGTCTTTAATAGCTTCCTTCCTCAACCAAAAATCCAAGACCTTGCCGGGAAGAAGGAGGGCAAACATCTAGCTCGTACCTGCCGTTGGACATTTGACGCTGCTCTGGACAATAGCCTCGGTTGCTCGCCAGAGGTCCCCCCCCCCCCCCCCCTGGTAGAGTCTGCTCATACTTGCCTCATCCTCTCAGTGTTTACAAACTCGGGTCTACTCAGCTCTCCATGATCTATTAGCACATACAGATTTACCTCCCCGACGCCTGCGTCGACGCCGATCACAAACCTCCCTCGATTCGGTTGCCAGCCTATTATTGTTATCATCATCATTATTTCGCTCGCTCGTCTCAATCGTTTGCTCGATCTCAGTGCTCGTGGAGCCTCGGAGCTCGCAGGGCAACCTGGCAAAATACTATCGCGAAACGAGTCACCGAGGAGCAGACGAAATCACACCTAAAAAGCTTCACAAAAGAATCATCACAGTACCTCGTCTACGAATACATCTAGACCGTATCACCAAAATTCTCTTCCGCTTCCAGAGCCGAACTTTTGCGGGGAGTATCTTGACTCGGGCCGTTTCGAGCCTTCCACGCCTTGGGTCGTCATTCCTCTGATCCTTTCGGCAGCAAGCTGCAATAGAGCCGCGTCGCTGGGGTCGGGGAGGGCCCGCGACGATAAAACAGGTTCGAAATGGATCAGATGAACCTCCTCCCAAGCAATGCACAGAGATATGAATCCTCCAGAGACTTGCTGCACGCGGCATCGAACCACTGGATAGCTCATTCTCACGGCTCACCTGCATCGTCATGGCCCTCTCAGCCGTTGCCTCTCGGTTCTTTCTACTTTGCGCAACACCAAGCTTTCCAAAGGCCTTCAATGGACGGCCTAGGTCCTGCGCATCCGATGCATTCTGGTCAGCATGGCACGTTGCCTCCTCCAGACCGAAGTGTAAGTGTGCGCGGCATGCAGACTCCAGAATCTTATCCTCGGTTACCCGCAGCGGCAGTTTACTGGAGTTCAACAATGCAGCCGGCGCCCGTGAGCAGCTCAGGGGCAACCATTAGCTCTGTCCCGAGCCCTTTTGGGAACATGAATACAAGTGCAAGAGATTTGGCACTGCGGCCACCTGCTGCGACGGATTGGGCACCACCCGTTGGTGCGACCTCGGGGACGCATTCCGTGACTTTTCCCCAAATCTCATCTTCTGAAGGGTTGCCAAATGCCCCCAGTCATCAAGTCAGTCCTTCAACGGCGGCTTCCCATTTCCCTTTATCCCCGGATTCTCCTCGTCGCCAAGGACAAACCTCGTCGCCTACTCCCTACCGATCGCACCGATCACAAACTGGTAAGCCAACCTCCCTCCCGTTCCCCCACGCTTCCGAACCCTCCAAGAGCTTGAGGTCAGCTCAGTGTCTCCCATCCATCATCGTCGTCTGCTGGAGCGCTGAATCCTATGAAAATGAAAGATAAAATGTGTCATTTCGTTGTAGCGCGGGTTGCTAATCAATACTGCGTAGCCACCGCCGTTCTCAGCTATCGCGACAACAGTAGTCTTTTGGCCCCGTCGTCCGACCGTCGCCGGCAAGCGCATCCTCGAGCACGACGGTCTATGGCGTCACGGCAAACCAGCTCTGACCTTGGACGTTCACAAGATGACGCCGCCCAAACTCCGCAGGTACTGGGTGACGACCCAACTTCAAGATCGAGTCGTCGAGGAAGTCATGTGATAAGCGCTTCACAGGTGGAGGATGTCATGGCGCGGCAAATGCAGATGTATCGCGGTACAGTGCAAACTAAAATGGTTGCATCCAAAGCCGCCCTACAATCGCTGGAATGTGTCGAGGCTTCTGCGCTCCCGGAATCTGAAAGAAGTAAGTTGTGCCACGTGGCAGATTGTAGATATGAAAGAGGTCATGACTAATTTATATTGATGCTGCTAGCCTGTGTGATATGTTACAACGAGTACGGGGTGGCCAGTCCTGAGGGGATAAACGAAGCCCCTATCAGGTTGCCTCAATGCAAACACATCTTTGGAGATCACTGTATCAAGAAATGGCTCGAGGACTCAGATAGCTGCCCGTATTGCCGGAGCAAGCTGCAGTCCGAGCCGAAGCTGTCATTTGGATCTGCACGAACGTTTATGCACATGATGAGACTTCGAGGATTGCCACTCCCCACTGGGTTAGTTCTGAATACCACCCAAAGATCTTTTGAAGCCATCTACTAACTTGTTTTTGTCTAGCATTTCTGAAGAGATGATTGCCAGGGTTGTAAGCAGGCCGGTCGGGGAGCTAGAGCTCCAGGAACTGCTGATGCGTTCCCACCGTCCAGCGGACAGGCGGTCTCCTCCAGACGATGCCTCCGGGCACGACCACCGCCGCACACGTCAACGCCTCAGTAGTTCGGTTGTGATGAGTGAAAGTCATGTCGAAGAGTTGTCGACATCGCAGCCACACATGCCACTGGACGGCTTGCCATCCGAGCCGTCATCACAACCACCGGGCGGCCATGGAAGTTTGAACGAGAACATGTGGGTTTCCATTTCGACGCCGGGTGCCTATGTACCCTCTGAGCCATTTCATGGTCAGCCGCCACCCAGAGCCGGTTGGACAGAAGGACTTGAGCATACTTCAGGCGCCAGTGTGAGACGAGGGACCGCCTCCGAGCCTCCTACCTCGAGACCGACGAGACCTCAAATAGTCGACCCCCCCGGGACGGTGATTGCGAATGGATCATCGATCCCACCACCAACGATTCTGAACCCTCTGCAGAGGTCAATAAATCAGCAGCGTACAGGCACCAGCCTGTCCGGTAGTGCAGCAGCTCCCCAGTCTAGCAGCGCGCCCACGGCAAACTCTTCGTCCGCCGAGGCAGAGCTGTCCCCGCTTCGGCCATCCAGGAATCGACCATGGTAAACAATGCGGCGCTGAAAAGGAATGGTTCGTCCCGCTGCAGCCTACTTGTATAATGACGAGGCGTGTCATGGGACAGGGCGAGTAGGTGACACGCCGTTGAACAGGGGCATGAATGGAAGCGGCAGGGTCGAGACATGTCATGTTTCCAGTACCATTCCTTGTCATGCACTCTTTCACGCCACTTGTTTTCTTCCTTGTTCCTTTACATGTTTCGTTATTTTATCATAACCCAACTCGCATTACAGGTGTGTATTGCTTTTGACGGGGTTGAATTACTGTTTTGACAGGATCTTGGTGATTATATGGGGGAAGGGGGATGCTATTGCGGAAGGAATCGCGGACTCACAGACTCAAGGGCACACGGACATAGTACGGCGTTTGGCATTCAGGAATTTGGTACTTTCAATCACCACGGGCATGGGATCAGTCGGTTGGCACTTTGTTATAGATTGTGCAGATGTGTTTCCATAGTAGACAGTGGGAAGCGGAGACAGCGGATGATTGCAGAGTTGATAAAAGCTAGCAGCGAACAATAATATGATGGCTGAACCCACCATTGATGCCCACATGATGTTGATGGGCGTAGGCACGCGGAAAGTAATGTGTGATGCCTCTTCAACAACTTGATACCTACTTCAGTACTTAAACCTGGGTACTTGGGTACCTCTGAGTAGGTTAGGTACCTAAGTACTTAGAGGTAGCAACAGTAGGAGCTACAAGTAGGTGCCTGTGGCAGGAGGTAAGCTGCAACTTTCAGAAGCGCGCGTAGTTGAAGTCCTGGTGTGAGAGGGAGGGGGGCCCGGAGACGGAAGACGCCAGACGCCAAAACAGACAGCCCGGATACCGAGTCTTACGTGCTTACGTTAAGTAAGTAACTTACGTATGACCTGCCTCGGAAGTTGGGAAAGGTAAAGGCCGGTCCGACCCCGATTTGGTGCTCGTTGTTCCAGAGCGAGAAGTGGGGACTGGGGCTGCACCACGGCTGGCTAAGCTAGGTTAAGTACCTTAAGTAGGTACTCACCTAGTGCGTACTCTGTGTTGTTATTATTATTGATACTTGAGCAAGTACCTGAGTAAGTAAGTACTTACCTTGCTTGGTCGGAAATCTAGTGCACAACTGCTCCCGAACAAGTCATCAGGTGGCCGGGAACCGGGAGGCAGACTCTTTCTCCCTCCTTTTTGGCAAAGATGGATAAATCGGCCATGTACGGAGTACCGCGCCCCCGCCCGACCGCCCGTTACGCGAATATCCCAAGTCGCTATTAATAGACGGGCGCCAACGGGTGTCTCGTCGTGCCGGCCGTTGGCTGACTCCCGTGGGTTCCGCGTTCTGCTTACTCCGTACTATTAGCGAACTTGCGACCACGCCAAGGCCGAGTCGCTCCAAACTTCAACCTCGGGTGAACTTGCCAACTTGGGGTGCTTTACATGTCCGTCTTGTCTGCTGAGATATCCTGTCGCGATCGCCGGTCGATAGGGATCCCGGAACACTCGCATCGCATCACTCTGCAAGCGGGCAAAGGCCAGCGTACTATTCACATACTTCTGTCGATTTGTTACGTCATCACGTGCCGCGATGCGCTTCCGCGGGTACGAAATCACCGGCTTCTCCCTGCTGGGCTGCGCGCTGTTGGTCTTTGCGCAGGGCTGTCGCTCCCGGCTCGTCCTGTTGGGGGCCTTGGTTGGATTTTGGCTGGGCGGTGCTGCCTCGTATTGTGCGTGGGCGGTGTTGATATATCCGCATCATGTGTCGCCGCTGAGACATTTGCCCACGGCCGAGGGAGCGCACTGGTTGTTTGGGCATGGGCCGATGTTTAGTCGTGGGACGGATGAGCCGACGAGGGAGTGGTAGGTCTCTTCCTTCTTCTTTCTTGAGCGGTTCCCTTGAGCGGTTCCCTTGACGGGTTCTTTAAGGGAGATGGCTGTTGTTTTTTTTTTTTTCCTTGATTCTTGATTTCCCCAGTCATTGACGCTGACCTGGCCCACCGACACGACAGGATCAACACGATTCCGCACAAAGGATTGATTCGGTATTTCTGGTGGTTCAACAGTGAGCGGGTGATTGTTTCGTCCGACAAGGGGTTGGCAGAGGTGCTCGTCACCAAGAGCTACCAATTTAAACGGCCCGATATTGTGAGACGCCTGCTATCGCCCATTCTGGGCGTTGGTATCCTCCTCACCGAGGGCGATGTGCACAAGGTGCAACGGCGCAACCTCATGCCGGCGTTTTCTTTTCGCCACGTAAAGGACTTGTACCCCGTGTTTTGGCGAAAGGCCCGTCAGGTCGTGCAGGCCATGGCTGCCACCGCGGACGGCGACGGCATCGCCACGCTGGACGCGCTGGACTGGGCGAGCCGCTGCACGCTGGACATCATCGGCCTTGCCGGCTTGGGTGTCGACTTTGGATCTGTCCAGGACCCGACGAGTCCCCTCGCGACAACGTACAAGTCCCTCATGGGCACCCAGGGCCAGGCCAGTCTGCTGGGCATCCTGCTGATCCTGCTGCCGGCCTGGGTGGTCAGCCGCATACCGCTCAAGAGGAACAATGTCGTAAACAACGCCAAGCAGACCATCCGCAGCGTCTGCAAAGACCTCATCCGGGACAAGAAGCGCAGGATGGCTGCCAACAGGGAACACAAAGACGTCGACATCCTGTCCGTCGCCCTCGAGAGCGGCCTCTTCAGCGACGAAAACCTCGTCGACCAGCTCATGACCTTTCTGGCCGCGGGCCACGACACCACCGCGTCCGCATTGACGTGGGCAACGTACATGTTGTCGTGCTACCCGGAGGTCCAGACCCGTCTCCGCGACGAGGTCCGCGAGCGGCTGTACCGGCCGGACGCGGATCCCGACGCGGACATCACCTCGGTCGACATCGACAAGATGCCCTACCTGAACGCCGTGTGCAGCGAGGTCCTGCGCCTCTTCCCCCCGGTGCCGCGAACCTCCCGCGAGGCCGTCGAGGACACTACCGTGGAGGGATTCCCCATTCCCAGAGGCTCGGTCATCCTACTGTCGCCCTGGGCCACCAACGTCGATCAGAACCTTTGGGGCAGCGACGCGTTGGACTTTAAGCCAGAGAGGTGGCTCGCCAAGGATGCGGCCGACTCCAAGAGCGCGAGCGGCGGTGGCGCGAGCAGCGTGTACGCCTTTTTGACGTTTTTGCACGGGCCGAGGAGCTGTATCGGGGCGAACTTCGCAAAGTCCGAGCTTGCCTGTCTCTTGGCCGCGTGGGTGGGGAGGTTTGAGTTCGACTTGGTCGACGCCGAGATGAAGGACAGGGAAAAGTTGGTTGTCCGGTACGGGGTCACTGCACGGCCAAAGGAGGGTTTGCCTGTCAGGGCGAGAGTTGTGCCCGGGTTTTGAGGGGCGTTTGAAATGAGGCGAGGCGGCGCACTTTGTTGTTTGGAAGCGTTTGCGAGCCACTTGATTGGTGTATTTGGATGCCACGATGATGACGAACTATGATGGGAAACATATGTCCTCTGGCCCTGATCGAGCTGATTGTTTGCGTGCGCCGTGCCGTCGACGAGACAAGCCCACTACCCACAGACGGGCCGTCGTTTCACGGCGAAGGCAGGAATTGGACTGGACAGCGGCAGGCTACGTGCCTTGGGGATGCACCCCGTGGTGAATGACCGAGGTCGATGCAATCGCCTTGTATTAAAATGTAGGGTACATATTTTGAAGTACTGGACACGTTCAACTGAAGCCCTATATGGCTTGGGGTGGACTGCCAGCTACCCTATACTACTTATCCACACGTGACTACTCGCTTGCTCCAACGCTTGACGCATCACAACTCTTCCCACGCTACGGCAGAAAGGATACCACCGTATTGAAATGATGTCACTGTCCATGGTTGATTCGCGATAGTCCATTGTTGCACACCCGGTGCATGAATGAATACGGTACTTGTCACCCAAGGGCCAAGACGCGTTGGAGAAAATGATGCATCCTTGCCTCAGGGATCTAGGACTAGGTACGTACTCCGTAGGCGGCCGCATTAACCAGCCCGACAACACGTGCAGGAGCATGTGACGTGACACGCTGGCATGCATAAGGGTGAGGGAGGGGCTGCGTTGCACTTTCAAGGTCGAGCATGCACCAGGACATCAGGTTCCGTTGGGCATGGGCACCTGGAAGCAATTCAGGGCACTAAGATCGCCCTGAGCTGGCCCGTTTCGAAACAGTGTGCTGGGAGGCACCGGTTGAGCCGCCTGGTGCCAGGAGGAGACGGGTACGGCCCTTGTTGGTGGCTCGGGTCGTGGTTCGGGGCGGAGGGGGCGTCAGACTCTGATGCTAGCGCCCGTACGGAGGAGGTGACAGAAACCACATGGGAGAAGGAATGAGGTCGGACTCTGTGCAGAGATGACGTGAAAGAAGGGGCGGAAGAGGGCCGTCGAGAGCATTCCAGCCAGGAGGAGCCCGCGCGGAGTCGGGGACTCTACGACACGGGCGGTGACGTGACGTCTCCCAACTCCATCGACTTCCCGAGAGTCGCCCAACGTCGTACGTACGTCGCACGTCGCACGCCTTGCGTCTGGCAATCCGTTGCGATGCGCAACGAACAGCAGCCCTCCGCCCCCCGCCCCCCTTCCGCTTCTTCATCGACAGCTGGAACAGACGCCGACGGGCTCCACCATCCCGTCCATTGACAGTTAGCGCCGGCTCGGGCGGTCCCATCCCAGGCTCCAAAGGTTTTGGCCCAGCCACCGCTACTCTGTGCCTCTGGAGACGGACCAGGGCCGTGACCGGGCCCATGGCCAACCAGGCCTGAGCTTCAGCCCAAAATCAAAACACTGCTGGGCCAGCACAGCACGTTATGTGCATGTACGGCCAGCTGGCTGCTGGGGTTACAGTCGTTTTCCCTTCTTCCCTCCTCCATCATTGAGCTCAATCGTCTCTCCGTTTGCCTCTTTCTGCAAGACTGTAGCGCGTCCATACATTGACGTTGACTATTCGCCATAAGACGACACGCAGCAAAGGCAAACAGACTGATGAACCACCGCCCTCTCAGGCCGACAGAGCGGCAGCCATGATGCGAGACTTTCGCCGCCAGAGCCCTGAGAGCTCGCGGAGGCGGAGGCGTGACTACAGGCGAAGTTCCCGTGACAACCTCGCCTTTGTCCCGCCCCATCTTATGGATTCGAATATGCATTCATCCTCAACATACCCAGACTACGCTACACAACACCCGACGCCCAGTGCAACCACGACGGCAAGAGCGCGCGGTGCGGGGCCTCACGACGCAGACAAGGAGAGAGATGGAATCAGAGACAGGCTCGGAGACGAAACCAGAGAAACCAGAGAAACCAGAGATGGAAACCGACGCAGAGGCAGGGACGAAGTCAGAGATGGAGACCGATACGGAGCCAGAGACGGCCATGTCGGAAATGGCAATAGAGGTCGGGATCGAGACCGACATCAGGAGCAAATATGGGAACAGCAGTACGCAGGCAGACAAAGAACATCTTCCGATAGCTCTGGGTCGTTCTCTTCAAGCTCGGCTGCGTCGTCTCTGTTAGACATTTCGCGCCGTTATTCAAACCAGAGCCGCTTCGGAGGCATACTTGCGACTTTTTTCAAAGCCCCCTCTGAGCGCCGGGTTCGCCGCCGGAGGAGCGGCCGGGCCAAGCAGCGGCGTGTGCTCTATTTTGGCAACTCGTCGTCTTCATCGGTCAATTCCGACTTGGCCTACGGAACGGGATATATTCCCAAGACCAAGAGCAGCGAATTTAACAAGCTGCGCAAAGTCTCTGGCGCATCCTCGGCACAGCATACCAGAGATGGGGACGGGAGGGACCCCAACGAACGTGATGGAGCTGCTGCTGCGTCTACCGCCTCCGCGGCCGCAGGTAGCTCCGGTCGATATGGTGCTTCCAAAAGGGACAAGACGGACGAGGAAATCCTTTCGCTTGGCCGCCAGCTTTCCGACTTTGCAAAAAAACACGGTCAGCATGATCCGCGATCCTCCGGGAAGACCAAGGCACCCGGATTCGCGGCAGCTGCCGCCGCCGTCAACGAGGTCCGCCATAGGAGACGCGATACAAAGACGCGTGGTATTGCCACCTCGACACCGCGCCGTGATTACTCGAATTCTAGTGACGATTCTGACTGGGAAGATGCTTCCGATGACGAGAGTGATCTCAGTGATGCCGAATCAGCTTTGGCATATGGCTCGGTCGCTTCCCACATACTGAGACCCACGAGATCTGGCATGATTTCTGCAAAGGGTGCTGCAACTGGCGCTGCTCTGGGTGCAGGCGCGCCGTCCACTGCCGGCCGATCTGGGACCTCGACGAGGCCTGCAGAGAGTCTTCCGGCTACCAATGTCAGGAAGAGTTCTGTTGTTGATCCCCGACTATTCGGACCCTACAATTCCCTCAGGGGCATGATAAACACTCCTTGCGGGTTTGGTGAGGGTCAGGGTCAGCCTCCGGCCGATCACCGGCAGTTCAACAAGCTGCGCCGCGCTGAAACCGAGCCTATTCACAATGAGCCCATGAGGAATGTTTACCCCATGCCAACCTCTGACCCGAACAAGTTCGATGCCGAAGCTGCCTCAAACATGTCATCTCGCCAGGACATTCCCTATCGGTCTCGTCCTGCCCCGATTCCTCTCCAACAACCTAGCCCCAAAGCACCGGTATCCTCCAAGGTTTACGAAGCCGACAAGTTAGAAGAGGAGGGCCAGAAGCACTCACGAACACGCTCCGATGAAACTGGCGTAGGCGCAGGCATGAAACTTACGGGTCTTGCTGCGGCGGCGGCGGCAGCCGCAGCCCTTGCTTCTGACCGCAAGTCCAAGAGGGAGTCACGCCGAGATGAGCGGAGAAAGGAACGCAAAGACGATGACAGTAAAATCCAAGAAGCCAAGGGGCCCAACCGCGTTGGTGACCCCTGGCATGGGAGTCGAGACGACAGCTCCAAGCGCCGCGATAAGGATGCAGAGTCAGAGACCAGTCGCAGATCAAAGAGAGACTCACATTCTTCCAAATACCCCGATGAACGTGATCACAAACGTCACTCACGCCACGATGACGACGCAAATTCTCGAAAACGTCGTGAAATAAGGGTGGACCACTACCCTGAAGCAGAGTCGTCCCGGAAGTCCAAGCACAGTGACAAGGGCGATCCCGATGGAGATGTAAAAAATGAGGCATCTCGGTCGTCCAGAAGAGAAAGCCGCAACTTTGATGACCCTGATGAACGGGGACGGGAACGGGACGAGAAGAGCATCCTACGTCAAACACCGGGGGTCTACGATTATACTATCCCGCCAGCCACTGCCACCCGTCAATTTGTCGACCCTTTCCAGTTCCAGGTGACTGATGGCACTTTGGAAACATCTTTGATCGCCGCCGCCACGGCTCCGGCGCGACCGTTGACCCCCACTGTCGTGACAGTTGATCGGGAGCCCATTTTTGACGAGCCGCCATCGCTGGCGCAGTCGGACAACAGGCTGAGTCGCAAGGACTCATTTGAAATGGAGCGTGTTGCGGAGGAGTACAAGAAGAGCGCTCGAGATTGTCCCCAGGACACGTATACACGACGGCATGACGATGACGAACGAGAGCATGGGGCAAGGACTATTCATGATGAGGCCATACACTTCACTGCTCCCATTGCTGCCGCAGCCGTAGAGTCAGCTGTAGCTGTAGAGATGGACCGGTCAAGAGACCACCGCCATAATGATTATGTCGACGACGGATTGAGGAAATATTCAACGCCAAGCAAGGATCCTGTACAGCAAGAGGCGGACAGGTACTACCGCGAGAGGATGGCTGCTGAGAAGATCGCTGCCGAGGAACAAAAATCTTCCAGTGCGCCTTATGACAAGTCTGTCATTGGCAAATACGATGGCAGTGGCCAAGAACAATCCTACACCATTGTCACGCCCCCGGACATGGAGGAGAACAGGACGCATTCCAAAAGTCTATATGAGGGTCCTGATGCCGACGTCAGAATCGACAACAAGATCTACCCGCAGGAACTTCATAGGTTTCAGTCAAGGGACCGGGCCAGCAATTCGTTTTCGTCCCGTGACCCTTCTTGTGAACGCGAGCGGCCGATGCTAAACCTCGTCTATCCTACTCCGATACCCAGTCGTCAGTCTACCCCCAGCCTAGCACGTGGCTCAAGCGAAGTCGGCGAGAAGTCAACCTCTGCCGAACGAGACAAGGATAAGAAGAAGACGAGCGAGGAGAACAAGTCAATGTCCAACGACGGCTCCGCTGGGGACTATTTTGGCGGAGCCAAAAGTGACGCAGGAGCTTCTGCAGCAGCCTCCACACTCTCCTCCTCTGCCAAGTCTGTTACTTGGGGCGAGAATTCAACAAAGAAATTCGAGGTTGAGAGCCCAGGACCCAGAAGTGAAGACGAGATAGCACATGGCAAATCCGAGTCCGGGGAGAAGCATCGGCCCCTCATCAGCCAGATGAGTCAATGGGGTATGATTGCTGCTGCCATCGCAGGCAGCAGTGCTGAGCCTGCCGACGAACCAAAAGTCAAGGGTTCGCGGTCCAAGAAGGCCAGCTCTGATGTTGACGTGGATTATCGCGGCCGGTTGATGAGACACGAAGATGACTTGATGGACGATGCACGATCTGAACCACCTATTCCTGGGCCGAAGCCGGTTGGTCCCACCTCCGTCAAGATGCCTGGCGGCTTCGCAGACGATGTCGAGTTTGCAGCCACCCTCGCAGCCGGTCTCGAGGACGCTGGGTTCGACCCCAAAATTGTGATTGACGATCCCAAATACAGTCGTCGAGATTCTCCTCCCCACACTAGCGACAATAACGGTGATGGATGGAACGGCTCTTCATTTGCTGATGTTGCGTCGGACATGACCTCAAAGCAAAAGCGCGTGTCTGATGACCCGGGATTCTATTCCGAACCCGTCGATATGCCCAGAGAATGTCCAACGGGTGGCCCGACTCATGAGTGGCCTGAGGCTCCCGATGAGCTCAGCAAGAAGGAAAGGAAGAGAATCGAAAAGAAAGCCAAGACAAAATCTGTGGATAGTGCTGATCCTGCTTCCGCCGAAGCACCCCAGACGGGTGTGTTTGAAGATGCCTCCAAGAGTCGATCAAGCAAGAAAGAGCGGCGCAAGCGAGACAAGGAGGCTGGAGCTGAGGACGGGGAGCATTTTGACCAGACTCTGGACAAGAAGCATCTTGCTAAGGAGGACGACTGCAACTCACGCGAGGCGGTCACTGACCTTGCTCGGGAGGAATCTGACAAGAAGAAGTCCAGAAAGGGCCGGAGAAGCCGCGACTTCGAAGATGACACCTCTTCAAAGGTATCGCGCACCGATTCATTTGATGACAGATCGACAATTCGCGTTGTGGACCCAGATGACGTGTGGGATGCCCCCAAAAAGTCCAAGTCCAGGTCCAAGTCGAAAACGGGCTCTGCCAGCTCCGACATCATCGCACGATCGGCACCTGGTTCTGAAGTCGGCGATCGAGAAACCCGTAGCAAGCGCAGCTCTCGATCAGCTCCTGGGTCCGAGGTGGGTGTGAGAGAAGGCTCCAGCAAGGACACCAGCGGCAGAAAATCCAAGCGACGAAGCGGCATTGACTTTGACAATTACGGAGACGAGCCACCGGGTCGGAATCGTGACCCTTGGGACGACCGCGACGTTGGTTCTGTGATTTCAGAGCCTCGCGGCGATGATCGTCGCAAGGAGAGACGAAGCAAGCCATCATCGCTGTACGACAACGACGACACCAAATCAGTTGCCTCTGCTCCCGGATCGTCACGCAAGAGCAAGAAATCATCCCCCTACGAGTATGAAGACGCAGCTCGATCAACCATCTCCCTGTCAGGATCGTCTCGCCGCAGTAGGGATAAAGAGACTGATAAGGGCGAGAAGAGGTCAAGCGGCCTGTTCGCCAGCATATTCAAGAAGGACAGCAAAGACGAGTCTAAGAAATTGAATGAGGAGTCTTTTTTAGATAATGCCGTCACCCTTGGCGCGGGTGTCGGCTTAGCGACTGCTGCTGCCGCTGCTGCTGCCAGCGTTTCTCGCTCCAATGCCGCCGAGGCCTCCTCCTCCGAGAAGGTTTCCGACGCCGTCGACGCGGACAGGCACCAAAAGTCGGACGGGCTGGAAGACATAGATCCCGACATTGCTCCTCGTGCAATCAAACCAGCCATTGATCCTCAATACGGCGACTTACTCCCCTTGCCCCCAAGCAAGCCTGGCAGCCCCAAGCCTCTCCTCGAAGATCTGCCTGGTCTACCAGACAGCCGCCCAGACACGCCCCCTGAAGAGCGCGCTTTGAAACGAGACTTGTTGACGCATCGCCGCCGCAGAAGCACCCAGGACACACCCGCAAAGTCGCCAAGCAGCACCGCTATCCCTATTTCTCTTCGTCTTGGTCAGAGACACGCTGGTCCCCCCAGCTCGGCCGTTACCAATCGATCGCCACCAAGTGACTCGCCTGTGATGATGCCTGAGCCATCACGTCGATCAGCCCGAATCTCCTGGGATAGCAGCAGGGAATTCATGCCACTTTATCTTCTTGAACATTCTCGACATGGCTCCGTGGATGACGTTCCACAAATGGATCTACCTGAGCTTCCGCCTAGCGAGCCAAGCGAGCCCCCTTCGGGAGAATCGCCTGCGCCTAGACATGCGGACCTGTGTACCGACGAAGATGTAACTAGCAGGAAAATCAGGGCAGACAATCTCGCTGCTCCAGGACTTCAAATTGATACAGAACTGGCCTCGTCTGCCCCCGTTGAAGACATTACTGGATCCCAGGAAACCACTCCCAGGGCTACTGCCTGGCCTAAGCTGCCCCGTTCCCCGACTGATCAACAAACTGCCGAGGTGACGACAGCTAGTGACGATGACCCCGCTCCTGTTGATTCCATGTCTAAAGACAGAAGCTCGTACTTGCTCAACTCAGCCCCTTCTTCCACAAAGTCTAGCAAGACGGTCAAGAGCGAGCACAGCATGCATAGTCCGCTTGAGTCTACTCCAACCAAGCATCATCTCACCACAGAGACCTCGCTGCCCAATGTCCCTGAGGACTTGACCTCGTCTGACGAACACTTCTCCGACGCCTTGGAAGGCACACACTCAGAAACCTTCGAAGAGGCTCGTGACTGGTTCGATGATGTGCCACCCCCAGGACAAGTCGCCACTCAGATGTCTCTACCCCTTGCCAAGTCTGCAGTCGAGCCCACGCCGTCGGCACCTGTCGGTGATACCGAGCCGGATGAGCGGAAAGGCATGTCAGCCAAAGAAAGGAGGAAGGCCAAAAAGGCCGGTAGGAGTAAGAGATTGTCTGCCGCGGAAGCTGCTGTTGCAGGCGGTGCCACTGCTGTTGCAGTTCTCTCTCCTTTGTTGAAGGACGAGTTAACCAAGATGGAAGAGACTGGTGAGTCCATTATGCTACAAGACGATTTTCAGCAGTCAGAGATCGGAAAGAAGGCCAAGAAAAAAATTCAGAAGTCTTTTTCTTTGGAAAAGAGCTATGGAGAGACACCGACACAACCAGTGGCCGATAATATTGTTTCTGTTGCGGTGGCTGATATTCCTGATATTAATCCAGCAAAACATCATGCTATTGCTACTGGCGAGATTGATAACCCCGAGCAGAATCTCCAGGACTCAGCCCTCAATGTTACTGACGATGCAAAGGAAGAGGTTCTCCTGCAGACCGTTGACGCGACTATCCACGACGCTGACAAACATCTTGTACAAGACTCCGCCCCAGAGGCTATTCTGAAACCCGCTCAAGACGCTACCACTCCTAATCCTACCGCAGAGGCGGACTCTTGGGAAGCTCCGAGCGAGACGGGCAAGATGGAGGAAATTGAGCCAAAGAATGTCTCTTCCCGAGACATTGAACCCGCGGCTGAAGCTACCTCAATCGAGAAGTCCAGTGACCTTGGCGCTGATGTTGCTCTTGAAAAGGCTGAGAGCGCTGTCGCTGCTGTATCTAGCAAGCAACCCGAGGTTGAGGGTACCAACACAGAACCTCTTGCTCTGAACATGTCTGTTCCTCCCGAAACGACCACTGAGCCTACAGCGTCTCCTGAGACTGGTGTGGTTGAGGAATCTCACGACACTACGACTCCACCTGGTGAGCAGTCCACCACTGCTGATCCTGAAGGGATGGCATTTGCTCCACTCTCGAAGAAGGACAATAGAAAGGATCTTCAAATGGAGGAGCCTGTGCTAACGGAATTGGAGCCAGAGACTGTGACCCTTCGCCATCCAGAGCAACTTGAAGAATCTAGGACGGAGCCCACTACGGAGTTTGCCATGGAGAAAGTGGACGTGCCCGATGGAGAAGACACCACTGCTGAAGACCCTCGTACTCTGAGTTCGTTTGCTAAATCGGCCGCCTCTGGGTTTGGCCATGTTTCATCGGATGGCGAGACAACGAAGGATGGCCAGCATCTTGATGAGCCTTTACCAGTGGAGACAATCTTGGATGCTTCTTTGACTGTACATAATCAATCGCCGTCTGTGGAAACAATGGCCGATCAGATACGTATGACGGAGGCCTGCGCTGCTAGAGACTCTACATCGGCCTCGCAGGAGCCTGTCGAATCTGTAGAAGCCACTGAGTCAGAGTATGCGCCTGCATCGAAAGACAAGAAGAGAAAGAAGAAAGGCAGGCAGTCGGACAAGACTCCACCAGGGGATAAGGAATCCGAGACACCTCTCATCGTGAAGGAGGAGCTAGTCATAGGGCTTCCTCGTGTTGAGGACACTGCTTCAGCTGCCCAGGACAGCGCTGTGCCTGCCGAGGCCGGTGAAGATGAGTTTGCACCTGCAAAGAAGAGCCAAAAAAAGAAAAAGAAGGGCAAGAGCGCACAGTCTGAGGAGCCCTTGAAGGCAGACAAAGAGCTTGACGCTTCTGCAACGCCAGGCGAGCCTGCTGTCACCGAGGAGCTTGGTGTCCCCGTTGCAGAGCAAACTGCTGTGAGTGATCGGTCTGCCGCTATTGACGAGCCCGCAGCTGCTGCCGATAACCGGCCATCCACAACCATCTTGTCTGATCAGACTATCACAGAGGAACCCTCCTCGGCTGATGAGCCAGTGTCGCTTCCCAAAGAACCAAGTGAGGCTGCAGAATCTGAGTTTGCGCCAGTAAGCTCAAAGGACAAAAGAAAAAAGAAGAAGAACAAGCGTCAACCTGGAGATTCTGCAGAAGTGGACATTACACCAGAAGTTCTTACAGTATCGGAGGACCAGCTCGAACTCGCAAAGTCCGAGGTTGATCTTGCCGCCGACACGGACGCCGCAGTGACAGAGGCAGATCCAGATCCCAACCCGCAGTCAATCGTCTCCAGCGGTGATTCTGCATTAGTGATGAAGGGCAAAAAGAAAAAGAAGAAGGACAAGAGAATGCCGACTCAGTCGGAAGAACCGCTGTCAGATCCTAATCCACAACTCGTGCATGTTGTTCCAGCTGCCCAAATTTCAGACGAAACCGCGATTTTAGAGCAGTCGACGACGAACAGAGATGGAGAAGTGCAAGTGCCACTCGAAGAGCAACCTCAGCCTTGGGCTACTCAAGTTTCTGCGCCACTCTCCGAGGGCAAAATTCCTCTAGATTCAACGCAAGACGGCACCGCCGGCGTTGAGCCAACGCAAACAGAGGGAAAGGCCGTAGAAGAAAAGGCATTGGAGGGTGCCGAAACCCCCCTGGTCGAGACTGAGACTTGCAAGAAGAAAGGCAAGAAAAGAAAGAAGAACAAGAAGAACAATCAGGGCAATGATTTGGAACTTCTGGAAGAGAAGCCAACTGAGGATACTGCTCTCGACCCTGGATCTACCTCGGCTGAGACAGAGTCCGTTGAGAAGGCCCAAGAAGGGCCCGTCGCAGCGGTTGCCACGGAAATTCCTCGTGACCTCCCAGAAGAGAGAACCGTCGAGATGGACATGAGTCAGGCCGAGGATGAATGGAGCACCACCGTCGCTGTCAAAACGTCAAAGCAGGAGAAGGAGGACATTAGCAAGTCGCCTTCAGCTCGAGAAGCGAGCCCTACAACTAACACATCGGCCATCAAGGTGACGGAGGCACCGTCATTCACTGAAGGACTTGGATCATTCAAGGAGATGACTGCTGAGCCAGTACCAGACTCAGAGCGGTCCAATATGAAGGCGGAGCCGCTTGAAAATGATTCCATTGCCGAGACATCCGCCTTGACTTCGGCTCCGCCAGATATTACGGTGGACAGAACTGGACCTGCGGCTGACCCCGAGGCCGAATTTGTAGTCCCCGCGAAGGACGAGAAGGATGAGGAAAAGGAAAACACTTTCTTTCCGCGACTTGCCGAAGCGGAGCCTGGTACTGCGGTCGACTCGACGACCCAAGATGCAAAGCAAGCAATAACCGACAACGTTGTCATGTCTGTAACCCCTGCCATTGGGTCCGAAGAACAAACTGCAGATAGGGAAGCTGTTGGAACTGCCAACACAAATGAGCAGCCTCTATCAGAAAACAAGCCGATTGACATAGACCCTTTGGGTAATGCAGCGCTTTGCGAAGCTCCCAAGGGCATACTCTCGAGCGAAGGAGATGCCACCGAAACGTCCCCTGTGGAGAATGCGGATGACTCTGTACATGCGGAACTTCCAAAGAAGGATAAGAAAAAGAAGAAAAAGAAGAAGAAGCAGGCGGACTTGCAGCAGACCAGTCAGGGACACGAGCCACAACTCATCGCAGAACCGAAGGCGATGGAGCCCGAAGCTTCGCTTAATGTGGCTCACCCTGCCGTGACTTCGAATGACGGGCCAGCACCTACAGCTGAGACGTCCATGGAAACGACAATCACGGTTCAGACCAAGGAAACGGAGGCCAATACTGAGGACATTTGCGTTGGGCTTAGTTCGAAGCAGTCCGATGGGGACAACAACGGGAGGAAGACTAAAGATGGAGGCCCTGAACTAATCACACAGCGAACCCAGGCCGACCCCTCAATGGATCTCACCCGGGAGCCAATCCAGGAACACCTGTCAAAGGATAGCGCTGCAGCTGAAAAAGGTTTCGAGACTACACGCTCGGCCGTTGAGTCCGAGACCCCTGGTGGCTTGGGGCCAGCCAACGACGAGAAAGTGGCCAAGGATCAGGAGGAGCATGGTGAGGCCAAGGACAACGATGAATGGGCGGCTGGGAAGAAGGAAAAGGCTTTGGGAATGGATGCTGATGTGAGCTCAAGGACTGCTGAGGAGACATCAGTCTCCGAGGAGCCCGCGACGACAAAGACGGAGGAAGTTGGCGGCCACGATACGTGGACTGGTATGGTGTCAAAGAAAGAGAAGAAGAAGAAGAACAAGAAGGCCAAGCAGGGCTCTCAGTACGATGACTTGCCACCACAAAGTACTCCGATTCAGGACGTCGACAACCCCTACGACGCTGATGCACGACCAGAGGCCGAAAATGATGACCCCTTGGAGCCTGCAACCACAGCGCAGAATATCGGCGACACTGAAATAAGTGATGCAGTGCCTCGTGATGTTCTCCCCGAGTCCCACCAAGCAAATGCAGTCGCGCAGGCGGAACCCAGGGAGCCCAAGGAGCCCAAGAATATCTCCATGCCCCCCGACAGTCAGCCCCCACGGTCCAGTCTGGATATTGCAGAGAGTTCTGCTCCGATCAACTTACAAGATTGCTCGACAGTCCAAGTCGCATCTGCTCAGCCAAGCGGCGATCCCGACGTGCCAGTGGCCACAGGAGAGCCGGCCGATGACGAGTGGCCAATGCCAATCTCCGGTAAGAAGGTGAAGAAGGGCAAGAAAAACCTCAAGAGCCAAGTCGACTCGATGCCCCCGGATGACCCGGCTGTCGGCTTGTCTAGCCCACCTACCGAGGACAAGTCTGTCCTCGAGGGTGGTGCGGTTTCTTTTGAGGCGGTTCAATGCACCATCCCCGATGACAAGGGCCACTGCAGTACAACCGAGAAAACAGCAGACATTGTCACTAATGCTGAACAACAAGCTGAAGCAACAGAGCTTGTGACTCGCAATATCGGTGTGTATGATACCCAAGCCATGGTAGACTCACCTCCTGCTTTATCGACACTAGCCACTCAGCGTCTCAGTGACGGAGATGAGGCGAAAGGCAGCGGAGCAGAAGATTTTTGGCAAAGCACTCCACAGAAGACATTATCCAAGAAAGAGAAGAAGCGGGAGCAGGAGCAGCAGCAGCAACAGCAGCAGCCAAACTTTGCGGACCAGCCAGAGGACAAAGCACAAGAGGTACTTTATGGGGGAGACAACAAGCCAGGAGAAATGGTGGACCCAGTGGCCGCTGCTTCGAATGGATCTGTTGAAAGTCCAGTAATTGCAGAACCTATTACCACTAAGCCTGAGGAATGGTTGCCGTCCAAATATGACGAGAAGAAAGCCGCAACGGCCGCGCTAGGTGCTGCTGCACCTGCCGCTGCCGGTGTCACTGGAACAATGGTGACTCTGAAGGAAGAACACGATCAGCCTGTTGCCGCACAGAAACCGACACAATATGGAGAAAGTAGGTCATGGGCTGATGAGATGGAAGACGAAGCAGCCGTTACTCCCGCAGAACAAGAACCCGTCGTTATCAAAACTCGGAAAGAAGCTGATGACGTTGGCCCTGTTACATCACACAAGGCCAAAAAGGGAAAGAAGGGCAAGTCTAGGGGATCACCTCCTGACAATTATCCAACCCCCGAACCAATACCAGCGACCGAGACATTTCCGGAGACTCCTGCAGAAGCTGTCCCAGAGGGTATTCCAGAAACAGCGGCACCCACTGTAGAGCAAGCCCCCGTCACTCAGAAAGCGATTGACGCGGAGAATGAATCCAGGGTTGCGATCTCTAAGAGAAAGACAAAGAAGGGCAAAAAGAACAAATCAGGTAGCGAAACAATAGCCTCTGCTGAGTCCGCATTAGCCTCGGAGGATACGATGCTTGAGTCGACGCGGACAATTCCGCAAGCCTTTAACGAGTCTGCCGCCTCGCCTGATCCGGCCGAGGATGACATTGCATCAAAGAAGAGTGGCGCCACCGTCAATGAAGCGGCTGGTAACGAGTGGGCCATGTCGTCGAAAAAGAAGGGCAAGAAGGGAAAGAAGAGCAAATCCGGGAGTGGCTCAATGACACCGATAACGCCACTTGAGGATTTCACGATCGAGATCACTAGGAGCGAAGCCACCGCGGCAGCGGAAGACCCGGCTACGTCAACTGTCGCAGGCATTACGGAAGCCCGACAGGGAGCCAAGGAAGACGACGAGTGGGCAATGCCAACCAAGAAGGAGGGCAAGGGCAAAAAGTCTGGTTCTATGTCATTGTCCGCCTTTGACGAACCCCTAGTTACGAAATTGGAGGCAGAAGCTGGAACAGGCGGGTATCGTGACCTCTCCGCCATGGACGTGGATGCTACCTCAGCAGGGAAGGCGGATGATGAAATGACAACAGTTACGGAAGAGGCTAGACCGGATGAAACTGGGGCAGTACCTGCTGCAAAGAAAGTCAAGAAGGGCGAGAAGAAGGGCAAGCAAAGCCAAGCCGCTGTGCTGGATTCTTCTCGAAACGATATCGTTGTGGAACAGCAAGACCCATCGTTTGATGTAGCCGAGACACAACCAGAAGAGGCTGCCGACGATGAATGGACGGATGACTTTCCTGTACCCAAATCCAAAAAGAAAATGGCCAAAAAGGCTGCTGCAGGAGTTCCTGCCGAATCCGCCACTGAGAAAAAAGCTGTTGAGTCATTCGAAGAAACTGCCGCGAAGGTTGCTCCTACGGACGAAACCGATGACCGTCCTTCTGGAGAGGCTATAATGACCCGAGATGTTGGTGAGCTTGTCAGAGATGGCGGAGCCAAGAGTCAATCAAGTCTATCGGCACCAGCAACAGCGGGTGCAATCACTGGGGGCGTAGCTTTACTGACGGAGAAATTTGGAGGTGGCAAGAAGAAGACAAAGGGGAAGCAAAAGAAGATTGTGGATCAGAAGCGGCCACAAGACGATGACATGTTTGACGATTCTGCCCTGTGGGAAGGGGCGGACAAGAAGACTCTGGAAAGTGGAAAGGATGCGGAACTTGAGTATTTCTGGGGCGGAGCGGCAGACGAGAATGATAGGAGGACGGGAGGAGGGGAAATGGAGAAAGATGTGTCCAAGGACGAGGGCGTGCTAGGAACTACGAACACCAGGGAAGTGAAGCACGTTCTGCCTAGAACAATGAGTGGAAGCCTCACAGAATCCGAGGGAGGATGGACGGAGGCGGTCCAGCATGGAGTGCCCCTCAATGACGATTTCGCGGAGAGTGTCCTTGGACGTGGAGAGGCCGCCGCACCGACGGCATGGCGGGAACCGGCAGGGCTGTTGCGCCGATCAGCAGGAGTTGGCGAGCCAGCTGGTGGATTGCTCAAAGAGAGATCCGAATCCGAGCCAGCGTTACTACGTATGGGCCCAGAGCCGGACTCTAGACGCTCTCCATCAGGAGTCCTGCCTGCCGTCCAAGAAGTCCCCGAGGCAGAGGCAATTGCAGCCCAGTACAACTGGCCAACACCGGAGATGAAGCGCGACAGCGGCCTCGCCCCCGAGTCGCCGACTCGGCAGCCGCGCCGCAGTCTCGGTTTGACAGAAGACCAGCAACGAGACAGCGGCGTCCACACAGACGACTGCGGCGACGGCAAGATGGACGCGCCGGGGGTGTCTACTGAGAAGAGGTTGCCGCATCCGCCATTCGCCACTCCTGTCTTGCCAGAGCCAAAGGCGGCTGTTGCTACGCCAGAGCCAGAGAAGGGGGAGAAGACGAGGAGCGCCGCGGCGGCCAAGACAAAAGACTACGGCGAGGTAGTCTCAACGGGAGGCGTCGCAGCCGGAGTGGCAGGCCGGTCAACAACAGAAGTGGACGCGGCAGGACGGCGAAGCGTGAGCGACAGCCCACACATGTACGCACCGGGCTCGGCACCATCATCGTCATCGTCTTTTGCAAAGGGCTCGGATGGCTGTGGCGAGGATGATGCGGCTGCACGGGCCGAGCCAGTTGCGCGTCGGTCCGTGTCCAGCTCCAGCCTCTCCCGCCGGCGCACGCCTGAGCCGCTCAAGTTGCGGCCTGAAACCCCAGGCATCCAAGGCATCCAAGGCATCCAAGGCCTCCAAGGCCTGAGACGATCCACCCCAACCCCCCCACTTCGGCGCGTCGACAAGCGCATGAGCGGCGACCTGCGAGCTCTTCGTCAACGACGAAATTCTAGTTCCACTTCATCAACAGCCACGCCCCCGGCGCCGACGCCTGCGGCCGCGATCGCGACTGCCGCCGACTCCCAGGTTCTGCCGCCGCCCGTCGCCAACGAGAGCCGAGTCCGCTCCCGGGGCGAGGAGAAAAGCATGGCCGACGTCTACGACGGCTACGGCGAGGGCCGCATCGGCTCGCCGCGGTCGCCCACCCGCCCTCACAGCATGCGCCGCCGCCAAAGCATGCAGGTGCTTGAGCTCGAGTCCAGGGTCGAGCAGCTCGTGGCCGAGAACCGTATGCTGACCGAGGCCCGCACGCATGCCGAACAGAGCCTGAGCCAGAAGGCTGCCGGCCTCGTCTCCGAGCGCGACTCCGAAATCCAATCTCTCAAGCAATCTCTGCACTTTTTGCAAAGAGAGGTGGCCCGCCTGACAGAGGTCAATGAGGGCCTCACAAGCGCCAACGCGGAGCTGGCCAGCAAGGACAGCGGTCGCCATGCCGACGTGACCCGCGAGCTGGACGAGGCTCGCGGCGCGCACACTGCGTTGACACAGTCGCTGCAGGACAAGGACGCCGAAATCGCCGACTTGCGCGCCCGGCTGGAGGAAGCCAAGGAGCAGATGTGCCAGATGCAGCGCAGAATCCTCGAGTCCAAGGCGGGCGACTCTAGCTTCCTCAACATCAAGGACGAGGACTACTTTGACCGCCGCTGCCAGCAGCTCTGCTCGCACGTGCAGCAGTGGGTGCTGCGCTTCTCCAAGTTTTCTGACATGCGCGCCTGCCGACTTACCAGCGAGATCAATGACGAAAAGACCGTCGACCGCCTAGACAATGCCGTCTTGGACGGCACCGACGTCGACACCTACCTTCGGGATCGCATCAAGCGTCGCGACATCTTCATGTCCATGTCCATGAACATGATTTGGGAGTTTGTCTTCACGAGGTACCTATTCGGCATGGACCGAGAACAGCGCCAAAAACTAAAGTCTCTTGAGAGGCTGCTGACAGAAGTCGGCCCCGTGCAAGCCGTCCGCCAGTGGCGAGCAGTCACGCTGACCCTCCTCTCCAAGAGAGCCAGCTTCAAGGACCAGCGGGACCTTGATACCGAAGCCGTTGTCCAGGCCATCTACCAGACTCTCTGCAAAATACTTCCCCCGCCGTCCAATCTCGAGGGCCAGATCCAGTCGCAGCTCCGCAGAGTCCTGCACGAGGCCGTCGACCTGTCCGTCGAAATGCGTACCCAGCGAGCCGAATACATGATGCTCCCGCCCCTGCAGCCCGAATACGACGCCGACGGTGAATTAGCGGCCACCGTGTCCTTTGATGCCGCCATGATGAACGAGCGAAGCGGCACCACCAGCATGACTAACGAGGAGCTTGAGGCCCAGGGCTCCGTTGTCCGAGTTGTTCTGTTCCCACTCGTTGTCAAGCGAGGAGACGACGATGGCAATGGAGACGACAAGATTGTCGTCTGTCCCGCACAAGTGCTCATTGCTCGCGATGACAGGATTCGACGCCACTACGCTCCATCGAGCGAAGCCGGCGGCGCTTCTCTCGGCGCTCGCAGCCGCATCAGCGTCGTCACTGAATCAATGGGATTGGGGCAATCTGAAGCCTAGGCCGGCCACAAAAAAGAAAAAGCCAAGCGCTCACTTGAGTGGAATGCTGGATGAGTCATGTCGGCTTGACGAAGAATCTTTAGAAGGGGATCGTATCACAAGAAGAAGAAGAAAAAGAAGCATACAGGGTGTAATTTTGGGTCTCTTTTTTTATTTTTTTTTATTTTTTGTGTGTGTGTGTGTGTTACAAGGCAGTAATGATACTACGGGACAGGTTATGGCATAAAAATGGGTCGATGAGGGATAGCGAAAGGTTTTGTCCGTTTACAACATCCCCTTTTCTGGTGCTTCTCTTGGGTTTTTTCTTGGTATTTATGTACTTTTGGCTTGGCACGTCGCTGCGACTCTCTATTTTTCTTGGGTATGGTCTTGGAGGTCTGGTTCTTGGCAGATGGCATCGCTGCGCTTGTGTTAATGTTGTAATTATCGCACCTCTCTTTTTTCGTCTTTAATTTCTTGGCATGCCCCAAGGCTGAATACACACTTGTGTTTGTGTTTATTGAGAATCCTAGCATCAATTCTTCCAAACGATGATGTATTCGCACAGACAGCCTTTACCTACTCTACAGGGATACGACACAGGATACACAAAAGCGTCAAATCAAACGGTGTAGTGCGAGGGCGACGGCACGTTCGACCTTGGAGTGATCGTTTGAAGTGTGTTACTAGGACAAGTCTACAGCTGCTCACCACGTCCCGGGTCGATTCGTGCCCGCCACCTATTCAATACCGACGCAGTCCTGTTGGCCTGCTCCTGGCCCTCGTTGTCAGCTACCATGCTCAACAGCCACTGCATGCGGGAAGTACGTCCGCGCTGGCCCCTCTCGAGATCTCGGGTTATGATGTCCGCCATGCTGGCAAGCGTCTGTGACGAGACACGGCTTGTCAAGGCGCGCTGCAGGGAGACGCATTTCTCGACATTGCGCAACACTTGGCGGTCAGTGAGGTGGCGTGCTTGGACGAACCATTGGCCCATCTGCGCCAACAGGTGCGACTTGGCCTCGACTTGGGCGGCTGCTTCGTCTCGCTTCGCGTTGACGTCGAGGACCTGCCAGACACGTATTGGGTCTACGGCCGGGTCCTTGATCATTTGCTCGACGTGCCTGGCCCATACGGACCAAGTCCACAGCGGTCGTCTTTGGACTGACCGACGTCTCAGGTCCATCGAGTCGTACAGCTGAAGCACTTGCCGGTGGTTGTCACACGCAGAGGCAAGTGCCTCCATGACATCTCGTCGCAAGAGGTGCACGGGCTTGCAACTCAGGGCATGCGCCACGGCGTCAAACTGGGCCATTTTGGTCAACATGGTGCACATTTCCCGTAGTGCCAGGTCGGCGCTGCTCGACGTCATGACGGCAGCCACGAGCGAGGTCCATCGCTGGCTCATTGAGGTGTAGGTTTCCTGCAGGAGCTGCTTGTGCGCCTCGTCATTGAGCGCTCCCGTGGCACTCAGTCTGGCGGCCAAGACCTGCCACAGCTGTACGGGGTGCAGCCCGGAGCCTCCGGCGCTGCAGGCACGGGCAGCCTGAAGCAACTCGTCCGTCGTCGTCGTCTGGCTGTCGTAGGCTTTGACCACTAGCCAGGAAAACCGCAGCCGTCGGGCTTTCTCGGGAGCCCAGTCCTGCTGGGAGAGGAAGGCCATCATATCGCCATCAAGCACCTGGCGCTGCTCAGCGTTTAGTGACCTCAGGGCTCGGGCGAACCTGGCAGCCCGAGCTGACCAGTGACCAAAGATGTTGTGCCGGGTCGCTTGAGCGGTGACAAAGGCGCTCGTCAGGTTGCGTATCTGCTCGGGCGGTATGTGTTCTCGAAGCGAGCCCGGCAGGGCGGCCATCAACCTCGAGAAGAGCTGGACATCGTGGTTGTCGCCGTTGCTGGCACAGACGCTTTCCACGAATGCCAACCAGAGGGCGGGAGAAACAGACCCGGCAGTTTGCCTTTCCGCATCCACCACGGCGTACAGGATGGAGCGTCGGATCAGGGCGCGTAGTTTGTTCGCCATCTCGGCCGTTGGGATGCGACTTTTCGAGGCCGAGTCCAGGGGCTCCAAGGCGAGCAACAGAGCCTCGACGGACAAGTCTCCATGCTCGACTCGGCGGCGCAGAGACTGCCGACACGACTTTGTCAGCTTCCACAGGGCCTTGCCGTCGACAAAGTCCAAGCCCGACACGTTGTAGCGCAACTGGATTATTTCCTCAGGGAGATGGTGCGATGGCGCGGGCTCCTGTAGAGTCGCCCCGGAGGCTTCGACAGACCCGTCTGCTGGGTTGATAGCTAGGGCTTCAGCAGCGACGGCCCCCGCGTCGGGGCTTTGGTCGCGAGGCGGGATGAATGGCTTTTCGGCGGAACCCGCGTTCTCGAGCCAGCCAATGAAGCTGTTGAACATGTTGGAGACGCTCATCTGCTCTCGTTTCTGTCTCCTGTGTTGCTGTGTGGTCGGGGCTTCCCACTGCAAGGAGTCGGGGCCGACGTCGAATCGCCAGATGGGTGGACACGAGTGGGAAGTCGGCACAAGGCCCGTCATGTGTCGCCTCGCAGCTCGGCGGCGGCTCTCCAGAGGCCCTTGGTGGGAATTCATCCGGCGGCATGGTGCCAACACACCTCGCCGGTACCGCTCAACTGCCCGAAGAAGCATCGCATCGGTAACCCAGACGCCGATGTTGGGCACCACAGCGGGCCGGTGCCGCCTCTTGGATGACCGCATAGGCGTCGGGCCGGGTCAATGGGGGAGAATCGCGTTCAGGGAGAGCGGCGAAGCTGTCCACCGTCACCATGTTGAAGCTCCGCAACGGCGATGTCGTGTTGGACTCCGGCCGCCGGCAAAGCTAATATTCCGAGTCCCTGTGGGACACCACCAGCCAGCCATCCCACCCACCCGACGAACCGCAATACTAGTTACTACTGCCAACTTCTAGGTGCGTATATAGCAAGTCCGTCCGTCTCGCTCAGTCACACGATTCGACATTGACTTTGACCGCAATGCTTCTCGGCGACACAGGATCACGGCGGAATGCGTGCCAGAACGAAAGCTTGTTCGACGGCAGACGCCGCAACTCCCCACAAGGTGAAGAGACCATGGCGCCGCAGATCCCCCCATGACTGGGACGTCATCGACATTGACGCTCAGCTCAACGACGGTGTCGCAAGCACTACTGTTTTTGCATCGTGTGTTCATAACCTCGTCACATGCGAGAAGCTGGTTCGGTCAGAAGTAGTAAACCGCCGGGCCTTGCCCACGCCAGCCAACAGATTGATGGCCGTTGTTAAACCGGATCGATGTCGTAAAACGCCCTACCAACACATGGCCAGCATGGCCTGCCTGAACCATGTCAAAAGTCAAACTCGAGTGTTTGCTCTCGGGCGCGCCTCCGTGAAACGCTAGGGCAGGCCGTGTCGCTTGACTCTCGAGAGATTGGCCAGGGGCTCGCTGCCACTGGCAAGTTGACACAGCGGAAGATTCCCTGTAATTTTCGCGAATGGAGCGCAGCGGTGAGTACTCGGTACCGCACTCGGTACCGCGGTCCACCAGTCAAGTCGGTACCAGCGACGACCGCAAATTGCAGTGCTGCCGTTCTGGCCATGGCATGGCCCCCCACGCCGCCGAGGAAGGAGGGCCCCGTGTCCGTCCAGTTGCCAGATTGGTGTTGTGTTGTGTGTCAGTTGTGCCGGTCGTCTGTCCGTGCTGTCTGCGATCTTGGACTTGCATTCATTTCTCGTCACCTTCCCTGAATATTTTTTGGGACATTTGTACAAAATACTCGACTCTGCAGAACTCGTTCCTTGCCCTCTCTTTTTCTTTTTTCCCTTTTTTGTCCGATTCGTATTCTCCTCGTCCACGTTTTGTCAACCTGACTGGGTGCGCATGCACGCATAACCTCCCGGTTCCAATGCCGTGCATGTCATCGCTTCTGAGACGTCATTCCGTCACTCCGTCACCGTCGCCGTCACCGTCACTCTCACTCTCACTCTCGCTCTCGCTCTCTCACTCGGCACCACAGGAGTCGCTACATGGAACCCATTGTGTATGAGCAGTCGCCTCTAGCCGACTACCTCAAAGGTACGTCAGGTTGCCAAACAAAACACCATCCCCTCAATCCAGCCACCTTCTAACGCTCTACGCCAAATCACAGATGGAGGAGATGCTTCCGACGCCGACTGGGCCGCCGCTGATGGCTCACCACGACTTTCCTCGCTGGAATACGAGTCGTCGCCCCCGCCAAGTCCTTCGCCGTTTGCTCCCACAGGACGACCAATGGTGAAAACTCGATTCCGAGGCGAAGCCCCGGGCCTTCTGCAGACGGACGTGCCCAGAGCGCTCGGGGCGACGACAAGGCTGCAATCCATTAGGAGGAACTGCTCGGTACCGTCAATCCCGCCCTCCCGGTGCAGGCGCCGGCCTCCCAGCTGACAGTTTTGATTGCATAGGCCGCCGTGGTGGCGAGCATCGACCGCGCCGACAATTCTAAATTTCTCGAGCAATTCCGTTACACCATCATCGCGTCGCAGTTGCTGAGCGGCATCTCGATTCTGGGTCATCGACCTACTGCCCCCGGCGTGCCGGGAGCGGACGCCGGCGACGAGCACGACCAGTCTCTTTTGGCCACGGAGGGAATTCTCGCTTCGATTCTTGCCGCCCTTACCATTGCCGTTATTCTGAGCTGGCTTCTCGGAAGCACACCCTTGCACGTCACGCGAAAACGGCTGGCCTTTTTATTGGTCTTGTTGGTGGCCGGCTTCTTCCTTGGGAAGATCTACATGCGACGCCAACGGCTCCGCAACAAGCGGAAGCAATCCCTGGCCGAGGTTGCCACGTTTGTTTCCAACTCGAACGATTTCGACAGCGCCTCCGAGGCCACCCTGTCGCTTGTGCAGGAAGTAGAGCTTATTTCTCGTGGTTACCGAATGTACCTAGTCCCCGGCGTTGATGGGATTTCTCTCTCTTCAAGCGTCTCCTGGAGCGTTTGGTTTCCAATGCTGACGACCTTGACAGCAGCACTCCGTTACCACCAATCACTAGGCTAGAAGATCGCAGCCACGCCCGAAAATGCGTTCGACTGCGGAAAGCATTGAAGAAGTCGTTTGCGGATGTTTTGGATGTCTACAAGCAAATGGTATATCTGCTGCAGAGCCTTTCAGAGCAGACAGAGCTGGAAAAGTACCATGACATGTACGACATCAACGACCTGGACATTTCTGACGCTCTGCAAGGATTCAGCGAGGGCGAGTTTGAAGACGCCGAGTCGCTTCGGACGTTGAAGATTCTCGCTGCACGGTTCCACACGACGCGCAAAATGCTGCTGTGTGCTTTGTTAGCTCTGGACGCCAACGGCGAGGGACCCGACCTGCACCGGTGGACAAGGGCGGTCGAGGTGCTCCAAAAGCTCAACGGATGCACAGGGGCTGCGTTTCAAAAACTCCAGGGCATCCTGAGCGAGGCTGAATGTAGGCCTCCGGCGTCCCTCCTCCATCCAATCTGCCGCGCGAGAGCAAGTTGTTGACTGACGGGCCGGTCCTAGCATTCCCTCTTCCTCCCACCCCCAAGGGTCCCCTGACGCCAGGCAGAGAACGCTGGCGCTCCCAGCTGCGAAAGTTGAACTCATTGTCCACGGGCATCCGAGGCTTGCAGGCAAAGCTGCACTTGCTGAGGGAAGAATCCGACCGTGCGCTGGACGACTCCAGCGACATATCGGATCTAGCACCGCACTTGACGTCGCAATACGAATCTATCGGCGTGGATCTCAAGGAGCTCATGTCGGCGTGGGAGGAGGGCAAGGCGGCCCTGGCTGTCGGGATCGATAGGAACGAGAAGAGACTGTCCTCCATGAGCACGCTCTTGTCCCCGAGAAGCTCCCTCAGCGGCCTGACGACGGTTGGCGAGGGCACCGCGGAAGATGCCCTCAAGGCTCTGACGGGCGAATCCCCTTCCGGGTCAGACGTGCATGAGCCGAGCGAGCCGGAGGCGCCAGAGGTCTTTGAGGCCGTGGCACACCCACGACCGAAGAGCCTACTCACCAGAGAGGAACGAGTCATCAAGATGAAGGACGAGCGCGACCAAAAGGCACACGCCCGAAAACAGATGGAAGCCACGCGGGGCATGCTACGCGAGCTGGAGACGGTCATCAACTTGCGGCCAAAGACGGGTGCCAGCGCCCCCCCAGCAAGCCGAGTGGTGTCCACGTGAAGGGATTTCTTGTCCCTCTCCTTTTATACATGTATATAGTTACATGTGCCATGGTCCAGGCAAAACGGTACACAGGCACAATCTAGGCGCAGTTGGGCAATGTCACGGGTCATTTCCATGGGTAACGGTACAGGATAGGTGTCAGGCTGATTGAAAACAGTACTATATGCACGCATTTCATATGTAGACGAAACACGGGCTAGATTGGCATTGGCATTGCTACGGGTCTGACTAGAAGCCGGCAGCTGTGGTTGGCCACGCATGACGACTGGAGGGCATCTCTCATGTCCTTTGTACATGCCGGCATCCTTTTAAGTGATTCTGTATCAATCCTTGACGGGACAAATGCCCTGCCCCGCGTAGTGTTGGCGTCAAGAGCCGAGGCGGGCTCCATTCGTCCTTGGTGCAGCCCCGCCGCCACGACGCGTCTCGTCTCGCCCACCCGCCAGCCTCCGCGTGCTTTCGCGTCAACTTTAAGTGGTTTTCTGCCGAGTGCCACGCCGCCACACCCTCGAAGCCCTCGCTCCCTCTCCTCACCTCTCGCACCACTGCAGCCTCATCATTTTGTCTCCGCGACAGTGCCACTCAAAAGCTCGCAAACTGCCGCTCAGATACCTCTCGCCCCTCGTTTGAATCTTGTTGGTCTGGTCGCCCGCCTTGACCGCCCTCACAAAATCAGGACAAAGACAGACAGAACGGTACGTCGGATCCGCGCGGCGGCGGCAATGCCCTGGTTGCTAACTGTCTCGACAGAAATGTTGGAAGCACGACTGGAGCAGGCTAATATCCTGAAAAAGGCACGCCCCCGACTCGCGGCTCTGCTCTCCGTCGCCAGCTGCGTCGCTAACGCCTCGCCAGGTCGTCGACGCCATCAAGGACCTCGTCCAGGACTGCAACTTTGACTGCAATGACTCGGGCATCGCCCTGCAGGCCATGGACAACTCCCACGTGGCGCTCGTGTCCATGATGCTCAAGGCCGAAGGCTTCTCGCCCTACCGATGCGACCGGAACATCGCCCTCGGGGTGAACCTCACGTCGCTGACCAAGGTGCTGCGCGCCGCCCAAAACGAGGACATCCTCACCCTCAAGGCCGAGGACGCCCCCGACGTCCTGAACCTGGTCTTTGAGAGCAGCGAAAACGACCGAATCAGCGAGTACGACCTCAAGCTCATGGACATTGACCAGGAGCACCTGGGCATTCCGCAGACCGAGTACGCCGCCACCGTTGCCATGCCCGCCGGCGAGTTTCGACGAATCTGCACCGACCTCGCTGCCATGTCCGAGTCTGGTGCGTCCTGCCCCGGCCCCCCTTCCCCCCCCTGGTCCTGCGCCCGCCGGACCTCGGAGCACCCGTCTTGTCTTTGCTAACAGTGTGTGCGTGTGCGCGTGCGTGGTGCGCAGTCAGCATCGAGGCCAACAAGGACGGCGTCAAGTTCGCCTGCAACGGCGACATTGGCAACGGCTCCGTCACCCTCCGCAGCCACACCAACGTCGAGAAGCCCGAGCTGAACGTCGACATTGAGCTCACCGAGCCCGTGTCGCTGACCTTTTCGCTCAAGTATCTCGTCAACTTTTGCAAGGCGGCCGCCCTGTCGAACCAGGTCAAGATTTGCCTCTCGAGCGAGGTCCCCCTGCTGGTCGAGTACAATCTGTCCGGCAGCAGTTATCTGCGCTTCTATCTGGCTCCAAAGGTACGCGTGCAGCGCCAAGTTGCTCGCTTCCTTGTCACTTTTTTTTTCTTTTTTCCTCTTTCCCCCCCTCTTCTTTTTCCGACTTTCCGACACGTGTTGCTGACCGTGCTGTGCTGCTTGACAGATTGGCGACGACGAGTAGCATGTTTGCAAGAGGCGGCGGGCAGCGGGCAGCGGGCAGGCTACAGGGGACAAAATTACAAGAGCGAAATCGCACTATTTGTAGACTGGCGTTTACGGACGACAAGTGTCACGGTACGGTACGGTTCGGTTCGGCTGGTGGTGGACCGCGCGAGATTATCTTTGGGATGTGCTTCGTGACAGGCAGGGCTGTGCCTTGTATGATGATGAATTAGGTTTGCTCTGGCCATTCCAGAATCCACATCATGTCTGGGAGGCAGGGCAGGGTGGTGCCCGCGCGTGCCGTGAGTGTCTGCTGCTTATTTGCCTGTCCATTACGCCCGGATTCCTCGTTTCTCTTTTTGCCAGGGCTCTCGTAGCACTTCTTTTGGCTGGGTGATTGACTGATTCTGCTCACGACCTCGCGTGGACCGAGGGACTCGTCGTTTGCAGGGTCGCCATCGTGGCAGTTCGCAGGGCCGTGTACCATTTGGCACACCTTCACTACGTTGGTCCGCCAGCCTTGCCGTGGCTACTGACCATGTCTGGGATTGCAAACTTGGTGTACAAAGAACTTCCCCAAGAATTGCAGCCGCTGCGTCCATGACAGATAACCGTGAGTACCCTCGTTGCCGGCTCGCATCATGCAAAGATGGATGGCACCTTGTGCTAATGAGACGTGCCAAGGCACGTAATTCGACAACTCCATCAGGCACATGACACACTTTCTATTCTTTTCCGACTTTTATAATACAAATGCCGTGGCGAACCATGTTTTCTCCGCAAACAAGAGTATGCACATGCTCGAGCCATTGCCATCGCACTAGCCCGTACTCCATTCCATGTTAATGAGGGCTTCTGTTTCGACATTAGAATTGAAGCGAGGGGCAGTACATGAACTTCAGCAGAAACTGCCTGTTGTCGTAAAAGTCCCGAGGTAGAACGGCACGCCGCGGTTTGGTCCAAATATGTGCGCAAGGAAACAGAGAAAGAATCAGACTACTGATGAAACGAGCGTCAAGCCCTGTTTTGCAAGCTGCCCTGCAGCTACCCGAATGGCGCCTCACTCGTCATTCGCTTCCTTTTGTGTAAAGCATCGATGATGTGTCGTCGCGATATCCTCTCAACATACACGAGGTACTAGTGGTAATTCTGAAACTTTTTGTATGGCAACTCCGTACCGAAAAGAAAAAGAGAGAGAGAGAGAGAGGCCCGGAATTTCTGGGAGCTCACTGTAGAGAATCGAAACCGACATCGTAAGAGTGCTATGAGCCATCCTGAGCAACCGTGCCAACACCCAAGAATTTGTCATTGCCAGGAGTTTGGTGCACCGAGGAGTCGTCGAGACCCGTCTCTTTGAAGACAGATATACGTCCCTTGCGGATGTTGCTGCTGGAGGATTGGAAAATGGGCGGTAGGTATAGGCCGGCACCTTCACGGAGACGATCGGATGTGACATGAGAGTTGAACTTTGGTCGCACAGGGGCTGCGGTAGCGCCTGGAACTTGGAGATGGGTACCAGTGGCGGCCGGGGGAGCGAGAGAAGCCGAAGCCATGATGCTGAGACGAGGTATTGGGGAAGCAATGATCCTTTTTCAAGTCTTGGGTAAAGTCCAGGAAAAATTAGACCGTTCCGACGAGACTAGACAGACAGCCGTGACGAGGGAGGGCCGCAGTTAAGATGCCAGAAAAGGCGGCCAGCCAGTCGAGTCGCTGAAAAACCGCGGATCCACGGAATGGAAAAGAGGCGATGATTAAAAGGACATGTGAGGAGGACGGCCTGAAGCGGGTGATGCAGAAAACGTGACGAAACCCGAAGGAAGAAGACAGGGGAACATTCCCGCCGAGGAACCTGGCGGCGTCACAGATAATAAATACCAATAAATGCCCATTTCGGGACTGGGTCTTCGATCGGTCACCCACCCACCCCTGGAGAAGGGCTTTTGTTTGCCCTCGGCTTGCATCAACAATGGACTAGTAATGGAACGGCGCCATGGGCCAAGAACATTGGCGGACCTGATCTGGACATCATCGGCATTTCGGCTGCAAGATAGGCGAAAACGTTGTGTTCTCTCGGAAATGTACCTCAGACACCGTGTGGTCGGTCCACCGTACCAGCATGTGGATGCTAGTAGGTTTGTCTGGATAGTCAAGTTACGAATTGCCACCCATCTTGGAAAGCATGTGAAGAATGATTTTTGCAAGTCTGACCGATTGCAACGATCAATTGTGATGTATATTGCCCAGCTATTAGCGGTCAACCAGATCAAATTCATGTTTTTGAAACTGTCAGTTGTCTCTGGACAGACAGCAGAAGCTCTTGAGCAACGACCTCACTCAAGCGAATCTCGCCGCGTGGGTGTGACAAAGCCCATGTTCAAAGGTAGAGTACGAGCTCGGAGGTTTTTGTGAGGCTTGGCGCGCGAAGCTTCGTGCTCGTGCGGGTCAAGAGGCCTCTGGAAAGTTCGCAGCTGCCGGGAAATCTCGTGTCTGTAGCGTCGCCTTGGCGTTTCATCAAACGCTTGTCAGCAATCATCAACGCTAAGGAAAGCAAGAATGTTTCTGATCACCCAGGGCCAACGACGGACACACCACAGCGTCGCTCGGCCGAGCTTTGCGGCTTGGCCCAACCCCGTGTTTTCGCCAATCGGCCCGTATCCTTCCCGGACATATCTCCATTGTTCGAATCGTCCGTCGCCCACCTTTCTGTCCGTCCATGGTTATCTTTCGGCCCTCTTGAAGTGCGACAATAATCTTGACAAGTTACGGGCAGTATGACTAAACAACATCAGTCCGACATGTTGATATGACCACCTTGGCTGGTTCAAAGACAGACAGACGAGTACCTTTTGGCCACTGATTTTCCATTTTTACGCCGTTCAAGTCGTTTGGTTTGGGTCAGGCCCTCCCCTTCTCTTCCACTCCTCCATGGCAAACTGGAGTCTACCAACTCAAAACGCCATGTCCTGAAATCAGTCGGGTATGGAGTAGCTCCCACTCCCACACTCGGTAAGAATCCAATGGAAAATCGACCTTGCCACACCTTGTGGCGAGTTACAAAGCACAGTGATGTGGAATGAAAGTTTTTTGATTACGTTTCAAGGTGGGATTGGTTTCAAAGTTCTTGGGCCCTGACTACCGACTGACGAGACTAACGACGCTCGCTCCTTCCGTTGGACCTAGGTAGGTGCCTAAAGTACCGACTTACTTAAAAGAAAGTAACCAATCGCCTGCTCAATTCAGACCAGTGATACAACTTGCACCGCAAGAGTTCCACACACAAGCCCGTATCTCAGACAAAATACAAAAGGCTGTGACAGCAAGGATCCTAGACGCAAACCCCGTCGTCTTCCTTTGTTCAAATCGCACATGTACATGCATGATGCGCTTCTGAATCATCATCATCATCATCATGCCCATGACAGCTGACTGTCGTTAGTCGCCAGGTATTATTTCCGGAACCCACCTGCCGCGATAGAAACTCCAGGGGCACCGATCCGACCCTACTATGAACCGAGACTCTAAACACAATGCACGCGATCGCGCGTCGCCGCTTCTTCCCCGTCAGAGCACATCCCAGGCTATCCGTTCGTCAAAGGCGGCGCAACGTCGGCCTCAGTGGCCAGCCCGAGCGGCTGGCGCGCTTCGAGCGGAAACAGTAGCGCCCCCGGGTACGTGTTGAGTGCCTGTCTGACTCCAAACTCGTTTCCGATGAAAACCAGTGCCTTTTCGGCCTCACTTTTCTGCTCCGGCAGGGTGGTTCCGACGACGTAAACAGCCGTGAGCGGCCAGACCATCTTCAAAGCGTCAAATAGCAATTTTGGCGAGCTGTCCTTGCCGGCTGCTAGGGGCCCCAAGGCAAACGGCACACTATCGACGATGGACTGACCAGCAGCCCGAATCATTTCGAGGCAGTGCCTACGTCGTGCCCAAAGCTGGCGCAACATCATCCTGCTAGGTGGATAATGTGTCAGGAAGTTAGCCAGCATCAGGACGTAGCTCCAGCCCTTGATAGTTCCCGAGTTATACATGTTGCGCATGTAAGAGTCCATGTCGTCGGTCGCATCGGCCGCCGTCTCGACGTAGTTGTTGACCTGCTCTTCGGCTTCCGTCAATTGTGCCACAAGGGACTCGTACTGCTCGTCCGCGGCCACAAAATCACGACGGCGCAGCAGATCGGAGATGGCAGCTTGAACGCGTGTGCATGCTATGATGAAGGCTGACACATGCAACGTCAAACCCTCGCCTTTGTGAGGGTTGTTTCTTATGATGTCCAGCCATTCATCCGACTCTGGTGGACATTCCGTGTTGCTGACGAGGGCCTGAACTTGCTGCGATTTGTGAGATGCAGATCCGCTTCCGTAGAAATGTGGTCGACCTACCACCATGTTGTAGCACGGCCAAAACGCCGTCCGCCCCTGCGCCGTCAAAAGATGCTGGGATCCTCTGGCCTTGAGTATACTGTACAACCCTCTTGTGTGTAGATGCCACGGGCTGAGAAGCTCCATGCGACCAAGTGAGCCCACGAGTAGCTGGACCTGCAGTCAGCACAATGTCGCCGCACGCAACCCACTGCCAATCGTCTTGTCCACGAACCTCATAATTTGCCAGGATCCAAACAGTCGCAAGCACGTCGTCTCGAAATGCGGCGTCGGGGTCCTCGAGAGTCCTGTTGACTGCACTCAGGGTCCTCCCTAGATACGTGCCCAGCTCGCGCTGGTTTTCCACTTCCGACTCCTTGAATATCGAAACCGGGTGTCGAATGTTTGTCACGTAGGTCCGGGTGAAGAGGTGGGCAGCCCAGACCAACGGTCCGTCCCGAGGATTGATTCGGTAGATGTTGTGGAGGAAGTCGAGCGTCGAGTAGACGTTGAGGAGCATCGGGACGGAATGGCTCGTCCAATGCTCCGTCAAGGGTCGCGAAATCGTCGCTGGTGTTTCCGAGACGGCGTCGGCTGACAATGATAGCAGTTCTGCTTTTGGATCAAAGACGACGGTGCCTCCACCGCTGCTGCTCAAAATTGAAGCAGGCGTGCCTGATCTGGTGCCGGCCGATGACGAGCGCTGGGAACCGTCGGCATCTTTGTCCTTTCGCCTCATGCGCTTCTTGGCAGTTGACGGGTTGGCATGGCGGAACACCAACTCATGTTGATCTCTGTATCCCGGACATTCGGCGCCGTACTTGGTACACCGCTGGCAGCCGGGCCGTCCGAGGTCGCACTGGGAGAAGGAGAGTCAACGGCTTGGATGTTACTGTTGCCGCCGATCGTGTTGCGAACAGGGCCGACGTCCCGCCGGTGAATCAACTTACCTTGACTCGCCTCTGCCGGCATAAGTGACAACCCCGGCTAGGTCTTCCGGTGTTTGGCATGGCGGCTACGCCCGCAACAGAGACGAGTTGCTTGACACCTGTTGATGACTACACTCGAGATGCTGACTGGCGATGGCGCCCGCCAAGTGCCTCGCATAACGCTCCGCATGTGACTAATCAGTCACACAGAGTAGTCATTCGCTCGTTCGTTCGCGCACAACGCACCACACCACATCTGCGATTACAGCAGCCTGTCCATTGGCAAGCTGCGCAGGTGACTCGCAGAATGTCGTCAAGGGTCCATCAGTGAATGAGCAGAGAGACTCCCACAACGCGGCCGAGAGGACGATTCACGACGTTGGAAAGCGGCCCGGGCCGGTGTGCTTGAAGACATATCAAGGCCACGACTGGTCGCATAAGCATCGTCGCCTCCATGTTGGAAAGGGTCAGACTGCTTGACGAAACAACCACTAGATGCTCTTCGATTGCCACCGATGCAAGCGGAACCCATGCGATGAGCTGCAGATTCACCGCACGAGCAAGGCATTGCAGTCGCTCTGTCGGGAATCAGGATCAGCCGGCGGGCATCAATTCGCTGCTTCGAAACGTTGGCGAAAGCCGGTCTCCCGCCCGCCGGCTTGGGATGGCCAAGGAGAAGCGCCATCCGCGGGCTTCTGTAGAGGCAGCCAAGGCATTTATCCAAGCAGAGCACGACAGGACCGCCAAAGCGCGCCAACAAAGGCAATGCAGGGCCAACGAGTCGCTTCGAAGCAGCACACTACAAGAGTCGGCGCTTCAGGACGGGCACGAGGACGCAAACTCGCGTCGTCACGCCCGAGTGGATGCCCTTCTCGAGACTCCCAAAGTCGTAGCAGAAACACAGCGTCCCGCCCTGAAGCGGCCAACTCCAAGTCCAACGAGGCAAGCTCCCGTCGGAGAAGGTCAATCCGACCTTGAAGATGTAAATGTCCGTCCCAAGGAGGAGACGGAAGCCCGGCTCCAGAACGCCAATTAGTCTCGGCAGGCCATCCGAGACGATGTAGTCTATGCGAGGCGGTCTCAAGCACGACCTCTTGGATAAGCTAGATAAGGAGAGGATGGTCTTGAACCGAGCCTGTCTTCAGGCCCGAGGACCGGTGACGCCTCTTTTCGTCTCAAAACGGTCGTCCGCATGCCGTCCTTGACAGGGGGCATTTGGTTGGCCTCACGGTCACGGAGCAGCAGGAGGGCAATGCGTGTCCTATCAGGCGGCTAGTCGGTCGTGTGCCACGACTTGCATGGAGACGTGGAAGCTGTTGTTTCCGAAAAGGATAACGTTCACTTCAGGCGTGGATTGTTAGAATAAGCAAGTAATTACGAGTGGATAATATTGTGGAGAACTGTATGAGGGCTAAAAATATGTTTATACCAAGGATATCCCCTAACTGGAGTGTTGTAGGTTTAGGAATTAACAACTATCAAAACTATATCTTCTGCTATTTCAACACAGACTCACGTCGGACGACCGATGGGGACGCGCCAACGTTGGCGGTCGAAGCCTGCTTCTTCTCAACTTTACCTCGACTCTCTTCGACGCCACAGCAGTAAGGCCAGCATAACCACTCGCCTACAACATCTATAGGATGCGCACTGACAGCGCAACAACATCCCAAGCAGCCAAGCAAGCCAGCGCCCTCGTCTTCTTCGCCAACGACAGAGCCGACAAAACACACACTACCTATGCACGACAGCTTGCGCACACGGCCAAGGCACCTCGTGCTCGCCCAACACCCAAGACCACAGGTTCATAGCCTAGTCTCGACCCCGATCAAGATTGACCCTCGCGGGCCTCAACTCTGCAGCCGCCACGAGTAAAGGCACTCCTTTTCCTGTCCCCGTATCACCGAGGCCTCGGCATAAACGGCATCAGCCGGCGCTACACATGCTCCCACGGACTAGGTTGCGCACCAGGATAGACGGAAACGTCGCAGACGTCAAGGCCCCAGCTCGGAGAGACGTCGTGCGAGGGCATCAGCGCAGTGAGACAGACCAGACGCGCCGAGAGGCAGGGCGCATGATGCCACAGACGATGAACCCCAAGACTTGCCCCTTACCCCACGTCTAGGGCAAGGCGTGAACGAAACAATGACGTCAGACCGTCGGACCGTCAGACCGCAGACACGTTTTGAGCAGCTTACAACGTCTCGGTCGTCAGACGAAAAGCGGAGTTGGCGGTACCTGAGTGGCGGGCCGCGGCCCTCGAGATTGTGGGACCGCCCGCGCTGACCACTGACAGCAGACGAGTAGGCCGAATCGGGAAGGCGCTCATGGATGGTGGGGGCAGACAGGTGAGTGAGTGAGTGAGTGAGTGGTCACCGTCGACACGTCACACATGCAGTTGCCACAGGACATGCCACAGGGCAGCATGGCCAACGCACGCATCTCAAAACATGAATGGCATTCATTCTGGGTATCTAGTCCAAGCCCATTCGGCACGATATGCGTTGTGCAGCGTGCCCAGCTTGTGTCGAGGCACAGAAAACAAATCAAGTACAATACAAAAGATGGATAAATATGGTTCTTCCAGGGCCCGAATACAATCAACACATGCCAGAATGAGAAATGCCGAGAGCAGACCAGCATTGTAGAATGCAGAGACAACCAAAACCGGTGTAAAAATCTCCCCAACGCCCAGATATGAAGTTGTATAGTGAAATATATAAAATCTTATCGACTGTGTCTGTTTTTCGTTCCCAACGAGAGAATGAGAAAAGAATGATTTGCATCCGTCCAGGTCGGTACGTGGACGGTGTGTATTTTGGTCTGTTTATCCGCGACGGAATCCCTCGACGCCGAGGTGAGGAACTTCGACATCGGCCAAGAGTGCAACTCCATCGTCCTGGCGTCTCTCGGTAAAGATGTTGCATTCGGAAACGACTTGAGCCCACTCTGCGAGGGCGCGGCCGCAGTAGACGGAATTCTTGGCATAAATGCCGGCAGGCTCGATTGGTTTGGTGAGCTGGTCTCTATTGTCGCCGGCCGCGTTGGCGACGGACAAGACATTGTTGCGCATTAATGTCGACGATGTTGCTGTTGTCGCTTCGCTTCGTGTGCCGCCGCTGCCGCGGTTGGGTTGGGCAACGCTCACGCTGCTTCGTCGGCTGTTGGGTCCGAGACCCAAACTGGTGGTGGGCGTGTTGCGGAGCCACTCCTCGACAGACGCGTTGAGGGACGCCTGGTCGTCTTCCTTTGGTGTACGAGCGGGCTTGGGCGTCTCCGGGGGCGATCGAGGCAAGGCATCATCCCGCCGAGGCGCTGACGGCAGGATATTGTGGCTTTTTGCGCTGATGCGTGCCTGCGTTGAGACGGGCAGTCGTGGTCTCGTCAGGACGCGATCGCGAGCGGGGCCAGGGGCTTGCTGCCATCCGAGGACGAATTTAAAAGTGTATTTTTGTTCGTCGAAAACGGGGGACGATCCCAAGGAATCCGAAGATGGGGAGATGATTCTGGGGCCCATCCTGCCCAGGCGGGACCCCAAGCTGGGAGCTGTGGTGAGCGGAGCTGGGTCGGCCAGGTCTCGACCGGCGCCACCACCACCACCGGTGTCGCTCCCCGCCGAGCCTGGTGACGGTGGGACCCGTTCATACTCGTCGTCAACGGCGGCCGGCTGAGCATTGTTTCCTGACGTCATGGCAAGGACTTTTCCAAGCAGCGACCAACGCTTCTTTCCGCTGTCGCTGCGGCCGATCCCGTTGGCATCTGGGGAATCAATGCCGAACAGGAGGTGGTGGTTGGGGGATGGTGATGATGATGACGATGCCGAGTTTCTCACAAATGAGTCAAAGCTCATGAACAGGCCCGGGTTTGGTGAGGTGGTCTCTTGGCGAATAATCATAAACTTCTTGCCCATGGCAGGGGGCATGGGTGCGGTCGACGGGGGTACTTTGCCGGCTTGTTCTGCGGTTTGCTTCATGTGCAAGTAGTGAGCCCAGCTGGTCTTGAGTCGCACGGCCGCCGTGAGGTAGATGTTCATGTCGAGTTCGTCGGAGCCGCCGGTGTATCGACACATGCGCCAACAAATTAGGCGCTGGTAGTAGGCTCGAACCATGGGGCACCAGTTGTTGAAGAAGGCATCAAACGTCTCCTCGCTCAGGAGCCAGTCCAGGCATACGACTGCCTTCCTGCGCGGGTCTTTGGCCACGGCGTCCCAGATGGTAAAGACAAACGACAGCATGCGGACCTCGGACAGGGTGTTCATTGAGCTGGACATGCGCTTGCACACCTCGATCCAAAAGGGCCAGTCAATGTAGCTGGCGGCGGCAGGCGTCGTCTCGAATTCATGGTAGACCATCAAGACCTCTTCCAAAAAGTCGCACAGAGTAAAGCACGCAGCGTGGTCGTAGAGAGAGGTCTTGCTGGCGGCCGCCTTGACGAGGCCGGCAAACGCCTCGGCAAAGGTATGGCGGGGGGAGCAACATGACGAGCTTATTCTCGCCCATGGGCCGAGTCGCATTGCTCGGTGGTGGGAGCGGCAGGGGCAGGGGCAGGGGCAGGGCCGAGTCTGCTCCGTTGACCGAGTCAATCAGGGGGGCGTAGGCCACGGGCTCCACCATGGCGGCCTGTCGATGAATCGTCGAGTCCACAATTGACAAGAGCTGCGCGTGGACCAGGGCGAACGCGGGCGACCGAGCCTTTTCCCGCAGGGGCAGCCCCGGGGGGATGAACTGGTCACAGAGGGCGTGGAAATACTTGCAAAATATGAAGAAGAGGTCCGTGTCTCGACCCTTCCAGCGGGCGACCCAGGGACCGGTCCAAGGAATTCTCGCCACGAGCAACGGCATCTTGGGAATCTGCTTGAGGGCGTCCCACATGGCCCGGGGCGAGGTCCAGCCGAGGGGCCCCAGACCTGGCGGGAACAAGGCGGTGATGTCGTCGCTCTCGCCGACATCCCTGCGAGGGAGCCCAAACTCGGTGCCGGCGCGCCTGATGAGTTCCGGCGTGAGCCCCCAGAGCCGCAGCAAGATGTCAGCGACACCCGGGGCGAAGAAGAAGGTGTAGGCGCACGTTTTTCCGGAAAAATTGACCAAGCTCAGCGGAGCGTGGCGCAAAGACATCTTGTCGACGACATAGGCCATTTGCCTGACCAGGTTGGCCACGAACATGGTCCGGACATTGTGCTCCGCAGATTCAGCAAACATGTCCAAGTGTGCGGAGCCGTCAGTGGTCGATTTGGAGGCATTCGTCCATGATCGTGAGCGTACGCGTTCCGAGGGTGACCGCTCCGCCAGTGGCTGCATGTACGTGGTCGCCTGTCGCCATTCGGGCCGCATCATGAGCATCGTCGCGGCTTCCAGTAACACCGGGCGATCCACGCCTGGGATAGGCTGCTGCAGTTGGCCATGGAGCATGTCAAGCAGGGCCGTCCACCACTTGTTGAGAACGATGGCCCGTCTCTCGACGTCTTCGAGGGAAATCGCCCTGGTCGACGGATGGTTTCGTGTGCGTTTTAAAAAGGGCAGCAGGACCGAGTGGATCTGGGCGACTCGGTGGACAGTCTGTTTGGACCCAAAGGCTCTGGTCTCGACATCGAGGCCTTTGAAAGCCGACCACAGCGGGTCACGAAACTTGGGCGTCATCTCGTTGCACGACTCATCGGTGACGGGCGTGTTGATATTACCATCACTGCAGATGGAAGGGGCGGCACTGCTTGTACGGACGCTGTTGGACGTGCGGTTGAGGCTGGTGGCCGACGAAGCACAGCTGTGGTCAGATTCTGCACCGTCCCGGCCGAGGTAAGCGTTTTGGTGTCTGCCCTTGATTCTGGACAAGTATGCGGTTGCCCTCGTGAACGGCTTGGCAGTTGTTTGGAGTGTCTCTGGTTGGTGCTTTGTCGTTTGCTCCGTCGTGTCGTCACTGCTCGTGGTGATCTGCAATCGACGTGGTGGTTTGGATGCCTTGACCGTGGATGCACGAGCTAATCCCTCGAGGCCCCGTTGACCATTGGCGACAGGGGACTGGAGGGCATGCTTGGGCGAGGACGGGCGAGGAGAGCGTGAAATCCAGGGGCGCCTGGTAAGATTGGGAAGGCTTTCTGAGCTCCCCAAGTGGGGAGACGGAGATGGAGATGGAGTCGTTGTCGGTGTCGTCGGTGTCGTCGTCGTCGCCGCCGCCGCCGCCGCCGTACTCGTCGTGCTGCCGGCAGGAATGATGTTCTGGGCTTGGTCACTCGTATTTGGCAATTCCCTGGCAACTTTGCTTGAAGGCATCAACCACGACCTCGGTCTGTCAATCAGTAAGTTTCTTTTGCCTCGAGCTATGTGGGCTTGTCTTGGCAGCTTCGTTTCAGTCCTTGTAGCTTCCACGGCCTCGGGTTGAAGAGACGGTTCGGGTCGGGCGAGCGGTGTGATGGCGTCTCTACCATTGGCAAAGACCAAGGTGTCGAGTTTAAAATCCGTGTTGAAAGAGGACAGACCAAATCCCAACCAGTCCAAGTCCGATGATTTCAGGTCGTCGGTCCCCTTGTTTCCAGCAGTCGAGACAGCAGCATCGGAAGCAGAAGGGTGACGATGATGGAGAGGGGAACCCGAGAGGACACCCGTTGGGCCCAAAAGCTCAGACGCAGGAAGCGGGCGCTGCGAGAGCTGCAGAGTCGGGGCCATGACAGCAGTTGCACCCATGGCACAAGCCAATGCCTTGCTCTTCTTTGCTGTTGAAGAAGAGCAGGGGAATGATTGGGGTGGGGGGGAAGAGAAACGAGAGGGGGATAAAAAGGAGAAGGGAGAAGAAGACGCGATTGCCTCCCACGGCGCAAACGAAGGGATCAGAGGGTGGCGAATTGACGGTTTTTTCGATTGTCGACCATTACTTTTTCTCTATTCCCTGTGTAGAAGCCGTTTTCGCTCTGGGTTGACTATTTTCTTCTTTTGACAAAAAAAAATCTCTGGCCTGCAGAGCAAAAGAGGCGTCGTCCTAAGGGCCTCTCGTCAAAGGAGCAAGAGGACCAGAGAAAAACAAATGGGAGAGAAGAAAACACCAAGCGACCGAACAAGGCAATTGCTTTCTTCTGGCTCGGCTCTTGTCCGACTCGGCGGCTAGCCCAACAGCCCGACGGGAGCGCGAAGGGGGGAAAGAAGGTAGAGTGCGAAGCAATGAAGACCAGATCGATAGAAACGTTTTGTCGTGGCGGAGAGGAAGAGGGGAACAGCAGCGTCAAGTACTTACAGCTGCAGCCAGCCGCCTCGACCAGCGCCGGTGTCCAGATGGCCGGCCGCGTCGGGGTCGGACAGGGCGACGAGTGATGAGGTGGAGGGGTCAGTGTTGCTCTAATAACTATTTTGCTTGAAATGGTTTTCTTCTTTTCCTTTTTGTTCTTGTTTGGAACAGCGAAACGCGAGACGGCGAACGCTCCCACGTTTAGTGCTAGGTCCAAAAAGGCCCGGCTGTGACCTGTCCCAAGTCTGCCCCGTCGTGGTCAACGGGGATCCGGAGATGAGCTGTGCTGACCGTGCTGGAGAGGTGACGTCTTTGCTGCTCCCCTGGAGGTCAGGGAGCCGACATGGGGTCAGGTCAGACAAGGAGATTTGACGACGGAACTTGATCAGGGTATGCAGGGGCTTTTCTCTCTCTCTCTCTCTCTCTCTCTCTCTCTCGCTTTTCAGGGCTGAAAGAAGCTGAGTGCGGTCCACGGGCTTCCTGCGGCGTGCTGTAGCCTTGTAGGGGCCAATTCGAATCTTGAGACGCTCCAGAAGTCGCTCGAGGTTTGCAGGTTGCCCCCTTTTTAGAAAAAAAAATAGTAAAAATAAAACAAAGCAAATCAAAAGAATAGAATCTTTTTTTTCCCTTGCTCGCTTTCAAAGGCTCTGCCAGGGCCCTGTGTGTGTGCGTGTGTGTTGCAAGTGGCCAGGCTGGCGGCTCCGTCGTTCAACTGCACGCCACTGTGGTCACTGGTTTTGATGGCTGGCGGTGTGCTGTGCCGAGCCGTGCTGAGCCGCCTCAGGGCCGTTTTGACGGGCGTGGCTGATGATGGGCTGAGCGGATGGCGACGGGGCCTTGGACGGCGGCGCCAAGCGGCATCAATGGAGCTCGACAGGCGCGGCGAGAATATGAATCGTGAAGGGGACTTACCAGGAAAGCACGGGAGACAGACGTACGTGCGTACACGTACACGTACACGTACTGTAGCGACCGCAGCCGTTTGCATGCATGTGCCGCACGTGCCGTCCCATCATTTAGGTAAATATGGGCACGTACTTAAGTACTTAATGTAGGTGCCTACCTTAGGTACTTGACACGTACTATTAGGCGTGCATGTACAGGTACATACAAATTACAATACTATCTGACGCTTGGAATTCCCATCCCGGCAACCTGGCCTCTAGCTCGTCCTCTGCTTTGGCTTTTTTGCTTTTGGTCTGGGGCCCCTCTCATCTTATTACTCCAGATGTCCCCCAGCACGCTGCACGACTACTGCGTCCTCTGTGCTTTGCAATACGTCTGTAACTTGTCTGGTGCCGATTTGAGTCAGTACCAAGTAGGTACTTAAGAAGGCAAGGTACTCCGTAATTAAATTCAGTCGCGTAAGTTAAGTATGAATCGTCAGGGCCGTCGGTCCACGGACGCCTGGTGGCACCCTGACCGAATCGGGCCCAGCCTTGCCCGCCGCCAGCCGCGAACGTCCCCTCCACAAGTCACACCCATCCGTCGTCCATGCCTTGCGTCGTTGTCTCTCCTCTCCTCGGGCTGTCCTCTGCCCAGTCGCAGGCCCTGCATGTGCATTGTGCACCACTCCGTACTCCGTATTCGATTAGCCTTTACGCCTGCACTTTCGGGCTTCAGAGATGATGGCGTGGCTCGCTCGCCCGCCAACGCCCGCCCTCGGCGCTCCTGCGAAGGGCCACGATAAGCTTCGTGCCCCTGTCCTGACTCCAGACGCCGTCGTCCACACCACAGCTCACCGCACCATTCATGCCATCGGCCGGCCGCCCCCTGTTGAAATGTTGCCCGTTGCCGGCGAGAGGCTTGCCCCAGCGCTCCAAGGCGGGTCCCGCGCGCTTCAAGTTGGGGGTTGTGGCGTTTTCGTCGAGCTCAGACGGCATTTCCGCGCATGAACTCGCATGCTTCGTCCTTTGCCGACGTCGACGCACACGCATCGCAACCAGACATGATGATGCTCTCCTCTCCTCTCTCTCCGCCGCTGTCTCTGTCTCTCTCCCACAATTCTGGAAATCCCCGTCATCCAAGCGCCATCTGGTTGGTTCGCGCCATGCATACATACGAATGAATTACTTGGCGCCAACAGCCCATGGAAATAGTCCGCTCGCTCCTAAACTCCACGTCGTCACGCCCGTCGTTCTCGTAGACGCTGAAGGCCAATCAATTCAGATCCAACCAACATCCGCTGCATGACACAACGGGACGACGCACAGCCATAGCTGTCACACCTCTTATTACTAGTGCGAGCAATTGTCCATACCAAGAAAGCAGCTGTGCTCCCGACCCTTCGGCTTGTCCATATCTGCTCTGGCCGATTTGCGTTTTTTTCCCTCTTGACTCAGTCCCAAAAGGGCTATATTCCGAGTGGACAGAAGAGAAGGGGTGGGGGGAAAAACACGCACAACGAAAGGCCTCATGTCGCCATGTCCGATGTGCTTCCCCAGATCCAATAAGTGGCGGCCTGTTCTACAGCTGTCCGTGGCTGAATACTTCAACATCGCTGGCTCTTCGTCACCGGTTACATTGGTCGTCGAGCTTGTCCGTGAATCCGTGAAAATGTGCTGCGTTGTCTGGAATGAATTGACTGGTGGTCAGCGGTGTAGTCGTAGACTATGAACTATTGCGGCAAAATCTCCGTCTGATCGGCCACGAAAGACGTCAATCCGCTCCCCTCTCTCCCTGTCTGCCCCTCCATCTCCCTCTTATTAAAGCTTGGACCGGCCTGCGGGTCAGAAGCCTAATCATGATTAGGATGGCCCTGGCTGGGCTGGGCGCCGGCTTCCACCAGACTAAAAGAAGGAACCCGTGGTGTCGTTTGGAATTATGGGGGTTCCATCACGGTACATGAGCAAGAAAAGCATCTGGTGTTAGTGCAGGCTTGGCCATCAAGGCAAATACTAGCGCTGGTGCGGAGTACCTTGTCTGAACGCCCGTTCCTCGGCGCGAATCCGCCCAGGATTTTGCCTGCCTGAGTCGATTCATTGTGGTGGAGGAAACATCCACTGGTGGCGCACTTGACCTCATAGGCTCAAGAGGCTGAAACGAGGGCCCGAAAATCCTGAGTCCTGCGTCCCGACTCCTTATGCTAGCCTTGTGCGAGACCGTATCATCATCATCGTAATTCGTTGTTTTTTTTTTTTTGCTCAACTTTGATGCAGGTTTCTATTCAGTGACGGCATCTCGTGTCAAGTCTGCTTTGTACGTACTGTATCGACCCGCTCAAAAGCTCCTTGTGTCAGAGTCTTGTCGAGTTGATAGTGCTAGCATCTCCAAGCCACACGACATCTGAACCATCCCTCCCATCCCGGACAGACGAGTTGTAAGACAGCCCGTTGCGCAACCGCCGCCGCCTGTGCCTTTCAGCTCGAGCTGGCACTTGTTGCAGCCAGCAGCTTCGTCAACAATGCACTCGGATGTGGACGGCCAATTGCCCATCTTCGTTACGGCCTACAGGGCCTAACTGTGTTGGGTTTCTGGCACATTGCCCATCACTTTGAATCGACAAATGCGCAGAGCGTAGATTCGCCATGCAATTTTGATTGGGCTGAGAAGACGGACAGTCCCCGGGGGGTCCACGGCGCAGCTGCATCCATCTGACTGCTCGCCATGCATTATGCATGATGCATCGAGGTTGAATGATATCCATCATCCATCATCCCAGGATACGAAAGACAGGCGCCGTCACAGACGTGGATAATCAATCACACATGGTCCTCTGCCATCTACTGTGGATCGTGGTCGTTTCGAACATGACTTGTGCAGACACAGACGCAGAAATCACAGCACCACAATCAAAATGTATCCCGATCTTCATGCACCAGAGTCCGTAGAGAATCATGAGCAGCGGTGTTTGGTAACGACGGGGATGTTTTGTCTTGGCACGTCTAATTCATCCTTCAGCAGTTGGAGCACAAAGATAGCCCACCGCTGTACACACATATGCCGTTGCGAACAAAGAGAGGGGGAAGAAACTGCGCAGCGCGAACTGCGTATTCGATGACTGTGAACAGACCTACCTAATCAGACACGACTCCTCGAAAACTCAGCAATTGCACAGGGCCATTGCCGCGAGGTGGTCGTCGTTCAGCGGGGGCTGGCATTCGGCCATGAAGTTGTTCATGGCAGCTCATCGTTTTAGACACGGCAGAACGGCAGACGAGAAAAGAGACTCAGGTAAAGGGCAGATTCAAACACGTCTCATCCACGCGGGCGGTGTTTTGATGAAAGCCGACGTGCATACAGGCTACGTTGGTGTGCTCTCATGATGCAGGGAGGAATGAAAACGGATCGAAAAATTTGGCCCTCGAGGAAATGGAAATGGTGCTGGCTGATTATGTAATGCAGCAGTGATACGTGGCCCCACACATCGGAGTACAAAGCCGTCCGTCAATCCTCCCAAGCCACGGTTTCTCCCAACGTGATGATACGCAAATATTCACTACCAATTTTCCAAGTTTGCACTCCACCATGGTCGTGGTGGATGAAGACGGCGACACTCTCCCACCGCCGTCCACAATCATGAGGCAACCCTATTGCCAGTCTCCGCTTGCTTTGTGATGACCACACCGCATTCCATTCCCAAGGGCCAAGGCCGTTGAGATTCCCGAATGCGGAGCTAAAGATTTGACGTTGCATCACTACTTGACTTGGAGCATAACGAATGCCGGCTTCGTCCGAGGAAATGAGGAAATGAAGACCTGTCTTCCCGGTTCTAGCATGCGCTCGCTCTCCATTGCGCCACGTACATGGTGTCGCAACTCCATGGATCGGCGCTTTTTCATTTCTCAAAACCTTTTTTTCTTCTGGGACGCAGCCCAGCGTGGCTGCAAGGAGATCTTGGATCTGTGTCTCCAAATTTCCTCTGGCAGCAAGGCTCCTCTCGTTACTCAGGGATGTTGACTCTCCACTCGCGCAAGGCGAAACACCTAACGGAGCAAATGAATGATGTTGAGTCAGCGACGCCTATACAAACGTCAATTGCTCGGGGCGCTCACCATTTTTGCTCGGGGCGCTCACTACCCCACCATGACCCACTTTTTATGCGGCAAGCCCCGCTGCCATACCCCATAGTACATTTGTAGTACAAAGGTATGGCAGCTTTACTCAACTCCAAAAAGCTTCATTGAAAATCCAGAATAATGCTGCAGCCGTACGAATTTTTCAACAGGCAGCAGCTTTTTCCTTCAACAACATCGCGATGCCTGACGAAGGCCCTCACAGCCCCTTAAATCCGCCCTCAAATTTGCCGCCCTTAACACCAATCTACAAGCCAAATGTCTCAATAAGGCGCTCAAAGGCCTCCAGCACCAAGCATTCGCAGAGATCGCACACAAGCAGAGATTGAAACTGCCGCAAGGAATCAACGCTCCCGGCAGCAGCCGCCGGCGTCAACAACGATTGAATCGCAATACAAATAACAGGGAAAGAAGACCAATTGGAAGACAGGGCTCCCTTAAGATTAAGGAATTTATTCCTTTAACGCTGTTGCTGCTATCGCAGCCGATAGATGTAACTAGATGGGTAATTGAGCGGCCGGAATAACTAGAAAATCCGGCCTAATAGTGAACACATTGAGCGAAAACACTAGAAATTGTGTTTTTGAGCGATTTAGACTGGCGCTGTTGAGAAATTTATATAAATTACACAAGCACCTTTTCGATTAATTGAGGGCATTTTGCTGCCATACATTTGTACCAAGAATGTACTGTGGCGCATGGCAGCGGGGCCGCTAGACCAAAAACAGGGCGTGGTGGGGTATTGAGCGCCCCGAGCAAAAAAAAGTGAGCGCCCCGAGCAATACAAACCGTCACGGGGGCAATGCTTCTTCTTTGCTGGTGTACAATGTCTCAACCAATGGCCCAGTTTCATATGCTGGAATAGAGAACAGCCATGCAAGCCATCTTGTCAGTTATATTGACTGCAGCAGCATGTCGCTGACGGGCCATTTCGTGGGACAAGACAACAGGACTGTGCGATGCAGACGATTCAGCGTGCCCCCATGTATTTGTCATGCTGGTGCCGAGGTAGTTGGGCACGATGATGGGTGAGGGTGCTCGTCCCAGTTTCTCTCTCTCTGTGCGTGTATGTGATTTTTTTATTTATTCATTTTTAATCTTCCTTTTTTTTCCCCGGGCCCCTCCCTCGGGCCTCTGCCATAAAACTGTGCATACGTTGTCTGTTGTTCGTCTTGAGACAGCATGTCACGACTCACTACCCCGTGCTTGCGTGCCTGAAGCAAAGGCACGCCCGGCGACATGAATTCAGGTTGCCAATGTCGTCCGTCAGCCAACGATCCCATCGCGCTTCAGCTTGACGTCCGGTTCGTCTCATCCGTCCGGGACCGCTAGTTCGGGTTCGCCCTCCCGTCTTCCGTTCAGTCTTGGTTGTCCCGGAACCTCTCCGCATCAACGCGGAACTCCGCATGGCAGGATCATCGTTGTGATAATAGCCTGCCGCTGCCTCTGGCAGCATAGGGAGAGTCTGCCGGCTTCTGCTTCGACCTGAATTTTCATTGCAGACACTCCAACATCGTGTGCATGTCCAACACCCAAGAGCATCGGCGCCATGTCAATCGATGAAGACCTAGTTTGCGACCAAGATGAGCTGCACTTGGATACGGATGGCTCTTCCGACGAATTTGAGCCGTTTGTCTCACCGCCCAGCGCCAGACCGAGGCGGCGTTTCCTCGGCACCAAGTACCACAGATACCTTCTCTTCTTCATCGTCGCGGGCCTCGACTCTACCGTCTTTGTGCTCAACCTCCCGCTGACGCGGGTCTACGAAAGCATAGCATGCTACCAATACTATTCTGCCCACGAGCCGGGGCGCTTCTCAAATCCGGCATCTATTCCGGAGCAAGAATGTAAAATTGCGTCTGTGCAGCAAGAGTTGGCGCGTGTCAAGGGGATTGAGTTTTTGTTCATGATGGCACCGGGTAAGAAACCAACCCCCCCCCCCCCTTCCTTTTCCACGTTGGTGGGTTGCAGTGGGGATGTGCTGACCCCTTTTTCAGGCCTGTTTCTTGCGATACCGTACGGCGTGCTGGCAGACCGATGGGGCCGTCGGCCCGTTTTGCTGCTCTGCGTGCTGGGTTTGGCATTGACGATTGCGAGCGTGCTCATGGTTTGCTGGTTCTGGTGGTTGGTTCCATTGCGGTTCGTGTGGCTATGTTGGTTGCTCACCGGCATTGGTGGCGGGCCGGCGGTGCTAAACTCGACGATTTTCACGATGCTTGCCGACGTTGTCAGTCCGGCAAAGAGGTGAGGGTGTCTGGACCCAGGTGGTCATGAACAATGACAATGTCACGATGCAGGATGCTGACAAGAGCAGGGCGACGACCTTCTTGCAGCTCACCGTGGCGGTGCTCATCTCGCAAGCCATCTCGACACCGCTGGCGTCTGTCCTCATGGCGAAACACGGCACAACGCTGCCCATCGCGTTTGGCTACGGGCTGGGGCTCAGCGTGTGTTTCATGTGTCCGTTTGTCCCCGAGACGATTCATCTCAGCACCTCCAAGACTGCAGACGGGGAGCAGCCGCCCGGGGAGGCCGGAACGGCTTCGCTGCACGCCACGAAACAGGGTCGGAAGGCGCGAATGCGGGGGCTCTTCGCGTCCAAGGGCAGCAGCAGGGTGAGCGTTTGGCTGCTCTCGCCAGCCGTGCTCGCCTCTTTGGTCATTCTCTTCGTGGACAGCTTCAACGCCGCAACAATCAACATAGTGGTTCAGTATGCGTCCAAGAAGCTGTCCATACCAATCTCCAGCGTCGGGTCCCTGGTCACCATTCGAGCAGTCGTGACAATCGTCATAATCCTCGTCGTGGTGCCGCACATTGGGAGGAGGCTCGAGGCGAAACGGGGCCTGGACAGCCACTCTCGCGACCTGTGGCTCGCACGCATCACAATGTCCGTCTGCCCCTTGGGCTTTGCGCTGCTGGCCACGGGCCGATCTGTGGCTGTGATTGCAGCCGGGATGGTCCTGGTTGCCGTAAGCTGGGCTTGCTGCAACAGTTTGGTGAGGAGCATCGCGACGGCCATGGTCAGCCCAGAGAGGATATCCGGGCTCTATGGCGTCGTCAACGTCTTCCAGGCGGTGGGTGCTTTGGTTGGGAATCCGCTGTTGGCAGAGTTGCTGGCGATGGATATAAAGTCTGGCAACGATTGGATATCCCTGCCGTTCGGACTGGCTGGTGTGTTGAGTATTCTGTCCTCTGCCATCATTTGGGCTGTGCGGCTGCCTCCCACGACGGCCAACTAAGCAGCGTTTGTTGGTGGTTGCCGCGTGTGGTGAGTCGACGTCCACGTGCTGTTGTAGACTTTGATCCTGGCCAACAACTGTGTTGATTGTAGTATCTGTTTAGAGTCGGGCGTTGTGTCATGACTTGTCGCGCTACAGAGCTGTGCTTGGCCATCAGTGGCGGTTGTTACCTAGGTATTTACGTACTTGACGTTTCATCTTGCATGTCCTCTCACTCTACCGACGGTACTCGGTCAGGTAACTTACATACGGTACACGCTAGATGACGGCTGGCTGATGGTTCCGCGGGTGGCTGATTCCCTGTGCCCAGGGGGGTTGCTACCGACCTTGGAAGTTACAAGCTACTTAAGTAGTACTTACCTATGTAACTTACTGTTTTCTTAATTGGCCAGTTGCGTTGGGCGGGCCTTGGCTTCGGCACGCACCACAGCAACCCCCGGCCAGCCACTGACGAAGCAGTCTGGAGTCCGCCGGGCCCCACGGGCTCGATGCTACGGAGTGGATGTCGTGAGTAACTACTAGTACTAGTACCTAAGGCAGGTAACTACCACTTAAGTACGATTCAAGAACAGGCCCCCGGCCTTCCTTGGCCTCTTTCGAGTACGTACGTAGTTACCTGACGGAGCAAGTCATCTGTCGTGCATCTTCTCGGTCTCCATGCATGGAATGCTTCTTTGCCCCTAGCCCACGCTTGCCGTCTGGCCGCATCAGCCAGTCGAACAGCCGGGCCTCCCGTTGTAATCGTAATTGACTCTCGGTCACGGATTCGCTGCTCCATACTCCGTATTCTACTCCGTACTCCGTACACCGTTCTCCATTCTCCGTTCTCCGTACCTCGTGCCTGCTTAAACCTTGGGCCGCGCTCCTTCCCCGTTGCTGTTGCTCTTGCGCTGACGTCAAATGGCAAGCACGGAGTAAGCAAGGCGAGCCTCAACTCTCAACCTCTCTGCCAAGTCTTCTTTGGGCTGAAACATTTGCCAGACCCTCCCTGACTGGCGCATGCGCTTGCCGGCCCCTTTGCCCCTGTCTGTTGGTTCGACGCGAGGAAACAATCGCCAGTCTCGGGGGAGCAGACGCTTTTGCCGTTGACAAACAACAAGGGGGTCGATTCTTCTCGCCCTGACCAGATATCAGGTGAAGCGCGCAAATCATGGAGTCGCAACGCAGCGCCGACCCTCAGTACCATGACATGGAACAGAACCCTCACGCTTCGTCCAGTAGATGGCGCCATCAAGAGTCTTCCGCGTACCGCCGCCACGCCGGAAGTGCTCACGGCCAAGCTCGCGATCCCGTCTCTGCTGAGACGACCACTGGCGACCTGGCCAACTTCTTGAACGCCTCGAGAGTCGGGCCCGCGGGCGACACCAATGGCGGCGGAAACTTTCGGCCCATTACTGTTGCCGCAGTGCAACCCAGCGAGCGGGAGGAAGCTGGTGGTGCTGGTGATGCTGATGGCGCTGGTGATGCCGGCCGCCGCCTTCCGCCAGACGGCAAGGAGATTGTTTGCGGGCCATTGCTAAACTACCGCCAAATGGAGCACAATCGCTGGTACGGCAGCGTGCTGATTGTCACGACGGGTGGTGGAAAGCGCATCCTGTATCAACCGTCTCTGGTGTTGCGCCGCGCCGACGACGCGGCGGCAACGTCTGCGCAAAACGGAGCAAACGCAACAAGCGCGACAAGACATCCCGACACTGCGGCCGCCTCGTCCAGCGGAACCCGGTTTGAAGCCAAGCGTCTCTATTCAGACCCGAGGAACACGTTCTGGGTGTTTGAGATTGACGTGCCGATCGAGGCGCGAGAAGTCAAGTACGAGTACGAGATTCCGGACGTGCGGTACTCCAGAGACCACAAGCCCCGAGTAAATAGCTTCTTCGTGCCAGCTGCCGACGAGTCCATGCGTGTCATGTTCCACTCGTGCAACGGCTTCAGCGTCGGCACCGACGAGGAGGCCTTTAGCGGTGCTCCCCTGTGGAGAGACGTGATGCGGAAGCACGCGCGTGCGCCGTTCCATGTCATGCTGGGCGGCGGTGATCAGATATACAATGACGGCATCAGGGTCAACGGTCCTCTTCGCCCGTGGACCGACATCCGCAACCCCAAGAAGCGCTCCGAATTTCCCTTCCCGGAGAGCCTGCGAGCCGAGTGCGACGACTACTACCTGAAGAACTACATTCGCTGGTGCAACTCGGCGCCTTTTGCTGTGGCCAATGGCCAGATTCCCCAGGTAAACATTTGGGATGATCACGACGTAAGACGTTTTGCCCGAGCTCCCGTCTCCCCAGCCCCCCCCAGGCTATGGCGGCTAACACTTGCTTGGTAGATTATCGACGGCTTTGGCTCGTACGTCGACAACTTCATGCGCTGTGACGTGTTTCGGGGAATTGGCGGCACGGCGCACAAATACTATTTACTGTTCCAGCACCACATACCGCCGCCGCCGTCGACTTACACGTCAGACCACGTCGATGCCAATGGCAATAGCCCAGGCCCAGATCCAAACCAGCTGGTCGACACTTTCGTTGCGGACCCAAGGCTCGGCACGCAGTACATTCGGGGTCCCAAGCCGGGTCCGTATGTCGCCGAGCACTCCCTCAACCTGTACACGCGGCTTGGAGCCCGCATGGCCATGTTGGGTATCGATGCTCGAACAGAGGTGAGTTGGAAGAGCAGGCGAAGGGGGGAACCCCGTCCTCGATCCCTTTGTGCGTGTGTGCATGTCAGTCTCACGAGTCACGCTAATCCTCGCGTAGCGGACTCGTCGTCAAGTCAACTACCCAGAGACGTACGCGGCCGTCTTCGACAGACTCCGGCGCGAACTCGGCGAAGCTGTCGGCTCGGGCCGTCCCATCAAGCATTTAATTCTCCTGCTGGGCATCCCCATTGCATATCCGGTACGTTGTCCATGATTTCGCACACCACGAAAATCAAAAAGGGCCAGTACAAGACGTAGCTGACGTGAAAGCACAGCGCCTCACCTGGCTAGAAAACATTCTTCGTAGCCCCATCATCGGACCTGTCAAGTTCCTGCATCGCCGGTTCGGCGTCGGCGGCGGCCTGTTCAATCAATTTGACGGTAGTGTCGATCTTCTCGATGACCTGGACGACCACTACACCGCAAAGACTCACAAGGTCGAGCGCAGAGACCTCGTCGAGGGCTTGCAACGGGTGTCTGCCGAATTCTCCGTCCGAATTACAATCCTCGGCGGGGACGTACATCTTGCGGCTCTCGGTCGTTTCTATTCCAACCCCGGGCTCAAGCTGCCGGTCGAAAAGGACAATCGATACATGGCCAACATTGTTTCGTCAGCAATCGTAAACAAGCCCCCTCCGCAGGCCGTAGCCAATCTCCTCGCCCGGCGGAACAAGATCCACCACCTCAACAGCCAGACGGACGAAACCCTGCTCGACTTCTTTGACAAGGACCCGGGGGAGACGAACAAGACGGCCGACCACAACCACTGCACCATGCCGAGCAGAAACTACGCCATGTTGACCGAGAACTCTCCCAACAATGTCCCAACAGATGCGAACGGCGAGATTCCCGAGGAACAATCTTTCATCGGCAAGAATGGCCACTCCGAGATGCATCGGGGCGAGGTCCATGCGGGAACCAAGCACAAGTCAGCATCTGACGCCCACGGCCGCGGCAACGACGGTAGTCTGGATATTCGCATCAATGTCGAGATTGACCAGCACAGCGCCGAGGGCCAAACAGAAGCGTATGGGCTGAGCGTCCCATTGCTGCACTACGAGAAGCCGCTCGCGACGCCAGGGGGGCCCGAGGCAGGCGGGAACCTGAGGTCGTGACGGGCACACGATCCTCGTTCACAACCGACGGACCCTTGCTCTCGGGCGACGACAGCTGCAGGTCTTGCATGACTAGGTCAGCGGGCTCATGGCTGCATATTTCGGGCTGGCACATTTGCGTTTCAAGATACGACGGCACAAATAGGACGGTAGCGCATGGTAATGCTGGATACGCGGCACGCGAGCTTGACGGGAGAGGCGGCCGCGTTGTGACATGACTGTAGTAACTAATATATATTTTCCTGCTCTGCAATAACTTGATGGCTCGTTATCGACTGCCGCGAGCGGTGACACCTCCGGAGGACACGAGACCTTGGAACGACTACTTCGTGCGGATTGTCGTTGCTGCTCGGAAACCCCATTGGGCAGCGCGGAGAGAGGACGTTGACGACTGGCAATTATGCCAATCTGCCGCCGATGCGTATGCTTCCCTGGGTCTCTTGTGCATGTCGGGCAGCGTTGCGATCAACCATTGACTGACGGCGTCATCGTGGCAACCCCCGACGTCGGGTGGTCGCACGAACGTGGTAAATTACTTGGGCCATCCTACTTGCATTCTGGAATATTCGAAGCCCGAGGAGAGAGCGCTTAGAATTCTCCGAATTTTCTCGAGTCCACAATGCCATTCGATGGCGTTGGAGAATCATCTTGTTCTCGCTGCTTGTGGCTGGCTATTCTTCGCTGCGCGCCAAGAAAAATGTTTAATAGCTTATCTCCAAGTGTCTGGGGTCCAAAGTGGATTGGCGGCTCTGTACGGTCCGAAGTCGGGACGTTTTCCCCACGGCTCCTTGACCAGTGACGTGCTCCCCCCAATTGTCCAATCAACGTCAACCGCTGGTGCTGCGTGGTTGGCAACCAGGAGGCCTGGAATGCGGCGGTCGTCTGGTTGATCTGGTCGTCGGCAGACGCTGAAGCCCAAGCTGCCCAACTGCCAGGGCTGGGGCTCCACTTTCCCAGCCCCCGCCCCCGCCGCCGCAGGGCAGGCAGGTTAAACCGCAATAAGCCGAGCCATCTCACTGAACAAAGATGTCTCCGAATTATGGACCGGTGTGGAACTCTGACCTTTGCGCCAGGTTGAGAAAAAAGTTGCCCTCCCCCTTGGCATCTAGGGCATTGCTTTTCGCTTTTCGTCCTTGAGCATCTTTGCTATTCGGTATTGAAATCGTACAGGACGTCATGAAGTCGGCCGTGTTTACCAGAGCTGGCGCTCAGAGCCTGCGCTCGGCGACCAGGGTCTCGCAGCGCATGAGCATGGGCACTCTCGCCACTTTCAAGACTCCCAAGGTGGCGAACGAGCCAAACGTGAGTTTCACTGCGATGAAGGCTGCAGGTTCGCGATGCTGACTTTATGGAAACCCTAGCACCACTACGCCAAGGGAAGCGCCCAGCGTCAGGCCCTGACTGATGCCATCGAGAGCTTCCAGAAAAAGGTGCCTATTGAGGTTCCTGTTGTTGTTGGTGGCAAGGAGGTAGGCTGCGTTTTTTCCTTTCTCGGGCTTCAACCGCAAAAGGGCAAGGTCGCTAATCCAAAGACGTTAGGTCAAGACTTCCACAGTATCTCATCAGCTAAACCCCTCGGATCACGCCAGCAGGGTGGCCAACTATCACACTGCCACTCCCGCCGATGTCAACAAGGCCATCGAGGCCGCTCTGGCCGCCAAGCCGGCATGGGAAGCCCTGCCCTTCTCCGACCGTGCGGCAGTCTTCCTCAAGGCTGCCGACCTCGTTGCCAACAAGTATCGCTATGAGATCATGGCCGCTACCGTCCTTGGCCAAGGTAAGAACGCATGGCAGGCCGAGATCGACGCCGCCGCGGAGCTGGCAGACTTCTTCCGCTTCAACGTTCACTACGCGCAGGAGCTTCTCTCCCAGCAGCCCGAGCACAACTCACCTGGCCTGTGGAACCGCCTCGAGTACCGGCCTCTGGAGGGTTTCGTCTACGCCGTCAGTCCCTTCAACTTCACTGCTATTGCCGGCAACCTGCCGGGCGCCCCGGCCCTCATGGGCAACGTTGTTGTGTGGAAGCCCAGCGACTTTGCCATTGCGTCCAACTGGCTCGTCTACCAGATCCTTCTCGAGGCTGGCCTGCCCAAGGACGTCATCCAGTTCGTCCCCGGTAACCCTGAGGAGATCACCAAGACCGTCCTCGCCCACAAGGACTTCACTGCTCTTCACTACACTGGCAGCACTGCCGTATTCCGCAAGCTGTACGGCGCCATTGGCCAGGGTGTTGCCGAAGGTCGTTACCGATCATACCCTCGAATTGTCGGCGAGACTGGTGGCAAGAACTTCCACTTGATTCACCCGTCTGCTGAAATTGACAATGCCGTCAAGCACACCATTCGGGGCGCCTTTGAATTCCAGGGCCAAAAGTGCAGCGCCACATCCCGACTCTACGTCCCCAGGTCGATCTGGCCCGAGTTCAAGCAGAAGCTCGCCGCAGAGGTTGACAAGATCAGCGTCGGCGAACCCTGGAACCACGCAAACTTCTGCGGCCCCGTCATCCACTCTGCCTCCTTCAAGAAGCTGTCCGGTGCCATCGACGAGGCCAAGACCGACAAGGAGCTCCGGCTTGTCGCCGGTGGCAAGTACGACTCGTCCAAGGGATATTACGTCCATCCAACCATCTTCGAGACCACCAACCCTGCCCACAAGTTCTTGTCTACTGAATTTTTCGGTCCCATCCTGACGGCCTACGCTTATGACGACTCCTCTCCCGACGCCTTTGGCAAGGCCTGCGAGCTTGTCGACTCCACCTCCGACTACGGCCTCACAGGCGCCGTGTTTGCCACCGATCGTCAAGCCATTCGCTTCGCCGAGGACAAGCTGCGCAACGCTGCCGGCAACTTCTATATCAACTGTAAAAGCACCGGTGCCGTCGTCGGCCAGCAAGCTTTCGGTGGTGCCCGTGCCTCGGGTACTGACGACAAAGCTGGCAGCTCCAACCTGCTCACCCGATTCGTCAACATTCGTGCTCTCAAGGAAGAGTTCAATGCTACCAACCAGGTCCCCTATCCCAGCAACGAGGTTTAAATCCGGCTGTGAGGTTTGTGTTACGGATTGCCGTTCAAGGTCAACGAAATCAACAGCGGCGACACAACTATTTAATGTGTAACAAGTGAGTCATGACGTGGAAGATAAAAAGTGGCCTTGGCCTGGAACAGCCGTTGGCAAAAAAAAAAAAAAGGGGCGAGAGAATTTTCATTCATGCATTGGATCCCCCAAGCACTCAAACTAGGATATATGTAGGCGCTGTGATGAGTTCGTAAGGTGGCAATCATCCCCCTTTTTCACTTCGATGTTGCATGGAGGTTTTGATGAAGCAGGTGTCAATTGAAATCCAGATACCCGTTTTGCCGTCCTTTGTGACTAGTCAGATGGACTCGAACGTGGTGTGTCAAGAGCTCGACGATTCGCACTTTAGGCTGAAACGGAAGAGGAATTCCGTTACCACGCCAGTCTTGGCTTATGCTGTCGAAACGACCCGATTACTATTCAGATTAGCCAGTGACAATGTATTCTTGCGCCATAAAGGTGTTTCCGCTCTCGCCTCTCGTATGCGGAATGACAGCCTCCTTTCTGGGTTGACTGTACGGATCTGGGTCAAAAGTTGACAGACAGTATTGGTTGTGTGGCATGACTCGATAGTCAACGGAGAGGGGATGAGGGCGTCCAATACAATTGGCTAGCACATGACGAATGTAGTAGCCGGCATGGCTCTTTCCCATCCATACGTTGTAGTTGCGGTCCAAAGGCTACCCTAAACGCATCTAAATGGGACGGCGGGGTCGTAACTACTACGGAACATCTACACCATCCAGCCCCAGCTGGCCCTCGGGTTTTCTTCTCGTCTCTTGCATTCAGGGAGCGGGAGCCTGCCAGGCCAATGGTGAACTTCCCACCCCATTTCAGAACAGTACGAGAAGGCTTCTATTTGTCGGACGGTGTCCTCAAATGTCCCATGTAGTGAGTGCGAGTACTACAGACAGCGCAGGATGTGTACAGGGCAACAATGACGCTGACGACAGCTGACTCGACCCGAGCTGGTTTGGCCCATCCAAAGTAGTTACTTAGGCATTGGTGTCGACTTCACGCAGAGCACGGACAAGACATCAATGTACTGGACATACGGAGTGGCGTGCATCCCCTTGCCGAGGCAGTGGACACACGGGGGCAGGATAAAGCGAAGCCAATAATTTATCAAGTGCATTTGTCATCTACCTTCTCGGGCCAAAAGAAGAAATGGCATTACGAAGATGCGGGGAATCATAATGAAAGATTTACTCTGGTGCGACGTCCGCAATTTTCCCAACCATATTCTTGGCAATTGAATGGTGCGACGCTTGGTTCGCAGAGTGTTCTGGGACAAGCCACAATGAAATACGAGCGACGGATTGACGCGTTCTACGAGGGCGTGGCCGCGACGGCTCGAAGAGGACGAGCAGGGGCTGAAGGCAAGCTCTTTCTGAACGCTCCTCTGGATCCCAACCCGGAGGGAGTTGATCGGGGTCTGCCATGGCGGTTTCTATTAGGCCAGGAACGACAAGACACCACAGGTCTTTGCAGCTCTTGGGATGAGCACGTGCTCGCTGAAGAGGACCTCACACGACATGCGCAGAGCCAACGCCACTTGAAGGTTTCGGGGCCCATTTTGGACTGATATGGATTTGCCGTGCTGTGGGATTTGCCGTGGCACACCACGACGTTGAGCTGGTTCCAATGGACCGACCAGTGGACGTTGGCGGCCTGTGTCTGTGTCCTGTGTGGAGTTTACGACATTCTCGACCCGACTTGGTACCGCAGTAACTATCATGTACTCCGTACAATGAATATGATACTACTCCGTACTCCGTACTACTCTGCTCTTCCTACCGTACGCCGCCGTGTGACAATCTGCACCAGCGCCGGGGACCCTGACCCAAGCGGCCAGGCTCGCCCATCCCCATGAACGTGGAAGACACATGGGCGTATGCGCCACTCTGATTGGCCAGATCTCATCTACAAACTCAGCGAGCACGCGACCAATTTCTCGATGATGCTTGGTCAATCCAATGGTCTTGGATGGTACCCCGTGGCCGGCCATTTACTGCCCTTCCGAGTCTTGCCTACGGGCCCGAGAAATGGGGTGGGATATGGGCCTCGAGACTCTCGCCCAGTCGGTCAACGCAGGTGCGTCTTCTATAGAAGCCGAAGGATGTAGCTCTTGTGCATGTGCCTCCTCGTTTGGTCTACTGGAGCGTCCTTTTTCCTTTATCTTCATTTTCTCTTTTGTCTCGTGCCCAGCTTCCTCGTCTTGCTTGGAAAATCTTGCTCTCTCATTCTTGAAGAACCCATCTTCTCTCCCTCCCTCCCTTTCCCCCTCTGCCCAACCGCCCCGATCCCGTTCTTGGGATTGTTCGTCGGAAACCCTACCTGGGGCTCTTGGTAGTGAAACGCTTTTCGTGGCCGAATCTCCGGATCGTCCGTCTTGGGTCGTCTTCGAACAACAGTCCCGTCCCTGTCGGGTCAGCCTCTCGCCACTTACACGACCGTGACCGGGTGTTGCTAGACAACAACCTTGACCACCGTCTCCTTGGCTTGCCGAGGAACCAGGCAAACACGAAAGCGAGAAATTGGTTGAAACAGATACATCAAAAGCATACGTTGTAGGAGACGTGATTTGGTTACCAAACAAGTTGGAAATACTCATTATCGTGGACATTGGAGAGCGAAACCCGTGTGCCGAGCTGGCCACCACGACCTCCCGAGTCGCCCGGACTCCCACAGAGCAGCAGTCTTGACCGGCGGCTGGACCTGACGCCTCGTACATACACGCGGAACACACCGTATCAAATCACGCTTTTGCGCAGCTTGCTCTCGGTACTTGCCCGACCTGGGTCCGCCATCTAGCCCGCCAGCCGCAGACTCCCAGGAGGGCGAAGGTTGGCTGGCCGCATCAACAACGGTCAATGTTCATGTTACCGCTCATATAAGAAAGCTCCCGCGACTCAGCCAATGCCTCGGCCGGCCCTCCCGCCAACCCCTGGCTCCTCCACCGACATCAAGGGACAAGACGGCGTTCAGCATCTCTCATCGATTCAGATTCCCTTTGAGCTGCCTCCGCCTGCAATTCATGATGCTTCACGCACTTCTTGCACCGAATCCAAGCACGCCTCGCCTTCTCGGACAACGACTTGTCCAGCCACGCTAACTTCATCTCCTCGACGAACTGTATATCCGCCACAGGCCGCCGAGACGGTCAAGTCTCGCCGTCGACCGTCCGCCGCCAAGGACACCAAGGACAATTCCTCATTTGCTCTCCCGCCCCCACCCACCAGATCACGAAAGATCATCCAAATGAAGCCTCGCGCGCAGGAGGAGGCCGCGGCTGAAGCCTCACCGACACTAGACTCTGGCAAGGCCGGAGGCAAGCCATCGGCCGGAGCGGCAAAGGCGGCAGCTAGCAAGAACAATGCCACGAAGAAGCAGCTGAGCGCCACGAGTGCCGCCGGACGCAAGATTGCCAGGAAGACTGCTCACAGTCTGATTGAAAGACGACGGCGCAGCAAGATGAATGAGGAGTTTGCCGTCCTCAAGAGCATGATTCCTGCTTGTACGGGCGAAATGCACAAGCTCGCCATTCTCCAGGTGAGTCTACGCATACATATGCCACCCCCCTCTCCTCCGGCCAACAAGGCTCATGAGCCGTTGCCACGGTAGTACGAGCGTAGTCATGCTAACCAACTACTCCGTAGGCCTCGATTGATTATGTCAGATACCTTGAGGAGTGTGTCGCCAAACTCAAGGCGCAGCATGGGCAGAAGGGCAGGGAAGAGGCTGCACGCGGCTCGCTGCCCTCGATCCGTGACTTTCACCCGACCTTTCGACGAGACCCCTCCGGCGATGTGGACATGTCCGACTCGGACACGGCGTCGCCTCTTTTCGCAGGCCAGACTGACGCCACACGCCTGTCAATTTCGCCGGGCCTACAGCCAGACGATGCTCGTCGCCGACAGCATTCATACTCGTCCGTGTCTACCGACCAACGACACTACTGCTTCAGCACATCAGCCGTGGCCTCTCCTGCATTTGGACCCCAGCGGCACCGTCTCTACTCGCAAAGCAGCGCACCTGGGTCGACGCTCACAAGCCCGGCCCTGAAGCCGCAGTCCGATCTTGACCAGGAAGCCTCCGCGGCGCTGTTGATGTTGAATAATGACAGGCGTGGCACCGATCCCGCTCCTAATTCCCGCGGTTTGTCTGTTCGAGATCTGCTCAGCACTTGAAGAAAAAGTTTTGTTACTTGCCTCGAGCCACGCACAACGTCTGAAAAACAAAAGCATGATCGAATAGACCATTAATGCACTATCCTTTCTCATTGTTATTTTACGCGAATGAGTCGAAACGAAGATGAACACTGTCTGCCTCGATGTACATGATACCTTTTCTCTTTTCTCTTCTCGCTCCTTTTTCTATATGCTACGGAGCGACGATACCGGAGAGGCGGCGGGTTGTAGGGCTGGCTTTGGTGGTCTCTTGGTTTTTAGATACGAACTGCCTTGCCCTTTCACGTTTCTCTAAGCCATATTTTCGTTGAGCAAGTTTTTGCTTTATTCTTTCCTTTTCTTTCTTTGCGAACAATCTTGTCTTGATATTTTACAGCATGCACGGCCGAAGGAATAAAAAAGGAACAGGACCGCAGCAACTTGTGCGACTTCGTAACTAGCGTTCACAATGCATGATACGCTTTGATGCACTCTGACACGATCCGACAAGCCATAATTGTGAGCTTCAAGTTAATGATGCATGGGTATCTAGTACTATTTAGAAACGCAACCACAGCCCCCTAGCTCCGTCGTCCGTCTCAACAAAGGCAACACTCTTTCTCTCTTGTGATGGGACCCTTGGTGACTTGAGATGACGACTCAGCAACGCTTTCTGCAAGGCTCATCAGTGAGCTTTCAGGCCTTGTGCCGCTCCGTGCCAGCAATATCCTGCTGAGCATCCTTTAACAAGAAACTATTTGCAGACATTTAGCTCACAGGTCAAGCCATCGAGACATGGGGACACCTGCGCAACTTACTTGTACCACAGGACAGTAGGGCCAATCGTCAGCAGATGCCACAGACTATGGGCATCAATACACCCCAGCCAGGGTGGGAAGTCAAACAGCTCCATGCTCATGGCAAACATTACCCAAGCGACAACTACGCCGGGCACCATGGACCACAAGCTCCCAGACTTTTTGAAGCTCGTCACACTGAACCAGCTCCACAGGATATTCTGCACGATGCCAGCCGCAACATTGGCGGCCATGTTGTACGCGTAGTCCCAGCGCACGCCCTTCAAGTACGCGACGTGGAATACATATAGCATTATGCACAGCAGCGTCCACACGCGGAGGGCGGATCGTCGACGTGGCGAGGGCCGGTCGATTCGGAAGATGCGAATGGGCGTGTAGTACAGCCCGTAGAGGACGCTTGCGCCTGCGGCAAAGTAGTCCAATTCTTCTGTGAGCTGAAAGTCACGCGTGTGGAAAATGGCGCTAAAGACCCAGCTGGCGATTCCGACTTGAGCTAGCATCACGTAGAACGGACGCAGGCTGTATGTCGCTGGGATTCGGGCGCGGACCTTGGCAAGGCCATGCCAGTGGGCATAGAGGTTGCCGAGGGAGAAGAGCACCGAGAAGGGCTCCTGCATCCCGAGGAACCGGTAGAAGGGCCATTTGCCGTGGAACTGGACGATGGGATCGCCAGCGGCGACCCGCTGGGCCGTGACGATGTGCTGGCAGGTATAGTCGCATTCAGAGGCGCAGTTCCAGAGCAGGAGGCGACGGTGGGCGGCTTTTCCTTGACAGTTAGCCAGGCGCACCGGTTCGACAGGTCAACTGCGCTTCGGGGACGTACGGATGGGAGTGTGACCCTTGCCGGGACCGCAGTTTTCGGTCTTGCAGACCTGCCATCGGTTAGCTTCAGAACGGGGAGGATCACGACGGGTGACGTGCCTCGAGGCAGTCCCTGAATGCGGGCGAGCGATCTCCAACGGAAGCGTGCGAGACGCCAGAGAAGATGACGAAGAGGAGGCACAGGGAGTACAAGGATGGGGTGGTCCCCCATGGCCGCCTCCCACCGGGTGCCATTACAAAAGCATCGATGGGGGGTAGACGGAAAGGAAAAAGCGACGAGGCGAGAGCCCAGCAGCTGGAAAAGGAGGTGTTGGGGTTGGGGGAGACGCGGAAGACTTGTGTCACGGTGTCGAACGGAGATGGGACATGTCCTGCACTTGGCAGGGGCCAGATTGGCGGAGGCCAGAAGAAGACGGAAGACGGACGGCAAAGGCACTCGCTCACTGGTGTGCTGAGTGGGGAGTCCGGGGCGTGTATTCTGTAAAAGACGTGGTGCTCGAATTTTCGTCTCTTCTGAGAGAGTCATACGCGATGTTTTTTCACCACGTTGAATGGCTCCATCTGCTTACCTACTGCGAGCAGGTACCCAGGTACTCCGTACCTACGCGGCATTGGTCTGGGACAAGTCCTCTCCTTACCGGGTCATGCCCTGCCTGCCACGCCATGTGCCGACCTCAGGACCTCCTTTATTTTCCGTCGATGAACAGCCGCCATGACGGTTCAACACGTTACACAATACACAATGCAGAGTCATTGCGACTCATGTCACCAAACTTGCCATTGCCTGGCAAACTGGGTCTTTGGTTCCTGGGCCACAGCGAGCCATATTCGGATTGCCCCACCCCGCCATTGGTTGCCGTGGGCAACCTCCGGCTTTGTGATTGGCCACTCTCCATATTCTTCAAAATATCACACCGACAGGTTTGTCGTCCCTCTCTGTTGTCGATGCCGATCCAAGCGACGCGACAACATCAACTAAAATATTTCTCGCGGCACGTGTGCGAGCCAGGGCCATGGGAGATCCCGACACGTAAAGAAACCCTGAAATCTCGACCGTTGCCGCCAATCGACTTCCAAAATCTACCGCTGCATTCTCAGAGTATACGCACTATCAACCCACGCGTTCTCCAATGGCGACCGCATCGCCGACCCCAATGGCCGCCGCCGGTGCCGTCCGGAGAACATCACAACGCCAGGCCTTGAGGCGTCCTGCCTCGCGACAGATGGTAAGCAGGAGCGAGAGTCAAGCCGCCGCCGGCGCCGCCGGCGCCGTGACACCCGCAGCAAGCCAATCACCACATCAGCAGCAATTTCACGACGACAGTTCAGAGGATGAGATCCCCGTGCCTATGAAGCTCAGCGCTCTCACCAAAGCTCTTCTCAACGATGACGCCCCGGAACCTGCCAACAAGGGAGCCTCGCCGCCGCGTACCAGACGACGAACCAGTGCGTTGAACGACAACAACAACAACAACAACAACGACAATTTGGCGTCGGCCGGTGTTGTCGCAGCCGCCTCCCAGGATAGACGACATCTACGATCCGGAGGTGTACAGCCTCCGGATGACAAGGCCGCAAAGGCAGCCGACACGAGCCAAAATCAAGAGGCTAGCCCCGTTAGGAAGAGGGTCGTACGTCTGGGCAGCAACCCGCACAGCCTGAACCAGATGGGACCGGGCAAGAGACGGTCTACTTCCATGTCTCGCTCTATGGGACAAAAGCCAGCCGCCTCACTGCCCAGCCGGACAGGCAATCACCATGAAAAGCCCGCGGCGGCGGCGGCGGAGGAGGAGGAGGAGCCAGGACTGCAGCCAGAGCCGCGACCAGAGGTCAACACCCCGTCACATCCTGAACGGGTCGTGCGGATTGCCGGCGGCTCCTCGGCCAACCAAAGCCGGGTCGGTTCCTCTGGGCCCTCATCCGGACGCTCCAAGTTTGACCGTTCTGTGGCCGACAGATCGCACCTGGAAGCCGAGTACGACCGGTCAGAAGCAGCCGAGAGCGCGCTGCGAAATTCCGGAGGCGGCGGAAGCGCGTCGCGATACCCCTCGACGCGGAGCCGTGCCGACGATGTCAACCTGCAGAGCTCCATGCGAGTCAAGCGAGTCGGCAAGCTGTCAGGAAGCTTCTTGAGCGGACCGGCCAGGAGAGGCAGACGGCGCCAGAGCGACGAGGAGGGCGAGGGCCACGGAGACGGAGAAGTTGCCGCCCCCAGCCACGAAGCTGAGCACGGCGTCCAGCCGGCGGACGAGGTGCCCGGGTCGTCAATCTACCACGAAGCAGAAAATCGGGACTTCAACTCGGGAAGCCCCGTCAGCGGGAGTGCCGCCGCCGCCGCCGCCGCCGCTGCCCGAGCCAGTCATAGGAGGCAGGCTTCCGGCATCGAGTTGCCCGACCTTCGCTCGTCGAGGCGCTCCTCTCGCGGGGTTCAGTTTGAGGCCCAACGGGTTGACCACATTACCGTGCCGGAAGCGATGCTCCCCAAGCGTATCGAGATCCCGTCCACAAACGACCAGGAAAATGAGTATCCCATCACCTTCAAGAGGCCAGTCAAGGTGGCCGCCGACGCGGGCGCAGAGAAGCCCAGTATCCGGCCGCTGCACGTGCACGTCGGCCTTGAAAACGCCAAAGCAGCATCGCCCGAGCGGAAACCTTTGGCTTCCATTGCAAACAACACACCACACCGGTCCGCCCACCCGCCGCCGCCGCCGCCGCCGCCCAAGATGTCCGTCTTGGAGGCGGCCACGTCGACGGCCGGCGCGGCCACAACGACCCAGGCTAGGCAGCGTCGAAACGTGCTCCGAGTCAATGGGAAATGTTACACCAGGCTCGAGTGCCTCGGCCGAGGCGGCAGCGCCAAGGTGTATCGGGTGACGGCCGAAAACGGCAAAATGTTTGCCCTCAAGCGAGTGTCTCTGGAGAATGCCGACGACAACACCATCAAGGGTTACAGAGGCGAGATTGACCTTTTGGGCAAGCTCAAGGGCGTTGATCGCGTCATTGATTTGTACGACCATGAACTGAACTCGGAGAAACAAGTTCTTACATTGGTATGTGGCTAGACTTGGCGGAGAAACTCGTCGAGCTTTGCTAACCGTTTCCCCCCCCCCCCCCCTCCAAACTCCTCACGTCTCGACAAAATTCCGAGACGGCCAGGTTCGATCCCGTCTTTGTGCGGTTCTACTGGAAAGAGATGCTCGAGTGTCTGCAATCAGTGCACCAGTACGAGATCGTTCACTCGGACCTGAAACCAGCCAACTTTGTCCTTGTCCAGGGCCGCTTAAAACTCATCGACTTTGGCATAGCCAACGCCATCCAGACCGAGGAGACTGTCAACGTCCATCGCGAGACCCAAGTCGGAACACCCAGCTACATGTCGCCCGAGTCGCTCATGGACGCCAACAACCCTCGTGGAGGCCGCGTTCCGGGCCGCCCCAAGCTCGTCAAGCTCGGCAAACCCAGTGACATTTGGTCCCTGGGCTGCATCCTGTATCAAATGGTCTATGGCGTCCCGCCGTTTGGACACATCGCCAACCAAATGGCCCGGTGCCAGGCCATTATCAACTGGGACCACGTCATTGAGTTTCCCTCGCGAGCAACGGGAGGCGTCCCCGTGCCGCCGTCGCTGCTGCGTACGATGAAGCGCTGCCTCAACCGGGATCACCACATGCGCCCTACCTGCGAGGAGCTCCTCCACGCCTCGGACCCCTTCCTTTACCCTGCCGAGTTTAATGAAAAGGCCCTCCCCATTGACGAGGAACTGCTTGGTAGAATCATTCAGAGCGTCGTCACCCGCTGTCGCGAACGAATGCCGACCGAGTCGGAGGGCGCAAGTGTCTGGCCGCAAGCGTATTGGACAAGTATCCGGAAGGCAATGGCCGGGAGGATGTAGACTTTGTCGTTCACCATGCCTCTTTGTCTATTTGATGTCGAAGAAAACAGGGGTGCGGGGCGTGGGGATCTTTTCTTCCTTTTTTTCTTTTCCTTTTCCTTTTCTTTTCCTTTTCTTTCTACCTGTGAATAAACAGACTTGGAAATCAGGCGGGCATAGCTTGGTGTTTTGGAGTCTTGCTTCATGTCTTTCGTTTGGCCAAGGGCTATTTGTTGGTTATCTGGGGGGGGTTGCGACAGGCATGGAGTAGCGTTCAGAATCTCCTCATGTGAGACTTGTTGTTGTTGTTTTTGGGCATTCCAGATATCCAAGTTGCATGGTTTTGTGTCGAGCGGCGAGAATGTATCACAGTTGACCAGACCATATCATTGAGGCGTCGTTGTGCTTGATGAAATGGGTATTATTATACAGCCAGTAGCCCCGCTGATATTGATATACGTTGTTGCATACCGGTACACAGAATCTCCTTGCTTGCCTTCCCGCCTCTCCCTCCGCCTTCCTCCCACCCCGCTCCCGTGGGCTACTCTGGGTCTTGGTCTTGTTCGAAATTTTTAATAGTCAGCTCCGAGACGCGCAGGATGGTGTATCGGTGCTTGCTCTTGGCCTGTCTCATTCGCCTCTGTCTCCGCTTCTTCTTGATCTTGATGCGCAGCGGTTCCGATTCGACGCCCAGCACTGTCGCGCGGCACTCGAAGACGCGCTCGTCGATGTGCGGGGCCCCCTTCATCGTGGAGTCGCGGCTGCCTATCACGCTGGCTCTGTTGAGACGGAGCACGTCGCCCGGAAGCACGCCTGGCATGCGGAACGGGAGCCGGATCCGGTCGCCCTCCTGGACCAGGTAGGGGAAGCCGTGGATGTGGACGGTGATGTAGTGGCCTGGCTGTGCTGCGAGCAAGGGGAGCAGGTTCCTGACCGAGTCTTGGATGGGGGCCGGCGGCGCCGCTGGGTGGCTCTTCTTGAAGGCTAGGGGACGGACCTGGTCGTCTGTCGGGTTGGGGGCGTTGTTGACGTGCCGCCGGTTTGGCGGCTCGATGATGGGCGGCGTGCTGTTGAATGCCCGGCTGCGTATGGGCAAGGCCAGCAGCGCCGCCGCGGACCGGGAGGCTGATGCTGGCGCGTGGGGCGCCCGGAGCTCCCGGACGGGGCGGAAGAGCGCTCTGCTCATGGTGACGCTGCGGATGGCTCTATCTTGGGTTCAAGACAGCTGCGGGCTGTCCCACGACCACCAAGTCCCTGCGTTGCGGTCGTGGTCGTGGTCGTGGACCCGAGCATGGCGCCAAAAATGTAAAATGTTGGTGAGAGCTTTGGTCGGAGAAGCGTTGTGCCGGGCTCCGCCTGCTGCCCGCCATTTCTGTTTCGCGGTCGGCCGAAATTTCACCTTGGCTCCACACGCCATTTCGACAACACACGGTCAAGACTCAAAAGTCGCAGAGTCGGGCGACGCAGTCATCATGGTAGGTCTCGTCCCTCGACTCCCGTCATCGAAATGGGCAATGGGAATGTCGTCTGATAGTCTCTGCAGCCTCAGAATGAGTACATGGAAAGGTGGCGTAAGCTGCACGGCCGGCGCCTGGACCACGAAGAACGAAGGCGAAAGAGAGCCGCCCGTGAGGGCCACAAGGCTTCCCAGGATGCGCAGAACCTGCGTGGTCTGCGGGCCAAGCTGCATCAGCAGAAGCGTCACAAGGAGAAGATTCAGATGAAGAAGGCGATCAAGGCACATGAGGAGAGAAACGTCAAGACTGCCGACGAAAAGGAGCCCGCAACCCCCATGCCCTCGTACCTTCTTGACAGGACGAACCCGTCGACGGCCAAGGCCCTCAGCAGCGCCATCAAGAACAAGCGAGCGGAAAAGGCAGCCAAGTTTAGCGTTCCCCTGCCCAAGGTCCGCGGCATCAGCGAGGAGGAAATGTTCAAGGTGGTCAAGACCGGCAAGAAGATCCAGAAGAAGGGCTGGAAGCGCATGGTCACGAAGCCTACGTTTGTCGGACAGGACTTTACGCGAAGAAACCCCAAATACGAGCGATTTATACGTCCCCTGGGGCTTCGTTACAAAAAAGCCAACGTCACGCACCCCGAGCTGGGTGTCACGGTGCAGCTGCCCATCATCAGCGTCAAGAAGAACCCGCAAAACCCTCTGTATACGCAGCTGGGCGTTTTGACAAAGGGAACCGTCATCGAGGTCAACGTGAGCGAATTGGGCTTGGTGACGGCTGGCGGAAAGGTTGTGTGGGGTCGATACGCGCAGGTGACGAACAACCCCGAGAACGAGGGCTGCATCAACAGCGTGTTGCTCGTCTAAGGTCCAGCCAGGTATAGCATGGCATGGAGAGGGGACTGGGAGACTTCAGGATGCCTCTGCGGTACAAGTTTCCACATGTCAGTTTTGCCTTGGTTGCATGTAACGGCGTTGGGGGCGTTTTCTGGGACCAGAGAGGTGAAAACATGAAGAAGCGACGCGCGTGGTATGCATACCCAATGCAATGCAGTGGCGTGCGTTGCGCAGGCTCGAATACATGGCCACTGACGTTCTGTGATGACAATGAGTGCCTTTGCTGAGATTGTGAATCCATGTACAAAAAACGCGTAGTTACTTGCAGAGACAAAGTTACTCTGTGATGCAGGCATGTACCACGCCAGACCCGTTGTGCAGGTCTCTTTTCGCTTGGTGAATACGTAAATACGACAAGTGGATGGCCACTTTTGATATCTGTGGTGTTGATGCGGGATGCGACGTCGTTTTTCATGCTTCTCGACTCCTCGGTCAGCCAGATGTGCAACTATTTGTCTGGTGCCGACGTCAATCAATCAATTGACGCAGCGCCAAGACGGGGTGGCGGTGGCGTGCGGGCCGTTCAAATGTGAGGGAGTACGGAGTACGGAGTACCAGACACCAGACACCAGACTAGCTCGTCAGGGCGGTGGCCCGATAAATTATTTTTCTGCCCGACAAAACCTGCAGTCGCCCGTCCGTCGTCTGTAGCGCGTCTTCCTTGCGGCCAGCGACCCAACGGCGTCTCACTTCACCTCGTGCCGCAACTCCCGGCGCCTCGGAATTTCTCCCTATCTCATTTCTGCCGGAATTCTGCATCCGTAAGGGGTGTTTACGGCCACAATGACTGGCGACAAGATGGACGTTGAGATTGCCGAGCAGCGCATGAAGTCGCTCGAGCACAGCGAGCAGCACTACTTTAAGAGGTTGGTTGTGCCACCATATCCTGTCGGTGTAACGATTCGCAATGGAACGGGGGGAAAAGACAAAGTGCACGCCTTGCTAATTGATCCGCGTCCCCAGCTACGACCACCATGGTATGATTTTCCCGCCGCCCGTTCGATGCCGTGCAATTCCACGGCACCATTGCTGACGGACATTTTGCCCTGAGCAAAAAGGCATCCACGAGGAAATGCTGGTGAGCCCATGGCTGCCCCTCCCCCGCCGCCGCGCCAGACCGCACCAGACCCTGCGCGGAAGGTGCAGGCGAGCATGTAGTGTACTTGCTGTATGGGCATGTGCATGACTGACCAGTTTCCCTTTCGAACCTGCTCCTAGAAAGATGAGGTCCGCACCCGATCCTACATGAATGCCATTATGCAAAACAAGCACCTGTTCAAGGACAAGGTTGTTCTCGATGTCGGCTGTGGCACCGCCATCTTGTCCATGTATGTTTGACCGGCTTCATTCTTCATTCACCCTTGCGACTGGGGAGACTAGATGGAGGAACCGCTGCCGCCGCCGCGCCCTGCCTCTCCCTCCTCACCTGTACCACAATGCACCGCCTGCGACGTGACCTCGAATACGGACGCCCTTTTTTCTTCTCCCCTTTCTTTGTTTGTCTGTTTGCAATCGAGACTCACCCTGTGCCAGGTTTGCTGCCAAGGCTGGTGCCAAGCACGTCGTCGGCGTCGACATGTCGTCCATCATCTTCAAGGCCCGCGAGATTGTAAAGGCCAACGGCCTGTCCGACAAAATCACCCTTATTCAGGGCAAGATGGAGGAAATCGAGATGCCCTACCCCAAGGTCGACATCATCATTTCCGAGTGGATGGGCTACTTCTTGTTGTACGAGAGCATGTTGGATACCGTACTGTATGCTCGCGACACCTATCTCGACAGGGACGGCCTCATCTTCCCCGACAAGGCCACCATCTTCTTTGCCGGCATCGAAGACGGCGAATACAAGGAAGAGAAGATTGGATGTATGTTTTGAATGTTTTCACCTCGTCCCCCTCTCTCCCTCTCCCCTGGCCCCGCCCGCCCTGCCAACTGACCAACAATCCTCTCTAGTTTGGGACAATGTCTACGGCTTCGACTACACGCCGCTCAAGGAGACCGCCCTCTCCGAGCCCCTCGTTGACACCGTCGAGCTAAAGACTGTCGTCACCGACCCGACACCCGTCCTCACCCTCGACCTCTACACCTGTACCGTCGCCGACCTCGCCTTTGCCACGCCCTTCAAGCTCTCCATCAAGCGCGACGACTTCATCCACGCCCTCGTGTCCTGGTTCGACATCGACTTCACCGCCTGTCACAAGCCCATCCGCTTCTCTACCGGCCCCCACACCAAATATACCCACTGGAAACAGACAGTCTTCTACTTCAAGGACGTGCTTACTGTCCAGGACGGCGAGCAGATTTCGTGCAAGCTCCAGGTCAAACCCAACGCCAAGAACCGCCGTGACCTGGACATTGACATCCAGTACGAGTTCCAGCCGGAGGACTCTACCCGGTCATCGTCTGGAGATTGCTCGTTCCACATGTGCTAAGCATGTACGACTCTAATCTAATGGTGGTGGAAGAACACAAATTGATATGGCCTCACAAACGCTTGCGTGGCTGGAGACACATGGTATGTAGAATCTACTACATGAGACACGGTCTGGGAAAAGAGAAAAAAGGGACGCAAAAACATGTAGACGGGAGCTGGACGGCGTATTTTCTGTTTTCTACACTCCTAAGCTTTTGCTCGCCGGCCTTAGTCCAGTCGGCTTAGATAGACGTGACAATGGTGTGCATTGGCATCGGATGTCCATCCTCCGCTCGAAGCCATTCTTCAATGTCAAGAAAAGAGAATTACATCTCTCCATTCACGATATGCTACGGCTACTTGGCCAATGTTGCTTCTCATCACATCAAATGTCGCTCTGCGTGTCAGCACCGGTTTTTTCTCCCCCACTCGGGAATGCTCTCTCGTTTCCTTTCATCCATGTCATCATCATGTCATTCGTCCCATTGTCGCAACTAGACACACTACGATCCGAATTGCTTTACAATCTGAGCGACCTTGTTTGCAAGTTCTTCTGCCTCGGAGCGGGTCGCCGCCTCCGCATACACTCGGCATGCATTTTCGGTGCCGCTGGCACGAGCAAACGAGCGTGCGGATGCGTACTTTAGAACAACATTGTCAATCTCATCTTGGGCACCAGGTGGGTGGCTAAGACGCCGCTCGGCATCCGTCGCATGGAAGAGATCCTTGTTGCCAACCTCGACACGAACCAGGCGGTTGGGCAGGTCGGTGTAGGTCATGGCCCAGTCCTTGAGGGTCCAGCCCTTGTGAGCCAGGACGACTTCGACCATGAGCATGTCAGAAATGGCGTCTCCAACAGTCTGGTTGATCAAGTCTCCGACAGCGGCGAGTGTGTCGAGGGCGTCCTTTTGGGCGGGAGACTGAGGCTCCTTTTCCTTAAAGGTGCGCATGGCCTCCTGGGAGAAGACGACGGTGCCGTGGCCGTTGGCCTCGAAGTAGACGCCAACGTCGAATTGGCATGCCGCGTGGTGCAGATGCTTGACGCCGGTGGGTGTGAAGACGACGGGAAGCTGCAGGTGCTTCTCAATGTAGTTGGTGCTGGCGCCGTTGGCATAGGCCGTCTGCACGACCCCGATACGCAGCTCGCCCTCGAGGCCGGCGGAGCGGATGAGGTCGCCAATGAAGGAGGCGCAGAGAGAGGAGATGCGGTCGCCATCCAGCATGACGAAGCCGGTATCTGGGTCGATCCAGTGGTAAATCAGGCGGTCAGCGTCGCCATCCAAGGAGCAGCAACGGGCTCCGGGGACGGGCTTCGGGGTTTGGGGAGCTCTCTGTTTTGTCTTGACATAGTCGGCGCCGCACTGTGAGGGCAAGAAAAGGTGATTAGCAGAGCTGGCAGCAGACAGGTCACACAGCAGAGACAGCTTTGGGCAAACCAAGACTTGACACATACGTCAAGGTTGAGAAGCTCGGGCCGTAGAACATCGTCATTGACCACCTTGACGTTGAAGCCGGTCTTGTCCTTGGGGATGAACTTGAGCATCTCGGAGAACTTGGGTCCACCGACGCCGTTGGCACAGTCTACAGTCAGCTGGCCGTTGATCTTTCTACCGCGCAGGGCACGGACAAAGGCGTCGGAGAACTTTTTGTAGTAGCCGCCCTCGCTGGGCTCGCCATAGGCTTTGGGGGTGCCTTCGGTGTTGACACAGCGGGTCAAGTAGTGCAGCTGGGGAGTGGTCAGGATCTTGTAGTCGGTGTATTCGGTGGCTGTAGCTTCCAGGGCGGCGGCCAAGGCAGAGACCAGGCCGTGGCCGGAAGGTCGAGTGTCCCGGCCGTAGACGACGCGGCCGGGGCTGCTCAGGTCGATCTTGAGCTGGGCAGCGAGGGCCTTGAAGGCGTTAAGAAGGTCTCGGTGGGTAGGACAGTTGACCAGGTGGGTAGCGTAGGCCTCCCAGTCCTGCTCGAGCATTTCGCCCATGGGGTCGACAATCTTGACGCCGTTGTCGGCAGCTGGGTTGTGACTGGCCGTGATCATGACGCCGATGGCTTGACCATTGAGCTTGCGGCTGCGCAGGCCAGCGAGCAGTCCAACACGAAACGAGACGGGCGGCAACAAATCAGCCTTCATTCGAAAGCCGGCGGTGCCATACTTGTAGGCGTGGCCGGAAACTATGGGGTATTTGGCCGAGGCGTCGAGGATCTTGTCGTCCATGATGGCGAGGTGTCTGCAGCATGTAAGTTGGAGTACGTGTCGACAATGGAGAGACAATGGAGAAGATCGAAAAATAGAGAGACCGAGGGGATGTGAGTGAGAGGATCGTTGTTGTCTTGGGGAGCCGGCGGGGAAGGGGAGACGTTTGCGGCCTTTGTTTCACTTTTACTCATTCATGCATTGATTGATTGCTCCGATGAAGGTCTTGGGAAGGCGAGCCTCTGTAACAGGAATGTGTGTCAACTGTCAACAGTTGGGGGATGGGCGTACCTTGGAGCAACAGAGCGGAGGGGATTGTCGTGGAAGCAGCGTGGGAAGTGAAGAGGATGGATGATGGTGGTTCGGGATGCAAGCGTCTTTTATTCAGAGAGGCGGGGTGGCTTTGGCTTGCTTGCTTGCTCTTTCTTCTTTGGTGGGGGACGCGGCAGTCGGCCGTCTCAAAGACGCAGAACAATGGCAGCAGCACTGCGTACTGCGTACCGCGTCCTCGTCGATGCTCGGGGCGGCGGGTGGAGATCAAGAGAAAAGGTAAGCCAAGCCAGCTCGAATAATAGAATAAGCTCGGCGAGGTTGAACATGGAGGGCGAGAGGGAGAGGGAGAGGGAGCTGGAGCAACGCCTTGGCCCTTGACGTCGAGCAGCGAGCCCACAAGCTACAAAGTTCAAACCACACACAGTCAGTCCACTCCACACACAACCCACGGCCCACGACCTGTGATGGATGTAGTTTCAGGCTTCCAAGTAGTTTCTAGTCTCTTATTCCTTAGTCGCAGGTCAGCCCAGGGCGAGGAGAAGGGAGTGAGGAGGTGATTGACCCCGCCAAACACAAGGTGGAGAAGGTGGCATCGGATGGCAAGCTGCCTCCAGCTACGTACTGGGAACCTGATGCTTGGGTGTGTAGGCACCGGAGTGGCCAGGTGCCGAGTACTTGGGTAATCCCGATGTACGGACAAACGGCCTCGTGGCTGTCAACTGTGTCCGGACCCCCGCGCGCCAATGGGCATCGGCGGTGTCGTCATCGTGGACTTTGTCAATGCGGCCCACCAGGCCACGTGCCTTCGCGCCTGCCGGCGTCTACAGACGGAAGGACTCGACGCGATGGGGACCTCTGAGACGCGGTTGTCTTGTCAACATTTTGCTTGACCACATCGTCTGGCCTTCAAGCCGACTCGTGCTGCCTCTTTTTGGTTTGATCCGTCTCTCCCTCTTCTCCTTCCCTCTTGAGATCTATTTTTATTTCTATTTCTATTTTTTTTTGGAGGGGAGCAAAGACAACCCCATGGCTTTGCATTCAACACTCCCCGACCCGCCGTCTCGACGCAATGGAAGAAGAATGCCCCAATCCCCTGCTCCTCACTTGGGTCAAGGAGTGGCTGGACACAGCACGAGAGCGCAACTCAAAAGGCTTCACCACCTATCGAAACGCCCATGAATCTCTCAAAGCATGCCCTCTGGTTTTTCACCACCCTGCCGAGCTGCAGCAGTTGAAGGGCTTTGGCCCAAAGTTGTGCGAGAGACTGACCGACAAGCTCCAGAAATACTGCCAGGAGAACCATCTGCCCATGCCGGAACATCCTCAAGTAAGGAAGGCTGCTAAGAAGGCCCAACTAGACGAGGAGACTGCTGCCGCTGCCGCCGCCGCCGAGGGAGGTTCCGCCCCAAAGAAGCGCAAGGTGCGACAACCCAAGGCCTACGTTCCAAGTTTTCGCTCGGGCGCCTATGCACTCTTGGTTGGCCTATCGACCCAACCCGACGACACCACCTCGGGTATGACCAAAGCAGACCTGATTCAAGTCTCGCAGCCCCATTGCGATTCCTCCTTCACCGCACCAAGCGACCCGACCAAGTTTTACACGGCGTGGAACTCGATGAAGACATTGGTCCAAAAGGAACTCGTCTATGAGAGGGGGAGACCCTTGCGGCGCTACCTCTTGACCGACGAGGGATGGGAAGTCGCCAGACGGATAAAAGAAACCCGTGAATGGAAAGCAGACAACAACAGCAACAACAACAACGCGGATGCCGCTCATGCCGCCTCGGTGCGGCCTGCCCGCTCGCCGCCTGCCGAGATTGAGGTTGTTGAAAGGGACACTGCAGCCGAGGGAAATGCCGTGGACGGCTCGTTGCCCGCTTTCCAACCCATCAAACTGGTCCCGGGTTCGTTTTCCGTTCGTCTAGTTCTGGACGTGCGTGAAGTCCGGGCCAAGACGGATCGTGACTACATGCAAGAGGAGCTGGCCAAGCTCGATGCCGCGCCGCTGATGAGAAGTTTGGAAGTGGGCGACGCCCAGTGGGTTGCCAAGTGCCATGATCCCACATTGCTCCAGAGGCTCGGCGCCGAGGGAGACGAGGTCGTGCTGGACTGGATTGTGGAACGAAAGCGCCTCGACGACTTGATTGGCAGTATCAAAGACGGACGATTTCACGAGCAAAAGTTTCGCCTCAGGCGCTCTGGTGTCCAAAACGTCATATATATCATCGAAGACATCACCATGGACCCGCAGACCCTCCAGAGGTACGAGGAGGCCGTACAGTCTGCCATTGCCTCGACACAAGTTGTCAATGGGTACTTTGTCAAGCGGACCTCCAAAATGGACGAGACTGTCAGGTACTTGTCGCGTTTGACCGCCGTGCTGAAGCGCAAGTACGAGAAACAGCCGCTGCATGTCATTCCGTCGAGGGTGATTACTGCGCAGAATTACGCCCCTTTGCTGCGGCATTTGAGAGAGACTCAGCCGTCCGTGGGCCATTACGTTACGTACCAGGCCTTCTCCTCGCTGGCGTCCAAATCAGAAATGATGACGCTGCGAGACGTCTTTTTAAAAATGTTAATGACAACCAGGGGAGTGACGGGGGAGCGAGCCCTCGAGATTCAAAGACGCTGGCGCACACCCCACGATTTCGTCAAGGCCTTTGAGGCTTGCGGGTCTGGAGAGACGGGTAGGAAACGCAAGCGAGAGCTGGTGTCGAGTCAACTTGGCCATTTTGTCGGGAGGAAGAGCATCAGCAAGGCTCTGAGTCAAAGGATATCTGAGGTTTGGGGCGACGCCTAGAACTGCTGGCAGGGCTGGCAGGCGGACTGGTATATTGTGTCATTTCTTTTTCCTGTTCTTCTCTCTCGAGACGAGGGATGCGGCGCGACTGATATACCCTTAGATGAGCTATACCACTGACCCTAATCTTATTGATACGCCTGCCTACTGCCTGCCAAGGATGCGCTGGACCATCTTCTCGAGCAACGGGATGCGGGCGTCGCTGCTGTTTGACCCCAGAATTCCGGCCAGCGACTTTTCGGCATACTTGGCCATCATGTCGACCTCAATATTCACCGTGTCGCCCTTGTTCTTGTGCGCCAGAACCACACGGTCCTGAGAGTACGAGATTAACATGATTTCCCACCAGCCGTCGGCGTCATTCACATTGGTCACCGTCAAACTCGTCCCATCAATGGCAATGAAGCCCTTGAAAATGACATATCGAAGCATGTCACGGTTCTTGGGCTGAAATCTAAACGTCAGCGCATTGCCGTCCGGCGTCACGGACAAGATGTCGGCCGTGGTGTCGACATGGCCCTGGACAAAATGGCCGCCCATGCGGGTGTCGGCTCGTACGGCTCGCTCCAGGTTCACGCGGCTGTTTTCAACAAGGGTGCCGAGATTGGTGATCCGCAAGGTTTCGGGGGCTACGCCCACGCTGAACGTGTCTGCTGTAAAGGACGTGACAGTGAGGCAGCACCCGTTGACAGCGATGGAGTCTCCCTCGTGGCAGTCTTTGAGGAGCAGTGAGTCCGCGGGGATGGTGAATGTCATGGTGGTGCCGCCAGTGGAGTCATTGTTGTCGAGGTGCGAGACGACTGACATGTTAAGTCATGGTTGGGCTGAGGCTGAGGATGAGATGAGCTGGCTGGGACGTACCTCCGATGTCTTCGACGATGCCGGTGAACATGGCAGATGGCTGTCTGTGAGTGGGCGATTGATGAGTTGAGATTGTTGACGAGCAATGGCGCGCAAGAAGATGACTGTTGCCTGAGGCTTGCAGGCCCCTTTTCAACCTGTGGCTTGAGTATTGTCTTGTGTCGAAGAATGCATACCAAGCGTCTTGCTCAACGTGCGCTTGTGGTGGTCAAGAGCGTGACTATTCCCACGTCCCTGTCGGCGCAACGTCCGAACAGACGGTGCCGCTGCCCCGCAGTGACATCGTTATCGATAAGACCTGCCGCCCAAAATTTTCAAGCGGCTCCTCGGGAGCTTTACATGCCGCCATACCGACCGTGGACATCATCCCATCCCCTCGTTTTCTGTCTTTTTTGGGGGGAAAGGGGCCTCACTCTTTGATTTCTGCCTCTTACAAGCTAGGCACACGCGCACAGCCGCCAATAAACAGAGTGCAGCTCGTACAATGGCGCCCAGTCGGCCAGGGCCCAAAAAGGAGTCCGGCCCCGGCGCCCTGCTCAGCGACGCAGACACCCAGTTTGAAGTCGGTAACCTCGACGAAGCGATTGCGCTTGCCTCCAAGGCCCTGGAATCATCAGGAGCAGGAGGCGCCTTTGAGCTCCGCGCTCTCAATCTACTCGGCACGCTGCTAGTCGAATCAGGCGAGGTTGATGAAGGACGCCGCTACTTCGAGCGAGCAGTCAAGCTGGATGAGGATGGCACGGTGGACGAAAAGGTCGGCGGCGGGCCCGACAAGTTTCTCTTCCTGGCACAGCTGAGCGAAGAGGGCGGCCAGGACAGCGTCAAGTGGTTCGAGAAGGGTGCTTCGGCACTGCGCCGTCAGATCCAGGACCTGGCCGACTTGACGGGCAGGACCCCCGAGCAGCAGGCCAGCCTGGACGAGAAGCAAAGAAAGCTGGGAGAGGTGCTGTGCGCCGTGGCCGAGGTGTACATGACAGATCTGTCCTGGGAGGAGGACGCCGAGGAGCGGTGCGAGGCGCTCGTCACGGAAGCCATGATGATTGCGCCCGACTCCCCCGAGACGTGGCAGACGGTTGCGAATGTGCGCATTTCGCAGGAGCGCGTGGATGAGGCGAGACAGTCGCTCAAGCGGAGTCTGGAGCTGTGGCAGGACTTGGACCCCGCCCATCCCAGCGTGCCCGCCTTTGCTACGAGAATTGGGCTTGCGCGGTTGTTGCTGGAGACGGAACTGGAGCAGGACGCGCTCCGGGTTCTGGAGCGTCTGGTCACGGATGACGATCAGAGCGTCGAGGCGTGGTACCTGGGCGGGTGGTGCCTCTTCACTGCAGGCGAGAAGCAGAGGGATAGTCGGGAGCAGCGGGATGTCGACGCCGGGGACGAGTGGAAGTCGACGTGGTCGACGGCGAGGAAGTGGCTGGGGCAGTGTCTGAAGCTGTATGCCATGCTGGACTATGAGGACGAGCGACTGGGCGAGCATGCGGTCGAGTTGTTCCAAGAGATGAACAAGGAGCTGGGTGACATGCCAGAGGGGGAGGAGGATAACTGGGAGGATTCAGGGGATGAAGATGGACAAGACGAGGGTGAAGGCGGCGGTGACGACGAGGAAATGGACGGTTGAATCCGTCTGCAAGATACGACTACGGTCACTTGGGCAGGAAACAAAGGGCATTCATTAGGCGGCGTTTGGGGCGGTTGCTGCGTGATTTGACAAAAATCAAGGAACGACTGGTTGAGCCGTGGGGTGTCGTTGGCAGACATTTTTTTTTTGTTTAATCAACAGGAACAAGAAACTTGTTTAGATTTCAAGGACATATATACCACGCCCATTTCACGTCTGTCGCTCCAGGCTCTGCTCTTTTACGCAGGGCACCCAGACAACATTATTCCAAACTCCAAATAATGCATTGCCCATTTAACATTCTGAAATCAAGGTAATAATCAAGCCTCCACCGCCAGCTTTCCCACCCCGTCGGTCGGTACATCTTCCTCATCACCCTCCTCATCTTCTCCGTTCCCAGCCAAGCCTCTCTGCCACAGCTGTTTCCCCGTCAGCTTGACAGGTTCCTTGATCTTGGCCTTTTTCAGTTCCGCCAGTCTCTCCTCCTCCTCTAGCCTCTCCTTCTCCTCCGTCTCTTTCAGGAATCCCTCGCGCCACTTGAGGAACGTCTCTGGCGTGACTTGTGTTCCGTGAAATTTCTTGTTTTCTTCCCGCTCTGCTGCTAGGAGCGCTTCCTCACGTGCTCTGGCGGCAGAGTCCTTGCGGTCTTGGATGAGTTGCTCGGCGGCTTCTTTTAGGGCCGAGACAATTGTGAATACCATGGCTATGCCAAGGTTCTCCTGGATGGTTTCTTGTATGCTCTCGAGGAGCTGTTGGCGGTCGTTGCTGATGCTAAAGTGTTGATGGGGCGTGCAAGTCTGCGCCGCCAGCAGGTCGAGGTGGGGGGCAACATCGGGATATTCGTCCGGGTAACGGACCTGAAGGATGAACGAGGGTGCTTCTTGGTCTTCCTCGTCGAGGATGTCGAGCGTGATGGACACTTGGAACTCGGTTTCGGAGAGATCTTTCAGTTGTTAGTTGACGGGTTGATGGACCGGTGGGACGCGTGGCGAACCGGTGATTTCTTCAGGGAAGATGGACTCGAGAACCTCGCGCTCTTCGACCTGCTCTTCACGGCCCATGGCGACGGATTTGCGTTGGATTGCAACGCCCAGGCGCAGTTGAAGTTGAGTTGCCGATTCAACATGCGCTTGCTTGTAGCATGCAAAACCGCCGTCGGGGGGGACGGACGGGCGCCGGGGGGTTGGGGGGTGGAGTTTCAGGCATAACGTCGCGCTCACCGCTCGGCAGATTCCCAAAAAATTTTGGGAGGCTTAATCAGTGGACTGCTGCAGGATAATATCACAAGCCGAGTCTTTCAGATGAGAGTACGCCATACTGCCATCCAATTGTGCCCACGCCGTCAAGATGGCTGCCAGACCAGTTGCCGCTGGGAAGAAGAGAAAAGCCACGCCGAGTAGCAAGGGCAGGTCTGATTCCAAAAAGGCTCGCGTTGAGGAGTCCAAGGCGGTCAAGGTCAAGGTCAAGACATTGTCGGCATCAAGCGACGACTTTTCGGATTCCGATCCCGAAGGCGGCGGCGTCGGGCTGGATGCTGGAGACAAGGAAAGGTCGCCGAACAGGACAGACTCTGGTGCCAGTGGCAACGCATTTGATCGCAGTGAGTCCAAGGCGGAGAAAAAGAAGGAGAAGGACCTTGCACTTGGCTGTGCTGCCGTTTTTGCTAACAGCGCTGGCAGCCGGCCTCACGTCACGCGAATCGCACGCAAAGCAAAAGCAACTAGCTCAGGAAAGAAAAGCTGCCAAACCCCTCGCCGACGAAGTCCAACGCACCAAGAAGATCTGGGAACGATTGAGGAGAAAATCGCACGTGCCCAAGGAGGAGCGGCAAAAGTTGGTGGAGGAGCTGTTTGGCATCATTACCGGTCGATGCCGAGACTTTGTCCTCAAGCACGATGCCGTCCGCGCTGTCCAGACGGCCATAAAGTATGCCACGCCGGACCAAAGGCGGCAGATCGCCCGAGAGCTCGAGGGGAGCTATGCGCAGCTTGCCGAGAGCAAATACGCCAAGTTCTTGATTGGCAAGTTGCTCGTCCACCAAGACGATGAGATTCGAGACTTGGTTATACCCAATTTTTACGGCAAGGTACGCAAGCTCATCAACCACCCCGAGGCCTCGTGGATCCTGGACGACATCTACCGGACTGTGGCCTCCAAGGAGCAAAAGGCCACCCTGTTGCGCGAATGGTACGGGCCCGAATTCAGCATCAAGGAGCTGACCAAGGACGCCAAGCCCACCGCGGATCTGAAGGAGATCCTCGCGGCGGAACCCAGTAAGCGGGGACCTATCCGGAAGACCTTGTTGGACATGATCAACTCCCTTGTCCAGAAGCGCATGACTGGTTTCACCATGCTGCACGACGCCATGTTGCAGTACTTTGTCACGACACAGCCGGGAACTGAAGAGTTCAGCGAGTTTGTTGAAATGGTCAAGGGAGACGAGACGGGCGACTTGCTCAAGAACATGGCCTTTACCAAGTCTGGTGCGCGACTGTCATGCTTGCTGTTGGCGTACGGGTCGGCCAAGGACCGGAAACAGTACCTCAAGGCGTACAAGGACACACTGGCTCTCATGTCTGGCGACCAGCATGCTCACACGGTCATCTTGACAGCGTACGATGTCATTGACGACACAAAGCTCACAGCCAAGTCCATATTCCCCGAGTTGGTTGGTGAAAAGGACGACGAGCAGGCGCAGAACATTGTCGGCGCGGCCAACAACCCCAACGCCCGGACAACGTTTCTCTACCTGTTCGAGGGTCTGTCCAGGTCTCTGTTCCCCGCCAGCCACTCATTTGACCATGAAGTGTTGAAGCAAGTCCACGAGATCCGCAAGACCACCAGCAAAAAGGACGCAAATATTCGACAGCAGGAACTCATTGCCGCCCTCTCGCCGCAGCTTCTCAGAGCCATTGAGCAAGTAGCTGCCGATCTGACGTCTACCGCCTTCGGGTGTCAGTTCATCACCGACGTCCTCCTCTCCGGCACTGGTGACAAGACCAAGGCCCTCGAAGCCATTGCGCAATCGGCCCTTGGCGATCCCAAGGAGGAACCCGCCGCCCAGGGCGGCCTCGATGCTGTTCCTCACATTTCGGCCACGCCCTTTGGCGGTCGCATGCTGAAGTCCCTGATCCAAGGTGGCAGATTCGACAAGGCAACCGGCACGATTATCCCGGCGGACCCTCCCCTCAACTTTTCGGATACCTTGTACCCCGTTGTCAAGGACTACATCATCGACTGGGCCACTGGACCAAGCTCTTTTGTAGTTGTCGGTCTCTTGGAATCCAACGACTTTGGCAGCACGGACGAGTTGAAGCGGACGCTCGAGAGAAACAAGCAGGTGCTGGAACAAGCTGCTGTGGAGATGACACCTGAGCAAAAGGCGGCCAAGGATGCCCAAGAGGACAAGCCAGAAAAAGGGGGGAAGAAGGGTAAGAAGAGGTCCGATGCGGCGGTTGGTAACGTTGGTAGCAAGATCTTGTTAGGCAAGCTCTAAGATGGTGGCTTTCTTTTCTACTTTCATCTGTCGGTGGATTTGGATCCAAAGTGTTGGGATGGCATTCAGTTGAGCGATATGACTCGGCGTTTGGACCTGTTCGTGATCAACCCGGTAGCTCTACTGCAGGAACAAGAAAAAATCGGTGCATTTGATGTACTTTGCGTAACCGCTGGGCCATGGGAAGCGCAAAGCTGCCGTCTTGTTTCCAAATCACCCGGCTGGCAATGACCGGGGTCGTGGGAAAACTTGAGGGCCAAAGTCGTCTTTCACTGAACAGGGGCTGGAATTATGCCAGAGCAGGATGAGGGCAACTCATTCACCCACGTTTCGCTCTGATCCCCCCTTACAATACATGTCGTTCCCGCGAGTCCTCCGCTGCCTCGCTTCGACTGTCTCTTCTCCTGTCTCTTCTCTCAGCTCTCCGGCCTCCGTGGGGACGACGAGCCCAGACAGTACATTCGGCTTGTCGCGCGAGCCTTTTCGGCAATCTGCCCATCAACGATGGCCTCGTGAAAGTCCGCACCCCGACCGTAGAAACTGTGAGGCTGACGGACCTAAAGTCAGCGAGTCGACCGGCATCTTTGGCAATCACCATCGCATGCATCACTCGGCACTCGGTGAGGCAACCCGCGGGAGCGCTCAACACAACTTTTGAAGGCGCGTCAGAATCATCTAGCTGTAAAGGACGAGGGACCGAACAGCCCAGCCACCATGTCCACGTAGATCCACGTCGAAAATCGAACGTGCGTCGTGTAGAGGAGCTTCGCCTCCCGGCGCGCCCTGGATCGGCTTGATGACATGATTTACCCACTCGATCAACTTCCGAGGAAACGCGGCTTGAGAGGACAGGAGAAGCCGACGAGACGAGCATCGTCTCAGATCTCGTTCTCTCTTTTGCACGGAGCTTGGGCCACAGTGCTGCGAGGTTGTACGACAACAACGCAGATGTGACAGATTGCAACCCATGCCTCGTGCTTTGGGGCGCTCAGGACTTCCGATGGATCTTCCGGAACGGCGTCCCGTCTGATCGCCCTGGCTCAGTCTCTCAACGTGGGCCATGAGCCGGCCTCCTCAATGAGTATCAATCTCCGTACCGGGGGCAGGTAGTAACAGGCTCTTCATTCTCCTTGGCACTCCATTGATATTCACGAGTGTGAAAGAACAGAAACCGCCACCGCGTCGTCCGACGAAGCGTCCCAAAGCCTTGTGGCCCGCCTCGGACCGTGGCTGAGGGATGTCGAAGCCCGGTCCGTCGTGATGGTTGCTAGGCCGTCCAGCATAACAGTCTACCCCGGTCGGTCGAGTTGCTCCAAGCCGTGATGCCAGTACCCTCTGAGTCTTTTGCACGGCCACAGAAAGGCATGGGCTGCCGCGAAGTGTATGTCGAGGGTGTCACGTCTATATATACCCTCGGCTTGGAATGCAACCGGGTCAAGTGGGGGTTTGCCACAGGCTCACGACGGACGGGTTCATTGGCCATAGTACACCTTGGAGCGTGCTGGTGATGCACAAGACCAACCGAGAACGGGATGCCTCGGAATCTGGCCTGCGTAGAAGAAATGAGCGGCGGCCGAGAAGGTCGGGCGCGCTTCTCAAGTCGAATCCTAAAAACTCAAGTCGAATCCTAGAAAGTCCTTTGATTGCGATCGAGTCAGATGCGTGGACTGAGCGTCGGATAATCGACGAGTTGCTACGTTTCAGAGCACACTCGCCGTCCGCCCCCGAAGAAACGAGGTTGGCTGGTTGATATCTCGACGGACGACGCCTCGGAAGAAGAGGCACTCGGAAAGGGACCACTCTCGAAGGACTCGTCAAACCCGGTTGATCCGTACTAGTGTTTCTGTACTTGGGATCCTGCCACATGTCAGGACATTTTCGGCTGTTGGCCTCTTCGAGACATTGGGGATTCTGCAGCATACGAAATGGATGGACTTGCCGGGCTGCCTGAATGAGGTGCTCCAACCAGGGTCCCCGTTTGTGCCCGTGTGCGACAACAGGCATCGACTGGCATCAATTGTCAAGAGGACGAAGAATGTAAAATGCTGCTGGGCGATGCCCGTCCTCGTTGTACGGGAGAGAGACGGTTGCACGTGACAGAGATGCCAACATTGGACGAGACTTTCTTCCCGAGCGCATGGCAGGACAGGACAGTCAGCCCAAGAGCTACGATGTGACACATGAGCGGATTCCTTTCAGCGACTGAATTGTGATCAATTCAGAGGACTCGTCATCGAGTCCGCAGGCTCAAAAATCGCGACAAGTAGGCTGTTTCTGCGCCATGACCGTGTACGTATTTGCCAAGGCAATTCTCGACTTCTTGCCCCAAACGAGCAACAAAGCAGGAATCAGCAAAACCACAGAGGAAATAACGGCCACCAGAATATGCATGTTTCTCAAGCCCATCCCGGCGATCCAGGGTGTGAGCGTGAACAGCACAACCACAGAAAGCACGTTGCGAGAAAAAACGATGCCAACCATGGCGTTGCCGATGATCTGCTTTGCGGTTAGTCTGGCTATGTTCCAGGGCAGCCCGGCTGCCTCTGCGTAGTCATGACGCGACTCACGTGGTGATAACAGTCCATAGCATAAGACAGTGCAATGCTTCCTGTGACTCCCAAGTTGAAGCCCAAGATGCCAAAGCCCACGGCGATCAGTGGCCAGGGAGTTCCCTGCGGAGACGGACGTGGTTGGCATTGTACTTGCAACAGCGAAACGCCCCTCGACTTGATGGTCACTTACATATGCTATACCCAACCCAACCATGAGGACACTGCAAGGCGTTAGGAGGGCCGAGGGCAGCGCCAGCCACAGCCGCATCTCTGGCTCGTAAATTCCACCATTCCTCTTGGACAGCCATAAGATGGATCTGTCATTCAGATATCCGCCAACGAAAATGCCGGGAAACGTTCCTATAAACGGCGCGAGGCTCATAAGACCGATGCCGGAGGAAGTGAAGTTGTACGGCGGCTCCAGCAGATACACTGCCTGGACAGACGTTACAATGGCAAACTCGGCAAGGGTTGTAGCATACGTGACAGCTGTATAGGTTATAGCCGGAAAAGTGAACAAGAGCCTAAACGGCTGCCATGCATTGCCATAGGCCGAGCCCTCCGATCTGGTAAAGAGCGCCAGGCGTTCGCGGAGAGGCATCATGGGGATGGCGGCATCCAGGACGACATTTGATTTTGTCCGTTCCACTGGCCTACCCTTGTCCTTTTGCGGAGACGCGGGTATGACTTCATGCGGCGCAATCTCTGGTTGATTCTGACCGGGCTCTCCGTGAAGGGTTGCAGGGAGCGATGGCTGACAATGCCCCTCTATGGCGGGCAGGTACTTGGACTCCTCGAAGAAGAGGAGGATGACGACCAAGCCCGTGCCAAGTAGAATCGTACACCACCACCACATCCATCTCCAACCCTGATTCTGAACCACGTACCCTGCGGCCACTGGACCGAGGAAAGCCCCGCTGGCGACAACAAACAGATAGCAGCCGTTCATGGCAGCGTGGTGGTGAACGAAGAAGAGGTCCGCAATGGTGATCTGCACAATGGATTCACTTATGGAGCCCCCGAGCCCGGCAAGCAAGTTGCTGACCCAAAGATCTACCCTGTTTTGCGTCCTGGCAGCCCAGATGCTGGCGGCGACTTGAATCGCGGTGCTGAGAATATAAAACGGGCGGCGTCCATACTTGTGCACAAGCGGAACGAAGACGAAACAACCGACGGCCAAGCCAGAGTAGTTGAAGGCTGTACCGGCGTTCAGGACGCCGACGGAGAAGCCTAGCTCCTCTTGATATTTCCCCCACGCGGTGAATGAGATGTCGAGCTGAACGAAAGTCATGAGGACATAGAAGGAGATGATGGTGAAGTTGACCGTCTTCCTCCACATGGACCAGTTGAGCGGATCATTGGGATCAGACGTCGGGATTGGATGTAGGATGACTCCCGTGCCAGAGTCGCTCACTGTAGGTTCCCCCCCCCCCTCTCTCCGTTAGCATCTGTCTGTCACGCAAAAGACACTAGACGAGTGCTCAAGAGTGCGTACATTCATTTAGGTTGACGGTTCCAGGTGCCCAAAACGCATCGTCCTGGCCGTGACTGGGTTGATGATGCGTTCCAACTTGGAATTGACTCATTTTCAAGAGACTAGCGGGGCGACTGAATAGCGACCAGTTTGTGCAAACGTCGCGAATTGGCTGTGATGCTGGACGAGGGAGGAGTCTCTTGAAAGCGACGGAATCTGACAATGCTGGGTTTTTCTCCTCAACTCAGCCTTCCACGTCGGAGGCATTGGACCAACGGCATGCGACGTAGCATTCTACTTTGCAGTGACTGTGCACTTGTAGGTGATCCCGCCATGTTACTGTTACGACTTGTCCCATTCGGAAGTCGGAATGCTGGGGGACTTGTGCCAATAGACGTGGCTGGGACTAATCGTGCCCGCCCCACTTTATGTGGTTCGGCTAGCAAAAGCCCTCACCACCAAAGGTGGTGCTCGACAGCAAGGCGGGCCGGACACCAAGGCGGGCCAATTTTCAACCTAGACGCGTTGAACCGCGAAAATGGCTGCAACTAGCGTCCAAACGGCAAAAAGCGATGTCGAATTACGTGTCAACGAGGCTCTTGAGTATATTGAGGAAAATCCAGGTGCAAAAATTCGCTCTGTGGCGAAGAAATTCAACGTGCCTCGTAGCCGGCTTCAACGACGTGCTAACGGCGTTCCTGCTAGGAAAGGCCATCCAGCAAGAAATACAATGCTTTCACGAGAAGAGGAAGTTGCTTTATGTAACTATATCGATCGCCTTGATAAGGCCAACTTCGCTGTACGACCTGAATTCATTACAGATGCTGCAAATTACATCCTAAAAGAGAGGGCATCGTCAACTGCCCCGCCTAGGCAAGTTGGAACGCGATGGACTACACGCTTTATCCAGCGGCATCACTATCATAAAGGTCTTCAAAAAAAGATTGATTCAAGTCGAAAAGCTTCAGAAGATGTGACAAGAGCTCTTTCTTATTACAACAAGCTTAAAGAGGCTATTCAGCAGTACGGAGTCCCTCCTGAAGATATCTGGAATATGGATGAGACTGGCTTTCGTATTGGAATGGGAAAGGACCATTTAGTTGTTACAAAGCGAAGAAGAGCGCATCTATTTTCAATGCCAGAAAACAGGGAGACTGCAACAGCAATAGAATGCATTTCTGCTGGCGGCAAAGTTATTCCTGCCTTTCTTATCCTTACAGGGCAAAAACACATGGAGTCCTGGTATCGGATAAAGGAGCTTGAAGCTAATACCAAAATAACAGTCTCACCAACCGGCTTTACGAATGACGAAATTGCAGTTGCTTGGATACAGCATTTTCAGGAATTTGCAACGCCAATAGGCAGATATCGCCTTTTAATCCTAGATGGCCACGGATCACACCATACAATTGAATTCGTTGAATACTGCGAACAGCACGATATAATTCCCTTTGCGTTGCCCTCGCACCTTACACACATCCTTCAACCTCTTGATGTTGTGATATTTCAGCCACTAAAGCATTATCATGCAAAGGCGTTGGATATCATTGTTCGAGACGGCGTGTTGAATATTACAAAGATTGAATTCCTTGCTTGCATTCAAGCTGACCTTGCCTGCGTTTGCGGGGAGGAAGGGGGGCCCGGCCCGCGGACGCCAGCAGTATTCCACGAAGGATTGGCCATGTCTGAAAAAGGCATTTGACGATCTGAAACAGACAGCGCTGCAGCCACGCACAGTGCATCGTTGTATGATGGCGTCCAGCATCCGAAGCGAGTAAAAGTGGCGTCCTCGACTGGTCGGTGTGCGTGCATGTACGGAGTAACGTTAGGATATACGTTGGGATACGGAGTATACACGGGCCGGCAGGGGTCTGGTGGCTCGGACTTTCTTCCGGACCCGCCCACTTGAGGGTTTCGGGTACGTCGCATGCTCACTGCTCACAGCTACCCTAGGTAGGAGGCAGTTGCTTTACTTTCATCAATATGATAAAGTTAAAGACCATACAAATTGGGCGGGTCCGAGACCGAAATCAGGATCCGGTCCGTCTGGTGTTTAACGTCTGTCTGCCATATGAGTGGAGGACCATGTACCGATAACCTTGAGCGTTTCAGGTGGAGGAGCCAGGAGCTGGTTGGAAAGCTTGCGAGACTGCGACTGCGACTGCGACCGTGACCGTGATGACTGTGGTTGGCAATGCCATCTCATCAACATACTCCGTACCGTCTGCGCGCTTGTTCCTCGTGTATCCCTTCGGCCAGCTGGAGGACTCAACATGTTCAAACAAATCTTGCCGCAAGATTGGCTGTTAGAAGACCACACGTGCCAGAAACGTTCAGGACTGGAAGGTGCTTCCAATTCCGAGCTCGAAGTTTGCTCTTATCTGCGAGAAGAGATCGTCAAACAACTCCGCATATCTGACCTCGGCGTATGTGTGCTACCTTGGCCGCAAGATATTCTTGAAGGTACGTTATATATGAGCGCATCCATGCCGAAATTCCAGGCGTTTCAGTCAGTTTTAAGGAAGGCGGTTTGTGTTTTGTGCGCGGTCCCTCGTCGCACATAGAAAGTCTTTGAGAAGCCCCGTATCGTAGCACATTTTCCAACTCGATTGTGCCGCACTCTCACGCCATTTCGTGTCGTCCCGGGTCAGGAACGTATCACGGCGTCGAGGAAAGTCTAGAATTGCAATCGGGGCAGCTGTTCCATTTTGTAAGATTTGACACTAATTTTTGAGAATTCTTTGCCGCGAAAATGACCGACGGGGAGTGCCTGTGTATCAATGAGGACGTTGGACGGCTCCATACAAGAAAAAAGAGGGCTTGTCATTGCCAAGCATGGAGAAGCCGACAGGTACTAATTAATTGCGTCGGGTTCGAGTGAACTGGTCGTGGCCACAAAGGGACCCTTGACGTGCTAGGACGGCCACAAGTCGGGCGTACGGCTCACGACTCCGGCTCACGACTCCGGCTCACGACTGGCACTGACGACTGACGACTGACGACTTGACGGCTCAGGACCTTGTTGCGACTCACGACTTAGGAGCCAATGCTGTTCTTGTTCTTGTACGGTAGCCCTCAACATGTTGCCTGATAAGTGGTCCAGCTGCCGGGAGAGTAGAAGTGGGTATAGCCTGTAGCATCCAAGTAGCTAATAGTAGTAATAAATATACTTGCCCATCAGTCAGGATTCAGCACATATGTACGGATACAGTAAACCATGTCTATAACGATCCTGTATCTTAGCGATATTCGGGTTTTTACGATAATTCACAGTTATCTAAGGTTTTTCCCTAGTAAATCGTTAATAGTCGCGTTACTAACGATATCGTTGACTTTTTGCTTAGTCACTATGCATTTTATCGTTATAAGGCCCCACTTTTTAGGCTGAATTTTCTTATAGTGGGGTTAGGTGGAGCTGGGTTTCCTAATAGTGGGGCAAATTTCGCTAATAATCCCTTAATATGTACTTTTACTAGTAATTTCTAAGGGGAGGTACAACCCCACAATAGTCGCATCTTAGCGATAGTCGCTATATTACGATGAAAAAAGGCTCACGAAGGTTATCGTTATAGAGGTGGTTTACTGTATGCACCAACGTATCGGCAATATCATATGTTATTGCGGAGCGGAATGAAGGCAAACCTTGGCAATTGTGGATGCGGCCCACGTGCCATCTGGTTCAGACGTCAACCGCTCCAGATGGCCAAAATCAGTTCGGTACTCCGTACTCTTGATAGAACTTCTTCCACACGTACGACTGACTAGTCGTGCAGCATGCTCTCCTCCAGTATTGACCAAAGCAAACATCCCTCGATCATGCGATCGGTGCCATCTCCTCAAGGAGCGCTGCGAGCGGCCTTTTGCATCCGAGACTTGTCCATGCCGTCGTTGCAGCCGCCTCAAAGTCAAGTGCCAAGGCAAGCGACCTCATAAACGAGCTGGTCCCCCCCCGAGAAGCCGCGCAGTTCAGAAAAGCCGTCTAGGCCCGGGCTCCCAAGCACAAGTTTGGTCGAGATGGAGCTGATTACAAGGAGCGCAACAGCACCGCCAGCCGATTCCCCAGCGTGCAGCAGTCCTCTTCCTAGCCTATGCCCAACCGTTGGACCATTTCCCCGGAGGAGCTATGGCACGTCAACAATCTTCTCACCAGCGACAGTTATCTGCAGGAACTGTGATGGGCCCCAGCTTCTTCCACAGACATCGAGGTACGCTTGTGTCCCAGCTTGAAACGTCTTGAGCTACGGTTGAAGACGTCTACGTGGCCTTGGCTCTAATATGGGGCTTGCGTGACACGTCCGCGTCCGCATCGCCCGACTATCCGTGGTTGAATCCGTGCTATAGGAGAGCCTCGTCTGCCGTTACGACTCTTCGCTCTCTGGATGTCGGCAGACAGCACCAGTTCCGGTCATGCGTAGTCCTCGGCGCCGCACTGCTCACGTTTGCTCTGAACCTGGCCCTATCATGAGACAGGGAAACTACCAGTCGAGCCCCATCTGTTGATACCATCTCTTTCAGTGAGATGACAGAGTGCTTGTTGTACGCAAGGATGCGTACCATGCTCGTTGAGCTGCCCCCAACCAGGCAGAATTGTACGTCGACCGGTGCATTGGATTCAGCGCCAACATCCTACCGCATTTGTTTCACACATGCAAACTCTCTGCGGAGATGGCCTATGCAGCCCCAGCAGATAAGAACGAGACCCTGAACCACCTCGAGGACGGGTTGCAGAGGCGGCAGCCCACAATACATGACAGTCGGATAACCGAGTTTACGGCCACTCAAGTTTCACAAATGATCTGCCAGGTCAGTGCCAAGTTGCGAAGCAGTTGAATCAACAGCTACTATGCGGCCGCTATGCTGCCAAGAGTGCACTTGGATGTCTTTTTTTCAGCGTAGCAATCAATCCACCGAGTTCACGCCGACAGGAAGTTTTGTCCACGCGCCGTACACTGTAACACGGGCTTTTCCCATTCAGTGTTTGCTGTCTGACACAGATAACCGATGAGCGTCGGCAATGGAACGCCGGTCAAATGTGACGTGATACTTTGAGCCCGCCTGCGTTTAGGCCGACGATGAGGAGCGAATGAGTTTTGTCTTGGTGCTGCATGTTGCAGTAGCATCGCTGTTGAATTCAGATATAATACTTGACTTCGAGTCCATCTTTGCGATCCCTCCCCGACCCGAACCACAAGCCGTCAATGAAACGTTTGGGAATACCAAACACAGCTTTGGCGTTTTGTGGAATCGCCTGGTAGAAGAAAAAAACTGTCTGGCAATTTGCGGCTCGTGTAACTGCCAGCCGGTCGTTCACCTGTAACCAGCCGGCAGCCCGTTTGCACTCTTCAACGCGTTGGTCCCTTGAATGTGAACGGTTCAGCGGAGAACTTCACCCAGATCCTGGCGCTTGTCCCATTCAACACGGTCTCTCTTCTCGTCCCGCCCTTGCATCAAGCTTAGTCTTCTCTGCTCGGCTCCTACGAGCTGACCACCGGGTCCATGCAAGCCCTAACAGTGTGCTCGACGGGGTCACACCTCTATACCTACCGCAGTGGATGCTCACTGCCCGGCTGTCCTCGCTGTCTTCTGAAACGAGAAGGCAACGGCAGTCCTCGTATTGATTCATCGACTTCATCAAACAAGGACTCTGCAAACAGCAGCTCTCCTGAGCCCGAGACCCTTGAAGCCGACGAGATTCGAGGAACAACCGAGGCCTCTTCTTCACCAAGCGAAACAAAAACCGATTCCGGAATCACTCACACAATCCCAAATTCGTCCATAGTTACCATAACGAGGCACACAGTCGTCTTCTCCGAGGCGCCCTCGCCATCCTCGACGTCACTCGCCGAAACCAGCCCCGGGACTGCAGCGGAGACCACCTGCTCGGGGTGCAGCGAGCCCATCCAGACGGCCAAATCCGAGCAAGAAGCCAGCAGTGCGGGCGGGGTGACTCCGGCCACTATTTCTGGAATAGCGGCTGCTGGTGTAGTGATCCTCGCTCTCGTGGCAATAATTTGGCTAGTGTCGCGACGGAGAAAAAGGGCGCGACAAAGTGCAGGCCCAAGCGAAGACGATCCGACTGGAGGCTCGCGAGTCGACGGGTATGAGAAGATGACGCCTCATACTACCGGTGAAGGGGGAGTCATCGATCCATTCGCCCCTTTTGGAGGTGAGTTGTGTTGAATCTTGGCAAGAAAGGGGGGAAGGAAAAGTAGGGTCTTGCTGACCATGCAGGGCGAACTGATCAACCTCACGGCTCGGATCCCCCGCAAAGCGAAACCTTTGAAATGGATGGCGCGGGCGTTGCTCCGGTTGAATTGCCAGCCGTCAGCATCTCGGAGGCTCCAGATACTCCGGCCTCGCCGTTGGATGTCGCGAGCTCTGCAAGTCCAGCCGGTGCCGACCCTAGAGCAACCCTCGCTTCGGGCTCCTGCCATGGACGCGCGCAATATGTGAATGAGTGGAAACGATACAGACCCATGGCAGAAGATGACGAGCAAGGGATGAGAAAGTCAGGGGCAGACTTGTAGGAGAGTTGCTGGCGAGATAGATGGCACGATATTGCTGGCTTTTCCGACAAGACGGTATAGTATAGAACGGGGAAACGCGGGAAATCAAAACACAATCGCAGAGACCAGCTTGATATCCCAAGAATTCTGTAATGCGTCCGCCTGACTTGACCAGAACAGACCACGGCGCGACGTTGTGTTTGTTGTCAGCCAGGAACTTGCGTCCGACTACCCATACATGCCGAAGTGTTGATCAACATAGAATGCCTCAGGCGTCCAAATGCCCATCCGACGCCGATAGTGGGACACACTTGCTCTGCCTCACGTCGAGTCGACAACATGATCTCAGATGCCCAGCTTGCATTCGCCGTGAGCGCAACACGAGTTAGCAAAACAAGCATCTGCCACGGCTGCCACGGGAGCTCCGTCACCGTGGACGTCCAACAGCCAGGCAAGGCGAGACTCAGCAACAGGGAAGCTTCATCGCAAAACACGACGGATTGCCGTGGCCTTGATGCCCAGCAGTCCGCAATGGTAGGCCGCGTGGTGCGCTGCCCCCAGATCGCGGCTTGAAAACCGTTCAACCGGACATTGATGCAGATCCGAGGCTACCCGCAACGCCTTGCCAAGCAGACAGGAGCAATCTTTATCCACAGGCGCCTCTGCCGGACAATAATAAGCTCCCACAGCCTCTCCACGCGGCATTTGCGCCGAGGCTGTCGCCTGCCTGTCTCGGTACCTTTGCAAGCCACCCGCGCGGAGTGGTCGCACATGGGCGGCGGGGGTTCTCGCAGAAAGCATCCGGCGAGCAGCCGCGATGAGTACGCCACGTTTGAAGGACGGCCGGTGGTCACTGGTCAGGACTATGGAGTCGTTGTCCAATGAATGCGGAGTACTCCGTAGAATGGGAGTAGTCCTTCAAAGACTGTGCGACCTTGTCACTTGCTTCTGGAGGGCTGCTTGATGCATTGGCGTCCTAAAGGAGATGAATGGTCCTGGACTCCTGGGAGTCAGAGGCGAAGCCTGCTGGCCGTGAGCCTGTGAAGAGAGAAGGGGGGTGGGTGCCACGAATGCCATGGCAGAAGCATCAGACAAGGGACTTGATGAGCTGTTGACCAGAATATGAGGAGCGACAGATTTACCGTGGATGAGAAATAGACTTGGTTCCCATCTGGCCATGACTCGTCGTCTTTCAAGCGGTTTGACGATCCGACGACTTCTCTCTCTCACAAGGCTCCTCCAATCGTCACGCTTCCAACCTCGCGGCAACTCGACTCAACCAACCTCTCACAGCTTCCCGTAATCTTCTTGCCCAAAAAAAAATCAAAAAAAAAATCATGGGCGTCTGCTTCACTGTATTCAAAGGCTCCAAGACCGGGGAGATTGTGGAAGCCACCGGCCGTCGGGATCCAGGTCCCACCGAAGTCATTGTCAAAATCTCCCACTGCGGTCTCTGCGGCACCGACGAGCACTTTTTTCACAACGACCAAGGCCTCGGCCACGAAGGGATCGGGGTCATTACCGAGCTCGGCTCTGCCGCGGATGTAGTGTCCAACTTCAAGCTCGGCGATCGCGTGGGCATGGGGTGGTTTTACAAGTTCTGTGGAACCTGCAAATATTGCCTCAACGGTAAATGAAAAGATCAAAAACAAGAGCACTCCGGAGACGACCAAGCGAGACGACCAGGCAGGGAGGAAACCAAAGCGATGCTGACCGGCTCTTGCGCGACAGGCTTCTCGAATACCTGCGTATCCCCCCAGTGCTATGGCTCCCACAACCAGGACCAAGGCTGCTTCGGCTCCTTTGTCGCGTGGGACGTCTCGGCCCTGTTCAAGATCCCCGACGCCATCGCCTCCGAGGACGCCGGCCCCTTGATGTGCGGCGGCGCGACCGTGTTCAGTGCGCTGCACACGTCTGGCGTGCGGCCGGGAGACCGAGTCGGCATCGTCGGCGTCGGCGGTCTCGGCCATTTGGCCATCCAGTTTGCGTCCAAGATGGGCATGGACGCCGTCGTCTTCTCCAGCACAACCTCCAAGAAGGAGACGGCGTTGAATTTCGGCGCCTCCGAGTTTTACACGGCGGCTGATTTGGCCGAGCCCGGGAATGTCGAAAAGGTCGACATCCTGCTGATTACTTCCAGCGTGATGCCAGACCTGTCCACGTGAGTGCCGCAAGCATGGCCCATTCGGCGGCCGCGTTCAGACCTTGGGGCTGACCCCGTGTAGGTACTACCCCGTGCTGGCTCCGAGGGCGCAGATCTACCCCCTGACCGCCAGCGCCGAGCCTATCAATGTCACGTCCTTGAACTTGATCATGGCTGGTTTTCGGATTGTCGGGTCTGGCGTGGCCAGTGCCGGCACGATGCAGGCCATGTTGGCGTTTGCCGCCAAGAAGGGAATCAAGCCGCAGATTGAAAAGTTCCCTCTGACCAAGGACGGTTTGGTCGAGGCCATGGCGAGGTTGAGAGAGGGCAAGATGCGATATCGTGGTGTGTTGGTGGCGCCGCAGTAACGTCGGTGCTCAACGTACAAAGGGAATCTCCCACCCCGGGAGATGCAGATCTAGGCAGGAATGTTAGTCGTTTGATGAAAACTGTTCAAATGTTGGCAAAATGCAGGGACTGTATGAGAGCACGTCTCCACGACAGCCGACCTACCTTGGGGGCCGATGGTCTCTGTGAGCATTCCGTCAGCAACGTGGGATATCATTCCGCACGCACGGCAGCCCATGTATTCAAATCCTCAATTTATCGGGTATTCTACATCGACGTACTGACTGACCTACCTCCTTCCTAAATCCCGTCTCGTCTTTGTCTGTTGCGAAAATACAAACCTTGACCCAGCGCCAGCAATGCCAAAATGTAAAACCACGATTCCTCTTGCTGTTTCTTGTCTCTCGTCTCGTCTCTTCTTTTTCCTCGGCAAACACGGCCCCCGAAATGCAATCCTGTTCCAAAACAAATCCCGTAGCCTGCCCTCTCCCCCCCACCCCATATCATCGGTTTTGCAGTTTGGAGATTTCGTCGAGCAAGTCCTGCAGGTCCTCGTCCTTGATCTTGTCGGCGAGCGAGGGGATGAGAGTCTTGGCCTCGTCGGCATTCTCGCAGCACAATGAGCCTAACACAGCGTCAGCAGTCCCGCACCACGCGCATGAAGAGCCGTGCGAACACGCGTACCCAGCTGCGCCCTCTCAAACTTGGCCAGGTCCTTGTGCGCGCTCAGCAGGCGTTCGACGGCTTCCACGTTTTCCTTTTGCGTGAACCGAGCGAAATGGTCCAGATAGTTGAGTGTCTGGTTCAGCATCCTGGATGATCCCCGTTAGCGAGTGCCTCATTCGTCCATGGTCCACGTGTGGCCTTGGCGGGCGGCGAGGCGCGTACTCGGTCTCGTTGACGTTCTTGCGGTCATTTCGACGCTTCGCCACCAGCGCGTTGAGCACGAGCGCCGCCTCTGACAGAGTCAAGGTGTCGACGTTTTGGAACTCTCCCAGGTTCAGTGCCGCTGAGGCTTCTTCGTTGCCTGGAGGGGGGGGCTTGGGGCGTGAGGTTCGCTGGTTTGACATTGTCGGTCGCCCTCGCCCTCGGGGCGATGGTGTGGTTGCAGCGGCGGCGAATGATTCGCGACGAAACGATGCGCCGGCAAAGACAGAGAGAGAGAGGCACGGGCTCGAACCGTCGTCAAAATGGGACAGACGGGATCGGACGCGCGCGACGAGCGAGGCTGCGGTCGGAGCTCGTGGGGATGCTGCTCGACGGAGAGGGAGACGAAAGCAATGGCACACAAAAATAAAGAGGCTGAGACGGAACAGCCCTTCTGGTACTCGGTACTCGGTACTCGGTACTGGTCAACGATTGGGTGACGGGCCTGGCGACTTCATTGCCATGTCGAGGGTTCAAGCAAGGTGTGCGTCGTCGGCTTGTCTGCACAGCGAGAAGAGATGGTCAATTAGTGGGGCGGCTGGGCGCACGGGTGCCTTGGCTTGGCGCTGCTCGCGTTTCCAGCGCCATCGGGTCCAACTTCACTCGGTCTTGGTGATTCAGCGTGACAAGATTCCATCGGACGCGCTCACGGGAGTTGCCTGCCGCTCGTCGCCGTCGCTGGCTCAACAACACGGGGTTGTCCACGGGGTTGTCCACGGGGTGCCATCGGCCCAGAACCCCGACATTGACGGGTTGATGGCGCATTAGCCGGCCGGCACAATGCATGTCTAGTCCTCACCTCACCTTCATCTCGGAGCATCTCTCTGACCGTGGTCTAGGACTGTCTTTGCTCTCATCATCATCAACAAGGCCGGCGGCCTGGTCTACAACAAGACGTTCCACGATGGCGGTCTGCGCAAGATCAGCACCAACGATTACCTGGTCCTTGCTGGTACTTTTCACGGGTGCGTCCTCTGCTCCAATTTCAACGCCAGGGCTCCATCTTTCGCCTCCTCAGAATCTCTTGCGAGGAGGGCTTGCTGCTCACATACACAGCGTCCACGCCATCACCGCCAGGCTCAACCCCATCAAGCCCGTCACTCCTCATCCCGGCACCAACGGCGTGGCGATGCGCCCGGAGCCCTCCTCGGGCCTAGAAGTCCTGGAAACGGAAAACTTTCGATTGCAGTGCTTCAACACCATCACCGGGACCAAGTTCCTCTTGTTTACGGACTCTACGCAGACGAATGTGGATGTGACGATTCGGCGAGTATACGACTTGTATTCCGACTACGTCATGAAGAACCCATTTTATTCCTTGGAGATGCCTATTCGGTGTGATATTTTCGATCGGAAATTGCTGTCGTATATTAGAGAGATTAATAATCGGTAATAGAGGTCCGCATAGCATGATGATGCGTTCCGTTTCCCCTATCTGCCCAACGATTCTCGGCTCCCTGTTACTTGGCATTCGCCTTCAAGGTTCAGGTCCTGAATTCATCTCCAAGACTCCAGTCATGTCTATTGTACAGCTTCAAGGAGAAAGAGCCAACCCCTGACGGGCTTGCTTGGTGTCGTACGCGGTGCTCCCTTACGATGTGTCCATCTTGTCGCCGCCGTCCTTTTTATCTCCGCCTCCAGACGGACCGGACTCGTCCTCTTCCTTGACGCTTCCAAGGGATGCCTTCTTAGCAGCTTCCTCCTCCTCGCGGGCTCGCTTTTCTTGTCTCGCCTTCTCCTCCTCCATACTCATGCGCAAAGCGAGGGCAAGCTCGGGTTCCATGGCGGGGTCGAACCCGAATTCAAACTCCTCGTTGCCTCCGCCCATGCTGCCGCCTCCGCCGGCACCGCCCGATCCCACGGCACCCTCGCCAAGTAGTATTGGAGTAGCCACAAGCTGATCGCTCAACAACTTGCTGCTGGGTGGGATGACGACCAAGTGCGAGCCCTCGCTGCCCTTGACCTCGTCATTGAAAACTTGCAGCTTCTTCTGCGTGTCGTCGGCGTCGAGATCTCCAAACAGGATGAAATCTACAGAAATGTTTCCCTTTTTCATCTTTTTGGCCAGTTGCTTCAGCTCCTTCTCGCTCTCTTCGATTGGGGAGCAAATAAAGACTATGATTCGCTGCCGCTGGGATCGGTTCTGTCGGTGCTTCAGGGCGAGCTATCAAATTGTTCAGCTGTGCAAACGTGCAAGCAATGTAGATGACGGTTTTTACAAACCGTAGCAACCTGGATGCCGGTCTTGAGGTGAGACGAGCCGCCAATTTTCTTCTTCGTTCGATGCAGACCCTCCAATATCTTGCCCTGCTCGGTGGTAAGAGTGACGAGCACCTCGGGACCCTTCCCTCCCATGCTCATCAGGCCAACTGAGGACTCGGCATTTCCCTGAGTAATGCTCTGGAACAGAACATTGACGGCGTCGACTTGTGAGTCAAATCTTGTGGGCTGGTAGTCTCCGTTTCTGCTGCTCTCACTGTTGTCTACGACAACCATCACCGCCTCGAGAACCATCTTGGTGCTGCACCACGCTTTGGAGCTGCTTCGTATCGTATGGCGGCCGAACACGCAGTGTGACAAAATAGAAATGTGGTCAGTTTCTTAGTAGCGGGTAAAGAGTCGCACGGGTAATGGACGAGAAAGAGGCCGGAACAGAAGCGAGGCTACGGGAACAAGCTCCACGAGGAATGCTTCTGCGAGAGGCGTAAGGCGGTTCAGCCTGCTGTCAAGTATCGATACCTTGAAGGCCAATATGTGGAGTGCTTTTCACCAGGTATCTAGGTACCTTTACCTTGTGGGGCATTTCACTGGCGGCGCCTGAGCACATGTGCTGACATAATACAGCCTCGCTTCCACCCTCCCCAAGTTTGTTTACTTCAAAGCCACTGGCCAGTCGCGGCGTGCCGCGGCCGGAGCTACAAACATCAACTTCATGTCAAACATCTCGCAACCTACACCAAAATATACAGCCCTTCTTGACGATTCGACGGCACTGACGAACAAGAACAAGATAATGGCTCCCATTAGAAATAGGAAGAGGGTGTCAGAGCAATCCACCGTCTCGAGAGAGCAAGATGCGGCCACAGACACCAAAGTGCCTGTAAAAAGCCCATCAACACCTCACGAGAGAAGTCCACTTAAGAAGCGCAAGATGGGAATCAGCACTCTGCAGAAACAGGCCTTGATTGACAATCTGCAACTAGAAGGTACTTTCCCCCCTGGTCTTTGTTACGGACCCTCGACATGTGTAGTGACCTGTCTAGTCACTGAACGCGCCAGACGACTTCGCGCCCAATACCATCTACAAGCACAGGGCTTACGATCCCGAATTGAAATACGAATCAACAGAATACCCGTTTCTCTGCGAAAGCTGACAATTGGTGAACTCATTTTGAAATGTTCACAACAGGAACAAGGTCAGGTCTTTGCTAGGCCTCCTCCAGTGCCTGCCAAAGACACATTTCGCTCGAGCCCCCAGAGAGCGCTACCGGCTCGGAGTCAGGCCGTAGGCCGCGGCTACAAACGCATGAGGTATTAACACTCGGCGTGGTGTCAAAATCAAATGCAACATGCTAAATTTTTGTCAGCAGTGAGATTGCAGGAGACAAGGAAAACGACGCGGAAAACAGGGACGGCGCCAAAAAGAAGATTAGAACAGAGACGGGGCGTGTTCGGCCAAACCAGGTCCTGTCCCCGACTTCATCAAACTCGCGCCTTGGAAATATGGACCGGTCGGCATCGCCGGCGAAGCCGCAAATGTCTCGACCTGGCTCTCCGTTGAAACCCGCCTCCTCGCGCGCCGCCGCCTCAAGCGTTCTCTCCAGCATGGTGGAAAAGGCCAAGGCTACACGTACTGCTACGCGCACGAGGGGAACCAGAAAGGTCACCACGACTTCAGAAGCGAGTTCCGCGTCAACGACCGCCACGAAATCTCGACGCCCTGCCACTACTGCAGCCTCCCGAGCGCCTATTTCCCGACCAGCAACCCGGACAGGCCGCCGTCCTAGTGGGACGAGTGACACTAGCGAGGGGAGTGTCGGAACTGTAGTTCGAAAACCGAGCGCATCCAAAAAGGCAGCGCCAGCAGCCGCGCGTACCACTGTCATGGGGACTATTCGAAAGGGCGTTACCAGTGCTACGACGAAGAGAGCAGCAACGAGAACAACGGCAGCCCCAACAACAGCAGCGAGTGCTAGGGTGTTGCGTAAGCGGGGATAGGTTCGCTGGAATGAAAGTTGACCATGGGCAATTCTGTTTTGACTTTTTGTTTTTCTTGAAACTTTGACGCAGGCGTTCATAGTTGGCGTAAATTGGATTTGTGCTGCGGGTTCAAATGACACATTGCACTGGCGTTATTTGGGGAGGCATGCAATGCTTTCAAAAGGCTGCGGTTTAATCAATCAGACCATGCGAGATATTGCCTAGTAAATTTATGCTGCTGCCGCCTTCTTCTTCTTCTTGTCATCCACGAGCTCAATGTTATCGGCGGGTATCTCCTTGTACTTTTCCAAAATAAACTCTTCCAACTCGTCGCTCACATCGCCTTGTACCACGATTTCTTCGCCCCCACTGGGCAGCTTGGTCACCGACGAGCCAGTAGCAAACTTTTTGCCGAGATCTTTGGCCACCTGGTATTATTAGCACCGACCACATCATGACACCCGTTGGATAGTAAACCTTTTTCAGTTCCAGACCAAAAGCCTCCAGTCCAATGACCGCCGTGACGAACTTCTTCTTATTCCGCTCAATGCGCTTAATGGTCACGACACTGTTGGCCATTTTATCAGCTTGCTTGGCCTCGGCGGCCTCGGCCTTTGCCGTTTTCTTCTGCGCGTCTTTGGCGGCTCTCTTTTGCGCTTCGACGGACAAGGATGCGGTTGCAGCCTCCAAAGCCTCTGCGGGAGAAATATGCGTCAGGCAGCTGATCGTCACGGCAGGAAACGTGCCACACTGACCGGCTGACCAGATCCTGTCATACAACTCCTTGTTGTTCTTTTCCAGCCACTCTTGGCACTTTTTCACGGTTCCTCCATATTCACAGTACTAGGTTGGGATTTTGTCAGAACGCGTAAGCCTTGGTGGGATGTTTCTATTATCAGACGGTCGGGGCACGGTCAAGGGAGTCGGAGGGTGACGCACCTCGGGGGGCAGTGTGCAAACTGACGGCGACGATGACGTCTGGTTAGCAGGGAGTCATGATGCATTGCCGTCGCAGGAGCGTGAGCGAGGAACCTACCGCCGCAGTATGTGACATGTCTGGCCTGAGGCTCGGCCGAGACTTCCGAGTGTTCTGCGTCCGCCATTTCTGCAGACCTTAGGTGATCGGGAGTTGAAGCACTTGGGAGCTCTTGCCGTCGCGCACATGGCGGGGTAAAATTGCCAGAGGTCAGTCGGCCCATGGAGGGGCTCGCTCAGCACCAGCCGTCACCAGCCGACACCAGCTGTCAGGGCTCGGGAGTCAGGACTCACACTGGGAGATGGCTTCCTTGCCTCCCGAGCCTCGCGCACAACCTGGAAATGTCACTTCCTCTCATGACGAATTATCACGACTGCACCTAGGAAGCGCCTGCACCTTTAATTACACGCAGGATTGGCTGGCGTTTTGCACATGACGCCCATCAAATTCCTTTCACCGCCGTCGACTCGTCTGCATGTGCGGATGGCCTCCGCTCCGGCCAAGTATAGGGTCTCAACTCTTATCATGATGCTTCCCGACTCCCTCGGCCGTCCAAAAATTTGGTCGCAACGGCCACCCGCCAAACCGCCCATCGAGACCATCTTGAGCAGGCTGCATCACACTCCAACGGATGGATTCATTGATTGGGGACCCAAGAAGCAGTTTTAAGCGCCGGGGATCAGATGGGCCACCACGGCCAACACCATGGCCGCCTCCCGCCCCCCTCACCGTACTTAAGTACGTAGCCTTGAGTCCAATCAGCCCCCAAGGACATCGCCACTTCGCGCGCGCCTGCATAATGTTTCGCTGGGCCAGCCATCTGATGTCACCATGTCACCCAAATTTAGACGACTATCCTGGTTTCGAATCAGATGCTTACCCTGGGCGTTGGGCTGGGCATATCACTACCGTCTCAGTTCCCACAGCCGCGAGGTCCTACCATCGATGTGCCGATGCAGTCACGATATCCTTTCTCTTTCGGATGCAGGCCGCGCTGCATTTGCCCCGTCCGTTCGTCTTTGCTAGCCACTAATGTCTGCATCATGTCTCGTAGCCGCTTGGTCCAGTCGATGGACGAGTTCCTTTAAGGATTTGCATTCCCTGGCCAACTAGATCAGCCGCATCTGTTCCCCTTCACATTCTCTTCTCTTGCCCCCGTTTCCCTTTGGTACTCGTGTGGTGTTTTTGTAAAATCAGTAAAGCCTTCGTTGATCGAAGCAGCCTATCGTTCCCGTTTATTCCAACTTTCGACGCCGGCCGTTGATATTAACACATTACGATAATTGTCAATTTCTCTTTTGATGCCAATTACATTGCTGACAAGTTGACGGAAGTCGACCTGACGCAAAACGGGAACCGTTAGCCGGGCATAGCGGAATACTTAAAATAAAAAAGAAAGAAGGAAAGAGCACGGAAAGAAACAGACGGAAAGGGAAAAGAGAAAAGAAAAGAAAACGAAAGAAAACGAGGGAGATGGCTGACTCTGTCCACTTACCGAGCAGTTTTCAGTCTCGTGAGTCTTCGCTGGGTCGAAGGTCAAAGAGACGCCTTAATCCCATAATAGAAGAAGACTACGATGACGGCCACGTTCAGAATGCAACGATGGAGCAACAACGGAGACGTGGGGATGCTTCACTTCTGAAGATCGAAGCCTGGCTGTCACCGATGAGCGATCACTTTCCAACTCCCCGGGGAATTCACTATCTTTCCGCTCCCGTCCTTCCGTCGTCGCCGTCAACGGCATCAAGAGATGGCAGTTCTCCTACAACCTCGTCGAATATGTGGAATCGAGCCAGCATCGGCACCGAGAACACTGATTTCGAGGACCTCTATGATGTGTCCGAGGACGAAGATGGGAATGGCACGTCACGATGCTATCAGCAAACGTCTGCCGACCGAGCGATGAACCAGCAGCAGCCATTGTCGAGACAGCCTGCTCGTCTTCGGATCGCAACAAATCAGGATGAGCCCGATGAATCGTGGCCTGCAGTCAACGAGTTCAAGAAGAATACATCGCCAGTGCCGCTGACTCCATTGGCTCAGCTGCCCATGTCTCCGGCTCAGATGAACTTTATTGGAAAGCAGCAAGCGCTTGAAATACCAACCATTTCCGCACCGCCGTCTCTCGATGGCAGTCTGTCGTCTGAGCAGCTTGCCGCATTGAGCGCACCACCAACACCAGTCACTGGACACGACGAACACAAAGCGGAAGAGGCCTGGGCCGGCGTCCACCTTCAACCCGACGCTCTCGCAACGCTTCAAGCTCTGTCAGGGGATGACGAAGGAGAAGGGCAAGAATTGCACGAGCGCCCCGTACAGGTACTCGACGTTTCCATGCACCCAGTCGCCGAGATGCAACAGCAGCCTTTGCGCTTGCTCACCGGCGTCGCAACTCGTGCGGCTCACAACATCGTCCATTCGCCAAATCTGGCCCGACAATCTCTTGCCGGCTTGACAAGACTGAGTATTCCCTCTCCTGGCGGGTTCTTTTCCGGGCTGTCTCCTCGAAGTAGAAATACCTGGCATCTGCCCAGCAAGTCGCCAGTGGACATGCCACCGCCAACCTCCACCACTGCTGAGCAATTTTATCGATGCCCCTGGAACGTCAATTCTTCTGTTCCCCCGCTGCCAAAACGTCCCGATTCTGCAGAAGCATTCTACAGGGGCGTTAGTCTATCCTCAGAACCTGTTGAGCAGGTCATCCAGGTTCAAGACGATGACGACATGACAGAGGGCATGCCTACTGCTAGGCTCGTGATTCCACGTCAAGAGTCCAACGAGTCTCGAGAGACCACTGCCAAGGTTGTCGAGGAGACACCAGTCGAGATTATTGTCGACTATGATCCCGACTATGCTAGGAAGCAGCAAAAAGAAGCGTTGTCCAACTTGGATCGCACGGAACTGTGGCTAATGGCGCAGAGGGCTTACCTCAAGGGCGTAGAGGGAGGGCTCGACAATAACGCTGCTCTCAAAACCATTGAGGAGTTGCCTGGGGAGGATGGCGAGGAGAATGACGAGAAATCCAAGCCGGAATCTGAACCTGAGCAAGGGGGGGAAGTCAAAAGAAAGGTTGTTCGGTTCTCCAATGTTATTCCAACGTCTTGGGAGCCCAAGCGCCTGCCCTCCAAGCTGCTGCGACAGGAATCAGCTTATTACCGAGCTTTCCAGGATTACATTGTACGCACACGTCTTCAAGATGTGTTTGTCCAGCAGCTTTGTCGCTTCGAGGCAGTCCAGGCTCAGCGCGCAGCACTTCGCGACACCCACCGCAACCAGCTTCTCGGCAAATATCAGCTCAGCGTCGTCCCGCAGTCAGCCAAGCACCGACTCAGCGCCAACGTCGCTCGAGGCGACGACATGCTGACTGACGACCCTGAAAGGCTGCGCAGGGAGAAGGAGTTGGAGGCCATGAATCAAATGACCATCCCGACCTGGCACGTTGCTGCCCTCAAGTTCCTCAACGGCGGCCGCCTCATCTCGGCGCCCGTGACCAAAAGACTGGCTCGACTTTCCCATCTCACTGCCCCAGGCAAAAACGGCGCTGGTCACGACCGTTCTAGGATTCTCGATCTCGGCGGGCAGTCAACGTGCGATTGGGCATGGCACTGCGCGCTTCAGTATCCAAACGCCAAGGTTTACACCGTGACGACCAAGGCGATTCGCCAGCTCTCAAACTCCAACATTCGCGGACCCCCCAACCACCGCCAGGTTGCGGTAAAGCGTCTTTGCAAGCTTCCCTTTGCAGATGGTCAGTTTGACTTGATTTCCGCCCGCGAGCTTCATGGCATCCTCAAGTTTGTGGGCGAAAACGGGGAGGACGAATGGGAGAGCTGCCTCCACGAGTGCATGCGAGTGCTCAAGCCCGGCGGCTACTTGGAGTTTTCTGTCATGGACTCGGATATCATGAATGCCGGACCGCTCGGTCGTGCCAAGAGTGTAGAGTTTGGATTTTCACTCAAGACTCTCGGTTACGATCCAAGCCCGACGAAGCTGTGGCTCGGCCGACTGGCTCGCGCAGGGTTTGATGATGTTCGCCGGGCTTGGGTCTGCCTCCCCGTCGGTGCCAGGAAGAAGACGAGCATTGCACCAACACCACCGTTCGAGGGCGACGTCTCGATCAGCAGTGGCAAAGTTTGTCAGATGGACGCCATGGTCACGGGCAGCAGTGACAATATTGCCAATGTCTGCAGCGTTGTTGGCGGGTGGAGCTGGGAGCGATGGCTACTCCGATGCGAGATGGAAAAGGTCGGGGGAGAGATGCGCCTGGCTGACACTGTAACGACTGGAGCGGCCATGAAGGAAGCAGGCAAATGTCTGGATGGGGTGCACGCAGTAATGGAGGAGGGAAGAAGTTGTAGGGCTGGTTTCCGGATGCTCAACGGGTGGGCGCGGAAGCCCAAGAGATGCCGCGATGTGATCCAGATTGCATTTGCGCACTGAGGGTCTGTTTGCTCCGTGATTGACGGCAGCTAAGCGTTTTCCTTGTTTTGGTCTCTGCATGAATGAGTCTGCGTGTACCATGAAATGTGCCATTGGCAAATCGAGAGAGCATCTGAGACGTATTGGAGCGTCGTGCGTCCCGCGACGGTCCACGTATCACGTCGTCGACGGGTGAGAGTTCCGACTCCCTACAACATGGAAGCGTGCCGATCTCGTCCATTCGGCCGCAATGTGAAGACAGAGAGAAAGTACTTCGATTCTAGAACTCCCTCCTAAAGGGTGAATGAGCCAAGCCAAGAAAATGCCAGGACGCAGAAGAAGTCATGGTGTTGGTCAAAGCAGCCGAAGTCTCCCGATTCGTATTAGCGCCTGGCGGGCCGCCAAAATCTCGGATCAGTCAGCAAGTTTCCCCAGCTCTTCCAGCCCTTGCTTGCTCGTGTGATGGACGAGATCACCAACCAACCCTTTGCAGCTGGTTGGCCAAAATCCTCGCGGCTCGCCACAACAACCGGTGCATCAACTCGATCAGTCATGTCCGGGCAGAGTAACTGGCAGGAAGAGGCCATGCGCCGTCTGCGCCAGATGCAGTCGCGCGGCGGATACGGCGGCAGACCTGGCGGCGGCCCGCCTCAAGTCCCTCGAGGAGCTGGCGGTGCATTGATTGGAGGTGTTTTGCTCGCCGGCGGCGCCTGGGTGCTGTCGAACTCGCTCTTCAACGTCGACGGCGGTCACCGCGCCATCAAGTACAGGAGGACGAGCGGGGTGAGCAAGGAGATCTACAACGAAGGTAAGGACCGCGAGGCCGGGAATCATTGCGGCGGCGGAGACGGGAGCTGACGGGAATCGCGTGTGCCCAGGTACTCACATCAACATTCCGTGGTTCGAGACGCCCATCGTCTACGACGTGCGCGCAAGGCCCAGGAACGTCGCCTCTCTCACGGGCACCAAGGACCTGCAAATGGTCAACATTACCTGCCGTGTGCTGTCGAGGCCACGGGTCGAGGCCCTGCCGCAGATCTACAGAACCCTCGGGGCCGACTACGACGACCGTGTGCTGCCTTCCATCGTGAACGAGGTGCTCAAGAGCGTCGTCGCCCAGTTCAATGCCAGTCAGCTCATTACTCAGCGAGAGATGGTGGCCAGGCTGGTGAGAGAAAACTTGTCCAGGCGAGCTGCCCGGTTCAACATTCTCCTCGACGACGTGTCCCTCACGGCAAGTCTCTCCGCATCTCTTTCTGTTCTCCCCCCTCTCTCTGTCCCTCTCTCTCTCTCTGTCTCTCTCTCTCTCTCTCTCTGTCTCTCTCTCTCTCTCTCTGTGTCTCTCTCTCTCTCTGTGTCTCTCTCTCTTTTTTCCCCCCTTCACTTGATCTTGCTTTCCCGTCGGACCCCGGGCCCAGCCGAGTCCACATGCTAACCGAGCCTGTGCAGCACCTCGCCTTTTCCCCGGAATTCACCGCCGCCGTCGAAGCCAAGCAAGTCGCGCAGCAGGAAGCCCAACGCGCCGCCTTTGTCGTGGACAAGGCTAGACAGGAGAAGCAGGCCATGGTCGTCAAGGCACAGGGTGAGGCTCGCTCCGCCGAGCTCATTGGTGATGCCATCAAGAAGAGCAAGGCCTACGTGGAGCTGAAGAAGATTGAGAATGCCCGTCTGATTGCGCAGCAGCTGCAGGAGTCTGGCTCCAAGAACAGGCTGATGCTTGACGCGGATGGTTTGGGGTTGAACGTGTTTGAGGGCGAGGACAAGAAATAACCAAGTCGCCCCCGTATTTCTATTTCTAGCTTTGCTCGTCGCCACTCACGGCGGGTTGCAGGCGGGCATCGCAAAGGCCAAAAGGGAAAACATCTCCACCAAACGTCCAAAATAAAACGGAATTGTACCATAGTTTACATGTCCATAGGACGGCTAATACCGTCTTCCGCTACCTTGACCAAGCTTGCCGTTCACACGCCCGTCATCCTCGCGTGCCAACTATTTTGACAAGGAGACCGGTAGTAGCATGGCGAACCGGCCGAAACGCCCTTTCCCTCTCGGCATCCAAAATGCTCTCTCCAATCTAAACGTCTGTATCGGCTTGCGCAGAGAATAATCAAGGGCGTCTGTCCTCGGCCTAGTCTCCCACCGCCCGTTGTCCTTGCGGCGTCTCGAGACCCCCCCGTCCACCGCGATGCCGTATATCCTTCTGCAACGGGCAAATTTGTATCCATGAGCACGTACTAATACCGCTCTGCATTGCTCGCACTAGTGGGAGACGTCTTGGCGGTTTCGCGTAAACTTTCAGGTTGAAACTCAGTTTGGAATGGAGCTTTTCCAGGACCAGGCAACAGAGCCTGCTGTCCTCAGCCGTGGAGATGGCTCGTGTCTCGCTGTTTGGAGCCAGCAAATGCAGATGAGTCCACGGCTCGAGACTCGCCAGGGGATGCCAGGGCTACTGCTGCAAAGGGCCGTTGTTGGGAAAGGAAATACGGGAGCGTGTGGCGGGACCGCGAGCCGGGATGGACGGGGTCGACTGATACATAGGAGAGGTCTTTTTCTGCCATGGGCGCCAGCAGGAGGCCGATTTGACGAGGCAGGTGATGGGTCGGTCGGTGGTCATGTTGTGCCGTGGCCACGTTTGTCTGCGTGGAGCCGCATGATGACGGATTCTTTGAGGGGAGCCACGATGGTTATCTTGAGGCGATGTAGGGAGTTCAGAAGCGCCAGCCAGATGACATGGGATTGTTCTCGTCCGAAGCACAGTCGCAGGGTTCTTTGAGCGGGGTGGCACACAGAAGGATGGACGTCTTGACAAAGACTAGGCAGTTGGTGTGCGGGGAGATGGGAGATGAGACCGTCTGCCGGGTCTTTAATGTCAAGTGTGTCGATGGAGACGGGAATCACGGCGTCGATATGCCGCCCGCCGTCTGGCTCGGGGTCTGAGGCTGCGAAGCTAGATGGGGCAAGATTCAAGGGCGACTTGTGTGACGCTTCTCGGCCGACGATGAGACGACGCCTGGGCAGCTCGCAGATGGTGTCCGACTTTGCACCTCGGAGTCTGGCTGACTGGTGAACGAGATGGAGACAGGGTCGGGTGTTACCCGTTCAGGATTCGTCCGTCAGAAGCAGGTAATCTGTGGCGTCCTGCCCACCCATCATTGTGATGTCAGAGCTTACTTGCGCTGGCTCATCATGGGCAAAGTGTTGCCATGCAAGCCGAGACACGGGAGAGAGGCGGCGGGATGACGCGGCACGGCATCTTTGACCGGGCGGCCGGTCGCCATAGCCAACACCAGGCCGGCGCGCCATTTTTCCTGATCTGGCAGTCGATGCCGCCGTATGGATCCGCGACGCCGGACGCAGCCGAGGAAGGCAGCGGCCTTGCGTCGAGGGAGTCGGGACTGACATTATGCGACGACCATCATCGACCTTGGAGGTGGATATGCACCTTGCCCGCGACGGAGCCGTGTGTAAGCCGCCAGGTGTTGTTCTGCAGTGGCCAAAGCAAACGATCCATCAGAATCGGCATACATGGAAATCATATATATAGGGCCTTCGTCGCTGGAGTCGTCCGTGAGGTGGCCGGTTTGATTCTGATGCAGCACACCATTCACGACAGACAATGCGTCCTCTCTCCTCGTTCCTCTTGGCTTCTGCGGCTTCGGCTGCCTCCCTTTCCAGATGGCATCAAAACGGGGTGAAATGGTTGCCCTGCGAAATTGCCAATGCCACTGTTCCCCTGGAATGCGGTACAATGACTGTGCCTCTCGACTACACCGACAAAACGGGAAATGCAACTCTCGAGTTGCAGCTGCAGCGAGCCCCGGCGCAGCAAAAGAGCAAAACCACAAAGAGCATCTTGCTCAACTTCGGAGGACCTGGTGCCGATGGCATCGAGGACTTTGCGTATTTTGCCCAGAGGATGCAGGCGTAGGTTGTGACTTCAAACTCGCATATTTCTTGGACCCTGCTGACATTGAGTCGCAGTGCGACTGGCGGTGGCCACCATCTCATCAATGTCGTTCCAAGGTACGTTTGGCGCTGCAGCAGCGTGTAATAGACCAGTCTAAACAGAAAACACACACACAGGGGAACCGGCGAAACTCTACCGTTCTCCTGCTTCAGCAACGATGTCCTCCGCACCGCATCAAATCAAGCCCTCGCCGGCAACGCGTCCAATGTCGCCCTGGGCTACGTCTGGGAGAGGGCTGGCTTCTTCGCCTCCGACTGCCATGCTGCTCAGAACAAGACGGGAAATCTCGTCGGAACTGCATTTGTGGCTCGCGACATGATGGAGATTGTAGATGCTCTCGGTGAAGACGGGATGCTTCGTTTTTGGGGCGTCTCGTACGGCTCAATACTAGGCTCAACCGCCGCGGCCATGTTCCCCGACAAGATTGACAAGATGATCCTCGATGGCGTCGCTAACCCTTTTGAGTATTATGAGAACAGGCATGTCTTCACGTTCGTATGACAGAACACGACTCCGGCATGCTGACGCGGCGCAGGGAGACGGAACTCTTTTCCGACAGCGACAACGTCATCAAGGGTTTCGTCGAGGGCTGCGTCGCCAACCCCAAGGCCTGCCCACTCGCAAAGAACCAGACGGCTGCTCAACTCGAGGAGTCCATCTACCAACTTTTCCAGAAGCTCAAGTACGAACTCATTGGCATTCCGGTACCAGGATACCCAGGAGGGGGGCTGCTCATCGACTACAGCTTCATGTCCGCCGTGATATTCCGCCAACTGTACACACCCTCCATATGGCAATCCACGGCAAAATGCATTCTAGCCCTCATGACTGGCCAGAACACGAGTCCCGGCCTACAGCACTGTGTGCCAGGCCTGGCACAGACGGCCAGCAAGGACGCATCAGGGAAAAGGGACCAGGAAGCACAGTTCGGCATCAAGTGCAGCGACGTCCGCGTTCACACAAAAAGCTTGACACCACAGGTGCTTCCCGTGCTCCAAGAGCGTCACAACAAGAGCCGATTCTTTGGCGACCACGCCGACACTGTCCTTGCCAAGTGTGCCCAGTGGACGCTACCAGCCAAGGAGCGGTACATGGGCGACTTCAACGTCAGAACCAAGAAGCCATTGTTGATTATCGGGAACACGCACGACCCCGTCACGCCCCTGGTTTCGGCAAGGAATGTCAGCGAGACGTTCAAGGGGAGTGTGCTTTTGCAGCATGATTCCTATGGGGTAAGCTGCCTCTTGACCAGCCGCTTCGTGGAAGCCGGAAGCTAATGTAGTTTGCAGCACGCTAGTTTGATGCAGGCCTCGCTGTGTACGGCCAAGGCTATCCGGTCGTACATCGTCAACGGGACGATGCCAGGCAAGGGAACAAAGTGTGATGTCAAGGTCCCTTTGTTTTCGGGCAAGGATGGCTGGGATGAGGTGATGGAGCAGCTGAAGAAGAGCCAGGCGTATTAGATTTCGTGAATTCGTTTTGGGCGCGAAAACAGCTCAATAGACTTGCATTGTGCATGCTAAAGCGCATTTCGAACGATGCGGACAAGCCCGTCAAGACTGGATAGATGTATCCCGCCAACGGGTGGCGGCGTTGGGCAAGGAGCAAGTTTGAGTCGGCCTTTTGCCCTTTGACGCCGGCCACGAGTCAATACGTAGCGTAATTATCAACAATCTGCCCCGCACAACCGCCTTACCGCCCGTCAAGCCAGCCAAACTAACCACTCGAGCATCAGACTCTACTCCGGCATCCTCATCACCGGCCTTGCACGCACCACGCCCTATTCCACATCCAACGAGCTCTTCACTCGCGCGGCAACGCTTCTTAGCCCGCCTCCTCCAAGTCCACCTGCACACGGGGCCTCGGCTCGACCACAGCCGTCTCCTCGCCGCCATCATGCTGATCAAGTAAGCTACCAGCCGAGGTCGGCGTCGAAGCCTCCAAGCTAACTACATTCGCAAGAGTGCGGACCCTGACCGGCAAGGAAATCGAGCTGGACATTGAGAACGACTACAAGGTACGGGCCTCACTCGCCTTCTGCGACGACAGTGGTCGCCGCGAAAATGACAGCCCCTCTACCCGCGGTCGACAAAGGGGACAAACGAGCTGACAGATGGCGGCATAGGTCTCGCAAATCAAGGAAAAGGTCGAAGAAAAAGAGGGCATCCCCCCCGTCCAGCAGCGTCTTATTCACGGTGGAAAGCAAATGTAGGCCGCTTTCCGGGGCCAGCGGCCAAACGAACTGCCAGAGCATCGCTGACCGATATGCGTAGGACCGATGACAAGACGGCTGCCGACTACAACCTCGTCGCTGGCGATACGTTACACTTGGTGCTTGCTCTGAGAGGAGGTGCGAAATGACATGCAAAGATGGGCCGAGGAGCGTCCATGGTAGCTAGCTGGAGTGGAAAATGACTGCCAGCACGACGTGTGCCAAAGCTGGGACCCGGGCCTGCCAGACAAGACCTGCAACTAGGCTATTGTCTCTACGATGAAGCGAACATGTATAAACTAGAAATCATTGGACACAAGTCGGCCGATGCAGGCGTGGATCACGACTGTGTTTTCCTCTGGCGGACTGTTCGTTACTTATGAAGCTCTAACAGATTCTTAATCAATGATGTTGTTTTCTCGCTACAAATGCTTGCCCAAATCCAAACCATGTGCAATCTTTCATTGTTTCATGCAAATACAAGCTCAGCGTGACCCAAATCATAGCCAAGCGACTTGTTCATACACAGCTGCCATCGCTGCCGAACCGCCCACTCCTTCTTTCTCTCGTCGGAATAGACACATCTTTTCATGTGCTTCATCTTTTTTTGGGTCTCATAAAGACATCCACGGCTTTGCGCTTTCGCGGCATCGCTCGCGAAGCAGCTGACTCTGAATGAGGTGGTGATGATGGCCCCGACACTGCAGGCGGCGGTGGAGGCGATGTCTTAACTTGATGAGTAGAGTTGTTCTCGCGGATTGTGACCGATCCGGACTGAGGTTTCGGCGGCGATGCCGGTGGTGACTTGACAGCTGGGCGATTAAACTTGCTTTTCAGACCCGACGTGTTCTTGACGGGGCCGGATGCAGTGCTTGAGGCAGAGACGCGCTTGACAGTAGTAGAAGATGACGAGGCCGCTGGTGACATGTTTGGCCGCCGCTTCAGAAGCGACGTGGCGGCAGACTGGACAACGAATTTCTTGGCCTGTTTCGGTGGTGGCATCTTGGCCATCTCATCACCATCAGACAAGTCGCCGTTACCCTCTTCGTCCTCCTCAGAATCCGATATGAAGGTGGCTCGCTCCTCGTGTTCTGCCACGGCAGATGGCAGTTCGGGAGATAGGGCAGATGAGCGATATTGGGGCTGAGCAGCCCGCCGATAATCGTTAACCAAAGACTGGGGCGCCTTGCTCATCTGCAAACGCTGGGTTGGTGCTCGGATAGTCCTCGAGAGAGCGCCGTGGATTGTTGCGATTTCCTTTACTTCACGGCGGACTTTGCGCATCACGCTCGCCCCGTTGACCGTCTTGGTTCGGCTGCCAGAGTTGAGTGACAGGTAGTTGGAGTGCGCCTCGCGTGGCCCGCTAAAGAGCTTCCTGCTTCCGCCCAGCTTGACGGACTTTGGCAGCAGCTTGCGCTCAATGATGCGGCTCGTATTCTTCTCCTTGTCTTGCTTCAGGCCGGCCAGCGCATTTTTAAGTTTGTTCTCGCTCTCCTCGAGTGCCGAGTCGTGGTCACTTTTGTACTTTTCCCACACTCGATACCACTTGTCGGGGTTCTGTGGCTTGTACGCCTTGGCCTTGTATTCGAGAGGAAAGTCCTTTTCAATGAGCTTCAGCCATATTTCGCCCGTTTGTCCCTGGATCTGCGGCGAGCTGAGCTCAATCTGTCGAAGCTGATGCGCGCTCTCGATTTTGAGAAGCAGGTGGCGGACCGCGTCGTAGGGTAAATAGTCTCCTATGCTGCCTAGCTCTCTGAGGTTCTTCAGACAAGCGGCCGTAGCGAGCTCAAACAAAGACTTGACGGGCATAATGAAGATTTGCGTGATTTGGTCGCGGAAAAACTCAATGCAGGGGCGGTAGGATTGAGACGGCGAATCGATTTTGTTGCAAATGCTCGACGTTTCATCGTCTAGGACGGGGTGGTGGTCGGTTCAGCACAGATGGTTCTTCTCGTACATCCAAGACTTGGCAAAAGGTCTCACCACGGTATCTTTATAGTGCTGGCTCTAGTATTTCGAGACCGATCAATGCGTTGGGTCGTTGTAGCCGTTGTGCGGTGCAGACTAGCGGCAGCGGTGGACAGTAGTCGATGAATCCGAGTTAATGATGGTGACGACTTGGGATTTATAAAGGACGCCAAGTAGGTAGGCAGTACTTTGGTACTTGGGTACTCCGTACTTGATACGTGCTCGAGCCACAGGAGCCTGGCCGAGCCCCAGATGCGGCACAGCGCTTGTCCTAGCAGCTTACCGCAGCGACCAATAGCCAATAGCGCCACAAGCGCCACAAGCGCCACAAGCGTCGGTCTAGGGGAATGGCGGGCCAAACACTAGCTCGCGGGGAATGGTTAGGGTTAGGGTCAAGGCTGGTACCTCTAGAAGAGCGGGGCTGCAGCTTTATGTGAACCCAAACCCGTCTTTGGAGCCGTGGACCGCACGAAATTTCTCTCTCTCGTTCACCTCAGCCAAAGGCGCCTTGTTTGTCGCTGCGTATCGTCGCAACCTCTGCTCTGGCCTCGCGCACCATCAAGCACGGGCACTCCCAATCCTGCGCGCGGCACTCACCATGCCGGACTCGACTTCTGTAAAGCCCGACCCGGAGGATGAAAAGGTCGTGCCGCCCCCAATGGCCATGGAGGAGGACGAGCTCTTCGAGGACGCCGGCGACCTCGAGTTCTACGACAAGGCCCAAGGCAACAGCTTCGAAACTCTCTATCTCGCGCGTTTGCCCAAGTATATCTGGGATGCGTGGATGAAGCTTGTCGAGAGGTTAGGCGACGACGACGAGATTCAGATCGGCACCCTGCGGACGTGGAATGAACAGGTGCCCGATGCGTCCATGGAGGGCGGCACCCGTGAGGTGTTCAAGCTTCGCATGCTGCTGCAGGCCAACTGCCCCGAACACCAGACGCTCCCTCGCGAGTATGACTTGGAGATTTTGGACAGACAAGTCAAGAATCACTTTATATTCAGCGAGGAGGACCTGCCGCGGTTCAAGGAGAAGAACAAGGCGCGCGCCGAGGCTGCCGCTGCCGGCATACCCCAATCCCTGTTGCGACAGAGGCAGAACCAAGGGGTCGAGCGAACCGAGAGGACATTTGACCGGAGAACTCGGTATCAGCCGTACTATCGAAAGGCTATTCCAAGTAACCACGGCCCCTCCGCCGACCAGACCGTGCCGGAGAACAACGATTGCTGACCGGCAACAGAAAAGACAAAGATATTCGGCAAGATCCACTACGACGTCCGCGTCGAGCCCCGAAACATCCGAGAAGAGGAACGCCTACTCGCCAAGCGACTACTCGACGCCGAGGGCTCCAAGACGAAGCTCCAAATCATCAGCAGGAACAGCGCGTCCGCCATCATCAACCCGGGCACCGCAGGCTCAGCTACCTGGGGCGGAGGTTTCATTGTATGCCCTTTTTTGTTCTCTCGGCTCTCAGTCCTGTTCATCTTGTACCTTGCTAACGGACGGCAGAAAAACGCGCCACCTACCGTCAAGGCCAAAAAGGGCGAAGTGTTCAAGGCTGCTCGTATTCCCAAGAACCAGCTGTTGGATCTCATTTTCGACTGCTTCCGTCAGTATCAGTACTGGTCCATGAAGGCCCTGCGGCAAAAACTGCAACAGCCAGACTCCTACTTGCGCCAGGTGCTCGAGGAGGTGGCCGTGCTGCACAAGAGCGGCCGCTTTGCGAATCACTACGGATTGAATGACGCCTACAAGGACAAGGGCGGCAGTGAGGCCAAGGAGGAGGCCGCAGAGGCCGCAGACGAGGGGGACGATGACGAGAACGAGGAGATGGAGGACGTTTTGCCAGCATAATACCGCCATGTCGAGGGGACATGAGATCTACAAAGAATTTCGCCTCGTGTCTCGGAAACCCCCCCCCACCCCCCCCAAAAAAAAGGCGCGTGGGAATCGCTCGCGCACGGAGTTGTATATATGGCGTTTTTTGGTTTCTCATCTTACGGATTTCTAGGAGGTAATTATTAGGCTGTGCTGTGCATACCTGGAATAGATTGGGCCTTCGAGGTCTACCCTGAGCAATAGGACTTTATTCTTCATCAAAGAGGCAGCTGCTGTCAATTGAGATGTGCGAGACGGTAGAATTCCCAACTTCTTCCCCATGCAACCGACGACAGCGCCCGCGCCTGATGCCGAACTCGGCGCGACATGGCCGATTGTCGCCGTCCGGCAAAGTCGTTGACGGTGGGTCTTGTGCTCGCCCCTCGTCTTTTCCACAACTTGAACATGTCACCCATCGACCTCATTGACGGCGTGCCATGCCGTGCTCACGCGTCGCCCCGTGCAAATGCGACGCGGTTTCATGTCCACGATGCGGCTCGTCCTAGACTTTGACGGCACCGTCACCCAAAAAGATACCATCGGCGAACTGGCACGGGCTGCCATTGACCTCCAGCGCCATCGCACCGGGCGACATCTCCAAGCAGCTTGGGACGACGCCGTGCAAGCCTATCTCCGGGACTGCGAGTCCTACAGGGCAAGTTTCGACCCGCCAGAGGCATCCAGAAAGGACGCAGCGGCAGAGGCACGCTTTCTAGCCGGCCTGAAAGACGCCGAAGAAGCCTCCTTGTCCCGAGTCTCGCAGACGGGCATCTTTGCCGGCCTCCAGAGAGACGACTTCTTCCAGATGGGCGTCGACGCCGTCCTGTCAGGCCGTGTGGCCGAGACGGAAGGATTCCAAGAGCTCATGCGGTCCGCCGAGAGGAAGGGCCTGAAAGTCGACGTCGTGTCGGTCAACTGGTCCAGGGCGTTTATCCAGGGCGTCCTCCACCCGCGGCGCCTTGACGTTGCTGCCAACGACGTTTCCGAAAACGGGGATATCAAGGGACCCCAGACGTCGGGCGGCACCAGGATCACGACGTCGCGGGACAAGTTGGATGCCCTGCGACGAGTAACGCAGGCCGACGGGCCGGTGTGGTATTTCGGTGACTCTGTCACGGACCTGCAGTGTCTCCTGTACTCCCGTGGCGTCGTCATCGCCGAGGACGCAACTTCGCCGCTGCTCAGAACACTGTCCCGCATCGGCATTGACGTTCCACACGTTGCGAATCCGCGGAACCGGGAGAATACCAAGCTTTTCTGGGCCCGCGACTTTCGACAAGTCCTTGCGAGCCGCGTCCTGGAACAAGGACAATGACGCCGCTACGTGGCTAAGCACTAACTACTAGCTACCCTTTGTGTGCACCTCGAGTCTTGGAGTTGGCTTGGCATTGGTGGACAGCGTCGCATGTTATTCTGCTTGACTGTACCGGGATGGCTTTCACGCCGCCCTGTTCTGTCGGATGACTTTTTACACAATTGTCATGCTGAAAGCCATGCTTTGCCCTTTCCTGCCGGAGCTCATATCTGGTGAGCATAACTATTCTCCACCATCAGGCACATTTCAGCTGACGGGGATCGCCTCCACCTGCGGTCCAAGCCTCTTCTTATTCGGGGCCAACAACCTCTGGGTCATTGGGTTGGGATGAGCAGATGGTACGTGGTACCAGGTGGGGTGGTAGCCAGAGCGGTAAAGGCGGACAGGTTGTTGCTGTGTATTTGTAGTCTTCGGCATAGATCGGCTACAGAGCATCGTCGGATTAGCTGAAATCATGTACGGACGAAGAGTGCCTGCAGAGGCAAAGAGGCTTAAACCCTCTGACTGCCGTCACTGCTGGCCCGTCCACCCTTCTGCTGCTCGGTCCAAGTTGAACGCAGCACTGATTAGGGCAAGGTGACTAAATGCCTGGGGCGTATTGCCCAGTTGCTCGCCACTTCGAGCAATTTCCTCTGAAAACATGGATAAATGGTTGGAAAATGAGAGCATGTTCTCAAACAGGTTGACTGCGCGAACAAGGTATTTCCTTTCATACACACCAGCCCGGGTCATGGCCTCGACCAGCCAAAAGGTGCACATGCTAAAGGCGCCGTCTCGCCCGCCAACGCCTGTGGCGTCTTCATTAGCGTCATGCCATGGGTTCTGGGAGCAATATTGAGCTATACCGTCGTCTGACAATTCCGTATCGTAGCGAAACACCAAGCCAGCGCTCGTTAGACCCCCCTTGTCGGGAGGCAGTAGAATCCTGTCAAGTGTATTGACGAATCGAGGATCACAGGGCGAAATAAAGAATACGAGGGGGGCTATGAGAATAGACGAATCCAAAACGGTCCTGTTTTCGTAGCTCTGTATAAAAGCCTTCATCTCGGTATTGTAACCTGCAGGAAGTTTCGTCAGTGACCAGAATTGCCCAAGGATCTGCGCACTAGACTGACCTTTTTCCATTATTTCCTCGTAAATCCCATCTCTGGCCGCCAGCCAATTGGCACGGTTGGGGCATGGGAAGCATCGCTTCTCGGCAAGTCGCAGGCCGCGGTCAAAGGTGACCCAAAGCATAATCCTGGAATAAGTAAAGTGCTGTTTGTTGCCACGAACTTCCCATATTGACATGTCGGGATCTGTGCCGTCAGTATCCGCTTAAAAAGCACCGACAAATATCACGGTAGTGCATACCATTGACGATGGTCAACACATAACCTAGGTGGATTAGCAACCTGATTGAGATGTAGGATAACGAGAACCTACCCAGTAATTCTCTCACAGCACACCACACATCCCAAGGGACTGGCTTGCCATACTTGTTGTACAGGTATATGGCGTCCATGAGCTCGCCATAGATGTCAAACTGCTGATGAAAAGCAGCGCCGTTACCAATTCGAACCGGCCTACTGCCTCGGTAGCCGTCAAGGTGGTCCAATGTCTTTTCAGGAATGTCCGTCTCGCCGCGGATGGTGAACATGATGGGCAACCCCCCGTCCGGACCGCGGGATTTCACGAAGCGATCCATAATGAAGTCCATGTATGCATCTGCCTCGGCCCTGAATCCCAATCGAAGGAGGATGTAGATGGTGAAGCTGGAATCGCGCACCCACGAATACCGGTAGTCCCAGTTCCTCACACCGCCAATATCTTCGGGAATGGAAAAAGTTGGCGCTGCCACAATGGCGCCGGTGGGCTCTGCAAGCCATCAGCACACACAAGCACTCTGCGTGGAACTGTACGTGTAGTCTCACCGTAGGTCAGCATTTTCAAAATCATGAGGCTTCGAGCCACAACCTCCCTCCAACGACCCTTGTACTTTGACTGCCGGTTGAAGTTGTGCCAAAAGGTCTGGGTATCATGCTGCTGACTGTCAAGTACCGAAGTGGAAATCCGCGCCGTGATGTGATCCGGAATGTCGTTTCTCAGCACGAAGGAAATGGCCTCGCCTTCATGCACTTGAACCTGGCCAAAGAGACCTTCGCCGAGCATACCCTCCCTCTTCACTCGTTTGAATGTGACGTTGGGGCATCCATTGCCGTCGTCTCCCTGCTGTAGGACCACATCCAACTGAAGCCGGACATCTTTGCTGTGAAAGGTGGCAGATTTGCTCTGCGAATCGATGTTATCGTACAGCGTAGTAGTGTGCGGCTCAAGGCCATATGCGAAGGCGGGAAATATTTCCACATCTATAAGCCGTGAGCTGCTGGAACATTCAACATTCTCAGCACTCTGGCCGCAGTGAACTCACCAAAGGTCAGAGATCCTCTGATACATTCTACTCGTCTTACAAGCCACTTTTTTAATTCTTCCTGAACGGTTGTTGACTCACGATAGGAGCTCTGCCTGTACTCCTTGGTGGTGACCAGGGCGGACTTGGGCCGCGGGAAGAAGTCAAGCAGATCCACAACACCGTCTTCATGAATGTATCGGGTCTGCAGAATACACGACCCGGGCAGGTATTGCTGTTTGGTAGTGCACTGGAGCTTCTCTGGAGGCGCAATACTAAAGTAGCCGCCCTTGTCCTTGTCCAGCAAACGACAGAAGACAGACGGTGAGTCGAAATCGGGCCTACACGCACGTTTCAGTCGAGTATTCTCGTGACAGGAAAACCAAGGGACAAGCTCACCAGCACATGAAATCCACACTGCCATCAATGCCTACCAGCGCACACGTGTGCATGTTGCCGATCATTCCGTAGTCCTCTATCGGCAGGTAGCCGCCCGTCTGAGCTCTTCGAGCCCGGCGAGGGGTTGAGCCTTCGGCCATTGAGAAGGACGAAGTAGGTGTGAATATCAGACAAGAGTATTTGCTCGGGAGATGAATCATGCAAAAAAATGGCTCAACCGGGTGCCCTGCAAGCACATAGGCTGAGGCAGCTGTCAGATGATATCCCAGGACCAGGTATTGGTGGGGTAGATGCAAGCTCAGCCGGCTTTCCGGAAAGGGTGGGTCCGACTCACGATCTTTGGTGATGATCTGATGTTGGAGTGGAAGAAGAGGGGACTTTGGCATATGCTTTCAATGGCTAAACAGTTGCTGCAAGGCTTGCTTTGATCATCTTCTCCGCGGCGTAGAAGTCGCCATCACCGGCAGCCGCAATTCTCCGGGCCGGGAGCTTCGGGCCCTCGAGCCAGGCGCAAGCGTGACACTAACGAGCTTCGGTGCGCTATGAGTGACGAGTCAACCAAGCACAAGTGTCAAACGCCTCTCTTGAGAAAAAAAGCAGCGAGACGAGGCGGGCGAACTAGGAGCCGAGCCGGGAAAGATAGCGGAACAGGAGCTTTCCTCCTGTAATGTAACCTGTGGGCAACAAAGGATAATTTATCTCTGCCATGGTTCTCTGCACGGTTCGCATGTGCTCGCAGGACCTCTCTGATCAGATATCCGGCACTGCCCTTGACGCCCATAGGCTCATTTTGAGAAGCCCTGGGGACTTGTCCCGCACGCCAGTATCGTCTGACTCCTCTCTCCGCACTTAGGCTTGCCAAGGACAATAGTACCGTGGGGAGCTGACGTTCGTAGCAGGGTCTGGCTCTGGCCAAGGTTATCGGTCAATGGCTTCTTGCTCGCAAGGCTGACGACCCCAGCAGCCGGACGCCAGAGCCGATCACAATCACAGGAAGGCCACAGGGTAAAATATGGCTGGCGGCCGGGAAAGTTGAAGGCGCCAAAGTCGAAAAGCCCAACGCCCCAAGTCGACCACACCTCAGTCTTGGTGCCAGACAGACAGATTGGATGTTGTCAAAGCTTGTATGGTCTTTACACCACGGGATGGCGCTTTTGTGCAGCAACAGTTGTGTCGTCTTTATGCTGCAACACGTATCACTGTTAGCATTCCCGGCTGGACTAACGAGCACTCTCTTTACGTACCATTAACGCAACAGCAACACGCATTACATGTAGCTCATGCGATGGATTCTGCCCACCGAGGAATGTGCCCAAGGTGAATGCAGTGCTGCGATGCGAGGCCAATGAGTATAGAGCACAGACAGAAGTTTGGAGGCCGCACATGCATTTTCCGCGCTTGAGATCTGTAATAGCACCAAGTGCCCTGCGTCTCAGTGCATGATGCTTGATTAATTGATGGTCGCCGTCCTTCTTTCCAAGGCCGCTGAGCATGCCCTTGCACGTTGGCTTGAAAATCAACACACCAATTGGTACTGACAATGCTAGGGTAGATATTTTGTTGCCGCCAGGGGTTTCGACGATGGCATTGTGTTGTCTGCCGCCCACAGGCAGGAGCCAGCACCCCCTTTTTGCCCCAGGCTCCTAGCCCCTGTGGCCTGGCCCAAAAGGCCCTAGCGGCCGCGAACCAGGGGCCAGGCTAGCAGTACGCAGCAGCGCTACGGACGACCTGGGCAGTTGCCAGTTAACTACCAGACGGTGTGCCTCCTCCGTACCACTTGACAGTTTGAATAGTTAAACGCTTTGTCAACCGGTTGTGTCAACTGCTGCTAGTAGCACGAGGCGCGCCCAATAGCATCCCGCGTTGGCTTCCCATCCGCCCACTTAAACAACCCGCGGCGGACGTAGAGTCTCGTCGTCGGCTTGAGGCTCGCCGTCTTGTCTGGTCTTGTCTTTTGGGTTGGGCTGGCGCCGTCAAACCCCAGACATAACTCATCACATATCCCTCCCTATCCATCCTACCTGTGCAGTGTGCACCATGTGCTGTACTGGCCCCGTCGCGTGCCGCCCCCATGACCTTGCACATGCACCCTGCCGAGCCGACCAAGTCTGGAAATCTCCATCATGACCCCGGACCCATCACCTCCCTCCCCCCGTCATAATAACATCCTCCCCCCTTCCTCCCCCGAGTCCCCCCTGGCCGTCTTTGACGCAGCACCGTCACCAATTCTTGCTGGCAGCGGTTCACGTTCACAGCTCGAACCTCGATCCGAGCTCTCTGACGCCGTCGTCTCTGCCGCGCCCAACCCATCTGCTTCTTCTCCTCGGCAAGCAGGCGCCTCCAGCTCTGCCAGCAACAACATCGAGATGGAGCCAATTCCGGGCCATCGGCGGCGGAAGAGCAGTCTCATGAACCCCGTTGGTGGTCACAGCCACCCCGGCGTACCTTCTCCTGGCCGGCCGAGTTATTCACAGAGCTCCCGCAACAACGGCCCTACGCCCGCCGCCCTGCCAGAGGGCTCAAACGAACACCTCCATGTGCCCGGACGAGGTGCCGGAGAGTCGGGCTCCGCCGCCAGGGACGACCCGGGGGGAGAAAGCCTCAGTGACGATGACCTCTGCGACGACGAGGAAATGGGGTTGACGCGAAAGGACAAAACGCGCAGGCAAAAGAAACGGAGGAGGAATACCCTGCTGGACAACCGGATCGCGCGCGAGAAGCACCTTTCCGATGACGAGTGCAAGGAAGCCGATCGCAATGTCGTCAAGAGCTTATTCATTAACGGGGCGTTGATTCTGCTGTGGTATTTCTTTTCGCTGTCCATTTCCTTGGTAAGTGTCCACCTCGGGTCAGAACAAGGCACAGCCAACCCTCACGCAGCTGGACTGACGGTTCCGCCGGCCAGTATAACAAATGGATGTTCGACAAGGACCGCCTGAATTTTGCATTTCCTCTATTCACTACGTCTACACACATGCTGGTGCAGTTTGCCTTGTCGGGCTTGGTCTTGACATTCGTGCCTTCGCTACGGCCAAAGGCAGCCCACAGCTCTGACGGCGGCCGATCCAGACACGAGTCCGAGCCGCAGGGATCCGTCATGTCCAAAATGTTTTATTTCACCCGTATCGGCCCATGTGGTGCCGCTACAAGTCTGGACATCGGACTGGGTAACACGTCACTCAAGTTCATAAGCTTGACCTTTTACAGTATGTTGCATATCCCAACAACGGTTGACAAAGAATGCATACTAATGCTCAACACTAGCCATGTGCAAGTCTTCATCCCTCGCTTTCGTCCTTCTCTTTGCCTTTGTCTTCCGCCTCGAAACGCCGACTTGGCGCCTCGTCGCCATTATCGCAACCATGACGTTTGGTGTCATTCTCATGGTCTTTGGGGAGGTGGAATTCAAGTTCGGCGGCTTCTTCCTCGTCATCTCCGCCGCATTCTTTTCAGGGCTGCGGTGGGCCCTTACGCAGATCCTGCTTCTGCGCAACCCAGCCACCTCCAACCCCTTCTCGAGCATCTTCTTTCTATCTCCCGTCATGTTCATCGTTCTTTTGTCCCTGGCTATTCCCGTGGAAGGTTTCGGGCCGTTGTGGGATGGCCTCAAGGCCCTGGGCGGGGAGTGGGGTGTCTGGACACCGCTCTTCTTATTGTTCCCAGGTTCCATTGCGTTCCTCATGATTGCGTCCGAATTTGCGCTACTTCAACGAACATCCGTCGTCACCTTGTCCATCGCAGGTATTTTCAAAGAAGTGGTGACCATCTCCGCCGCGTCCGTTGTTTTTGACGACAAGCTCACGCCCATCAATTTCGTCGGTCTCCTCGTGACCATGGCCGCTATCGGCGCCTACAACTACGTCAAGATCAGCAAGATGCGCCAAGACGCGCAGATTGAAGTCCACGAGCGCCACGCGGACGGCGCGCACCCAGTCACCCCAATCAGTAACAGCGGCAGCGGCAGCGACGCGGACAATGATGACTCGGCCGCAGAGACTGCCGGTCTGCTGCGTCAGACTGACGGGCAGGAGCAGGGGATCGTCACGGTGGATAATAATGCGCAGCCCGGCCTGCCTCGGCCACCAAACGCGTAGTGAAAAGGGGATAGGCGAGAGCGCGTACAGTCGACTTGTTTCATATAAGCATACTGCACACCGGTTGTCGAGCGTTGATTTTATTCGTTTGATTTTTTTTTGATTTTTTTTTTTGGTAAACGATGTCTATTTTCGGGCCTCAGGGAAGAGACATGGCAATGTTCTGTTTTGTAAACTGGCCAGGGAAAAGTGAAGGAGGGACATTATCCCAGCGTGGTTGACAGTCGGTGAGACAGGCTGGAGTGACTCGGATATACCAATTGATCTAGAGGAAGAGTTATCAAAGATCAGCCCAAGGCTCATAGAATAGGCTTCAGACGTTGGACGTCATGCCAGTGGGCACATGGTAATGGAAACGTGCGTTGCGCATGGCATGACCTCGCACCCGCAGCCCATCTACAGCAACTTGAGTGCTGACAACATGTCAAGGTGATTTGTGTTGTGTTGATAATCCAACGTCAACCGCTACACGGGATATCTACAGTTTCCCCCAACTCCAGACCAAACGCCCAAATGCACAACCTACTTGGAAGGAAATAAAACGACGCACTTCAGGCACCCGGGTCTCCATAACACATGTGCCTACCCTACCCCAGCAGTCGCAGGCCATTCTTGGTCCTTTGCCCGGGCTTGGTCACCCCCGTAGGCGCCACGGGCCCCAGTGCTGGCTCATACGTGCCGTACGTGCCGCCTCCGTCGGCATTACTACCGGCGCCCTGCTGGTTGCCCGATTTTTTCCAATTGTTCCTGTTGTTTTTGCCGTTTCTTTTTTCCTTGACGTTGGTGGCCTTGATTTCCGTATTGGCCTTCCTGACAATCACGGGGTGGCTCTGGATGTACTGGCCGTTCATGGTCTTGGCTGCGTTGAAGAAGTCATCTGCGTCGCTGAAGCTGACGAACCCGTAGCCCTTGGACTTGTTTGTCCGCCTGTCGCGAATGACGCGGGCCTTCTGGACCGACTTCCACGGCGCAAAGGCCTTTAGGAGAGAGTCGTCGGTCGTTTCGCCAGCAAGGTTCCCCACGAACAGGCGGAGATGGGCGGGATCCCATTCGAGGAGGGTGTCGTCGGTCCATTTCTTGCCGCCGCCCTGCCGGACCACCGTCTTCTTCTTGTCGGGCTGGCCCGGGACAGCTGTCGCGGGGACTTCTGGCTTCGGGACGGTCGGGGCGACTGGCTTGCCGTTCTTGTCGACGACCGGCGTCGCCTCGCTCGAGTACGCGCTCTGCCACTGGGCTACCTGCGCGGCCATGTCGGGGTCATAGTCGCTGGGGTTGGAGACAACGGCGGCTTGGTGGCCGGGCGTCGGGAAAGGATTTCTGATTTGGGGCGCCGCAGAATACGACGGAGGGCCGTGGGAGTGACTCTGGGGGCCGTAGCCCTGCTGTGCTGCCGACGGATATCCATACCCTCGCCCCGCGCCGCTCACGGGGGCGGACGGCGCGCCGGCATAGCCCGACGAGTATGTGGGCTGACCATATTGAGACGCCGTGGGGGCCCCGGGATATCGTGATGCGCCAGCGTTGTAGGTTGGGCCGCTCGAGTACGCGTGTCCCGGGGCTGTTGAAGTTGTCGAGAAAGAGGGTTTAAAGCCCGACCGAGCGGCTTTGTTGATGCCGCCGGCGTTTGCTGGGGGCCGAGGCGGAAGAGAACTGGTGCCTGGAGGAGGCGGGTAGGCCATGATGAACAGAGAGAACCTATTTACAAGTGCCTTTCCTTGTTTCTGACGTACCTTGAGCTGCTTCACACTCAAAGTTGATAGTTTGCACAAGAGGTTGGGGAATCTTGGCAGTCGCGAGCTTGTTCGGCGTCGAGTCGATGTCACGAGATACAATGAGGTTGTTGGCGGGGACCGAGATGAAGCCTTTTCCCGACGCCAGGATATCGACGGCAACTTGCGTGGGCCCTGCGCCGCGGAAATAAAATTCGGCACACGCAGCATCACGTGATATCACTTAGAGGCGACGCCTGGCCGCTCTCTTATGGGACGCCAAAGACCGCTGGTAATAATCGCCATTATCTTTCATCATATTGCACAATGCGTGAATTTATATTTGAATTACAAAGTCAACGGTTGCAGCTTTCTCCTCTTTCATTACATGAGTATGAAACCAGCGGGCAGCCAGAGATGCACATGTCCGGTCCCAGTGGGTCGCGGTTCGGCCGGCCGGCTCTTCGTGGTGGTTCACGACGGGCCATCGTCCGAAAGATTCGCGTAGGCGGCATCAACAAATGCCGCACAGTTGAGATGAGTGCTGGTCTTGCTCGTCCTGAAAGGATGAGATGCTCGGGGGCTTTTGAAACGGCGTCGGAAACGACATGAAGAAGCTTACCACGAGATCTCGTCCAGTCCTCCTCCACGAACAAGGCATTGTGGGGTGTTGAGTCGGATTGACGGTGCTTATAAGTTATGTGTAACTGCAGTCCAACTAGATGACCGAAAGAGCGCTGTTCCCAGTCTGCACGCCTTCCGTCAAGTTCAACTGTGAGACGGATTGGTCGAAGAGCGCCGTCGTTATCTGGAGAGGCGCATTGACCAATTATGCAGTTATCACGCCAATCCGCCTGCAATCTGGCTCACGGATGAAAGTGTTGGGACCGCCGTGCCTAGCTACAGCACTAAATAAGTTGCAAGACAGGGATAGAATCCACCAGCATTGGATTGAGAGCCAAGCGAGCAAGACTAGAATCGAAACCACATGGGATGTTGTTCGGCCTGCAGCCCGTCTGTTGGTCTCCAGCAGCCAATTCCTTGTTGGTACGGAGTAGTTTATGACAAGACCGCGTGGGGCGAGGGGGTCGGGATGCATTGCAGGAGCATTTGTTGGTTCATACGATGAATCTCGGCGTCCAGTGACTGGGACATGAACGTCCACAACGCACACGGACTGGACCGCTTGGTCGTAGCTTGGCATCGCACGTTCGAAATAGCCTGTAAATGTGTCAGTTCTGCGGCTGGGTTTTGGGATTTGAGCTCGCAAAGCTAGGGATGGCTTGCGAGAATGGGACGTGCGCTGAATAGCCAAAACGAGAGCTCACGTCGTTCGTGAGTCGTGACGTCTGGGCTCCGCGCGTAATGGTTTGTCATGTATGACAGAAGATGGACAATTGCAACGGAAGGAACGAGATTGCGACCTGCTTCCAGGCTGGCTGTATAACATTCTCTTTGCTGACGCTGAGGTCCCCCAAATGTCTGTTTGCCATGCTGGCAAAATGATCCAATGCGACTTTACCACAAGCCATTACTACTATTTTTTTTAAAAAAAAAAAATAATCAAGAAGAAGGAATGTCCTGAGGGCATTTGCAGCTAGCTATTTCCAACACGGCCGTGCCGGATCTGATGACGATGGATTCTTATGGCCCCGCCAATCACTGCTCCCTCCTTACCCGCTTTTCCGGGTCACGCCAAAACTCCTGGAGCGTCAGTTTGCTGTTATAACAAGCTTCGCCTTCCGACCTCTCAATCCCCGTTATAATTCCCCCATCCGCCACACCTTTCTTCTTCTGGCCCTGAACTTGTTCCTCCTTCTTTACACCACTTCAACCTCCGCCTCCATCTCCGGCTTCCTCTCGAGATATTTTCAGTCTACAAATACCCTCAACAACGCCATCATGTCCGGCCCCGTGTAAGTGCTGCCTTCCTGCCTCGTCTGCAACCTTCCTCCGTCAAACCCTTCGTTGTTCCTGCTGTTACCCCACCACCCCGCCCCAAGTCTGCTGGCTTCCATGACCTCTCAATTTCGCGCATCTCTTGGCGCCTCGATAGCTGTTGTCGCGGGATGGCTCTTGGTGTTTTTTTTTTTTTGTTCTAAAAAAAAGGAGCCTTTCATTGCGGGAGAAGCAGCCTGGGCTGGGCTGGGCTGGAGCTCGTTGACTCTCCTTATTGACACCAGGCTCACTGTCTTGGGACAGCGCTCGCCTCGCGAATCTCAAGCTTGGCGGCGCCGAGCAACCTCGCCAACCTCTCCCACCCGCGTCAACCTCTCCGTCCGTCCAAGCTCCAAGAAGTGCTGACAATGTGCCAAGCGCGGATTTGGGCCTCATCGGCCTCGCTGTCATGTAAGTTTGCGCCCTCGTCAAAACGGACAACTCTCCCTTCCGCCCCCGCCGGGCCATTCGGCACAAGCTGACGACGCGCAACAGGGGACAGAATCTCATCATGAACATGGCCGACCACGGCTTCACCATTTGCGCTTTCAACCGAACTGTCTCCAAAGTCGACCGGTTCTTGGAAAATGAGGCCAAGGGCAAATCTATTGTTGGTGCTCACAGCGTCGAGGAGTTTGTAAGCAAGCTCAAGTCTCCTCGCCGCGTCATGCTTCTCGTTCAGGCCGGCCAAGCTGTTGATGACTGGATCGAGAAGCTGCTGTCCCTCCTCTCAAAAGGTGACATCATCATTGACGGTGGCAACTCTCACTTCCCCGACTCCAACCGCCGCACCAAGTACCTGGCCGGTAAGGGCCTTCGATTCGTCGGGTCCGGTGTTTCCGGCGGTGAGGAGGGCGCCCGATACGGCCCCTCTCTAATGCCTGGTGGTGACGAGGAGGCCTGGCCTCACATCAAGGACATCTTTCAGAGCATCGCTGCCAAGAGTGACGGCGAGCCCTGCTGTGAATGGGTCGGAGACGAGGGTGCCGGTCACTACGTCAAGATGGTCCACAACGGCATCGAGTATGGTGACATGCAGCTTATTTGCGAGGTATGTTGATGATCCAAGTAGCCTCAGCGATGCGTACATCTCGGCTGACCTGGAACCCAAGGCCTACGACATCATGAAGCGTGGTCTCGGTCTTTCCAGTAAAGAGATTGGTGACGTCTTCACAAAGTGGAACAAGGGTGTTTTGGATTCGTTCCTGATCGAGATTACCCGCGACATTCTGTATTTCAACGATGACGATGGCAAGCCTCTTGTGGAGAAGATTCTTGACCAGGCCGGCCAGAAGGGTACCGGCAAGTGGACAGCTGTCAATGCTTTGGATCTGGGCATGCCCGTCACTCTGATTGCCGAGGCTGTCCTGGCTCGTTGCTTGTCAGCCGTTAAGCCGGAGCGTGTCGAGGCCTCCACCAAACTTCAGTACGTCTCTCGCAGCGGCGGCAAGTTTGAAGGCAACAAGGAGCAGTTTCTCGAGGACCTCGAGCAGGCCTTGTATGCTTCCAAGATTATTTCTTATGCCCAGGGCTTCATGCTGATGCAGGAGGTAATGACTCTCCATTCTGCCCTTTGTATGCTCAAGTACCATGTTGACTGCCATGCTAACAAGCATTTTTCCTCACAACCAAGGCTGCCAGAGAGTTTGGCTGGAAGCTCAATAAGCCTTCCATTGCTCTCATGTGGCGTGGTGGCTGCATCATCCGCTCCGTCTTCTTGAAGGACATCACCGCCGCTTACCGCAAGAATCCCGACTTGAAGAACCTGCTCTTTGATGACTTTTTCAACAAGGCCATCCACAAGGCCCAGCCTGGCTGGAGAGATGTTGTTTCCAAGGCCGCTGAGCTTGGTATCCCTACTCCCGCCTTCTCGGCTGCCCTGTCGTGGTTCGACGGTTATCGCACCAAAGACCTGCCCGCCAACCTCCTCCAGGCTCAGCGCGACTACTTTGGCGCCCACACTTTCCGTATCAAGCCTGAAGCAGCCAACGATAAGTACCACACGGGCGAGGATATTCACGTCAACTGGACAGGCCGTGGCGGCAATGTCTCGGCCTCTACCTACCAGGCATAAGCATTATACTTGGAATGAGATGTGGAGGGATGTGAATATGCAAATTGAATTTCTTGGAGACGCACGCTAAGGCTTGCTCTTAAGACTGATGCCGAAGGTGAAATTTGCTCACTACGAGATGGATTCCGTGGCGGGTCTCATGGTTCCGTAGCAGGCCGTCGCCCTGCGGCGTCATGAGAGCAATGGGGTTCTCCAAAAAGAGGGAGAAGAAAAAAAAGGTAGCATACAATAGAAGGAAACGTGCTGTTGAATTATAGAATCTCTCGATTGCGACTGTCATACTACCACATGCATTGAGTTGAGCAGAACTTGGAAACCTCATGCAAGCTTGGGAATGACCGACGACTTGACCCATGGTGCTCGCACGAGGTGGATCCACTTTTACCATTGGGCATGGCCACTATGATTGGCCAAACCCCATCCGGCCTCGTCGCGATCAAATTTGGGCCCGTGGCGCGCAGGGACGAGGAGCGAGCGAGGAAGCACCAACTTCATTGACTCCGTTTCCATCACAGCCCGTCACGAGCGATTGCGCCGCCCACTCAGGCTCACTACCTACCATCGGCTGGGTTTGCCTGCATCCTGGACTGGCTGGACGCAGTACTCTTCGACGGACCCAGTCCATCTGATCTCAACCATCTCCTGCTTGCTGGGCTTCAGCACGCGGACGGACGGCCTCAATTGATCGACGAGAAGCGCGAGCCTGCGCTCCCAAATCAAAAGATGGCGCAATCAGATCCGAGCCACACCGTCCCCCAGGACCTGGTGAGCCGTTGTCATGCGTTGCCATTCGGACTCCTTTCACTCAGCGCTGACTCGCTTTCAGATGCCGCACGTCCACCTGGTCTCGTCCTATCGATATCCGACAATGCCTCGCATCGACATGAACGAGGTCGCCAAGTGGCTCATGACTGCCCCCCAGATTGCCAGGGACCGCGCTCCGTTCTTCTGGACATACCTCGATAAACCTGCCGATGGTACAATCCTGCTGACCTGGCAGCCTCTTCAGCGACTGGGAACAAACTTCGCGACTGACGGTTTCGTTTGGGCGCCGCCGGAGCAAGTCTACAAGCATGACTTGGGCAATGGATTGGTATACACGACAGCGCCCTGCCCGTCGACCGTATTCGCATGCTGACTTTTTGCTGGCAGATTCTGGAGATTTACTACCTCAAGGCTGGATACATACCTGGCGAACAGTTTGCGCTCCACACGCGACGACGATTCCGACTGGTGCCTGCTCCAGGTCATCCCAACCCTCCTCAGCTTGACGTGAGCCTCTTCATCGTCCACTACGGTCCCTCGGAACAGAATGATCGCATTCCAGCAAGCATGGTTCCCTACGATGATCGCGTCACAACCATCATGCAACAGCGGCATTTCCTCCTTCGGGGTGGCCAGATCCGACGAAAGGAATTCATGCTTTCCGATCATGCCAACTGGCCTTCGCTCCCCGAGCTGACTCGGCAGCAAATGGGCCCTCAAATGGCACCTAGAGGAGTTCCTCAGCAAATGGCATACCCTCCTCAACCTGCACCCGGGCCCCCTAGTAAGCGCGCGAGACATTCACAAAGTCACAGCCAGCAGCAGCAGCAGCAGCAGCATCTACAGCAACAACAACAACAGCCGCCTGTCATGCCGGGGATGAATCCTCTGGATTCCGCGTTTGATGACGATGAGGATATCTCAAGGGGCGACATGTTTGATCATTTAACGCCCAGGGAAATCTCCCTGCTGCGCTACCAGCAGAACCACGAGTGGATGGAAGAGATTCTCTCGTCAGCCTACAGGATAGGTCAGATTCAGCCATCCGACCTGAACCTCGGGCTCAAGGGAGAGCTGGCCTCCCTGACCGAGGGCATCTTTACTGCCCAAGCAGGCGACGTGTTTGCCCAGCCACCGGAAAAACCATATGTTGGTCGTCTGGACTCGGGATTGGCAGACGAATTTCGAAAACGAGTGAGCAAGCATGTCGAGTCCACCGAGGCGGAAATCGAGAGGCTGCGAGAGGAGCACGCTGAGCTCGTGGCATCCCTCAAGCAGAACTCGGCTCTGAAAGTCAAGGAGAAGCAAATTCGCTCCATACCCGACCCTCCCGTCCCCGAGGTATTCAATGCCGAGCTTGGCCTGGACGGCGCGGAAGAGCAGCGGGCCCCGGCACCGCAGCCAGTGAAGACGCCGTTTGATGACATCCTCAAAGAAGTAGAGGCAGCTACAGGACGCAAGGTCGACATTCACCCCGTCATCAAGAGAGTTCAGGACGGCGGGTACCAAGCGCCGGCCCCTAAGCCGCCTACTCCTGTCCCGACGACTCAAATGTCCCGGCAGCCGTCGCATTCGGGATCGCAGAACAGCGGTCTGATGATGGGTGATTCCGACATGGACATGGGAGGCACCGCAGCAGGCCTACTGGACCAGATGCACACGGGATTCTCGTCCACGTCAACACCGGTCAACAACTTCCCGACGCCTCAGGCGCAGGCGTCCGCAGCGCAGTCGAATGCGCCAACGCCATCCAACGCTCACAACGTCGCCTCGCCGGCACCAGCTCTTCCGACGGTACAAGAGGCACGCACGGGGCCAGTGCAGCACTCTCACCCAGAACCAGCAGGCGACGTTGCCATGTCCGGGACAGAGTCCCACGCCAGGGCGCCGGCCGAGACTGCAGCAGACCAAGGAACCGACAGTGGTGACTGGGTTGTGGTCCCCAAGGGCGGTGCCTCTCCAGAGGTCAACGCCCCGTCATCTGTCGTGCCGGCTGCTGCAGTCGAAGCAAGCGGCGGACAGGCCGAGCAGCAAAAGCCGGTCCCGATTCCCACGAAACCCATGTCCGCGGCTGCCACTCCCGCAGTCACGGATGGTGGCTCCGCCTCGTTCGATCAAAACGACTTCAGCTCACTAGGTGACTTGGACACCGCGGGCGATGCCATGGCGGGCTACGACGCCCCCGGTCTGGATGGCACAGCTGGAGCGCTCGGCGAGGACTTGGACCTGCAGATGGACATGGATGACTCCGCGTTTGGTGATGCTTTCCACGTAGACTCCTCGGGCACACCGGGCGATGCTCACAACCAGGACATGTAGACGTGGGTGGGACCTGAGACGGATGAATGGCTCCGATGATGGGGAGGCCCTGAAAGAATCATGACACGGAGAATGGCGTGAGATCTGTTGCCGCAGACCTGGTAATCTGGGCGGTGTATGTATTTTATGATTATCACCATTATTTGTTGCTTTCTTTTTTTTTCCCCTTTTTCACATCCTATTCGCTAGGTTGACCGGCTCAGGTGTCAGAATCCTCCTGCACTCGAATCGCCCTGACATTTGCTTCAATAGTGCCGTGCCGGCTCGGGATAGACCTGGCCAGCCTGTGTTTTATTTTGGAGGCATCTACGCTCATCTTGTCCCACCGTCCTTCCAGGCCCGGCCTTATATCCACGTCGCCGGCACGGCAGCACTGTTGCCAAGCACGCCGGCATCCGAGCCAGAGAGGTCTTGTAACGAGTCAACTCTAAGCGCTCGCGAGATGTGGTGTTGGGGGAAAGGGGTTGGGGAGCCGAGCACGCAGTAGCAGACGCGCAGGAGGGCCATCTCCTGAGAACTAGAGAAGCTGCGTCTCAGCACACAATGATATGTCGGCTTGGAAAAAACGCGACTCATTCCATCACAAACATGCGAGCTTGCGAGACGAACAATGCTGGCAAGACTACTCCTTGTGGCGCGTGGCGATGGCTGCGACTGATGAGATGAGTCGAAGGTTTCGGGACCTGTTTCCGTGCCGTCATAGGAACAAATCGACAACTACTTTGGCAATGAAGCTGTGTCGCCGTACCTACTGACGGTGCCATTCTTCCGCGTAGGGAGTCTCGGAGACGGGTTGGGAGAGAGTGCAATCAAGGGGCGGTGCGGTGCTTTGGAGGAAGTTGGGGTGAGCCTTGAGGCACGCAAGAAGAGACGAAAGACGGCATGCGTACAGCCGCCTCGGCAGGAGCTTTATTGATACATGCTGTACGAAAGAACGACTAGCAGACATCACTGGATCCTGCGTTGCAACCATGTCAAGGTTCCGTCTGGGCACCGTCCATTGTGCTCATGATATCCATGCGTCGACGGTGACGGCTTCTCCGACCTGGATCGTAGGTGCCTGGTTTGCCAAGCTCCCATCCCCTGGTCTAGGCTCGTGTTTCATGTGTGCCCCGAAATAGACCTTTCCATCGAACCTCCTGGTCTTTGCTAGAGTCGAAAACGGCTCTTGCCTTCTGATTCCGCATGTCTGGTCAACACAGACCATTTGACATCGTCGACAGGCACCGAGCAGCTTGAATTCCTGGTTCCCAATGCGGATCTTTCTCCACGTGTCCTCCGAATACGCGGTGTGCTTGCTCTCTTGGTCCTCCTCAATGACTATGTTTGCTCTGAAGGAGTTTTCTCGGACTTTTGAGCCACCTCGCTTCACAATGTCGCCGTTGAGAGCGTCCACACTACTGCTGTTCACGAGCATGATCGGACTCTCGTTAGCTAGTAGCATCTTGCCTTGGGCAGGATGTTCAGCGTCAGAGTCTGGTGGTGACGGGACATCAGGAAACGAGCCAGGGACTGCGCACAGAAGCCTGGCATGTTGGTGTTTCTGGATGCGCGCCTTGACGGTGCGGCTCGTGGGACCACGTCCGCCGGCAGGGAACCTTGCCAACACACATGGGGCGCCCAGGGATTGGGAAAAGAAGTTGTTGATCTCGGGCGAAAAATATGCCTGCGCAGAAATTTCGTCTCCGCAGACTTGGTAGGACGTTCCTTTAGATTCGTCGCCAAATAGCGATGGGTCCGCGGATAATGGGATTTGGACCTCTTGGGGGGCCGAGTCGGCTCCCGATCCGTGATATGTCACCCGCAGGAGACCCTTTTCGAAATCCAGGCTCGGCTGGAAGAGTGTCATCTTCGGGTAGCGTTTCTGGCTGAGCGCTTGACCTGAGCCCGGGTGAACGAGACACCATTCACGGTCCCACGCCAGTCCTTCAGGTTTCACATCCCATTGCACGCCTGGCGGTACGACGTAGCCACCGCAGCTTTTGATTGGGAAGACGGTGATGGATTTGACGCGAATACTGGGAGGCACTGGGAGACTTGTTTTGCACCTCTCTTGGGGTGATGCCGACGTAGGATGATCTTCCACGAAGAACTCTTTTACGAATTCGAGGAATCGTGTTATGTCAGATTTGGTGCTCATGGCGCCCACACTTGCTCGAATGACACCGGTTGGCTTGCCACGTATAATCTCGCTGTCGGCGCCGCATCGGATTCCAGCAGACAGATTTCGCCTCATCTCCCACGGTTCCAAGCCCAAGGTAGCAGCTACGTTTCCAGGGCTGCATAGACCACCCGTTCGAATATGAATTTTATGGAGAATGGCCAACTTTTCCACTTCTCCCAGGCTGACCCAACCGCCTGCGCTGTTCCTCAGGTTGAACGAGACTACTGGGCCCGTTCCCAGGGAGTCGGAAGTATCTGGCCGCTCGCTATACATGACGCACACGGGCGAGGCATTGCCGTGTCGTAAGCTTTCCAGCGTGTCAAATAGTTGTAGAGCCAAAGATGAAGTGTGTGCACGGACTTGGTCCATGGAGCCGAATAACCTGGTGTGTATCGTCATTGCTGAGTCGAGGGCTATGATGTTGTGAAACGGCAGTGTGCCGTCTTCCAGGCGCTCATGAAGAAAGCGAGTTTTTCTCGCATGCCATTGCTCCTTTTTGCATGTGACCACATCGACTGTGCCTCCGCCAAAATAACGCCGCTGATCGAAAATACATTCTGCAGAACGTCGAACTATTAATGCTCCCAAGTCGGGAAATCCAAATATTTTGTACAGGCTGACAACCACAAAGTCTGGAGCGAAACATGGAGAGCTGAGGTCTAGTTGGGATGTGGCGGTAAACGAAGCCGCGTCCAAGAGGCTGAGGAGTGGGGTTGTTCTGTCATTTGACTTCTCTTTCAGCTCTCTCGGCCATGACAGGGGAAACCTTCGCCCATCCATATGGGATTGGGCGGAAAAGGAAAAGAGCGTTGCTGACGACGGCGGACCGGCGGAGGTAAATGGATCTTTGCCCCGCAGCCAGGAGTCCATGTCGAAATCGTCCACACATGTGCTTCGTCTCGCGTCTTCTCTGGCACCTACTAAGCTGGTGTGACAGGCTTGATGGTAGACATATGAGTAGCCCTCTGGGAGCGCCCTCATGGCTTCCACCACGAGTTTCACACCCGCGGTGGCATTCGGGACAAACACCACGTCGTACTCAGACGGATCTGCATTGAAAAAACGCAGCAATCGTAATCGGATGTCGTCTATACGTGTTGTGCAAAGCTGCGATGACCATGAGCCCGAGTGGGGGTTGCCGTAGAGAGTCGAAGCCATCTCATGCGCAAAGGCGTCCATCAAAGATTTGGCGCACAATGTAGAGCCCGCGTGATCGAGATAGACAGAGTCTGCATAGTCCTCAATAAGCAAAATTGCAACTGACACACGCAGTAGCGTATAAGGCTTTACCTTTCAACATGGGGTACTCCTGCTCCCGAAATCCCTCCACCGCCACATTATAAGCACTGACAGCCGTCGGCAAGTCCATGACTTCCACGGGAATGAGGCGGATCCCACAGACGGTAGTAAAAGTAGAGTCCGTAGGGTTTGGATCGAGTGAGCAGTACCGGTCGTCGAAAGAAAAAATCGACCAAATGTGGGCAGTCGTGTAAAGGTTGCGTCCTGTCGTGGTCTCACAACCCCAAAGCCAGTTGCCTGCACGAGACAAAAATAGCTATACACCCCCACGGCATTTCCGAACCGAATATTCTGAGCATTCCGGGTATCCTGAGGAATACATCGTCTGGGGGAGTTGGGCGTCAGCTTTATCTTGGACCGTATCGAGCCTGGAGCGGTTGTCGGTTGTCGCCGCTGTGCGGAGGTCGCCACCTCCCCTGCGCAATAGGAACAAAGCCCTCATTGGCTGGGAGCGAGGGTGGCAGCTGAGTAATATCAGACGACTGTGAGTCCCCGCTGTTTCTGTACCGGCCCCTACCGTGCGTTACTAGACTCTCGCACGCATCTGCACGCGACTGGACCCGACTGGAGGTGAGAGCTCCACCCACGCTTCTCCGACTGATGAGCTTCTTCCAACCTCCTTTGTGCAAAGCTGCTGTTCGTCTCTCTAGAGTGATTCGGCAAGCAAGCGTCAGTACGGCATCGCTGGCTTCAGATTTCCGCGCTCATTGAATTCAGTTCGTTACCCCCTTCTTGGTTGCGTTCATTGATCCTTCGTTTCGTCCTCGCTGCAATTGTCAATCCACCCAATCGTCGTCGACCAACCACCCAAACCCGATTCATCCTCCCTGAACATCGGTTGCTTCGTTTTTCCATCCTCCTGCCGCACTGCGCTGCGAGGGATATTCGCTACTATCTTTCCTTTGGCCTTCTTTGGCATTTCCTCATCGTCTCTTGTCCTCTTCAATTTACTGTTCTTTTGCACCTATTGTTAAGATGTGTTCTCTAACTGTCGCCGTGTCGCCACAACTGCAGGCAACCGTATCCAATCGTGTCCTCGACGATCATTCTCCGATATCGTCATACCGGCTAATGAACGAGGCAAAGCTAGATAATCAGGCCAAAAGCCGACCGTCCACTCAGCGGCAGCATTTTTGGTCGCAATGGACTCATACAACACATACCGAGACTCCTCAGCTAGATCCCCATCAGATCGGACTTGGGGCCGGGATGAATCGAGAACTCGTGACGAGCGGTCCGAAACATTTTATCGTGGTCGGTCTCCCGGTAAGATTGATTTATTGCACGAATAACCGGCTGCCTGGCAATCGTCGTGGCTGTGGTCATTGTCGTGTCTTTCAAAGAACTGCCATCAACTAACTTTCTATCAATCCTAGGCAATGACCGAAGAGATCGTAGACGCTCACGATCTCCGGGGATTGACCGGTACGAGCCCCGGTCTCGCCGAGAAGACAGAGATAGAGAAGATCGCCGGCGAATAAGTTCGCCGCCAGCAAACATTGACCGCTATGTACCTGGGCAGGAAACCGCATCTCCCGGTGTGACGGTCAATCCTCTGGCCGATCCAGCTCGCCTACCTTATCAGGTAGGATTCTCATACTTTGGAGAATGGTGGAGAATGAACGAGAAGATCAAGGATGATAAGGAGCGGGCCCGGACTGGTCGCAGACGTGAACCAGAAAGACCGCGTGGTGCTCGCGAGTCGCAGGAGGAGCGCGAAAAGGAAAAGGCCAAAATTCAAGCTGCATACGACACTTACAAGGAAGAGTTACAAGCAAAGATGGCCCGTTCCTTTGTTTCGGAGCACAAAAAGGAGCAGTGGTTCAGGGAGAGATATGTTCCAGAGATCCGGGACGAGCTTCGCGGCAAACTCAACGAAATTCGGCGTGGCGCCTACAGCCAGTGGGAGCAGGATCTCGAGACAGGGACCTTTGACGAGTTTTCGTTGGAAGGTCTGCCCAAGGCCGATAGCAACGGATCCGGTGGTGTGGTTGAAAAGGAGGAGGGCGAAGCCACCGCGAGCAACGAGATTCTGGGCGTCGGCGATCTCCTCCCCGCCAACGGGGCTGATATACGCGATGAGAATCAATTTCAACCCACTCTACTGATTAAGACAATTGCCCCTCATGTCAGTCGGGCAAACTTGGAGTCCTTTTGCAAAGAAAATCTCGGCGAGGAAGAAGGGGGCTTCAAGTGGCTGTCGCTTTCTGACCCAAATCCGAGCAAGCGATATCATCGTATCGGCTGGGTGATGCTGCACCCATCCTCCGAGACGTCTCTTCCCACAGATCGGACCGATCCAAAGGATGACGACGCTGATGTGGACATGGCTACTCTGCAGCCGGTGTCAACTGCGGAAAAGGCACTCGAGGCAGTCAATGGCAAGACTGTCAAGGATGAAGTGCGAGGTGACTTCGTATGCCATGTTGGCGTTCACAATCCTCCCAACAATCCAAGGAAAAAGGCATTGTGGGATCTGTTTTCAGCCCCCGAGCGTATTGAGAGAGACCTGCTGCTAGTCCAGCGCCTGGTCAACAAATTCGAAGAGGACTTTGGCTCAGACTTCCAGGCCATTCTCAAGATAGAGGAAAAGGTGGACGACCTGCGCAACGCCGGTCGACTTCAACCAGCCGTCCCCCCCACGCCTGCTAAGAAGGTCAAGAAGCAACGCGAAATTGTTCTAGATGAGGCAATGGATGATGAAGATGGCATGATAGAGGAGGAGGAAGAGGAGGAAGATGGTGTCGTTGACGACGAGGCTGACGATGAAGATATGCTCGTCAAGAAGAAGCAATTGGATCTCTTGATTGAATATCTGCGTCGGGTGTTCAACTTTTGCTTCTTCTGCGTCTTTGAGAGCGACTCCGTTCACGAGCTGACCCGAAAGTGTCCAGGCGGTCACCTTCGTCGGCCCAGAAGTACCTTGTCTTCGTCTGCACGATCTGTAGCTCGTGCAAGCGCCAACGGCGAGCCGTTTCCCGAGAAGAAGAAGATGGCTGATGTAGAAGAACCCGATGCCGAGCCTGCAGAGGGCGATAAAAAGTTCCGCAACACGTCAAACAAGACGGAGCAGCAACTACTCCGGGCGTACAACTGGGTCAAGACTTTTGAGGACAAGATTATGCAAATCTTGGAGCCGCAAACAGTCGACATTCGCAAACTTGGCGGGCGATCAGTTGACGAGGCACTGGAGGAAGAACTGTCCAAATACGTCAAGCAAGAGGACGAGCACAAGTGGCGCTGCAAAGCGCCTGATTGCACCAAACTTTTCAAAGAGGAACACTTTTGGAGAAAGCATGTTGAGAAAAGACACACTGAGTTCCTGGAAAGCATGAAGCAAGAGGTTCGTCAACTACATACCCAACGCACACTCTCCGATTTCGAAGCCAACACTGACTTTGTGATAGTTTGAGCTCATTAACGCCTATGTTATGGATCCGGCACACATTGCACCTTCTAGGACTGATGCCAACTCCAACGGACACTTCCCGCCTGCCAACGGGCAGAACGCCACCGGAACTCCTCGCGGCTTCAATTTGCAAAACTTTTCAATAAACGGCATGATGGGTATGCCCGGGTTTCCCATGGCCGGAGGCAACTTCCCACCCTTGTTTGCCGGTATGCAGGCAGGCAGCTGGAACCCAATGAACGATGACCGCTCCGGGAGTGGACCAATCCGTCGTGGTGGTATGGGCAATCGGGGACAGTATCGCACGGGCCCGTATGAACGCCGCGGCAATAGGTTCGATGGTGCCCGAAACCGTGCCGGCGGATCACGGTGGGGAGACGGTGCTGGTGGCGCGGCAGGCGGTCCTCGTGAGGCCGTACAGGGGCGTAGCTTAAAGAGCTACGAAGACCTTGATCAGGTCTCTGGGGGTGGCGGAAGTGAGCTCAACTATTGAGTGTTTGACTAAATTCTTCTCCTTTCTCTTTCTGTCTCCCTGTCTTTTTTATCTTTTTTTCCTTGTCTCAAAGGCGGCTAAAAACAACAGGTTTCGTGATTTGCAGATTGCAGGTCTGGGACCAAAAGACACTGCGGTGACGGCGCTTTTTGTATTGATATGATGGGGGAGCGAGCCTTTGACTCATCTTGCGGTCGCGTCCCTGTCATTTTGGCACAGCAGATTGAAAACCTTGCAATGGCGATGGGTTTCAATTTAATTTTTTTCACTTGGGCGCTAGCCAGGTCGCGGATGTAAGTAAACATGTATATCAGCAGATCAATTTGACGGTCTGGCAATGTCTTTTCTCTCGTGACCGCGTTGTGGTGAATCACTAGACGGGCAGCATCAGGATAGTAACGGGTGCTGGAACGAAACTCGATGATGTGCTCGACGAGCTCAAGCTGCCACCTCCTCAGACCCGACGGCATGGCATTGTCAACTGGGCGCACTCGGTGGACAAGGATGACTGCGATGCTTTGGGCAAGGCAATAAACAAGATGTGTGCCTGAACAGACTTCTAGCGGAGGGCACATGTTCGTACAGAACAGACTTGGGCGCAGCTAGCTAGTGGTCGCTTGAGAAAGACGAATAGCCATAGGACGTGGCTAAACAACAACGTCTAGGAAAAAAGAAGCAAATGCTGATTTATACGTAGCCCTGCGATTTGTCCACCGTTGCGAGTGACAAGTTGTGGGGGCGATGCGGTCGCAGGCTGGACCAATCAGACCAGGAGCCCTGATATTACCGCCTTTTTTTTTTTTTTTTTCGTCTCCAGCAAATCGACGCTTGGCTGGTCGCAGCAAACCGCGATCAAGATGGGTCTTCTCGCAGAAAAACAAAGGTGCGCCATCTCACTCTTCTCCTGCACTCATGAGAAGAAGACAGACAGACAGACGGACGGACAATAGGGTTATTGACATGCAGCGGTGTGCACCAGCCGGTCGAGAATCAGCAAAGACCCCAACAACACAAAGTGGACTCGAAACACCAAGTCCTTCGGGCAGAAGATTCTACGCGCCCAGGGCTGGGAGCCCGGCCAGTTCCTCGGGGCGCAGAACGCGTCCCACTCGACGCTGCATACGGCCGCCAACGCATCGTACATCCGGGTGGCTGTCAAGGACGACATCAGGGGCCTGGGCTACAGCAGGGCCAAGGAGGACGAAGTGACTGGTCTCGACGTCTTCTCCGACCTGCTCAGCCGTCTGAACGGCAAGTCGGAGGAGTCTGTCGAGCGCGACGGCCAAGCGCGGCTGGCGGTCAAGACGAACCGATACGTGGAGGCGAGATGGGGCCCCATGCGGTTCGTCCGGGGCGGACTGCTGGTCGGTGATGAGTTGCGGGCCGAGTCCGCGGAGGGCGAGTCCACGCCCGCGTCTGAGGCCGATGAGGAGCCTGCCGAGTCCGAATCCACGAGGAGGGTCAAGAAGAGCAAGAAGCGGAAGGCGAGCGATCTGGCAGAAGGCGAGACGGAACCGGCGAGCGCAGACGCCGAGAGGACGGAGGGGAGGCGGAGGAAAGAGGAACGGAGGGCTAGAAAATTAGCTGCGGCGGCGGCGGCAGTTCCGGAAGCAGAGGACACCGCGACGTGCGAGGAAGGCCGGTCGACGAAGAGGTTCAAGGGGGGCAGGGCCAAGTCCAAGGCGGGCTCGGAGGCAGAAGACGAGTCGGTAGACCGCAAGCGATCCAAGAAGGACAAGAAGGACAAGAAGGAGAAGAAGAAACGCAGGGCAGACAAGGGAGGGAGGGCGGATTCGAATCCGAATCCGAATCCTACCGCGACATCAGTTTCGATGTCGGCGCCCAATACGGGTACCTCGACGCCTGTTGAAAGCGGCACGGGGACTTCAACACCAAGAGGGAGTCGCAATCTTGTTCGATCACGGTTCATTGCGCAGAAGAAGCAGGCGGTGCTGGACACCAAGGCTCTGGCTCAGGTTGGTTGCATGCATGCCACGCTGTGCTATTGAGTGACGATGATGGCGTCGTGGCTGGCCTTGGCTAACAAACGTGCACAGATCTTTATGGTCAAGACATGAGCGTACTTATAGCGTTTGCATGGGGCTGTAACCAGGAACAGAGGCGTCTACTACGTGATGGGTTAGAACAGAGTGTCAGTCGGCTTTGGCGTGGCGTCCACATGTTTTTGCATATACGTTACGTTGTTTGACATGGACCGATGAAACAGATGACTGAATCACGCTCAGTGTCGCTGCTCAGCACTTGCAGGTCAACGTGGTGACACCAAGACACAGACTGCATGTGGATCGTACGATGACACGAGATGACAATGGGAACCGACCCTTGCATGATATGGACTGGCTTCACGGTACTGGCACTGTGGCAATGCTCAATTACACCGTTATAGGTAATCGCAAACTTGAAAGTTGATGCAATAAAACTCCCGTCCACTGATTGATGCAAAAACCCGCCCTCCTTGTTCCAGACACGCATCCTAATATACATCACAATGACAAAGCCACTTGCGCGGGGCCCCCGTCAATCGTGTTGCGACGAAGCATGACAAGTATTTTGTTTGTTGTTTTTTTTTTTTTCACTTTGCATTCCGGCCAAAGTTACTGGGAAAATCTTGTCAATGAGTTGCGGTCATAACAAGGGCGGCAGCGGACGGATGCCGAGAGGATGGACGTACTTGTGGAAGAACTGGCTGAAGATGCCACCCTTGGCCTGCTGGTCAGACATGCTCTGGCGGCGAGCGGCATCCTGGCTGTTCTTCTGCTGCTGAAGGGATTCGAACGCGGGCATCCAGCTGGAGCTCTGCGACGTCTTAGTACGCTGAAGACACGACGAAGAACAGACGACGTGTGAAGGAGGACGCCGTGAATCCACTCGTCCTGTGTACGTGACTTACTCGTCGGCGAGGAGCATTGCCGCTGGCGGCGGTGGCGGGCGGTGCCTGGTTGGGTTCGCTCATGATGGCTAGAGTTGGATTTGGGGACTCGCGGGTGGGAAATGGAGAACAGATAGGTGTGGTTTGATGGACGGGGGAGATTGGAGTACGGCGCAGGGAAGCTTGAGACACGGCAGAGCCGGATGAGGGGTCAAGCTGCCCTTTTAATAGCTTCAATGGCATCAAGCCCGGCCACATGCAATGGCAGGCTCGGGGCCAACGAAGGGGGGGAAGGGGGGAGGCACGACGACGACGACGCTTCGAAAAGCGGAGCAGCTTGCATTTTCGAAATCTACAGGTTCTCGAGCAAAGCCAAAATGCCAGACAGAAGTCGTGCTTCTGGCGAGAGTGAGGGGGAAGTGCGACTCGAAAGTGGCGGGTTGGCCCAATGACGTGGTGTCGGTGGTGAAGCCACGCCGGGAAAACATCAAATGGGAGCTGAATGTTTGTCAAGTCACGGCCGGGCCCCTCTTTTCTATCATTGCCGTCATCATGGTTCATCCTCGCGCCTCTTGCTCTTTGGTCGCTGGGTCTGCTTTCGGGGGTTGTTTGTGTTGTCTCTCGATCGGCTTTGGCGGAGTCGTCTTTGGCATCGCGACTATCCACGGGCGGGCTGGAATGGATTTACAATGACGGTGACTCGATGGGATATGGATGGGACGGGCTTGCAGAAACGGTTCGGTTCGGTTCTCGATAATAAGGGTGCGCACGCATATTCCACATTCCGCGAGGCGCTGACGGCCGGTCAGGGACTTGTGGGGGCTTGCAATGTCGAGGGCCACCGAAATCGAACGGCGTCGATTGGCCCTGCTGTTTCGGGTCCCGGGTGTTGGATACGTGCGTGGTTTGGGGATGCAGATCGAGCCGATAACTAGATCTGTGGACGTCTCGACTCTTGACACTTCGACGCCGGGCCCGGGGTCGTGAGCGTCATGGCATGACGTTGAGATGGAACCAGAACCAGTTGGATGGAGCCCGCCGGACCCATTCGCCGGATGTGGGCGCATTGCGGGGGGGGGTGTTTTCTGTCGACTGGTGGTTTTTTTTCCCTTCCTCGTTTGAGCAGACGAGCAGACGAGCAGACGGACGACCCAGACCCTCCTGCGTTGCGTTGCGTCTGTCTGGACCCTGACTTTTTGCAATGCCTTCGACCTTGGCCCTGCGTCAATGCCACGGCGTTCTTCCTCGTCAACGCCACCTGGCGGACAGCCCGGATAGTCGTCTGAGCCTGGCCTTTGGGCGTCTCACGCCACTCGACTTGTCTCGCCGCCCTGCTTAACTGAGGTCACAGTGTCAGGGAATGGCAGAAGAAAAGATGCCTACCTTTTCCTACCAGTTACATCGTCAACCACCGCGTGCCCAGGGCAATCTGAACCATGCATCCCACGCTGTTCGCAATTGGATGGAAGGCGCTCAAAATAGATTGCCAGACAGCCAGGCCAGACCTGTCGACTTCTATCTGGCTCTCCTCTCCTCCTCGCCTTGGAATGGATCATGTCTCAGTTGGCAGCTTCATTTCGCTGACTGGAGCAGCAGGGACATAAAGGTGGCCCTGTTGCCCCTGTTGCCAAGAGGAGAGCAATTCTACTTGTCTGCATTTTTCTAGATCGATCGACAAGTTGGGAAAAAAAAACTGTGTCCACCCTTGATTCTCTGAAACGTTCAACATGAAGGTTGCTATCGTTATTGCCGCTCTGAGTGTCGCCGTGACGGCGTTTGATGGTCCTGCGCCCATTGACCATGGTACGCGCATCGGCAAGAGGAACGGGCAGGAAGAGCTTGGACGCCGCGACGGCGCCAATATCCCCGGCTTGAGTTATTTGGAGCACCGTGATGAGGAGGAAGCTGCCAAGGTCTAAGGAGGCTGTCATGGCCTGAAGTTATACCGGCTGTCAGATTGGTCCAAGTCAGTAGGATTGATCACCCCTTTATTGAGAAACATGCAAGTGTTGACAACCTGTAGGATTGCATCAGAGTCAATAAATGACGCAGGATCAGCGGCTATGGGATGGCCATGGCCACGCACATGACTCTGGACGCTGGCGGCTGGAGGCACGACGACATGGCCCCGTGGTGGTTTGTAAGATGGGCGGACTGGTTGCCAATATTAGCCGTTGACTGAGAGTTGTGGAGGTGTCGTTGAATCCAACCACGAGCCCGTGAACATCGTGGCCCATGATGGTATCGTTGAAGTCATCAGTGCGACGAGTGCCAGTGAAGGTGAATTCTTGAAAGTGAAGCGACAACGCCAGGCCAGTACGTAAATTTACCCGGCAGCCATAGGAGACTATTTCCATCTCAAGTCACATGCTGCCGTTGACATGTTTACGCGAACAAAATATATACCACACACTGGTATTGACATCGTGCTTCCCTTGACATGTTTACGCGAACAAAATATATACCACACACCGGTACTGACAGCAAGATGATGCCAAGAACCATTGGAACTAATCTCACAAACAAGCAAAGCACGGGCTTCTATGACTCTTTCGCGGCAACGATGTAGTCGGAACTTGCTGTTGACAAATGGCGAAATGTTAAAGATGGCTGGCCAGGCCGCCAAGGGCTTTTTCGAGGTCCAGCTCCAGACGTGCATCTGCCATCAGCCAAGCAACACATCGAGGTGGGAGCATCGTCATCAACCGCAACAACAAGCTGTGACGAGCATCGCAAGCGACGACCGCAGAAGCTTCACCGGCGGCGGCGGCGTCAATCTATGGCCACTCGACTGCCGGCGGTGACATTGTCCGCAGCAACGCAGGCAGAAGCCATCACGGGCCACGGCACGAAACAGGGAGTGAGGTGCAGAGTACTTTGATTTACAGAGCAAGGAGTTCTTTTGGTAGTACAGTATGTTGAGTTCTACCTTGAAAATAACTTACCGAGGTACCTTGGCACCTAAGCTGCCGCCAGTGCACGTGTCCTACTGGCCCGTTCCCCCAGTGTCAGAGGCCGGATTTAGTATTGTTCCAGCGGCCGCCCCTTGTCACAGCAGCCACCCACTTGGTTGCTCGGTGCACACAAAAAACCCTCGATAGCTTCAAACAGCCGCGTGTGCCCGTCAAACCCACGATCGGTACGGAGTACAAGGCGTCGTCAACACCTCTCTCCAACATCAAGCGCCGATATCCGTAAAATGCACATATGCCTGATGATCCACGCCGACTAAACTCGAGCTGCCTCAATGCAGTGCCTGCTCAGTCACTGCAGATGACGTACCCGAGACAACTATGAACCACGATGCCACGTCAGGCTCGCCCGCCCCAGCTCCCGAAAACCCATCACCCCGACAGATAGAACCCTACGACACAGTACCGGCCCCCGCGGCACCTGATGTCGACCCAGAGCCAGCGGACGCGGACGCGGACGCGGACGCAGAAGCAGACGGCGATGTAGATGCCAACGGGTGGTCACAATCTCGCTCACGGTCTCGTTCGCGGCGCCGGCGCAGGAGGAAAGGCAAAAAGGACCGCAATCCCGGGCTTGTCAAGAAGCTGTCCTTTGTCACACACCTGCTTCAGACGTTGGACCTTCTTGTGTTTGCCGAGCTAAGCGGCTTGTACTATATGGAGTCCGTACCCGAATTCCTGGAACCGCCCTTTTTTCCCCCTCCGTTGCCGGTGTGCGATGCTAACTGCTCAGGTGCTCCATGTTTCGGTTTCTCCTTCGCGCAGTCGGCCAATACATGTACCTTACTCCGAAAGACGAGGCCTTTCCCTTTCTCATGCCTGCCAGTAGGATCCACGTTCTTCTGGTCGTCATCCCAAACTTCACATGCATCTTCCTTCACCTCTTTGCATCCCTGCCGCGGGGACCTGATTTCCACCGTGGCTACCAACACCGCGGGCTTGTCATTGACTTTGTCGGACAACGGCCCCCGACGAATAGACTGTACTACGTGCTGGCCGACTTGACTATCCTGGTCGTCCAGTGCTTAATGCTGACGGTGCATACGCAGCGAGAGCAGCTTCGCGTCGTGTTGAAGACGTTTCGGCCGATATTGCCTGAAGTTGCTGAGGAACTGGAAGCCGGGGTTCGCTCAATACAAGATTTGGACGCCGAAGAGCGGGGGTTATCGCCGCGTACCCCGAGCGGCACAGCTGCTGCCGCCGCCGTTGCTGCGTCTGGTACTCGCGCAGACGATGGTGGAGCTATCGAGATGTGCGACGCGAGCGCGTCTCACCAAACGGGAGAGGCGAGTGAGCAAACTGGTGAGTCTGTCACGTTACTACGAGAAAGCACGAGCGAGTGCTCATCAAGGGCTCAACTTGCCGACATAATGGACTCTGGGAATGCGGTCGTGGGCGAGTATTACATTGTACAATCAGTCTTGTCGGCTGCTGGCGACCTCGAGCGCTCAGCGGCACACTCGCTCCGTTCGTTGAGTTACGGAGCGACATTGGCCACGTTGCGGGCTCGGAGAAGGGCCGTCATGGCCCAGTCTGCTACGATACGACCAGATAGATAGACCCTGTGACGTGTAGTTGGGAAAGTAGCATATCGGTTGAAATATTTTGCACATTGCCGCGCCTCAACCCCAGACCATGCGTGCTGCCATGTACACATCTAGGCCATCTTTCTGCCCACATTACCAACGCCTGTTCCCTTGACCGAGACAATAACATCCCCGACTTGGCCATCTTGCACGTCCCTCAGGCCCCAGCTACTCGCGCCAAATATCCTCAGGTCACGCGCGAGGGAAACTATATCCTCCGTGGCCAGAACCTGCTTTCCCATTCTCAACCTGCCGACATCTTCTGAGCCCATAGCCATGAGTATAAGCATGGCGCCCGCTGATACTCGGCTGGCGCAGCCCCCTTCCGCAATCGCCTCCAGTAACTGATGAGCGCACCTCCGGCCAATGTCCTCTGGAACCACGCCGCCCGACGGGGGAACCACCACGTCGGCCGAATGGACGACGCCAACCGCGCTCGACTCCGCAACGAGGCTGAGGCCGAAACCGATGCCCAGACGTCGCTTGCCGCCCGTCTTGTCGCCCGTAGGCACCAGCGGCGCTTGATCGTATTGCGCCGCAATGTGTACATCCGCCACGAGGGGGTTGAGAACCTCGCGAGCAGAGTGGATCATGCGCGCGTTGTTCGAGGCCGACACTCCCGTGCTGTACGCCACGCCGCGTATCCTCCTTATTCGCCCCGGGCTGCGGTGCAGGTGCAACGTCTTGGGCAGCCGCACCTGGCTCGCGAAGCGGAGCTCGACGCATCCGCCGCCGCCCTTGCCGCCCGGCCCGGCGCACGACCTCTGCAGGACTCGCAGCTCGATGCGGGCGGGCGGGATGCCGAAGAGCGCGAAGAGAGGGAGCACGGCCGTCCGGAAGGTGTCGACGGAGACGTCGCCCGTCTCTGTGGCGGACGTGATGACGCCGGCGCCGGAGAAGCGCACGTTCATGTGGGCCTTGGAGAAGGGGGCCAGGAGGCACAGCGGGAGGAGGAAGTAGGTGACGCCGCGCGTGCAGGTGTCGGGGATCCTGTGCTCGAGGACGTCTCCGTCGGTGGCGCCTTGGCCGGCAATGACGCCAGTGATCAGACCCGGGTGGTAGGTCATTGTCGTGCCGGTGTACCAGATCTGCATGGAGCTCCCGTTGGTGATGGCTTCGAGGAGTCGAAGGAAGGACACCTCGTGGGGCGCGAGGCCCGGGTTCGTCGGCGACGCGCTTCGAATCCTGGATATGTGTACCGGTCGGCCTGTCAGCGTCGAGACTGTGAGGCGCCTGGTGAATGACCGGTGGCCCGTGAACCGCAGGAACTCGGGAGGACTCGACATGGTGTCTTGGTTTTTCCCGCTCTGCACCCTCTTGCTGGGGTGAGGGTTTCCGGAGAAATAATTTTCTGCCGCGTCGCAACTGGCCCGCGGCCCACGGGCAGCTACCCTGTGTGCTTCTTGAAGAAGCAGGCGGTGGACAGTGGTCCGGCCAAGTGACCGGCCGAGATGTGGGGCCCGCACAGTGTTTCCTTATCGATAGTGTGAAGCTTGCGAAGGGGTTCTCGAGAATAATTGACCGCCTCGACCACCCGGCGTACTTGGCTCTTCGAGACTCTCGCATTCAACCCGTCACTGTGCACAACTTGCCGCAAGTATGCCTGGTAGGCCACTTGTCTGGGACTTGCAAAGCCGAGGTGGCCCGATATGTCGAGCATGCCGACTTGCCATGCGGCAAACGGCAGTGCCGCCTCGAATAGCAGCATCCTACAGCTCACAAGCTCTTCCAGAGACAAGGGTAAAGCAGCGCTCTCGGAGTAACGCTTCGATCTCGTCACGACCCACCGGGACCGAGATGAGACAACACCTCCAGGGCATCGAGGACCTGCTGCGACAGTCCAGAAGAGACAAGGACAACCAAGGGTTCTCGGTGCGGTACTTCGAGCAAGACGGGCAAAAGCGAAGCGAGATAACGAATGGCGAGATGTTTGATGCTTCCGTGGAGAAACTAGACGGATCCGAACTCGAGGAGGCTCTCCGAGATATACAGGCCACCTTGGGTCCAAGCGAAGAAAGGGACGCATTTCAAGCCGTGCTGCGTGAAGTCGGAGGCGACGTGAGCAACGTCGGGGCCACTGCAGACTTGGAGAAGATGATGGAGAGAATGGAGGCATATACCAGATCAATCGACGCCGAAATCGAGACCGCCGGCGCCGGCCTGCCGAGGGAAGTACTCAAGGAACTACAAAGAGACTTGCAAGATGTTGCCCTGACCGACCAAGTCCTGGGACCTGGCATCGCTCCGCCCCAGATCTCCGAGACGGGCTGGACGCCGAATCAACGCAAGAAGGTTAAAAAGCTCAACGTGGCTCTGGCAAGGGCATATCGAGCATCCCATCGCGAGTCTGGCTTCACCAAGAACACCGTGTCAGCTGTGTACAAGGCCTATCACGCGGCGAGAACCACATTAGCTTGCGGTTGGGACCACGTTCCCGTCAATGTGTGGGACTTGTTGTGGAACGTCCTTTCTGCCGACGAATCCATCAACATTCACCGATTAGCCCACGTATCCCTTCTCGCCAGAGACATGAGCGAGGCCAGGGTGGCACTCGGCCCGTCGCAGCAACTCGTCACGATCGAGGCCGTCTTCGTCGACGGCTGGGAAGCAAAGGCGGTTGAAAATTGGAAACGGTGCGTCAGCACCCTCGGAGACGAAACGGCCGAAACATTCCAGGACTACTGGGAACTCGGGGTGCGCATGTTCTGCCGGACGGGAGATTTGGATCAAGCGGAACGGGCTGCCGACAAGCTACTGCGCCGACGCATGGATCCACGCATACTGATTCCTCTTATCCGGACATGGTCTGAACAGGCAAGCCCAAAAGGCCAGGGGAAGGCGTGGACCGCGTATCGAAAAATGCGGGAGCTGCTGGGCAAGGACATGGGGCTCTCCGACTACGATCAGATCATATCCTACTTTTTGGCGACGAACCAGACGGAAAACGCCCTCTTCGCGTTCGTCGACATGATGAGCGACGGAGAGATGGACCTGAAGAAGCAGAAGTACATGCCGTCAGTCGTGGCGAACAAGTTCTTCCTGGGCAAGTGGCTGAAGCGGCTGATAGGCGCCGGCGACCTCGACGGGGCATTCAGCGTCGTCGAGTTTATGCGCAAACGGGGCGTGGCCGCGTCCCCCATCCATCTCAACGGCCTCATCGGTGCGTGGCAGAGGTCGGGGGGTGCCGTCGACCTCGAGAATGCGGACAGGCTCGCGTGGGAAATGATCGAGTCCCGCATCCGCTTCGTCAAGTCGCGCGCGGCGTCCCCAGCAGACCCGGAGCCGGCTGCTGCCTCGTGGCCCCGGGCAACGCTCGAGACCTTTTCGCTCATGGCAGAGAACTACCGCCTCCGCGAGGCACACGCCCGCATGGAGCGCCTCTGGGACGCCTTTCGCGAGTCGGAAATCAGCCCGGACGCCTTCATGATGAACCAGCTGCTCGAGTCGTACCTCCGGGCAGGCCAGCCCAGAGACGCGCTCGATCTGTACCGCGCGCTCGTCACGCACCGCGGCATCTCCCCCGATCCCTATACATTCAGCGCCCTGTGGAAGACTCTCCCCGTAAACAGGCTCCACGTCCTTTCTCCCTCCTCGGTGCCGGCCGAAATCGAGTCCACGCGGCGGCTCTTTTCCGAAACGGCCGGCTTCAGAGCCGTCTTCGAGCCGGGCGGCATGGATGGCCAGCTGGCGCGCAAAATCCTCCACACGTTCCGCCGCCTCAAGGACAACGCCGGCTTCCTTGTCGCGCTGGCCGCCCTGAAGCAGATATTCAACTTCTCGCCCCCGGAGGCGCTGGTCATGGAGCTTGTGCTCGGCACGACAAAGCTGTCGTGGGACAGTGCGTCGCAGAGAAGGCGTCTGCTCCTGGCCAAGAGGTCCCTGGATAACGAGTTGCTGGCGTGGGCAGACGGCGACGCGAGCAAGCTGGAGGGCGAGGGAAGAGGGGCCGCCCTGTACGACCATCTGCAAAACAAGTTTTGGCCAGAGGGGACGGATGGGCAGAGGAGAGCGGCTCTGGTGGATGCAGCGAGGGAAATGGGTGTTGAGGAGGTGTTGGCGCCCAAGGCGTAAAGCTTCGCCGTCGGTCCAGGCTGACTCTTGGAGAATAATACACAGTATATAGACGGCGTGTATAACAGACACTCTTCGATCTAGATCACGCACATGGCCATGGCCACCGTCTTGACGCAGCAGCAAGTTCTACAGTGAATTCCTTCAGGATGTGCATGTTTGAAAGCTACATCGTAGCAGGTAAAGCAGTGGTATTGTGAATCCCACTCCCACCGGCCCAAACTCCTCGCTATGCAAAACTCAAGCCCTCCAACTAGTGAAGATGCAAGGAAGACGCAAAGAGAAAACAGCACAGCAGACCCCAGCTCAGCCACCCTCGAATATCTTCTTGGGACGTCTCACTCTCCCGGATCGTCGCAAGACTACCTCGGGTTCCTTGGAGACAGGCACCTGGTGCTCCCTCACAGCACCGTCATCCTATCGCGTGCCTCGCTTCGCGGTCTCATTCGTCTTCGGGCTGCCCGCTCGTTTCCGTCCATGGCCCCCGTCGCCCTACGAGAGGTCCATGTCGTCGTCGTCGTCGTCGTCGTCGTCAAGTCTGCTCCCCACAGAACTCAAACCCGAACTAGGAGTGGGAGTGGGCGAGCCTTGACCCTGTCGCGCCTCGCCGTTCAGGTTCGCCGCGTTGGCAGGCAACGAGCGTCGCCGCATGATCCACTCGTTTATGCTTGTCACCGGTCCGCCCTCGACTAGGATCTCTGGGACCGTGTCGAGGGACCTGCCGATGACGGTCCCCGTGAATTTGTTGTCTTCGGCTGTTTTGGCGTGCTTCTTCTTGAGGGCTGCGGCAGGAAAAAAAAAACAAAAAAAACGTTAGCGTTTCCCTGTTCCTAGGAGCTGAACCGGCGCGTCGGCAGACTTGCCACTCAAATAATCCGTTGCGTCGCTCTCGCCATCTCCGACTCCCATCTCCATGAGTTCCGTCATCCGCTCCCCTGAAAACCACCCGATGAAGTCATCTACACCTGTGGTGTCTTCCTTCCCTAGCCATGCTTGCTCCGTAGCTGTCTTTTCCGGCAGTAGCGCGCCGACTTCTTGAAGGGCCAGTCGCACGTCGACTATGGTGTAGTCAGCCGCGTCGCCTTGGTTGTGGATGGCGTGCGAGGCCGTCTTTTCACATAGCGTGGTGAGGTACCGTGCCGCTATGTCTGTGAGGGAATCTACGACGGATGGTTTCGCAGAGTGATAGCCCGTCGAGCGGAGGATTTGGAGGATTGGAGGTCGGAGAAGCGCGTGGAAAAATGCTGACTGCGTCGCCATTGTGTGTTATTGCAAAAGAGCGAGCAGATGTGGCCGTTCGCAGGGGAATTGATGATGTTAAGAGCTTTGCGCTGCTGCTGCTCGTGCGTGGACCGACGGTGTCGCAATCGAGGACCTCATCGGCTGGTTCGCATTTGCGAAGCACAGCGCATGCTGAGTATAGCGAAATACTTGACGAAATAGTAGTCGCTGTTCGAGCTCTTTAATAAAAGATCCGGTGTGTCGCATGGGCTTCTGCAAGTCGAGGTTTTGGTTTGAGCAGCCAACTGGTCACCTCGTCGAGAGGTTGAAGTGCGGACAGTGCAAGTAGACCACAATTGGCACGCCGCACGGACCACTGTCCTTGTTATGGACGAACTCGAACTGGCCGATAATTTTATTCAATGATCCAATATTTTTACCTTTCCTTGTTTGCCTCACATCATCACGCTTATATTGCTCGCGTATCTTATGAAGCCCCCCCCAACCAAGGCAGGTTATCCTTTGCCAGCATTACTACTATACTTATTGATGAAGCCCAAGACTTCCCTGTGCCACACAAGCGAGTTTTCTGGTTTGATTGTCCACTAACACCTGATCAGCCCGTCTGATAACTAGCATTCTTTGTAAAGTCTTTGCAGTAGTCACTCACGTGGTTCTCATCTGGGAATACAACAAGCTTACTCGGGACCTTTCGGGCTTGCAAAACATTGAACATGGCCAAGCCTTCAGAAATGGGCAGTCTATAATCCAGTTCATTGTGCAGAACCTGTCCCGGATATGTCAGCTTGAAACGCAAACAATTCCATTAAATGAATGCACGAACCAGCATCGGGGTTTCCCAGTTCTGGCAATACAGAGATGGATCCCATTTGACATAGGTCTCGCGGTTCTCCCACAGCGTGCTGCCAAAGTCATGCTCAGGGAAGAACAGCTCCTCGCTTGACCACTGATTCTGTGTGCAAAAGACGCCGTCGTGGCAGACGAGGGCCTTGAACTTGCGCCCTAGGGGTTGGCCCTGGATCCAGTCTAAGAGAAGCTGTTAACAAACATTACTTTCCGCCTCGGTATCGGAAACCCTACTGATCATGTAGCCTCCGTAAGAGGCTCCTAGAGCCACTGATCGTGACGTGTCAATGTAATTCACATTTTTCTCCAGGTGCTCAAAACACAGCACCAAGTCTTCGTATGGATTGCCCCCCCAGTTGCACGTAATAGCGTCAATATGTTTCTGCCCATAGCCAGTGCTGCCCGTGACGTTTGGGGAAACCACAACGTAGCACTGCTCGGCGAAGATGGCTGGGTTCCACCGTGTACTCCATTCATCCAACCACGCACCCTGCGGGCCACCATGGATCAAGAAGGCCAGAGGATACTTCTTCGAAGGGTCAAAGTCGGAAGGTCTTGTAACGAGAGCATGAACGTCGTAGCCCAGTGAGCCGCGGTACCAGAAATCGGCTCGCATCGACTTGTTGAGACCAAAGCACTTGCCATTCTTGGAACTTGATGAGATCTCAGTGGCTGACTTTGACACCGGGTCCAAGACACTGTACAACGAGCTCTCGATACGAGACTTGGAGCTGATGAACAAGCAGGGACCATCGCCCAGTAACTTGGCGTCGCTAACTGAGCCGTCCTGGCGAAAAGGTGTAGGCAGCTCATTGGCATCACCAGGGGAGGATGGGAGCATCCACAGCAACACCTGGCCGTGCTTCTCGGCACCAACGTATAGATTCTTTTCGTCGTGACTCCAAATGATCCAGTCCGGCCTCAGGTCCCAACCACCTTCCCCATTGCTCGTCTCATAAAACTCTTCAACATTGCCAACATCGTTGACGTCGGGGACGAGCATCAACCTGGTCTTGTCCGCCTCGTACTGGATATCCTTCATTCTAGCAAACGCGATTTTGCTGCCATCCTTGTTAAAAGTTGGTGCAATGCTGTAGCCCACCAGTTTGCCAGTCTTGACAATCTCAGGGGCGTGTGGCTTCTCAACAAACGACTTGATGGGCACGTAGTAGAGGTCAGTCTTGGTATACCTTGCCGGGTTTAACTCTGGATCCCGAGCCACAAAGCAGATTCCATGGGCGGAGATGTCAAAGTCGCCAGCGGCGCCGAAAGGAGGAACGGGAGACTTGAGGTCGGTACCGGCCAAGAGATTGGTCAGGCCCGGGCTGTCCAGAGCCCATTTCCCATCAATTTTGGCCAGTTGGCCGTACCATAATGAGTTCTCATTCGGGGTGTTCCAGGTATCCCAGTGACGGACATAGAGCGAGGTGTAGATTCTGGCTGAATCGTAGGCTTTGTGGTCAACGGGAGGCCAGTACAAATCCCCCTTGGGAGTTGTTAGTCCGACGAAGCAAATGGCGACCTTGTCATTTGACAAGACCTTTGTCTTGGGGCTTGAGACATTTCCAGCCAAGTAGTGCGCCATCTGAGGTCTAAAGTTTTTTCCATTTGGTGCGGGCCGAGTATTAGTCTTACGCTTCGTTTCTCTAGCAGTGTGCAACGTACTCTGAGTTGTCCAGCACCCGCTGGGTCATAATCATAGTGCAGCCATTGTCACCTCCCTTGAGATACATGACCTCCGTCTCACCGATCCAGACGGGGTCACTGACACCTGGGTCCTCAGACACAAGGTGTGAGGTGCCTTCTTTGATGTTGAGCACCCGGAGCTGGGAGGACTTGGAGTGAGTCTCGAACGAGTACGCCGACACCTAGAGTCGTGTCAACGGGGTCCGACAGCTCAAGGCAGTAATCAGAGCTATCGATAGATATGACGCTTTGAACGAAACACATGCATTAAGCTGAGAAGAGGAGGACGCACAGTATAAAGCACCAGCTCGCCCGTCGAGTTTGGAACGCCCGTTGATCGGCGAGGGGCGGACAGAAGCACCTCTGGGGTGAGGCGGGCAGCGTGAACCGTCATTGTGGGCAATTGCATCTAGAAGTCACTCCAGTAAGGAGAGCGACCTGTGCATATGAAAGGAGGAAGGGAAGTACTGGATGGCACAAAAAGAGAGGATTTGAAAAGCTCCAAGTCGTCGTCTTTCCTCTCCGACGATGTGTGAAGCAAGTGGCAGTGCCTCTGCTACTTAAGTAGGCAAGTACCTACCTAGGTAGGTACCTTGGCTATTGCTATTGGGGCTACCAAAATTGCTATTGGGGCTACCGCCCCACCTAGATTTCAAACCTACACCCTTAGCTGCCACACCCCTCCATATATTTTCACATACAACGCCCTGGCAATGTAGCGATTATCACGAAAATAGTAGCGCACAACAAAAAAAACATCACACGCTGCAGCCGCAAGTTAACAACGCCGCTAAAGACTTGACATCCTGTCTATATAGCAATCAGATAACTATATGAACAACAGCTAAGGTGAATCAAAAGTGGTGCGGCTTCTTGGGAGGGAAAACACGACAATGACAAATAGAAACCAGACGTGCGAGCCGTGAAAGCAGTGATGAAATTTGCGATGGCAACGGAGAGACTCGTACGGGACCAACGACCACCGGACCAGAGAACCGTTACACGAAATCATACTAACAGCAAAACAGCCTCAATATTGGCAGACCGTGCTTCAGCTGCTGAGGATAGGACGCTGAACACTTGGGGAATGGCTTTCAAGCAGACCTGTCAAGAAACAAAATGGACGAGGCGGAACCAACCAGTGTAAGAGAATTCCCTGCGGGCGAAATAAAGTCCCGTATCCGTAATGTATAAATATCACGTGACATCCTCGAGCAAACCATTAGGTAGTGCCGTTGGCGCCGTTGTTTACATCTCCCTTCGGTTTCTGTCCACCAGGGGGGGCAATTTGCCTCTACCCATTTCAACATGACCCTGACGGAGCAACAACTCAAGATCATCTCAGAGCGCCCGCTAACCAATATACTACATCAGTATCGAGATAAGCTACGAAATTTCGACGAGTGCGACCAAGCCTCACAGGATGAGATTGCCAATTTCTTGTCTTCGTTAGTAGGCTCTCCGGCAGCTTTCAGCCTTCCGTCGCCAGATGGAAGCGGTAATGTGGCAGTAAAGCTCTTCTCTATACAACAACAGGTGCAAGGAGGTGGACTGAAGCTGGAACAATTCCGGCCCCTCGTCTCGTCCGTCGTGGCCAATTCCCCTGATCTCGACGTCTGGAATACGATCTTCAAGATTATCGAAACTCTCAGCCCCCTTACCCCCCCGCCATCCAGCATCGCCCCGACATTCAAAGGCACACCTGTTAAGACCAGCTCGAGCCGACTTGCTGATAGCGAAACGCGTGACATTGTCGAAGGGGAGCTCTTTGAGGAAATCAAAAACTGCACCTTTCGCAATGTGAAGGGATTCTGCGACAAGTTTTTCGATCCTAAGTTCTGGCGCCAAGAACAGAAAGCGATGCTGAGGGCGATAATGACAGCACACGACGGAAAGATATGGACAGAATTCCCCCCCACTCCCGACGAAAAACTAGTTTGGGACTGGCTTTGGTCACTTGAAGAGCGCTTCTTAGCCGGTGCACCGCACAGGCTTCATACCACAAGAACAGCCAACCAGTTTAAGGAACGGAAAGGCCAGATGGATGTCTTCTTGCAAACACCTGTCACAAACGCGAACGACACGTTTAAACATAAACACGTCCTAGTAGTTGGAGAGCAAAAGAAGTCAAACGACACAGGCAGGTTTAAGGCGACTCTCCTCCAGCTCGCGCGCTATGTGCGAGGCGTCTTTGCTGACCAGCCGACACGCCGGTTCGTGCACGCGTTCTCACTCTGCGCTTCCACGATGGAGCTCTGGGTCTTCGACCGCTCTGGGCCTTACAGCTCGGGGCCATTCGACATTCATGACGAGCCGGATAAGTTTGCGCGTGCACTTGTGGGATATGCTACAATGGATGACGATGCAATGGGCCTTGACACCTTCATCAAGCGAGGGGATGCATGTCGTCATGTCATACTGGACGACGCGAGCGGCAATGCGATGACGGTCAGGTTAGACAAAGCGATGGTCAGGCAGCGGGCCATTGTGTGTCGCGGAACTACGTGCTACGAGGCCCAAAACAGCCAGGTCGCGAAGTTCTCGTGGGCATCGGATAAGCGGAAGCTAGAGTCGGAACAACTAAGGTTGGCTGAACAACGGGGTGTCAAAGGAGTGGCCAGAGTCGTGGCGCATCGCCAGATCATCACTATTGCAGAGCTGCGGGATGGACTGGAGTTCCCGAAGCATCACAAGTTCCGAAGTGAGGCCAATTTTTTGGAAGATCTGCCGTCGGCCACCACAAGCGCGCACACACCGGATCACAAGCGCAAATCATCCGACGATGACGCCTCCGACAAGATGTCAGGATCCAAGAAGCGGCGGCCCAACAGTCAGAAGTCAAAGCTGTCCACGGAATTCAATGACCAGTTATCGATCGGCAAGGCTAAGCCGAGCCTGTACAAAACTGGCGAGGACCCATGGGAGAACAGGATTTATTCCTGCCTCCTCGTCTCACCAGCCGGCCGTGTCATCAGCGACTTTAGGACGATCAAGGAACTGCTAGAGTCGATGCGAGATGCGATTAGGGCACACCAGTCTCTCTACACCGTTGGCAACATCCTACATCGTGATATTTCCTCAAATAACATTATTATTACAAACCCCAAGACGGCGGATGGCTTTAGGGGTATGCTCATTGATCTTGACCTGGCGAAAGTGAGAGATGGTGGGCCAAGTGGGGCGCGACACCAAACTGGCACGATGCAGTTTATGGCCATCCAAGTGCTGCGGGGGGTCGATCACACCTACCGTCATGATCTTGAGTCATTCTTCTACGTTCTACTCTGGATGTGTGCGCGCTGCTCGTGGTCCATTAGGTTTAGTGGCGAGGGAAAACCGCCTCGGGAGAGCCTTCTTCGGAAATGGGAGGTCGGAAGCTTCAGCGATATTGCAGATGCCAAAGAAGGCCATATGACCGTAAATGGACTTGAAAGGATTATGAACGAGTTCCCGGACGTGTTCCATATTGTTAAGCCTCTCTGTCTCAGGATCAGGAGGATTCTCTTTCCCTTAGATAAGGACGAGAGGATGAATATTGGCACGCCTGTAGGAACCCCAGACCAACTTTATAACGACACAATAGTGACTTATGACGAAGCCATTGCTAAGCTTTAGGGAATCAATAGACTAGTTTCAGGTCATGCATGGGCATCGATACATCTATATGTTGGTCTAGCGTTCCGTGATACTTACTGTCTCGCCGGACTGAATTCCTTGTAACTACTACACCACAAGCCGCAAATGGATGACGCGACCTGTACGACAAATTGCCGGATTAGCCCCAGCTCAGCAGCTGGAACCTGGATCGTCAACATTTTCGTAGGCTATCAAAACAATGTAGAGGTTTCTATGTCGTCCGCGACTGGGCAGCTTGGGCTGCATGAATTATTATAGCCAGCCTAACCGCGGTCTATGATGGGCAGAAGGTGTTTTAATTAAGTTACCAGTTGTTGTATGATATTGACAAGTGAGAAACACGCGTCTTGGCGCTCGATTTCCATTCAAGTTGGCAAATAGTCGTGTACCCGAGTAGAATTGCAGCCCTTGGCAGAATAATGAGTCGTGTCGTTCACTTCTTCCCGCAAACCCAATACAAATGCTGCTGTGCAAACCGTCCGGCCATCTAGTCTGGACAGGCCACGCCACGCCAATCCGTGCGTAACTCCAACACAAGGATCAAAAAATCTCGTCGCAAACCTAATATGACAATGCGGTACTCGACTCCCAACAACTCCCAAAATGCTAGAATAAGGCTCGATTCCCAGCTCCCTCCCCACGCTACTTTCTCGACGCTCCGAAATTGGTCCTCTTCTTATTCCCCCCGCCATCATTCTCACTGTCGTCAACCTCCTTGTCCGCTACAACAGCCGCCTTCTTCTTCTTGCCCTTTGTTCCGGTCGCTGACGACGGCGTCCCACTATCGCGAAACGAAGCCGACACGGGCGTGGGCACGTGCGATGCTGGTGTTGATCCGGGCGTCGAGTCCTACGGATGATTGCACCCATCATCATCATCAGCAACTAGTCCGAGGGGAAACGTGTCCCAAGTGCCGCGTCAAACATACCCCGTTGTTCGGTCTATACGAGAGAGACGACTTTGAAAAGACGCGATTCTGATCCGCCGGTCCAGACTTGCGTCTCTGTGCTGCCGCACCGCTCGTACCTTTCATGTAGTTGTCGAAACCGGTAATGATGTTTCCGCTCGGTGTGCTTTCGAGGTATGCCGCTTCTTTGGACACGATGTTGTCTTCTAACTGGGTCTGCGTCGCACCATCAATGCCCACGTTCCTCGCAATTCTTCGGCGAGGGACCTACCAGGCGTTTCTCCAGGAGCCTTCGCCTCTCGATTAGCTCGCGCACACGGGCCTGAGACTTCTTGTACTCTGCTAGGGTCGGCAGAGGCACTTGGCCATTCTGTTTGTTGTCCGCCATGCGGACGTCGTCTGGCGGTGTTGGGCGCCAGATTAGTGGGCAGACGGATCACTTCGTCGGCGTAGAAGTAGTGGGCACGGCGCTCCTGATGCGTCGGTTTGACAGCGAGCGGTGTTGCGATGGACTTTGGCGGTTGTGAAGAGTGAAATGCGCACGACGCAGCCCACCTTGAATCGCAATCGGGACCTGGTAGACTCAAAGAAAGAATCATAGCTGCTGCCACTGGTCCCTGGACCAGCGCTGCGCCAGGCGGCCCCACCACCAACCACCAACCAGATTGAGACCGCCACGTCCAACCAGACTGAGAACGTCATAACTACTTTTTTACAGATCGTCACATCACGCACTGCTTGATTCACAGAGGGTTGGCTATTGAATTACTTTGCATTTTCTAGTACTATCAGAATACTAGTACTTTCGCTTGTTTTCGGACTGTAGGAAATAGAGGCTCCATGGATGCGCCCATACAGTGGCAACTGGGTCAAACGGGGAAAAAAACCCAATTACTTATTTTTTTCCTGCCTGCCTTTATCGGCGTGCGCATCAACCCTATTTCTTGCCAGACATAGTTGTCATGAAATACTCGTAGTATTCAAGGTCATTATAGCAAAAAGCGCCAAAGGCTAGTCCCATACGAAGAATAAATACGAGAGTCGTCATCGACCTTCCGAACCGCTGTGTTTGTCATCAAGGCAAAAGTCAGCACATGTTGCATTGTCCTTCCATACATTATCTTGGCCCTGGCATGAATCACCAGGAGTCAGTTGCTCCGTTACCACTTGTCCGTTCGAATCTCTCTATGGCGAGCGGCGGTCATCTTCCGAGTCATCAGCTAGTTTTTCACGTTTTAGAGAGATTGAGGAAGCGGAGGAACTATTCCGCCTTTGGACCGTGTCCCGCTCATTTTGGCAACTGTCTCTGCCACGACCTTTGCGCTCATCTCTTTGATAGTTGTCCGAGTCTTCGTCGTCTGTGCCGCGCCGTCGTCTGTGCCGCTGTCTTGCTGGGGAACTTCTATCCCGGCTGCGAGACCGAGACCGATTGCTTGAATCGTACGACGAGGATCTGCGCCTCCGACGTGGTGACGATCTGCTTCGTGACTCCGTTTGGCCTCTCCGCCTTTTTCGAGCCGGTGAAGTGCGGTCCGACGTGATAGAGCGAGATTGAAGCGCCGAGCTGGATCGGCGTCGACCATGCCTTGGACGATACGCGTCTCCTCTTGGCGATCGGGATCGCTTCCGGCCTGCGGAGCGCCTTGCCGATGAGGCTCTCCGGCGTGGAGAGTTGGACCTGCCGCTGGCGGCGCTGATAGATGCGCTCCGACCGCGTGACCTGGATCGCGAGCTTGTATCTGGCGAATGTGATCGCGGTCGATGCCGGCGACGTTCTTGGTCTCGTCCACGTCCCTGGCGGTCGTTTGGGACGTATCTGTCACGATCGCGGCCGTACTGATCTCGCGACCCACGATTATGGTTGTCGGTTCGCCTGTTCCTATTGTCAAGGTTTTGGCTTCCACGTCGACCCTGCCAAGTATCAGCGCGGTTGTTTGCCCTGTCCCGTCGGTCTCGTTCCTTCAGGTCTGAAATTGCGCGATCCCGGCGGTCGAAATCATCGCGGCGTCTGCGAGCGTCATCGGCGGCCCTGTCAGCGTCCCTCTGGAAGTGACGAAAAAAAAATGGTTAGCAACTGATGTGGTGGATATTCTTGACGCATATAGACTTTCCGCACCTTTTCCTGCATAAGTTCCAGCTTTTTCGCCTCGAGAAGTTCCTTGGGTACGCCCTGAGAGCTAGTTTGGGCACTTAGGAGCAAGGCCCATAGGGATTTGCAGAACGTCCCTGTATCTTTGTCCAGAAATCCCGTAAGTTGAATCTGGAGAGACTTGATATCCGGCTGCAGGAATGGAGACGAGGGTCAGCGGCGCTGAGAAACAAACAAGCATTGTGATGTCGGAGATGCAGCCCTTACGTAGCGTGTGCCTTCGATGAGATTGAAGCAGAGCTCAATGACAACGTCATCTTCATTGCCTAGGATATCGGAGATTTTGTTCGCGATCCACCTAAGTAAAGCGAGGGTCAGCATCACGCCAGGGACGACTGGCACGGTCGGCGTCTCAAGAGCTTACTTTTTCATGACCTGCAGGTTAACCTTTTGCATGTCGACCTTTTGGTTAAATTCTGGGGGGAATTTTGTCGACTTCAAAAGTCGAGCGTCCACTTTGGAAGTCATGGTGGACAAATCGAGTTGCTGACCTGAAGATCAAGAGAAGAAGTGTTGAAATAATTTGAAAAGTGAGGTGACGTCTAGTGCTCCATATTATCATAATAATAACAATAAGTCCACCCACCTGGACAGTTTACTCTTGGGCAGGGTACATGCGGATTATAGCGGTGGGGGGCAGTGCTGCATGCTGTACCTGAGTACCTACACCCGCTGTAGGTAGGCACCTAGACACTATACCTGGTAACAAGTAAGTAAGTACTTAAGTACTTAACTTAACCTACTAGGTACTTACTTCTAAGTACGTTCATCGTGCCTCAGGCTCCAGCCTCCATGTCTCTTTAGCGCCAAGGTACAACTGGTCAGTGGCTCGTTCTCCATTAGAGCTGGATCCAGACTGCATGGGAATCCCAGGACGGAGCTGTCATGAATTTTATCAGAAGCCCGGCGCGACACTGAACGAGACGGACGGTAAAGGTTGTCGTTGGCTTGGGATGACGTCTACCGTTCACTCTTCATCAAAGCTCTTCAGCATCCCATCCCCCAGGCTCGAGCCAGTCGACGTGTACCGTCCGAGAGCCAGTGACGTCTATCTCAAGTCATTAAACTGGCCCAGGCGCGGGCACCTGCCGACCAAGCGGAGCACGGAATGGGGGGGGAAAGAGGGAGCACTTTTTGATCCAGAGCTTATCCACTCTAGACGTGACACCTACCCTAGGGACTGGTTAGATATCTGGCTATCATAGGCATGCTACGTACACTTTTCGAAGTCGTAATTGTACCCATAGACAACCGGCTTCTGACCTTCGAATACCTAAGTACCTAGCTAGGTAGTATTGCCCATAACTACCTAAATCAGACCCGGAATTATCCAGGTGCTGTCCAGGTCCTGGCAAGTATCGTATTGTCAGGAGGACACCTTCGTACACGAGATCCGTCGCTAGACGATTTGGCAGCCCCAGCCAAGGGTCCAGGTTGCAGAGCTGGGCATCATTACGAACGGCTGCAGGACCGGAGAAAAGTTCCTATTCCACGTATGTTTCGTTGTTTTACGGGAAAATAAAATTTAAAAAATTCCATCGAGCAAGCCCCCATTCTTCTCTCGCTGCAGCAACTCTGTTTGCAAACTTTTGTCCGGACCCCGCAGCCATCCGTCACCCGAGCACCAGCGGCGGGCGGACCCTATTGTGGCTGTCCGACCTTTACGACAGTTCTCCAGTTCGCAAACTCCCACAGCTTGACCAGCTACCATCTCGAAGATATCCTGGAGCAGCCGTTGACACCGCCCTAAGAGCTTCAACCATCGCCTTCACTGCTAATAATCCATCATGGACAGCATGCACGCACCAACCGTGCCGTCCGGCCCGACCAGCAACAGCCGCGTCAACGGCAACGTGGGGCATTTGAGCTTCGGCGAGCTCCAACGCAAAAAGGAAGATTTAGAAGAAGAACTCAAGGCTCTTGGTGGCGTCCTTGATTCAGTATGTCCATCTTCAAGGTGGTAAAGATGTAATGAGATGCCGCCGCTTTCTGACGAGTGAAAAGCACGGAGTAAACATGGAATCGCCTCTTGTCACCAGAGATGGCTACCCTCGGTCCGACATTGATGTTGCCCAGAGTGAGTTCCCAGTCGTCGGCAGTACAAGCATATGTATGGGCTAATGTGGAAAAGTCCGCACCACAAGGGCGCGGATTGTCCGACTCCGAAACGACTACAAGGATCTCATGAAGAATATTGAAAAGTACCTACATCAACATTTCGCAAGTTTGGATGAAGGCGACGAAAATGTCACGCCAGCCTCAAGCACCGTCGTCCCGCCTGTTCTGCCCGACTCGCAAGCTGATACACTGGACGAGGCGTTTGCCAAGGTCAACACTGTCACCATCGGTGGCCCAGCAGATCGCGCTGGTTTAAAGGAAGGCGATGAGATTCGCAACCTTGGATATGTAAACAGGTCCAACCATGATAACCTGAGGAAGGTGGCCGAATGTGTTCAAGGGAATGAAGGGGTACGTTGTTGAAGCTCCCAAGCCGACATTTGCTACGGTTCTAACACGTCCCAGCGCAGCATTTTCATCAGAGTGTCCAGAGCTTCGGGCGCAGCCAAACGTCAGGAATTGCGCCTGACCTTGACGCCAACTCGAAACTGGGGTGGCCGAGGCTTGCTCGGGTGTCACATCCTCCCGTTATAAGGCATCTCCTAATACGGTTTTGGGTTGCAAATACATCCGACCTTTTTTCCTTTAACATAGATGCAGACATCAAGCGATGACCTTGCCCATGGTCTGATTTGGGCTGTATCTTGGTCAGGCACCTGTATTATGACACAGCCCGGCGCTGAATCAATGTCTGCGGCTTTGTCATCAAACGGAGCTTTGCGTTGGGCATTGTGCAGCGCCCGAGGGAACGTAATGTCCCATTTTTACTTTTACATTTGCAAGACCGACGGAAAAGTTGAGCTCAACAGGCAGCTTCACCCAAGTTGCCCAGGGTACTTACTTTGGCAAGGTGCCTTGGGCACTGCGTGAGGTGGCGAGGGAGTCGGTGCCTCGCAGAACACAGAGCTTACACCTGGGCACTGAAAGGGTGCTGCTGCTGCTGCCTGAGGGGTAGATTGTTTTTTTCTTTCGGTTTGGTGACGATAATAAAAATACCCAAATTGCATTATATATACATGTACGGATTCCGAGCACAGTAGCGACTGCGGGTGCTACTCTTCTACTACTACTACCTACCTAGGTAGGTACCTTAAGTAGGCTCCTTGGCTTCGTCAGCAGAAAAAGAAGGGAAATTGCAGGCGGTGACGTTATCCAAATTGTGTGAACCCCCCGCCCCTGATTGGAACGCACTTATGCATCGACATCACGTGCATGCGCCCGCCCCCCAGCAGGTTGAATTTTTTCGCTCTGGTTTGCCTGGTCCAAGAGGTTCTCCGCCGCCGCCTTTCAAAACATCCTGCTGACCGACCTCGTGCAAGTTTGTCTCCCAGCACATCCCACACCCGTGAGACCTCAAAAGGTATTGCCAGCGCCGTCGCACCTCGCATTGCACTCCACCCTAAAATCGACGATTGCGCATCCTCCGACTCGAATCCAACATCATCTCCCTTCACTATTTCCCACAGCCTTCATCTTCATCGCCCGCCTGTAGGCTAACGCTCGGTCTTCTATAGCACCCCGCTTGTTTACATCAGTTTTTCATCGGGACCAAGATCGAATCTCAGAGATGTCTGGACAGCAGACTCCCCCCACTTTCAAGCTCGTGCTTGTCGGGGACGGTGGCACCGGAAAGGTTCGTTCACAGTGATGCGATGATTGTCCGGGATGGTTTTGCTTGGATCTCCTGGCTCCGTCGTCGAGGATGCAGAATGGTGGGCGTGGGTTATCTACCCCGCCTAACGAAAGGCATCACCCGCCATCTCGATGGCCAAGGAGGATGATACTAACCGCAACCTGACCATAGACTACCTTCGTCAAGCGCCACTTGACTGGTGAATTCGAGAAGAAGTACATTGCTACCCTCGGTGTCGACGTTCACCCTCTTGGCTTCACTACGGTGAGTAACGTCATGGCTCGACTCCCAAGCCGGCGATAACAAATGCGCTAATTTATCGTTTTAGAACTTCGGTCCTATCCAGTTCGATGTCTGGGATACCGCCGGCCAGGAAAAGTTCGGTGGTCTCCGCGACGGCTACTACATCAACGGCCAGTGCGGCATCATCATGTTCGACGTCACTTCCCGTATTACCTACAAGAACGTTCCCAACTGGCACCGTAGGTCCCGCCTCCGGAAAACAGGCCATGGCGGATAATTGTTCTGACGCGCTGATAGGTGACCTTGTCCGCGTGTGCGAGAGCATTCCCATCGTCCTCTGCGGCAACAAGGTGGATGTGAAGGAGCGCAAGGTCAAGGCCAAGACCATTACCTTCCACCGCAAGAAGAACCTCCAGTACTACGATATCTCTGCCAAGTCCAACTACAACTTTGAGAAGCCGTTCCTTTGGTTGGCCCGCAAGCTGGTTGGCAACCCACAGCTGGTAGGTTTGAATGCTTGACGTGGATGTCCCGGATTACGGCAGAACGAGCGACTAATTGTGCTACAGGAATTCGTTGCCGCTCCCGCTCTGGCCCCCCCCACTGCCCAGGTCGACGAGGCCCTCATGGAGGAATACCGCAAGGAGATGGAGACTGCCGCCGCTCAACCCCTGCCTGGCGAGCTTTCCGACGACGACTTGTAAATCAGTCCGCCATCTGCAGGGTGATTGGATTGTTGGGAAGGATCACGAGATGGCCCGGCTAAGACCGGCCGTCTTCGTCTATTAAGTGTGGCCTATGTGCGGCCGGGATGACCATTTATGATACAAGGACGGGAATTATTAAGTGTTAAAAGAGGGTGGTAGGAGAGGGCGAACCAATGCCCATTGTACCTCGAGTTGAGGGTAACGTGGCGGCATCGCTGCAAAGAAAAAGGAACAAAAATAGCAGCTCACATTAGTTAGACTACACGAAAGTTTCTCTTGCCAGGATGGACTCCGACTTGCGTGTCGGCCGCGTTTTGGACTCTTTTTGGATGTGTGACGTAGGGCAACGTGACAAAAAGACAAGGATTATAATTGTCCTTGGCAGTGAACGCCATCAAAGGTACGCCACCGTTTCGGGGTATCAAGTTGTTGTTGCAGTGAGTGCGCAACAACATCTCCACTCTGCAAGGTTCGCATGGCGTGGCGTGGTGCTTGGTGTGTATGCCATCTAGGCAGATCTAGTGGTGAAAATGACAACAAGACACGTATTTGGTAGATTGACGGGCTCGTGGGACCATCATCCTAACAGACGTGGCCATCTCTGTCGTTTTCTATGCCATGTGCATGGCAGGCAACTAGGCCCCCGGCGAGCATTGGTATCTCGGATTGGATTGGGCGCAGGAGCAGGGCAGACATGCAAAATCGGACTCGGGAACATGACTTGGAAATGGCACCGGCACAGGTGAGTAAAACCAGTAAAAATGCCAAACGCTACGGGGCACCGAGCCAGCAGCGCCTGCGTCTCTTCACTGGAGGGCGGGAAATTACACGGCCCTCGGTCTTGGGTGGTCATAGAAGAAGCATTCCAACGGGGCATTGAGTTTGCAGGCACTGCCGGCGGCAAAAGAATCGGCAAGGCCCGTGATGGATTGCAAGAGCCTTGGAGGGCAGCAGGCAATTAAATTGCTGTTGGCGGGGCACAGAGCCGTGCGGGGAAGGAAGGGGGGGAGGGGGGTGTGACTTTTGGAAGGAACGGTGAGGGAGGGGGGGCGAGAGAGGGCGAGAGAGTGGGTGGATTTGGATTCTAACCAACTGCAGGGCCCAGAGCCCAGAGGGATGGATCCGGACCAGAACATCAGGACATCACATCAGACCAACAGACGACAGACCAACAGACGAGCGGCTTGGGTTGCTGAATCACTTGCGGGCCAAGGTGAGCGAGTGGGCAGCAGCAGCAAAAGCAGCAAAAGCAGCAAAAGCGGCAAAGGCACTCGGGCAGCCACACTGGCCCTCGGGACAGTCGCATACGACTCACGGGTAGTAGGTATACTACCACTCCGTGCGGAAAGCCGCAGTGGCTGGCGTGTCGGCCTCGGAGCGGCAGAGGCAAGGCGCTCGCTGTGCAAGTCCGCCAGCTGAAGGTAGCCGAGCAGACGACGGACGACATGTGAGAGACGACCAAGTATCTGGGCTGTGTAGAGCCATTGGGCCGCCTTGCCCTGTAGGGAGCACGGCACGAGCGATGCTATTCCAGAGGCTGGAATCGTGCAAGGACGGCACGCACAGATTATGATTTGGGGGTCCAGGATCTGGAGTTGTTTTTGTTATGTTGTGTAACCGTTCCTGAGCAACCCCATCCCAAGACGCGTGCCCCGAAGACACAAAGGAGGAAAGGGGAAAATAAAAATAAAAATAAAGAACGTTTCCTTTGCGCGCACCCCCTTACGATATCGTGGACGAACCAGTCTCGGAAGGGAGGGGGGGGTTGTTCCCTTTTCATGTTTTGCAGTCCGCCTGGAAATACGTACTATCAGGGACGCAGCCAATCTAATAAATATTTACTAGATTTATTAAGTAGGTACGTACGTTTATTTTTTTGGGGACTCGGTCCATCGAAGCACGCCCTGCACGTGAAACGCGTGTTGACATGTTTCCTCTTTGGGATGTGACAACGGCAGGCGCGCGACGTGATTTGCCGTTGGTGGGGAGGACGGAACTCACGACGTACGTACCTCGGTGCTTAATCAAGGCAGGTAGAGGCAGGTACTTGAGGTCGGTCATGTAAGGACTCACGGTCTGCAGAGCACGAACCAAAACACCTACTCAACTTGTACTTGATGCCACAAGATAACCAAGCACGAGCGTGCGAGGCGGCCCTGCCTTGGTGCCGGTGCGTGGACGTGGACGCGGACGCGGCCGTTGTCATGCCCTGCCATGCCATGGCAAAATAATACATACATGTCCATGTGCTATAGCACTGCAAAGTAAGTACCCTTTCTCTGACTGCCCCTGCCCAGGCTGCTGTGTTCCGCCTCGGGCAGCACCACTTACTTGTGCACCTCAATCATTCCTACTCCACGCCCGCGGCCCACAACCCACGCCACGACCCGCGACCCACGCACGTCCCACGTCCCACGTCCACGTACACGCTCACACGCTTCTTGTGCACTTTGCACTACTTTGCTTTCCCCGACTTGCCCATACACCATACGCCTGTGTCGGGGGCTGCTTTGACCTCTCCTCTCGTCCTCTATTTGCCTGGCGCCGTGCCGAGTGCTCTCTTCTCCTTCCTTCACCAGTCACTCGAGTCGGGATAGACAAACTCGGGCCCAGTGATGCATCACGACTCTTGAAACTTGCTTCACCAGATCCCGCCGTCATCCCTCCCCCGCCGCTGCTGCCACCGCCGCCGCCGCCGTCGAGAGAAGCCAATGTCGACGACCACGCCGTCCGCCTCCTCGGAGGAGCAATCAGCCAGCTCTCCTAGTCAACATGACTTGTCCGTGCCGTCTCAGAGCATATTGAGTGGCGGAGACGAAAGCCCTGCTGCTCAGAGTGTGGACATGGAGAAGCATCCCAAGGGCAAAAGGAAGAGGACCGCGTACGTGGGATCCCCTGTTGCAAAGCCACAGCGGGAATGCTTCGGGATCGTGCAGCCGAGCTAACGTGTGCCAATTGGCAAATGTAGTGCCAAAGACAAAATGATCTTGGAGGAGGCGTACAGAAGCAACCCCAAGCCTGATAAGCAGGCGCGTCAAGAGATTGTAGACCGCGTCTCGCTAAACGAGAAGGAAGTCCAGGTGTGTCCGAGGCCAACTATCCGCCGCCGGCAGGCCAAACGCGCACACAACACTTGAATCTGGGAAATCCCGGAAACTAACAAATGTAGATTTGGTTCCAGAATCGCCGCCAGAACGACCGAAGGAGATCGCGTCCCCTCTCGCCCGAGGAGCTCGCGGCCCTCCGCTTCGGTGGCATGCACCACGTCGCCTCGTCAGACCCCGTCACGTCTCGCATCGACTCGGACAGATGCTTTCCGTCTTCGGATCCAGAATCCTCACGGCCCGCTGCTGACCACCAGGGATCCCCGTCACCGCCATTCGCAACGGCACGGACCAGACCTGAGCTGAAGAGGTCACATTCCGATGCCGCCATAGTGACGCCTCGCAGTGGAGGTATGGGGAGGCACACTGATGTGCTACCGCCGCAGAGCCAGGAGGTGCCGTTGTCACAGAGGAGCCAGGATGCGGAGTCCAGAGGACACTTCTTCTCGAGTTCCGTTGGGTATCTGGCCAACCGTTGGAACCTGGGGGCCTCATTTTCATCACCGTCGACCTTGGGCCGTGGGCGAGACGATTCTTCCCGGTAAGTTCCCTTTTTTTTTTATCCTTCTTGTTTCTTAAGAGATGAGACGATCGTACATCCGGTCACGTTGGAGACTTATAGTGTGCATAGATTGGAATCTTTGTCTTCTCCTGCTTCATCCAATAAGACGCGCAGCCAGAGCAAGTCTCGGTCCAGTGTGCGGCTGTCCTTGTCTCTCGAAGGGAAGGCAGAACTCATCTCTCATCATGCATCCCCCACGCGTCCTGCAACCCCAATGACACCCTCAATCGATCCATGTGGTCCCCAACCACGGCAAAGAACAGGCTTGTCCCGAAGTCATTCTGCTCTACCAAGCATCACGCTGCCGCCAATCTCTGCCCTGACCAACTCCCTGCCGCCCCGTCTTGCACGAGGTCGTTCTCGCGACGTCCAGGCTTGGGAGTCGTGCGCTGATTCTGAGAGGCGAGACGAATTGACTGCTCAAGCAGAGAATGAGTCCAACGGCTCAGCAATTGCCGCCATCAGCTTGCTTCGGTCGGCCAGCGGGATCCTACAATCCAGCTCAACAAAACGCAACGCACCGTTGTCCAGACCCCAACAACAGCGTCAGTCAAAAAAGGCCAGGCTCAGCAGAACAACCTCAACCTCGGCGCGTCTCGAATGCGTTGATGCAGACTCGGGAACGAAAGCTGCCCGTGGTAAAGTCAACGTGTCCATGCTCGTATCTCCCACCGACTCGGACAAAGAGAACTGGTCCCCCGACGAAGACGGCAACACAGATCCTCACCACCGTCGCCGCCCTCTCCCCGCCGCACCAGCAATCAAGATGCAGAACCCTCGCCGTCTAGGCCGCCTACTACAAGACCACAAGGGGCCTGCGATGCTCTCCAATCGCTCCCAGACCTCCCCTTTTTCATTGGCTTCGAAATCCAACATTGACGTATTCGACGACGCCAAACATAAGTCTAGACAGAACGATGTCGAGAAATTCATGCGCGGGGATGTCAGTCCCAGCAAGAAACCAGACCTGGACTGCATTGCCGGCCTCTTGTCCCTGAGCCAAGGGGCGTGGAGATAGATGCAACCGAGACCCTTCTGGACTAGCAAATAAATCAAGGCTCATGGCGCTGGATGGGGCACAGGTATTGATGCAATCATTTTCACTTATACATCTATTTATATAAATATTAGGTTTTACTGGATACTGTATTAGGGTGGTTTTGTTTTCTTTTCATGATGAAATGGATTTCAGGCTGTTTTTCCTTCTTCTCCGCGTACTTGAATTTCTGTATGGACATGTTGGGTTACGTTGTGCTTTCGATGTACGGCCTAGGAGCTAACGAGTGGGTGGCATGGTGACTGGAATTCATCTTTACGGCGTGGCATGGTAAAACGGCGTGGAGTCTGCTAATGGCAATAACAACCTTTCAAAAACCTCTTTTGCCTGAATGTTCAACGTTTCTAGAAGGCGTGGAATCTTGTGGTGATGCCGAGTTTGATGACGCGGTGCCGACACTGCGGTATCTGTGGCGGTACAGAGGCCGATCTGTTTAATCTATTGCATTATGATCCTGGACGAGGCATATGGGGACAAAGAACTCGCTGGCACTCTTGCTTTGCCTTGGAATGACAGCCGCTCCGGCTCGATTGCGTGAGGTGCTTTGGAAAATAGAAGCAAAATCCCCTCCAATGCTTTCCAACTCTTTCCATCCAATTGCCCTGGATGCTCTCCCTCACGTACAAATTTATAATATAGTAGTGCCTCCTTTAATCCACAAGACATGTCGCATCTGTCGTCAAGCATACAGAGTATATGTATCCCCTCTTCTACAATCCCAACATGCTCATCTGCCGCCTAACCGGGCTGGCACTGACACTTCCCTCTTCGCTGGGAAAGTACGCGCTGTCTGTGTCTATGTCCCAGCAAGCGCTGTCATCTTCGTCTTGAGAAAGGATGCCGTCAGATGCACCATTGGGGTCAAATGGCTTCTGTGATGCAGCCCTGACATTCCAGCGCAGCGTTCGGCTGACGCTGTCAAACCACTCTGTATCGGTGCGGGTGACAGTGGGAAATGGGTACTGAGATGCAGTAATGGTGACATGGTCGCCTGGTCTCAGTTCGATGCGACCCTTGCCATCAAAAGCACAATAGGCTGTGGCCCGTGAGTTTCGAGGCACGGCAACCCTCAGAGCCATGGTATCTGATAGGACCATGGGCCGGAAAGACAAGGTATGCGGACAGATGGGCGTCAGTAAAATGGCTGGTATGTCGGGGTGGACAAGAGACCCCCCGGCTGACAAGGAGTAGGCCGTCGATCCTGTGGGGGTGGAAAAGATGCAGCCATCGGCTTGCACCACGGTAAGCAGCTCATCGTCGCCGTAAAGCTCCAGATTGGAAACGTAGGGCGACGGCCCGCGATCAATCACGAGCTCATTGAGGACCTCGAACTGCTCGCCCTCGCCTGCTTGCGCACCGTCTGCATCACGCCTCCAAACAGTGCACGTAAATCGCATACGCAAATTGATCTTCATGCCCTCGTCGCCCATGACTCGGTTCAGGTGTAGCTTGTACTTTTCAAATTCAAACGTGGTCAAAAACCCCAAGCTGCCAAGACTGAACGACAAAACCGGAGGGACGATTCGCTGAAAGAGCCACGAAGTGAAAAGAACGGTGCCATCGCCCCCTAGGGTGAGGACCAGATCAAACTTTTCTGGCTGGCTCCAACATAGATCTGGCGTCCAGTACTTGAGCGTATGTTCGAGCCGCGGGTTTTCTGCCAAGATGCCGGGAGCATCAAACCTCCTTGAACTGCGCAGTTTTGCGTCAACATAGACATTGACCCCCAAATCGGACCCGTATCGCGGAGTGCGCAGCAGCCACGCTGTGAGCTCGCGTGTGAGGTAAACAAGTTGGTGGTCTCGAGCCTTGGTGACAATCATGACATTGCGCACGGCGCGCTTGATAGGGCGCCGCTGCAGCTGTTTGGACACTTCACGGACGCCAGTCGCCGTCTGAACAAGGCGGGAGTGTGACATCCATTCGTCATTCTTGATTTCTTCCAAAACCTTTTCGATGTCAACCGCATCGTCGAATCTCTGATGGTAAAAGCACGGCGACTTCATGACGCTCACTGCTGATTTGGGTGTCAACTGCTTCCTCGCCAAATCCTGGAGGGCATCCGCAAGTCTCTGAGATGACGCTGCAGAGCCAGGGGCCTCGTCATTTTGTTTTGCTAGCATGTTTTCCAGCGGGAGTGCTTCGGGCTTAGTTTTTCGCGCAACGGACGTCAGAGCCTTGAAGATGGTTCGGCGAGGGAGTGTGTCGTGAGAGGGCGCACCCCGTTGATGACCAGAGTCTCCCGCGCAAGTTGATGCCGCCCAAGGCCAAGCATCAGCAGCGTCGGACGTGAGTGATTTTAAAGATCCACCACCTAATGCCGGGACAGTGGTAGACGGAAGAGACGGGTCACCTGCCAGACAAGTAGCTTTGACCGTGTTCAAGAAGAGATAATCTGCAGCATTGGATGTCTTGGGGCGGTCGAGGACGGTCGCAAAGGTGCCTTTATTCGCTGAAACTGAACCGCTCACGGCAGAGTGGAGTGCTGCATCGTCGGTCATAGCCTCATAAGGGGTAGGAGAAGGTGGCTGCCAGATCATACGTAACACAATAAGAGGGGTGGCACAAGGCTCAACTCCGAAATCAATGGCCGAGCCGGAAGAAGCACCGAAAAGGGATTCAGGGTGCCAACAATGGGGCCCGCCTCAACGAGCTGACAACAGGCTGCACGTGGGCATACGCCAAGATGGCGTCTAGAATTTGTCAGGCGGTTCCCTCGGGCTCTCCAGAAACTCTGTGGGCACAGCCCTCTATGATGCCGCGCGGGCGTTTAATGGCGGAGGCAACTGCAGGAAGAATCAGAATCAGCGTCACAGGTAACATGTGTTTTGTTGTTGATTTGGATGGATGGTGCGGACTCGGCGTCGTCTTGGTTCCGTGCGCTCTTCCCACTGACAGCATGCCACTCGGCGGCACACGTCTGTTTGTTGCGTGTAAAGCACATCACAATGAACTTACTCTGATTACGCGATTCACACCACCCGGCCTGGCCCAATCGACCGACAGGATGCCAAGCTAGGACCTAGCTAACACGCAGGCAAGCTGCAGGAAACACGTGTTGGTATGGGTGATGGTTGGTGGGCAACGCTGAGGGGAAATCCTGGCGAGCAGGCGCCGAGGACTTGGACACCGCCGTGATTGGTGGTGTCGGCTGTGACGAGTATCTTTGGCCGCAGAGACGGTTGCACCGGGAGCGTAGATGAGCGAATTGGAACCGGGGCCGATGTATGTCAAAGTGGCTGGTTGGAAAGGGAACATCACAGCTCCAGCGCTTGGCTTGTCTTGGTTGCGTCTTGCGTCTTTGGTGCCGAAATGGCAGGCGAATGACTGCTGGAAGGAATAAGGCCGAAAATAGAATATAGTCCGGCCAGCGAATGGAGAAAAGCGACAGTGACACAAAATTGCAGACGCTTTGGGCTCGACGAAAAGAAGGGCAGAGGGCAAAGAAGGTCAATTATGCAGAAGCCGACGCTGGTGTCGATTGATGAAAGAGAAGGGGGGGGGACGAAACTTGAAAAGACGGCGAGCGGCCAAGGCAGGAGCGAACAGGCCGAGAATACCAAAGCACCAAGTCGTGAGAACTACCAGAGCTCTTCCACACCTTGGTGTCAAAGGGGATAAAGGGATAAACGACAAGGGAAAAACAAGACAATGGGCGGCGACAAATCGAAAATGACAGGCCGACAGAGCCGCTTCCCGTCAAGGAAAAGTCTTGAAGGTAAAGCTTCTTGAACCAGTGTTAAGTACTTGCTCTCGGACATCTTGAATACCCCAAGGCGTGCTCAGATTGTTGACTACAGACTCGCCAACACAGACATGTGAAGCTTTGCCAGCACCTGAGACGTTACAGCTGATTTGAGTCCTCTTTCCGCCGGGGCACTGTCAGCCAGACAAGTGCGAACTCAGACGTCCCCGACCTATGCTGGGCGGTGCCGAGACGAGACGCGACCTGAATCGCCGCTGAAGGAGGTGGAGCTTGGAGCTTGGAGCTTGGAGCTTCAACCCTGGACCCTACGCGGAGAATCTAACGAAGGTGTATGTGGGCTAGGGGTTTATTGGTGAGACGACTGACTGCTGGGTCGCCCTCCTGACAGTCTCAGCTTCTATAACAATAGCAGGGTAACATCAACGGTTCTACAATGAATGGTCTTTAAGGAAGTATACAACTGACATCATTGCTCAGTCATAACACGGCCTTGTTCATAACACGGACTTGTTCATAACACGGCCTTGTTCATAACACGGCCTTGTTCATGAACACGGCCTTGTTGAGTGACTCTTTTGTTCCGGCCAGCTGACTGCAACACTTGTCCTACTTTGATTTGCTCTGTGTTTGTATGGAATGTTTTGGCCCGGAAAAGCCGCGGCCTTTAGCTACAAATTCTCCCGACGTCCAGTTGACACTGGCCCAAACCCGAGGCCCAAACCCCAGGAGGATTTTTTTTTGGGGCAAATCTCTCCCAGGTAATCATTCCAGGGAACGACTGAACTCATACCCAGAAGGAACCTGCAGCGTGCTTGGTCTCACAATCTGAACGAGCGGATAAGCCGTCCAAAGTTGTCAGGGAATAGTTACGGACCAGCCCCTGGACGACTTTTGAGATGATGCTGAAACGGGCGGGCGGCTGCGCCCCCAATTCCACCAAAGGCCTGCGGCGTGCTTAGTGCAAGAAGAGGTGTTGACAAGAGGAGGGTCCAACCGTTTCGGCACTGCAGGCTTGTGGTTTGCAAGATGAATGCAGCTTCGCATCATTATGTGCCATCATTTGGCTTTGCCCTCCTGAGTCCTGGAGGGGTCATCCCAGTTACAGCTCGGAACATCTCCCGGGACGAATGATTACGGTATCATCGCAAGGCTCACATAACTCATTGATCTTCCGAAATTCATTTCCAGTGGAGATCTGCCGCGGCCTTGGTTTCCAAGACAGATCGGATGAATGCCTTTATGCTTTGTGACTCCGGTCCATCTCCTGACATGGCTGCGTCAAGATCTGATGCCTGATTGTGGCAGCAGATACGCTGTCCCGTTTCCAGGACCCGGTCCCAATCCTCAAAGGAGAATGATCCAGAGCTCTCGACAAGTAAAAGCTCGTCGTGTGAGGTAAATGCCAATGCGTGGAGAGACTTGGCCGTGGCCGACTGCTCAGTGCTCGGGTCAACAATGAGACCGCCAGAGTCGGCAGGAATCGCGAGTGTTGTTGCGGTTGCAATAGTCTTGAGAGGGACGGCAGCAATCAACAGCCCGAGGATGGCGGCATGAAACAAGGCGGGGATCACGGCAAGATTCTGACAAGGGCCATGGTTAGCAATACTAAGGGTTCTGGAATGAGGCCAGTAAAAGGCCATGCACGCTGTCTCACCAATTGGGCTGGAAGGAGCTTCGTGTTTTGATAGGCATTTTCTGGTGTTTCCATAACCTGAAGCGTGATCTGGATCATGCACCTAGGGAAGTTTCGAACTGGGATAAGCTGTCGAAGGGCGGCTTGCAGGATCGACTCGACCTGTCTCTCAGCAGTGCCTGGCCAAAGATTTAGACTCCAGAGGTTGAGATGGCATCCTGTCAATATAGAAAAGGTCGATCCCTACCTCCAACTCCCGCGGCCGGTCTCACAACCACATCTATCAAGGCCTCAAACGGGTTTTCGTCGCGGCGAGGAGCCTCGATGGGGCCGTTTACGGCGGCAGTGACGGCATATCCGCAGTATGAGAAGGTAGCGGAGCCGTCAGCATTGGGCAGGTCAGACAGCTTGGCGAGGGGATCAGACGATGCGGTCATGGCGAGGAGCTGAGAGAGTTTGAGGTTGAAATCCGACGGGGCCTTGACGCATTTTCCTGAAGGCCCGTCACGACTCGACTGTCTGGTGGAGACTGGCACTGTGGGTGGGCACTGGGCAGGCGCTGTTTGACCGCCTTTGGGCTTTGCCCGCATATCTTCTATTCCGAAACCGATTTCTGTCTGGATGCAGTGTCAAACGGTCAATCAACAATGCTTCGAGTGCGTCACCGTCACATTAGCTTTTGCTGCTTCATCCGCGTAATGCCATCAAGGATATTGTATTATACTCTAGCACCAGACCCTTGTAGTTGCGAGCATGTCGCACCCAGGTTTTCAGTTGCAGAATCAGCGACCATGCAGCCAATGGCGTTGCGGCGGGGCCCTTCCAGTCTCTACTCCTCCGTACTTGGTTGAGTCACGTCGCTGCAATTGTTCCCCCTCCTTCCCATCAACCATCAACCAACTATCAACAACCCCAAAGGCATATGCCGCTATAGCTGTATAGCTGTATAGCTGTAGCCATGTCCTCGCCGCAGCCCTCACCATCACCGGCGCTCTTACACAACACTGCATCTGTCATTCCAGATCTCAAGGATAGGATTCCAAAGCTCGAGCCCCGCCGACGACGACCAGAAGCTGCAAACCCAACTCCCGTTCCCGAGACTCCCGCCCTTCCTTCGCCCCCCGATACTTCCAGCTGGACTTTTGTCGTCCCCAGGAGGAGAATCCTGTCCAAAGAGGACCACGAAACCTTTCTCGCCTCGCCTACGCAGAGCCTGATTAAAGCATGGATATTTGGGCTTGCCGAGAGTGTGGCTGACGTGCCTTGTTCGGCTGTTGAGAGCAAAGATGTCGGCGACACGGTTAAGGCCATCTTGAATATTCTGGGCGAAGCAGAGGAGCTTGTTGCCAAATGCCCGCCCGATGAACAAGGCGGTTCTCGATTCGGAAACAAAGCTTTCCGAGGATTCCTGGACCTCGTGTCTAAGAACTGTCCCAGGTGGCATAACACCTTGGGTATCGACAAGGAAGAGGCCGTTGCAGAAGTGTCAACCTATCTTGATCAATCGTTTGGAAACCGTGTTCGCATTGACTATGGATCCGGCCATGAGCTCAACTTCATGATGTGGCTGCTCTGCTTATATCAGCTGGGTCTCCTGCAGAAGAACGACTTCAAGGCCGTGACCCTAACCGTTTTTTCAAAGTACTTGTCCTTGATGCGCACAATCCAAATGACATACTATCTCGAACCTGCAGGCTCCCATGGCGTGTGGGGACTCGATGACTACCAGTTTCTTCCGTTTCTCTTTGGCGCATCTCAGCTACTACATCACCCGTACATCACGCCACGGTCCATCCACCAACAGCTGACGATTGAGGAATTCGGAAAAGACTACTTGTACCTCAGCCAAGTTGCCTTTGTCAACGATACTAAGACGGTACGGGGGTTGCGGTGGCACAGCCCCATGCTTGACGATATCTCATCAGCCAAGTCATGGTCCAAGATTGACGGGGGAATGCGTCGAATGTTTGTGGCCGAGGTGCTGGGCAAGTTGCCGGTGATGCAGCACTTCCTGTTCGGATCGCTGATACCGGCAGTGCAGGTGATGAGTGAGGACGACACAGCCGATGGTCACGCTGATGGAGACGATGGCCAAGTCACCCCCGATGCGGCTGGCCACTCAGACCACGCCCACGATGGTACTGGCTGGGGTGATTGCTGCGGCATCCGAGTACCCAGCAGCATCGCAGCTGCACAGGAGATGAAAAAAGGAGCAAAAGGCGACAATCTGCGGCGCATTCCCTTTGACTGAGAGGAGGACTAGGGCGTTCAACAGGCATGGAAGCCGCCGACAACAGTGGCTATCCATCCGGTGTTTGTCATCTGGCCTTGGTCTACGACATAGCCCCCTCGTGAATGCCTGCGCCGACAGATGATGTTCGGAGAGTATTGTAACCAATCACGAGCCAACGATGTTGTCTACCAATGGATAGTTCTCACCTCTTCCGATGCCATCGACATCCCGAGGAGGGGGCAGTGACTACGCACGCCAATGGCGCTTTGGGGCAGGTATTACAAGTGCCACAATAGAGCAGCGCTACAGAACAGAGATCCCGGCTCTACTAGTAGCCGCGGCGCTGGATGAGACGTCGAGGAGATCCAAGATTGGCCTGCAGAGAACCTGAGAAAGCGACGCCGCGTGGAATCATAGGAGACAGTCATTATCATCAATGCCACGGTGGCATGACTTTGGTTCGCATAATGCTGCATGTCGGCCAAGGGTCTGTAGGAATGATGGTGGTTTGCCAAACTTTGAAGAGCGATGATAGATTCAATGAGTCAATGTACTCTGGTTGCCGTATCATGGCGAGCATCAGGTACAAGTTCTCCCACCTCGCTTGACAAGGTCTGCATCACGATTACGAGGAACATGAAAACCGGGCTGAGCAGCCACACAGCAACTGCTCAGGGCCGTCTCGATATATTGAAGCCGGATCTGCCTTTGTAGATGACGCCCATGGGGACAGCATAATCACACGGCATCACTCGGGCTAGTCATGGCCCGCCCTACCCATTGGCCATTTGGTTCACACGTCCATGTTGGTCCTCAACATGAACGAAATAGGATGCAATGACAGGTCCTTTACAACAACCACTGACAGCATCCACTCACTCGACTCGCCAATCCTGAAGCTGGTCATCTCAGTTGCTGTTCTCTTGTCAGTCGGTATTCTTTGAGATTAGGCGTGGCTTAGCACTCCCACAGAAACAACATCGACGACGAGTCCGAGAAACGACCCGGCGACATTACGGAGGCCGCCGACGCCAACACCTCCGGCCCAGACGTAACTACGTTTGCTCGCGCTCTCCAAGTCAGCGGAGCATTTACCCCAAGCAAGGCCGTCGACAATGTCACTCTCAATCTTGCCGAGGGCAATACCCTTGCCATCAACTGACCTGGCCTGGCCGTGTCCAAATGCCAACCCTCGTGAAGCCCATTTGGTCCAAGCGTTGCCGGCCCATGCATGGCAAAGCCGCCACGACGCGCAGGCTCGGGTCTGCTGAAGCTCGTCTTGAAGTCAAGTCCGTCGGCCGTAAACTCGACGTGGACGGCTCAGGGGCAACGTCAGCACATCTCATGGAGCCTCAGCCTCGGCCTCAGCCCCAGTCTCAACCTCAACCCCAACCTCACTCCGCACACCGCACAGCTCCGCACCGCATACCGCCAAAATTGCCCCGGGGGGCAGGCGGCAACTCAGCCCGGGCCAGTGCCCATTCCCCGCCTCAACGAGCCCGCATCAGCCGTAGACGCCACGGCCAAGCTGGAAAGCTACGGAAACGACTGGGCCGGTGTCGTGCCCCTGACGGCACGTGTGTGCTCACTTGTCATATTCACCCAGCCTTACCGGGTACAGGCCGCCGCCCTCATTTCCTCAGCGACCCCGGTATCCTCGAGCGCCCCTGAGCCGAGCAAGGTTATCGAATAGAAAAGAAAGCAGAGGCGGCGGACGAAGCAGGGGGGCCAGAAAACGCGGCTGTGAGTCTGTGACGGCCTCGACTGACGAGGAAAACGCCGACATCACAAAATACAGTCTCACGCCGTGAAGAATGCCGGTGCCCTGTGCGTCCACCCTTGCCGCCGGCAGTTCCCAACGCTGTACTCCGTACGGAGTCCGCGCGCGCACGCACGGCTGGTTCTCGGCTCCGTGGACCGTGGGCGCTCCAGGACGCGCCGCCGCCGCCGGCTGGAGCGTGACAGGCCGTGTGGGCGGCAGCAGTAGCGGCAGTAGGTTCGTTTCACGATCCCTAGTGCAGCCGCCGGGAGCTGATACCAGTGGCCTCCACTGGCCAATACCGATCCTGTAGAGGCTGGAGAGAGGTTCGCTGGGAGGAAGGGGAGGGAGTGGAGTATCTTCCGTGCGTTTGCGTAGCTTCGAGGACGACTCGACTGACTGGTGGCGATCAGCCTGGGATGCCTGGGATAGATGGATGGGTTGGTGCGTACTGAATTTTCAGTCTGTCGACTATTCTTGCGGACAACCGGCGGGCACGTCGGCGCAACGCAACGCGACGCAACAGCCTCGTCACCTCACCTCGCCACCATCCATCTGCCGAGGATGGAACGGGAGCGAAACTTGCTTCGTCTCCGTCCAACAGCCTTCTGTCAAAAGTGACAACTCGTACGGCAGCCACAGGGGGTTCGGGCGAGACACTACGCAGTGCGCGTGGCAGACGTGGCCGACAGGCCATATGGAGTGTTCAGATAGTAACTAGTCTGGTTATAAGTCGAGTACGGAGTAGTACTTTGATTGTTCTCAGCCTCGCTACAAGGCTTGTGCTACCTATGCATTGTGCGGCTGGGCCCGCTGTTACACACACCAGGTATGCGCCATGCATCCTGTATCCTGCATCCACGACAATGAACCCAAAAGAAGCCACCGAACACCCTGTTCCATTCCAACTTGGCCCTGGACCATATCTTCGCTACACTAATCCATGCGTTTTCTTGTCTTGCGAACAAATGTTACTTCTCCACGCCCCAAGCAGCCCCGCAAATGTCAAGCCTCTCAACCAGAGCAAATTATTAGCTCAAGCCAAAGACTGCGGGTGCAGAAATAAGAGGGAAAAGGAGGGGAAAGGAGGGGGAAAAAAACCACCCAACGCCAGATCATCATCATATACGGCCGTGTGTATTGTTTTCTTGGTTCGCAAAATCGACTATCGCCACCCCGAGGTATCTCGCAAATACGACTGACAAAAAAAAAGAAGAAAATTCGGATACTGTGCCGGGACTGGGGAACATAGGGGAAACGAGGCAGGTCGCGTGAGTATTGCAACTGTATGTAGGGCATACACATCGTTTTGCATCCACGACTGTGGACGGTATGAGTAGAGCACAAAGGCCGCAACTAGGCGACTTCAACTAGCGTCTGCAGAGGAATGGGTCCAGTTTCGTCCGTAAGTGAAGTTCGTGTCCGCGGTTGGCGACTTCTGTTGGCAACGTGAATGTCAATCACCATTTCCACCAGCACTTCGGCATCGCGGTGCAGCTCTCCCAGTTCTTCTTCGCTAAAGTTTCTGCCAAGCCTATCTTGGCCGTGCTGGGGTTTGCGGTAGGCGGCAAACACAATGCCCCGGTCAATTCTTTCAGACAGCCTCACACCTGAAACAGGGCTGGCGGAGCGAGATGAAGAGCCTCGGGCGTACTGGCCCGTGTAGAAGGCACATGAAAACCCGCGCGCAAGGTCGTGGGGCTGCGCATCTTGGTTTTGGTACTCAATCCACCCATCAGACTTGAGAACTTGCGTGTGAACCTGGGTAGAGATCTGCAGCGGGGACGGGACGTGGTGAAGGCCATGTGCCGCGAGTAAACGGCCGATCATTGGCCTGACACGACTGTTCAAATTATAGCCAGAGGTCTGCCTGGACGTGTCTGGCCAAAGGTTGACCACGTACACCAAATCAAAATCATAGCGCCGGGCGATTCTGGCAGCCTCGAATGCGGCGGCGGCAGCGGGCCGGCTAGCCCGGGGAGGCGTCAAGGTTAATAAGGCGCAAGGAGCTGGCTGAGAAGACGACGACGACATGGACAGATTCATTAGGGGTGGAGTTGAATGCACATCTTCCAGAGGCTCCAATGCCGGGCTGTCTGGAGTTGATTCGGCAATGTCGTCGTCGCTGAGGTTTAGAAACTCGTTGAAATCTGGCTCTCTCAAAGTAGAGCTGCAGAAGGAATGGGCGGAATGAGCGAGACTGGACTGGCTGTACGATCTGCTCAGCGAGAAGTCGTCAAATGGTTCACCCAGCTGAGATTCAATGCCCTTAAACAGCGATCTGTCGAGGGCGTCTGCAGACTTCACGTTGCGCAATTTGATATCGGCGACAGGCCCCAGATCAGGAGACTGACCTGGAGTAGGTGGGCATGCCGGAAGGGGAATTTGCGGGCCTTTGCCCCTTGGGCTTGTTGGCTGTGACCCGTCGTCTGAAGTAGGGGGAGTATCGAGCCTGCTTGAAATCGGTACAGAAATCTCCAGCAGAGATCTGCCCCGAGGAGTCGGCAGCGGAGGCACACAGAACTTGGGAGCGTCAAGGATAGGTGATGTGGGCAGTGGTTCGCTGTCGAGCCCGGACTTGGCGGGAAACTGAAATTCACAGAGACCAGTGATCAACTGTTCAATGTTGCGTTGAGTGAAGAAAGGAGACCGGCATGATCGTCCCTTGGGAGGGTGATTGCAACCGGTTGTTACTGAGTTATGTGCTTGGCGATGAGCAGTTGGCGGAGATGTCGCGATATCTGGGACTGAAGGCGAACGTCCTGCAGCTTGCGTCCAGCGTACCTCGTCGCGCGCAGTCATTCGGCTTGTCTTTGGGCGGATAAATGACGGCGAAGGAAACTGTTGTTCCGTGGCCTGAACAGCGGAATTGGCTCGTCCACCAGGAGTAGGAGAGGCTTTGCGCTTGTAGGCAAAGAGCCTCTCAAGTCTTTCTAAGCCGTTGGCCATTGCTTTTTTTTAACGGAGGAGTATATCGGTGCACTTGGAATATGACCTTTGTCAAATGTGGTTTCACGTCGGCGGATTTCGAAAAAGATATAAAGAAGAAAAGAAGTTCTTTTTTTTTATTGTCTCCCTCGTCTTCGGTGTGTGTCTCCTCGGTGGAATAGAATTTTTTGTGGCCGGTGAGGGCGAGGAAGTGAATGTCTTGTGTCCTCGGGGTGACGCCAAGGTGAATCAAATGTGACCACACGAATCGACCGTTGGCGAGCCGCTACACGACGAACTTCAAACTCGTGTGACAAGGACGCTACTTCAGACGAAATCCACGTATCATCCCTATCCCTCTCGGGCACATAATATCCAGTCGTTGGTGATGTAGTGCATGCATGTGCATCTGCACAAAGTGGCTCAGCGTGTGGTCACTCTTTGGATTCCTGGTAGCTCCAACGCAGAGATTCTCGTTGCGAGGTTCAGAGTCAGCAGGAGTTGCCTCTCGACGGGAGATGAACCCAGCCGACCAGAAGTGTGCGCGGATATGTGACTTGATAGAGTCGCTGGTAATGTTTGGAGTGGTTTTGTGTGTGAAGAGGAAGGTGACAGTCGAGGCGGCAAGGCGTGTAAGTGACTGGTCCGTCGGCAGGGGAAGTAAGCGAGAGCGTGATGTATGTAGCTGGGGCAGGAGCGACCCGGGTTCTCTCCGTCGAAAGTCGAGTTGGACGCCAGAGGGGTAAGTAACCCTCGTGAACCTTACGGAGGCAAATGGAAAAGGACAAGATGAGCAAACGACCGAGAGTCAAGTCAACGGGTGGTGCATCCTCGGAACCGAGTTTTCAGCGATAGCGCCTTGGGGGGCTACGACAGTCTTTAAACGAAGAGTGTCGACTCGACAATGCCTGGGCCTGATCAAGCCTTCGCACCGCACCTACTACAACCCGCACACGCCCGCACACGCGAGACCGGTCAAAAAGCAACGACTTCCACGTTGCCCGAGGGTCGTCGGCAAGGGTCCCAGCCAGACAGATGTCCAGAATCCCCAACGCGCCCAGCAGAAGAAGCATGTACTTCGTCCCCCGAACGCGGACGCCCTGTGAACTATTTGGCCCGTACTGGAGCACAGCGGACAGACCATGGAATGGAGCATGTGCCACCACCAAGAAGGACAAGAAATAAAAGAGCCGCAGTCCACCAATCTCACACTACGTACAACGTTTTGCAGGCCGTTTGGTGGCAGGGATGCTAGGCTCGGACTCTCACCTTTCCAGGAGCCAAAAAAACAAAAAAAAAACAACAACGGGGTTTGCACTGGGACCAGAGCCGGGGAGAACGGAGAAGACGCCCTCGACGCCCACTTCACTGCTCTAGCTCTGTCTCAGCCCCACACGACGGTTGTCTTTTGAAAATGGTTTTCTTTTCTAAGAGACCAACCAACCAAAACCAACCTGCATGTGAGCGCGCCGCTACCATTGCATGGCTGGGGCCTCAGAGACAAAGAGAGAACACTGTCCGATGGCTTGGAGACAACGACCCCTCATACATACGGAGTACCTACACGCACACACGCGCTGGCACTCTCGGCCCATACAGGTTCTGGCCCGCTCCAGCTAGACCACAAGAGAGTGCTGAGGGGTGCGCCCTATGGTTTGTGGCGTTGGCGTATACAACCCAACGAGGGGCGTCCCTGACAACTATGATATTCATGTGCAATATAGGTAGTTGCAGACGGAGTACTGTATGTCTGTTGCCTGCGCAGTTCATGGCTGTATTGTCTGGATTTTATTCTCCTGCCTGGTTCATCCCATCATTACATTGCAGACGGCCGGCCGGCGAACGGATGTTCCCGGTGATCTCCCACGCTCTGTGGCAGGCGAAACATTTCAACTGATTCTTTCAGCACCCCTACAAAACAGCTCTCCCACCTGCTGCTTGTTGCCCCGAACCACCTCGAAGGCTGGCAGGAACTCACCGGCGATGCCATGAGAAAAGGACGAGGAGGCTGTGGTTGTTCAAGAATCAAGCTGGCCCCTTAGTCCACAATTACTTACCAGGACAGCGGCGTCATGAACATTTAGATTACTTGCTTGTCCATGTTCAAAAGAAGAGGGCTGGGGTTGGGCAGTCGCGAATCAGAGAAGCTCAATGACGGTGAACCACCAACGAGCCGAGCCAAGCCAGCCCGGCAATCTGGCCAACAGGCCATTCGTCTCTTCTTCTTCTTCTTCTTCTTTTTTTTTTCCTTCTTTGCCTTGGGGCGACCCAAACCCTTCCCAGCCAGCCCTGCCTGGTGTGTCGTTTACCGGACACATCATACTCCGTACTTCACCCTACTTTTGTTTAGTGTCTGTTAGTTGGGGTAATAAGGCTGGGAGATACTCATAAGGTTGTGTGAAGAAATAAGCACCGGTTTACACTTTTTACCTGGTCTTTCAGCCAGGCGTCAATCAACTCGCTTCATCCAAAAGGAAAGCATGGGTCGGTGTCTATATTCAAACTGCCTGTCAATATCAGGCCGCAGACCCAAAAAGAGAGGTTGAAGTTATTCATGTGGACCTTTTCACTTCCAAAGCTATGATTGATCCCTCCGCCAGCTTTTGGCACGAAGCAAGACACGTCTGGCACTGTCAAAAAGCTTTGCCAGTAAGTACATCAGACGAGAGAAGCAAAAGACGAGACAACGTGGCAAACACACTTCGAGGCATGCAACAGTGGCATAGCATGGCCATCAGAACAGCATACGCAGTGGTCGGTTTTCGCGACGAAGACGAGCATGTACACACGCGTACGCACATCCCCCCTTAGCCTGGCTACTAGTCTGCTTGCGTTTTGCTTCGTTCGTTCTCCGGCCTCTCTACCCAAATCCAGCTCACTAGCTGTGTGGCAACGCTTCTGAATCAAGATACGGAGGGCGGTGCATCAACGCCAGTGTGCGGAACCATCGATGATGAAAAAAAAAAAGCAAATCCTCCCTGCGAGCGAGCTGTCAGCCCGTCCCGCAAGCGCCAAAAGTCACTAGTTACTTGATTCGACCAATTAATTGGCGGCGGCAATGCTGTTGGGCAAGTCCTATCAGCTCTCACGCTCTTGGCGGGACGGCTAGGATGGGCGCCCATGATCGAGGCAATTAGTATGAATGGAACGGGCGAATATGGCGCATGATGCAATATCATTGAACTTACTCGCCGACCTCTGCAACTCGGCACTTGTGTCCCTGTTTACCCAGACCCAGAGCCATGGCTCCAGATTACCAGAGAGCCGGCTCAAGCCCCAGGCGTTGGACAGGGGAGTCAAAGGTTTTGTCCCCAAAAACCCGGATGACTTTTCTCCACACTTGGACCGGTATATTGGACAATCGACCAGCATCATGACAACAAATACGGAGAAAAGTCATACGTAATGGCGATACGGAGTACAGTAATACGTACACACGTATGTGTGGGCTTTTCTCTCCCTAACCGACATGCCACTATCTGCTTATTCCCACTGCCAGCCCGTGACTCAGACACGGCCAACCTCAAGAAGTATTGGTATCGTGTGTATCGTCGCAAGAACTGCGCAGCAAAAGCAACGGAGCCATGCAGTCTTCTCCACCCTTGCCGTTTGTTCGAGGCGGCCAAATGCGAAGGCGGGCGCACGGCCACGAGGCCCACGACGGACATTGTTGACGAGAGGATCCTGGTTGTCATTGTCATCATGCTAATCATGGCTCAGGAGCCAGGAACCCCACGGTACGAGGTTATCATACATACAAACCATCTCAGAGTCAAGAAAGGGAAGAGGGAAGAGACTTTCGGCAACGCTCAGCGGAGCGGTGCTCGTCTGCTAACCCATTCACATCTGTTCAGTTTTACCGCACAATATCTTACACTAGGGCAACTGATCATGGCTTGCGATGTAAGATTTGCAGTGTTTATTTCCAGGACAGCCAAGTTTCTCTTGCGTCGTATCTGCTGCCCTGGCATGTTTTTGAACCAGCCTGGTTCGAAGGTGGCCAGCAAGGCCCAGCATAAAATATCGTGTTTGTTGCCATCCAGATACGGCGTCGGACAATGTTGGGAATTGTTGGCCTTCCCCATCCTCTTCTTTAGTCTCGCGCGTTTCAGCAGATGGATTCCACCAAGGGCGTGGTCGCATCTGCATGGGGACGATGGCAGAGAGCGACAGAGTTCTACCATGGACAATGGAATGGTTCATCTGTCCACGCCTGTGACGCCCAGGTCCCAGCAAAAAAGCGGATGAGAAACTGCCCCCTTCCTTCCCCAGCGAAGGAAGAGATTAGGAAGAGGAAAGATCAGTCTCCCCGCTGATGAATGGGTTGCTGATTATTATCTGGTCTACTCTGCATCTTGGACCGTGACGATGGCGCGGTGCATGGAGTCACTGATGCAACCATCCAGACACTTGCTTTGCAGAACGACTAACAAAAAGACCGGGCCTCGCCTCGCGGGTTCACGTCAAGAGACCGACTCTTTTCTCCCCAGATGATGCTTTTTTTTGAAACTTTCTGCATCGAGAGTGCGGCCAGAGTCACAACGCACGCGCTCTTGGCCACTCCCGAGTCCGTCTCGCAGAGAGTCGACGAATATGCAGAATACCACAGCGGCCTCTACATGACAGTCGCAGCTGATCTGCCGACTTTGATGAATCAGGCACTTTTTTATTTTTATTTATTTTTTATTTATTTTATTTTTACCTCTGCTTTCTTCTTTTGCTCCCGGCAGAGTCTAAGAGTATATGTGCGACAAGGGTAACCCATAACCCACGACCTTGCATGTTCTTGGACGCTCCAGGCAGCTCCAAAGTACACTTTGTCAACTTACAAAATGGCAAAAAGAGAAGACCAGAAAGAACCCTGTGAGTCGCGATAGCACCGTACGGAGTACTAGTTACCAACAAGTCTCAATACCGCCACGAAGCTCACTGGGCTCTTCCGGCGTGGCTTGGCATGGCTTCGCGGCTCCAACTCCAGATACCTGGGTCAGGACGACGCCAGACCCTGTAGATGAGATTTTCTCGCGGCAAAGGGGCATAAGGCGTACCCGTAATACGGCACACGCATAGTGTCTAAGCCTCTCAGCCACCAACCACACATTTGGGGATTCCCACGACGGCAACCGAGGCTGGTTATCTTTGATATATCATGTCAACACATCGACAAGGGCACAAACAAGCTGGCACCGACGCCCTCGCGAGTCCAGGACCGAGGTCTGTCGTCGCCGGCCTCACAGGGAAACGGGGGGTGCCAGGAACTTCTGCTCCGCCACCGAGCCCGTGTGCTCCGTACTGTACAGCAGATGCGGTCAAATGGGCCCGCCGACAGTGACAGACGACAGTGTGCCCGGAATGTGTTCCTGAGACGCTGTGGATTGTGTATTCCTGTTGCGCTTGCCGCATGGCTGGCTGGCCGCAGGCTCGTCTCAAGTCAGAGACAGGCGGCCTCCCACCACGCCACCTTGCCGCAAAGTCTCAAAGGGCGATACAGATGCAAGTACGAGTACAACACCTGTGCAAATGCCAGGCAAGGAGAGGCGAGGCGAGGCGAGGCCTGGGTTCAGCAACCTGGCAGGCGCCATTGGCATATTCCGGCAGATGAAAAAGCCCTTTCCAACGAAACGAGAGGCTGAATCGGTAGTGGTGGTGGTGGTGGTCACTGGTGGTAAACAGTTGTTGGGCCACGTCGGAAGGATCGAAACCGTGCCGGACCTCCTTTTGCCTGCCTACATCCAAGGTCTTACACAGTCCTCACATCCCAATGCTACCACGGCCCAGACAGAATCCGCCCTCAGAAATGCGGCCCCGTCGCCGACGCTGATTACTAGTCCCCGTCCCAGTCATGTGCACTATGCAGGTCCGTCTAGTGTTTTAGCAGAGGGCCAGACCAAGACGGCACCCTCAGTTGAAGGGAGGAAGCGCATGTGTATGAGATTTGTTTGAAATGCGCCGGCGTTTCCACCCTGAGAGGGAAAAGAAAACAAGTCAAGAGAAGAGAGGAGAGGAGGAGGTGGTGGAGGAGGAGGAGGAGGAGGAGGCGGGGAGAAAAGAAACAGGAGAAGAGCGATGACCCCCTCGCCCATCCCGTCAACTTGTCTCTCGACGCTCGCCACCACCTCCCGAGTCCCTCTCGCGGCAACGTGCAGAAGCACGGTCGCTAGTTTCACTGTCCCTCCAGCTTCCAGCGGAACCTAGCCAATCCGGACCATGCCTTTCCGAACCCACTCCCTTCATTCTTTACCGGCTTGCGCGCCTGTCTCCAACCACAGCGGTCTAAAATATGATAGTTCGCGACGGGACGGACATGCCAGGCCATCCGTCTATCCCTTGGGACGCTGTGGCGGGGTTCCCTCGCGCTAGATGGACAAAATCGGGGCCTGCGGGAGACGGGAAGAACGGAAGCGTGGAGGTGCGGAATCGCGGATGAGGTATGCAGGATCGCAGCCTTTTTTCTCACTCATCGGCCCAATCTGTCATCTATCTGTAACGGCGGCATGGAGGGCAAGGAAGGGACGGGCAGACGTAGGGACGGCGGCGGGCGAGAGCCGAATTGAGCCTTGTCTGTTGCCCTGGCGTGTGGCATGGTGCCGGAGTTTGCTCCCTCTACTGAGTTGGTTGCCCTGCAGCTTGATGCTGTCGCTTCCATTTGTGGCTGTTGACAGTAGTACTGGTGATTCATCTGATCAAGTGGTATGGAAGCAAACCGCCGGGACTGGCCACGGGGGTGGTGATCCTGATCTGCTTCCGTCGAGACTCGAGACGACAACGTGAAGCGTAATTTCACGCTTCCATGCACGATTTGACCAGGGCAGGCAGCAGCCGGTATATTGGTCTGCTCTTACGACAAGCAACATGCATCATGCCACAGACGGTAGTTGTCGTCCAGACCACTCGCTCTGCTGCCAACGCATGTTAGACCTTGCATGCACGGGGCTGCATACATCATTCATGTCTACCAAGGAGAGGGTTTGGTCATTCTTGACGAAATCTCAGTCAATAAGTGGTGCCCAGGGCTGGTCGACCCTCAAGAAGCCAAGCAACGTGCCATCGATCAATTCTTGGCCCGTCGCCCTGCCTGTTGTCCCTTGATGCATACCCTCATCAAGCAAGCACTGGAGGGCTTCAGCTAGAGCTTCGACGCCCCAGCGTCACCATCGACGTCTCCGAACAAGCCCATGAATGCGCTGTGGACTTCATCGGTGAGGTCGCTTGCCTGAAGACTCCGGCCCCTCTTGAGAAAGGCGAGACGAGAGCACTCCTACAAACTTGTTAGCATTTGATCTCGCGAGCCTTCGCCCGTCCCCGCGACGGAAACGCAGCCATGTCCCGCAGTAGATAGCCGGTGCACGCCAGGCGAGCCGCTGCTTGAACTGAAAGATCCATGCCGCCTCGTAGACGCAAGGAAAGGAACACTTGCCCTGGTAACAGCACTCCCACCAAACGCCGCCAGCCCTATCAACTCATCCTCGCCCAGTGCCTGGCCCGCATCCCACAGCCCATCCAGATACGCCTTTCTCCAAGCCAAAAACGTAGCCACCGATCCTGTCAACGTATCCCCCTGTCCACCGCTACGCTTCCTGCCTCCCTCGAGGTCGTTGACCAGCGTGACGTCGCCGTTGGAAATCAAGTCTTTCTGTCCCTTCTGGACAATAGTCACGCCGTCGAGAGCCCGCGCCAACGACTCGACCTTGTCCGTCTCCTTGGCGGCACCCGGGTCCTTGAGGCCCAGCGAGTCCCAAAGTCGCTGGAACTCCACCACGTTGGGGGTGAGGATGACCTCCTTGTAGCCTCTCACAAGGTCGGGATCGCTCTGGACGATTTGCAGAGCGTCGGCGTCCATCACAACGGGCATTTTCTTGGCCCTGGCAGCCCGGATCACGCGGGATACCGTGCCATGCATGAGGGGGTCGCGGCCCAGTCCCGGCCCGACGGCGAGGACGTGTAGACGGGGCAACATTTCGATGACTCCGGCCGACAGCTTGTCCGGGTCGAGCAGGGTCTCCTCGTCGTCGGTAGATTCGCGCAGGAGCGGGTGGACCATGAGGTTGGGCGAGTATGTTTTGATGACAGCCGCCGCCGCCGGCGTGCAGATGACGTGTGCCTAGAGGAGCGCCGCGTGAATGCTGTCGACATCAGTCGCTCCCGCTTGCCCGAGGCACCGACTCACCATGTCACAGCCCAGCTTGGCACTTGCCGCCGAGGCGAAGTACGGCGCTCCGGTATAGTCCCGGCTCCCTCCAATGACGGCCACTCGTCCGAGTTGTCCTACCGAGCATCAGCGTCTTGCGTCGCGTCTGCGGCGGCTGCCATGCGGCAAAAAGGGGGCCGCGGTGGGCGGGCGACGGTAACCTTTATGGAACGTGTCCAGCATGGGGGGAATCATCTGCCGCACCTTGTGCAGGACACCTCTTGTGGAGACGGACATGTCGGGCCCGTTTTCCGAAGTGATCATGGCGGCAGTTGCGTGAGGCTCTTGCTTGTCGACGAGTTTTGGACAGAGGATAGAGCGGCTCGGTGAATCAGTCATTGATCATGGGTCGGTGGATGATGGCATGGAGCCCCGCCGTCACTCGTCGACCGTCTGGTCTCGTTTGGAGATGATTCCGTTGGAAGGGTCCGAAGGGAGCTTCGGAGGGCACACCATGCGTTCTCCGAGGCTATCGGGCATTGGCTCCGAAAGGCAGAGTTTGACGATGAACACCTTGTGGATGAGGAGACGAGCGCCAGCAGGTCGCGAGGGAGGGCACGCAATGTGATTGGCTGATGATGTCACAACCACGTCGTGTGAGTCTCAACGGGAAGGCGCCGCCCGACTTGACCGCCGTTGACCCGACGACGCGACGGCCGGCAGGGGAACCTGGTACAGGGCAATCTGGCAGACAGAAGGATCAGGGATGTGTGTATTGACATGACAGGCCGATCTATCTACTCCGTACGGAGTACTCTACATGCCACATTGCTTCGGAGCAGGATCAGGCAACAAGACGCTCGGACAGAGAACAGCCCTTCATCGACGGCCTTTGTTCTGTCCTCGCCGTCCTCGCCCCCGTCAGACCCGGGAAGCACGCCTGACAAAAGATCGCCGTACACAAGACACGCCGCCGCACAGAACAGGCCATCGCCTCCCTCAGTAGAACTGGCCCCGGTCGCCAACCTCGGTTATCCCAAGGCCGGCCTCGACAACCGGCCGGGCCCAGCGGCCACTGTCCCGGGCATACGCGGCAACGAGGTCGTTGCCGTTCGTGACGCCGCCTAGCACGCCACCTCAGTCAGCTTCCCGGAAGCATTCACCCAGTCGTCGGAGGAAGCAGGACACACGCAAACAACGTACCGCTGGACCAGAAACTGCCATCCCGCACCCACCGGTACTTGTCGCCGACGAGACGCAGGCCCGGAAACGACGCCCTCAGCTGACGCTGCAGCTCCTTGGGCCCGCTCGCCCTCCTGCCGTCGGCGATGCCTGCGGCCGCACAGACGAACAAGCCGGTGCAGATGCTCAGCACGTCGACGCCCTCCGTCTCCGAGTGTCGGCGCAGCCACGCGAGTCCCTCGTCTGCAAACTTCTCTGCCGGGTCGGGCCCCGGGACGACCACCACGTCCAGCCGGCCGGGCGCCACGTCCTCGTCCGTGTACACGTGCGTGGCTCTGACCACGGCCCCCGACGTCAGGGGGATGTCGGGCCCCTGCGCCGGGCTGCTGATGTAGTAGACTGACACGTCGGGCGCGAGGGAAGAAACGGCCGCGGGGACAAAGGGGATGGCGTCGAGGTACGCCTTGTCCATGGTGCCTAGGGAATCGACGCACGCGACGTCGAGGAACTGGGCGCCGTTGGGGATGAAGACGCCTATCTTGACGTGTGACGACGACGACGACATGGTGTCCCGTCTTCTTCCTTCTTTCTTCTTGAGAGAATTTTATGCACAAGATGGGGAATGCGGAAAAGTCTACACAGGAGAGATTTGCAAAAGACGTCCAGGACCAGGGCTACTACGTACTTATACTCCTTTCGCGACCCCGGATATCCGCGACACACACCGGATGTGCCGGGCCGTGCCTCGGGTCCGAAGGGGCACCAAAGTGGAGACCCTGCCTGCCTACATCCGGACCCGCTCGGACTGGAGCCGGACGGCAGCCAACCAAGTTTCACGGCGCAGTCGACCTGGACGCTGACGGATATTCGCAACCCGTCTACACTGCCACTGCCCTGGAAATAGCAGCCCTCGGCGTGCGACGCTTGTCTCCCACGGAACCCCGGCGCTGCTTGCATCAGCAGCTCCCATCTCCCGTCAGCAAACGTCACCTCGCTGCCGCTTGCACGAGGCCCAAGTGGCACAAACACCGAATCGCTCACCGCGGACGCCGAGGCTGCGTCTAGAATCATTGAAATTATAGGTCCGTCTAGTTTCCAGACCATGAATCTTACCTGGCATCCCATCCCGCCGCTTCCCGACCCCCCAATCGATATACTGGCACAGCCACCCCGAAACCACCACGTCAGTTGTTCCCTCTATTGCGGAAAGCCAACGAATCGTCTAGCGAGTGTGGCAAGACCAGCCAGTGGGAAAACACACTGCGCAGATGCCAAACACCCAAGGAAGACGCCGCTCGCCAAATTAAACCTCATCGATACATGATTCCTGACGCTGAAAACCGTGCTATGAAGCAGATAGCTCATTCGAGTATGTGCAGGTTAGGGTGTCCATGGCACGCTCTGCTGTCAAGTGACTGCCATGTGAAGAATAAATACATGAATAGATAAAGAAGAAGAAGAAAACTTCATCAGTGCGAATGGGAAAAAAAAGTCTCTCAACTTGGCACTTTGAACTTGACAGTGCCCATGTTTTCATGTCTCGTAGATTGCTCGTCATTGGAAATCAGACCACAAGCACAACGGACGTGTCCATTGGCCGAAAGGGCTTCAGACAATGTCCATGGCATCCTTGGACCCGCGTCTCCGCCGTGTGACTTTCTTGCTAACAGCGTACACCAGGTCGACCGTCCATAGATGACATATCTCGGCCTGGGCGCAGGGTATGGCGCCGTAGAGGGGGGCCACCACCGGCACGAGCATGTAGTCCATGTAGTTCTTCGTGAGCGAGCGGTGCGAAAAGCACATACCGTCGGCGAGATGCGCGCGCGTCATCTCCTTCTCGCGTGCGGTTACACATATCCGGTGAAAGCTTTCGTAAAGGAACAGGTAGCAGGCTACGCCCACGAAGCCCGTGGTTCGCAGCATGTTGGACAGAGTAAAGGTCCAAGCCACCTTGTGAGGGTCGCCATTGCCATCTGTGAGCCAAACGTACAAGGCCGAGGCCAGCACAAGAATGGTCATGTGGACCGGCAAAAAATGTGCCTCGAACAGCCGGTGGAAGAGATAGAATACCCTCTCCAAGTGCGGTTCCTTGATGGTGTCCCGGGTCAGGTCCGAGAAGATGCCGCTCCCGGCTGATTCGTCGGCGGTGCTCGTAAAGTCCATGTCGGGGATGTAGAGGCTCGACTCGTTGCCCTGGCTGTGGAGAGGTCGGAACGTTCTCGTCGTCTGTTTGCGCTCCTTCCACATCTCAGCTGCCTTGCGCAGAGCGAAGCCGGTATCCAGTGCTCCCCACATGTGTCGGAGCGCCTGCTTGTAACGTGCTTTGATATCAGCCATGGCCCCTCGGAAGCCTCCTTTCCCGCCGCCCGTGACGTTGCTCTGGCTTACGGGGCTAAGCACGGTTCGACATGTCAGGTTGCCATTCACTGCAAAGAAGCACTTGATGTACATGTGTAGGTCCTCGCCGATGGCCTCTGCGTCGCAGTCCCAGCCGCCAACACGATCGACAAGGGCCAGGGGCAGAGAATAGACCGAAGTAGGGGGCGCTATAGCCGAGCCCTTGTAGAGACCAGACATGCCGGCCGCACACCAGAGAATGTCGGCCACGCGGACAATGGCCGGCACGCTGTGGGCGTTGCGGTCAAAGATGATTGGCGCCGCATACAGAGTAGTTGATGCCGTGTCAGGGTAGGCGTGGTGCATGCTGGTGATGTTGGTGAAGTAGCTGGGTGAAAGATGGCTGTCCGCTGCAGAAACCCTCATAAGTTACTCTGTCGTAAGAGAGGACAACATAGACATGAACGCACCGTCAATGCCAGTCAAGATGACATTCCACCTCATCCCCAACGAATATTTGACGCTGACTTTCCGAGCAGACCAAGCCAGATTGCTGCCCTTCCCGGCAGCCTCCCCCGGGATGTCTGCAGGATGGATGGAGAAGTCGATAGAGCGGAACTTGTAGGTAAACTCACTGACGAGCTTGAGAGCCTTTGATTCAGCTTCGACTTCGCGCTGTTCCATGCCGAGGTGGACCTGGCGCCAGCATGATTAGTCCTTGTCTACCGCTCGATGGGCAAGAGTCGCTCCAAGTCGTTGCGTTTGATCAAGTGCCAACATGGCAGTCTCGATAACGCTGGTGGCTTTCACATGGTGACTTCATGTACGTCGGTTTTTTTAGAAGGACTTACATCGTAGCATCTTCGAGCTTGGGAATGAGAGGCCAAGACCTCCAATGTCTCCTTCAGACAATCCATCTCCTCCTTGTAATTGGGAATTATAATTGCATGGATGACAGAATTACCCAGGTACTCAGTGTCATCAGTGTGGCTGTCAATCTCTGAATCACTCGTCTCACTGAGCATTGACGAGCAAGCATTACTTTCTGTAGCCAGAGTGTCCGAGCTCAGCGTCGCAGAGCTGCTAATAGAAGTCAAAGATACACGCCGGCGAGTCGTGGTCTTTTTGTATTCCTCGACTGCCTTGCTCTGAGCCGCCTTCTTGAGTGATTTGGTCATGGTCCAAACAGACCAGCATGCTCGAAGGGGAAAGATGCACACGAGCACATGAATAAAGAGACAGTAGTACGAGAATATGACCGTCCAGATTCCCGCTCCGTGGTGAGAAGCGCCGGCCGGGGCGGAGGTTGCCTGCCCAGTCTCTCTTCCAAAGTCGTCACGCCATTCGGATCGTGTCTCCTGGGAGACCACCCAGTAGCATAATGCTATTAGAATAAACATGCTGGTGGCGCCAGCCCGTCTCGAGAACCACGTGAACAAGGCCATGGTCAGTCTCGGAACTCGAGAAGCTTCATGACACGCCCCGGGCCAGAAGCAACCTACGATCCGGAGAGGCCAGTGACAGCTACGCTCTTGGGAGACCGAAGCCACAGTATATCGAAACGGGCCACTGAGATGTCTTGTCCCATGGAGGTATGGAAGGATGAACAGAAGAAGTCAACAGAGTTATGACTGTAGGCAGAAGGCGATGTGAGAAAGATGAAACAAAAAGTAAATAAGAGGAGACGAAGAGACGGGGAAAGAGACAGAGAAAGAGACAGAGACAAGGACAGAGAAAGAGGGACAGAGAAAGAAGCAGCAACGCTAGCAGAGATGGAGAGTACCAGGGCGATGAACTGGCCCAACATCTCTTAGCTCCTCCTCTCTCATCGTAGATAATAGGGTCGGAATCATACAAACAAGTAGAGAACCGCGGATCTTATTACTTCCACAAGAAGAAAATGGCTAGACGGACTGGTCCCCATAACACCGTCCCACCGCCAATAAACCCCATGGCAGGTGGTACAAGCTACATGTGCTCAACTCGTGCGGGATGAAGGGGTAAACTCTGCTTTGGGGTTATGCATGGTCTATGTCCGTCCGTAATTTACGGTGGGATGGCTTGACTGTAGTGTGTAGATCGGGCCCCTTGGGTGTAAGTGGTACATCGACACGCCAGACTCCAGATCCAAGCCCACCCATGCCTAAGCCACGACGAGCACACGCAAGTCACTTGGCAATACCGTCCCGAGAGAAAGGTTTTCCCATGAGCTGCTTGCAAGAAGGCCGAGCCGTTCCGATGCAGCTACCAAGCGGCGGGACAGTAGGATCAAGGGCTTGCGGAAGCGAAGAAGTCGTAGTTTCTAGGCAGCCATAACCTGTGAGCGATCTACATAAATTCGTGGCTCAGTACAAAGAGATAAGAAATAAGAAAGAAAAAACGTGACGAGCATGTTTGGGGAAAAAAAAAACCGGCTTTCCATGCATTGGAGAGTGGCAGTTGAGGAATCGTGCACCATGCCAGTTAGATGCCCTGATCACTCCTTCACTGCTGTTGAACAAAAGCATTTCCGCCCAGAGTCGACAGGATAGTGATATTTGCTTGCCGTGACAGCCTGTCGACCAAACTTAGAGTCCGACTCGAACCGTCCCCAATCTTCGTATTGTGCGGTCCGTGTCAGTAAAGCAGCCCGGTCCTGTTCGTCAAACCTCGGGTCACACAAGAGCACCAGGCCGGTGTCTCCGGACCCGGGGCAACACTGTTGTGTCCAAACAGGTCAAAATCCGTACAGGACCATTGTGATCCATTTATCCGGCTCAGCCTTCGAAAATTGGACCAATGTCGTCCCAGTTCCTGGACTCGCAGCTCTCACCGTTGAGTCTGTAGCTCTGTCTGTCGACGGCGGTCAACGCCTCTCGAATCTTTCATGGCCGGCTGGTGGCTGCGAATTGGAGGCTTGGCGTCGGGCGGAGGCTGTGCGAGTCTGGACACCCAGGTCCATTGACTTCGGGGTGGGAATTTGGTCCAAGCTAACCCGACGACTTATCTTCTGGCTGTTAAATTGGCTGTCTCTCGATCTCCCAGAGAAAATTGACGCCAGACGCTTCGGAACTGCAATGCCACATTATCATGCCATGCCAAGCAGCGCTGCGCATGTCTCGCTGACGAGGCTATGTTATTTGGGCCGAAACAAGACGACTTTTTGGAAGGCATCCTGCACTGCGCTGGTTCTCCTTCGGCGATTCTGACCCTACTGGAAATCTTGGTCTTGCTCCCACGTGTGTGCGAGAAATTGGTGACCTGGGGCAATTGCCGATGGTAACTCGCATGAAACACTAGGGTGCCGTCTTACCGTCGTAGTCTAATCGCCTAGACGCTCTCGTAGAGACATGGTACCTCGTATAGTCCCTCGGGAGGGAGCTGGCATGAGTCGCGCGAAAGCCAGCGTCGAGACGGATGCCTCATTCCTCTTCTTCGCCATCTCCTTGATTCTGCATGGGAGGTGACAGCGTAACAATGCCGAGGAGACATATAATCCGGACCCTTTCACCGGCTAGACGTTTGCATTGCCATCGTTGATCAGGACTAGGGTTGCCTCTCGCAGCGTCATCTAGCTTCGTTGCTCAGTGGCTATAAGGTGTAGCCATGGCCCATGGCCGTGCACCTGGGCAGATGGTTCGCCTGTCTGTCTTTCCTCGTACTCATCAATCGCAACTCAAGCCCGCCCCACGGGGCTTCCTCAGCAGTTGTCATTAGAGTCTAGACCCACGTTGGTTGATGAGTCGCCCCTAGTGGCCCGATCTTGAGTCCTTTTGAAACAAGTACGACCGGCACGGAAAAGAGTTGCCGGCTGAGGCTGCCATCGCGGATGACTTGTGTTGAGAACAAGTCAACGCTGCTCAAGACCTGGCGGTGACGAGACGCATCGAGACCAGCATCACGAATGACAACACATTCGGAATAGTGCTAAGATTTTGATCGAGTCGCGGACTTGTGGATTCTTCAGCCACGTGCTTAGAGCGACTCGCCCAGTTTTGAACATTGGATGTTACCGGTTGAAATTCTAGCGCTGTAGATATCGGAACGTCGTCCCAGTCAACACCACCTAATAGAGGTCATTTCTCATAACGGTATTACTTACCGTACCGAGTACGACGTGTTCAATACTTTCACGACACGTCACAGTGGTCATGTGGTCTCGCGTATTGTCGTCAATCGACTTTGACAATCTCAGAACGTTGATTGCTTTGCTCCTCGTGTAGTAGCCCTTGTCGTCAACGAATTCATTCCAGCAGAGACTGGTGGACAGATTGAATAGTCTTGTAGAGAATAGGTCTATTTAGAGGTTCATCGTCTGACCGGGTGATGAAGACAACTGGCCTGGTGTCTCATCACCATTTTTAACACATCGCACCGTAAAACACATCTCGGCGTTCAGCCCCGTCATGTGACACCAATCACCGGAAGCGGATAGCTGTTGAAAACTGTAGAGCCCAGGATGCCCTGGAAGGATGGCTGGAGGTGCAGAAATATCTGGGCACCTGAGGGCCAACGAAAGTTCCATTCATCCGGGGCATGTGATCGATCCGTCGAGGCCTTCCCTTGTCAGAGCTGGGAAGAGTCTGCCTCTGTTCTCGTACGAGTTGGTCACCAAATTCTCGAATCTTGTACAAAAGATGCCGCAAATATTTTCCATATGAAGGGCCCTTCTTTGTCAAGAGAGAGTCCCTCAAGGTATTGGTTGCTCTGTAGATCGGCTCTAGGCTATTGATAAGGAGATCGCCTGCCGAAGGTAACCCAAATGAGCAGAGGGCCACGGACGGTAAGCTGTAGGTAAAGTGCGCGGCCCCTCCTGGGCCCTTTTCGTTCCTTATCCTCCTCAAGGTGCTTTTTCAAAAAGCTCCAAGATTGGTTTCGCGGCCTAGAGTGAAGGTGTCGGCAATGTTATAAATACGTTCCAGTGAGTTGAGATTGGCGACATTACTTACGTCGATGAATTTTTCAAGGTCCTGGTCCAGGTTTGCCAAGTCATCCTTCCGTCTCTTATTCTCGGCAATAAGTTTTTGCTTCCGTTTCAGCAGCTCTTGACGTTGCTGCTCCAGAGCCTCACGCTCCGCGCGTTCGTGGTCAATCCTCGCGACCATGAGCTCATCCTCGTCGTCAGCTGCATGCTCGGGATGCTGAGCTAGAAATTCGTCGACGGGAATAAGGGGAAGTTGCTGGTATTTGTGGCTAGACGGGAAGATTAGTTGGAGCCGGGAGCGTTATAGGAAGGGGGGGAGGACACGTAATAAACAAGACACGGCGTACTCATATGATTCGCAAGCTGATATCTCCCCTTGCAGATGTCGCTGTTCATAGTAAAGGTTTTGCAGCTGAAGATGTAGGCGGTCGACCTCTTGACGAGCCTCGGCAGTCCGGGCTTTAGTTTCGCGGGCGGAGATGCAAGCGCTTCGATGCAGACCCCGAAGGTGTGATATACTAGTAAACAGATACTTCTGCTGCTTGGCAATCTCAGCTTGCGACTCGGCCGTGGTAAGGGAGTCAACGCCCTCGTCCGTCTGGCGAAGAAGCGTGTGAGCCTGGTCGCGTGCTTGATCGGATACTTGCAAAACGGCCACTAGATGGGGCTCGGAAACGATGGTGTCGACAGCCATCCTTCCTTGTTGCGGAGCTTATCTGGGAAAATGCAACGAGAAGGTGCCTATTCCTTATGTTTAGGGATATTGGCGTTGACCGAAGACGGGGCAGCGTTTGGTTGTTGATGATTGCGTCGTTGGGAAAACAAAGGATCAAAGGATGCCTGCGTTGGCAGTTGCTTCTAGTTACACACAGGCACAAGGCAAAAAAGGGAGCTGAGGTCCCGGGTAGGCGGATGCAAGTAGGGCGGAAATGCTCCGCAATGGTGTGCGGAAGCTGGGTAACTACTTTGGCAATTCAACTTTGCCCCAGATTCTTATTTCTCTCCAAGTACGGAGTACGTAGCCAAACAGATGGGTAGTTGCGGCGCCCACGGCTATTCTCAAATATGCTTTCCAACAAGACGCTACGGAAAAGCAGTCGACTGATCATTGTTGTCTGACGAAGATGGCCAACTCGCAAGCGGGTTGGCGGAGAATAATAGGGGTCCCTACCATCGAGGACCAGATGCTGCATCGGTGGCAGTGTGAGAGCTCTAGTGCTAGTGCTCTTGACCTGAGTCGTGTGTAATGTTGAGATTTCGAAGGCCTCGAAGGCCCCCTCATTTGGTTGGGGTTCGGGCCAGGGGGACTCGGCATCAAACGTCGCGTCATTGCTCCTCCGGAGGCCCGCTTCTCCTGTTGCATCCACTGTGGCCGAGGCATTGATGGCTCCAGCCAATTGCCCTCAGCCACCCTAACCCGTGCCCTGTTTGGCGCCTCTTGCGAAACCCCAAACAACCCCCCCCCCCCCAACACGCTCCCGCAAAACTTATTTTGTGCCCCGGTCTGCACGGAGCTCTCGCCACCAGCAACTTTATATATTCCATCGTTCCGCCCTGCTGGCCATGCTGCTCTCGAATTCTGCACCATGAGCGACGTGACCACCGCCATCACGTCGGCCTGTGGCTACAAGCCGCGCGATGATGGGCAATTAGGCACAATCGCCGCCGCAGTCTCTGGATCCGACTCGCTCAATACCGAGGGCCCCACGAACCGACGACGACGTCACTCCTTTTTCCTACCCCGGAGAAAGTCAATAGTGGAAACCATCATGGAGGGCGAAGAGGGCCTGCTACTCAAGGTGGACTTGTTTCTTTCAGAGCTGGAGCGCCGCTTGGACTTTATCGAAAGTTACTATGGCGACCTCGCCAGAGACTACAGCTTCTCCCGGGCATTCTCGACTCTGCAAGCCGTCAGGACAAGATGCTCCCAGGCGTCCGAGGAGGTCATCGGTGCTGGGAGGCGGCGCTTGCAAGTCATGGTGGAGACGCTGGAGATGCGTTACCAGGAGACTTTGACTGCTGCCGAGTCCATGCACGAAAAGGCTCGTGTCGGCGTCGACCTCCTCGAGGAGATGCTTTCCGAGTTTGAAGCATGCGCGTACAAGTTGCGGGAGCAAGGTCTGGCCGGCGCCACGACCGCTGCGGGAGCCTTCATGGACGAAGGCCGCCGCGTTGCTCACGAAAGCATCGAAAGAGCAAGGGGAGTCGTGGACGGAGGTCTCGAAAGGGCCAGACGAGCCGCGCTCTCCCTCGAGGAACACATCCAACAGGCCATTGCCAAGGCGAGGGAAACCCGCCTACTTCACTACAACGACTTGCCCATGCCTTGGCGCAACAACCCCCACATCACCAAGGGCTATCGCTTCACCGAGTCCAAGATTGAATGTGTCCGGTCGGCCTTCAACATATCCAACGAATTCATCAACATATGGTCTCATGCCATCGGTCTCGTTCTGGTACTCGCCGTGGCGTTCTACTTTTACCCGGCCAGCGCCAACTTCTCCCTCAGCTCAAAGTGCGACGTCTTTGTCGCTGCCGTCTTCTTCCTCATGGCCTGCCTCACCTTGGTGTGCTCCACCGTTTGGCACACCATGAACGCCGTTGCCGACATCGACGCCATCTCCATCTTCGCCTGTGTCGACTACACCGGCATCTCACTCCTCATCGCAGCATCCATCATGACCACCGAGTACACGGCGTTTTATTGCGACCCCTTGAACAGATGGGTGTACATGACTCTTACAGCCGTCCTGGGCATCGGAGGCGTCATTCTCCCATGGCACCCAAAATTCAACGGCCCGGACATGGCCTGGGCCAGAGTGGCCTTCTTCGTCGGACTTGCCCTGACGGGATTCATGCCCATGCTGCAGCTGTCGCTCACCCACGGGCCCGACTTCGTCATCACCTTCTACTCTCCAATCCTGAAGTCCATATTGGTCTACTTTGGCGGCGCCATCGTCTACGCGAGCAAGATCCCCGAGCGCTGGTGGCCGGGCATGTTCGACTATGTTGGCGGGAGCCATAACTTGTGGCACGCCGCGGTCCTTGGGGGCATCCTGTTCCACTACACCGCCATGCAGACCTTTTTCTCGAATGCTTTCCATCGCGCACAAGGCGGCTGTCCTGCATACTAGACGTTTTGAAGAAGATGGGGACGATTTTTTTTTCCCGTCCCCTCTTCTTTTCCTTATCTTAAAGATCAGAGATTCAGCGTATCCCAAACGATATTAGAGATGGAGAGGCACGATGAAGCAAGAACTTCATCACACGACGAAGTGAGGTATGATGTGGGGATGAGACATTCAATTCTTCAGACGGGAGAGCGTATCCTGTCTTGGCTACATTTTTGCCGGCGATTCTTTTAGCATTGGGCATTTACACTAGGCGTTTTGGGTATCTACGGAGCATTTGTGTACTTGGGAGGGATCAATCTTAGAGAGGTCAAGACTACAATACAAGCAAGCGTTGTTCTGTATCGAATTCTTAGCTCCGGCGTGTCACCAGAAGGGGAGGAAACAGAACAGTTGGACGTGATGTGTTGCAGTGATTAATATACCTGTTCGCTACTTGACCCATCGCACTGTACAGGCACTGGCGTACTTTTGCAATCCTTTTCCCCGCTCGTGGTCTTTTACTTTCCAAATCATTCAGCCAAAAAGAACCTGAATATGCGCCGTATTCCATGACGTCCTACTCCGTCTCCTTACCCATTCATTCATACCCCCGTTCACATAGCCCCATCATGAATCATACAATCATAGGCTACAGCTGGGCCCTGTCCTAGCTAATCAGACAACTGCGCGCCCAATCTATGCACCGGAGGCTCATGACAACCCAAAAAAAAATGTTATGGCGATATTATTACCGACGGGGAAGGCGTGGCTCAGCGTCAGGAATCAACACGAATCTGACGTGGATTTCGTGTAAAGCACATGAGTCACATTGCGTGCGAGGCAATTTCAGAGTACACATCATCGGGGATCTGCTTGATAATCCCAATGGTGACGCTCTTGATCAAGTCAGAGTTCAAGGGGGGGAACGACCTGAGGACTTTGTTTGGACTTGTCAATACGTCAGCATTGCGATGAGACGGTTAGTTGTGGATCCGGCGACTCACCTTGGGGACTGGAGAATCTGGGACCTCATCATGGTCAGTTGTGCCACGATGCATAGGATGTTCAAGTGCGGGCCGTATGCAAACAGAAAGTCCCAAAGCCGCAAGACTTCCGGCAGGGGCGGCGTGCAAGCGCACAGAGTCAAGACCGAAGGGAAGGCGTATATCTCGGCCGAGAGCCCCTTGGCGGTGAGGTACATGCTGAGCTTGGGGTCTACGATGGCCAGCACTTTATCGACAAGCCCAAGGCCTCGATGCACCCCGTCCATGGCACCACGGATATACGCCGGACACTCCTTGGTAAGGAGGGAGTAGAATGCAACAAAGGCTTCGGCCTCACTGCGGGCAGCGTATAAGAACGGAGCCGCCAGGACATTCATACCTTGCACGTAGGTGCCGGGCTCGGGACCTATGCCAGACCCTTTATAAAGTCAGCAACTACCAAGGGTTTCCAGTTATAGCAAACATAACATACTGGTTTGAGAATTTCCGGAAACGCTTCCCCCAAGGCTCTGTCTCGGATGTACCGAATGACTACTGCTAGGACGACTGCTCTGCCGTTGGTCCTCTTTAGCATCGTGTAATCGCCATGCGATGGCATTCAGGAGCCGAATTAAGCTGGCCTCGCTCACCCTTCGTCGGAATAAAGGGTCTGTGGTGAGGGTTCTGAAGGTGTCGTTGCGAATTTTTGAATATGCTGGCGAAGCGCCGCGGTGTATCAAGCCAAGGTATTCATCCGTGGGCATGATGGGAGCTTCTAAAAGAACCAGCCAGACGTATATCCTCAAGGGGGACTGCAGGCAAACTCGTTAGTCACTGCCAGGGCTCGAGAAAAAGACGACGACCAAGTCCTTGCAAGGGCCTCATACCATTCCGTCCTCTGCGCTCTTGATACCCTCATCAACAACCTTCCACCGGGCACTTTCTAGAGCACCCAGGAAGTCACCATCACTCGGTCCATCACGGAATATCTGCTGAAGCGACAGGTGTCCGTGTGAAAAGAGGGGTTTCTTCAATCCGGAGCGCTTCAAGGCGGCCACAGCACCCATGTGGTGCATCAATGGCGAAGCAGCGTCGCTGTTGGCGCGGCCCCGCTGAGGCGAGCGAGTAGCCTTTGGGTCTCGGGTCGGCGAGGCATTTCGCTGCAGGTCTCGACGCTGTTGTGAAATAAGAGACGGCTGGTTGGAGGACCTTGCAGCCCCGAGCGTGTGAGCAGATTGTAGCCGTCGGAGAGCTCGATGCGCCCGCGGAGAGGGAGGGACTTGGAGGTCGATCTGTCCCGGGGCGGGGAGCGACGTAGGCGGAGGGTGAGCCTCTCTCGAGGGACTAGGCATGGCTGTGGACGGATCAGCGGCGCACCGTGGCACGACGACACATGACAATTCAACGACGGCCAACTCGGGGAAGTTGTCAGCGTGGTGTCGCGGAGCAGAGACGCGCGATACGCGACGGGTTGCGCTGGTTGCCTTGGCGCCCACAGATGGACTGGTGGACCGGCGACTGGTGGAGGTGGAGCGTTGGGGGGGGGGGGGCTCTGGCGGGGGGGGTCTGGGACGTCGAGCCTTGAGCTGGTCTTGGTCATGGACTCACTATCATGTCGTACTATCGCCGGTCCAAGGTGTTGTTGCACCTGTGCGCAGTTGCTCCTTCCCCGAACGGCAGCCTCTACGGAGAACGTATCCTCTAGAGGCTGTCTCAATTTTTGACAACTGAAATCAGGTTCGACCTTCTTATTTCATGTTACACCTTTTTTTTTTTTTTTTTTTTTACAGGACTCCCTCGTTGCCCCTCCAGACCCCGGTCCGAAAAATCTCCCTGCATGCGAGCATCATCAAACATCGAGACGGATGGAAGGTCGATCGACGTGATCAGACCAGTTGACGCCACTTGCAACGCACCATGATGCCATGGCTTCAAGCGACGATTTGCACTTGACGAGTCACGGGCCTGCCCGGATATGCAAAGATAATCAAAACCGTCCCCGTGAGCAAACAGCTTTCGGATCAATGCCCTGCATCATTGTACACCACCTGCTGGCCCAAGCGTCTACGAGCCAAGCTCGACATCAATAGCCTTGGCGGAGGTACCCTTTGGATTGCGAAGCGACGAATATGTCAACCACGCTGAGGTTGTAGGAGCAAATCGGTCGTGGCTACATATCTCTCTGCGTTGTCTTGGCGCTGCCACAATGCTAGCAATACCCCAAGTTCACGGAACCGTCCAAGGCCCAAGAGGCACGGAAGCCAACAGGATGCCTCGCTAGTACCGATTGCGTTCACCTTATGCGCAAAAGTATTGGGCGGTTTGGACTCGGCGTGTCTCGGTGACGGCAGTTTATTTGTGAAAGTGGGAAATTTCGGCGCGGAGAGTCAGCCGACGCCTCCATGAGTGTGACGAGAGCGGCCTCACTTAACAGATGAAGGACGTTCAACGACGCGGAGGGCATCGGATGGAATAACCGCCAGAATGTGTTCTGTACAGTAACATGGGCCGATCCGGCCTTTGGACCTCTACAGTCGAGGCAAAATATCGTCTTTGGACGCTGCACTTGTGATCCAGCATTCTGAGGGTTTCAGAAATTGGCGGTCAAGGGTGTCTGTCGTTCACCGTTATTTCTATTTATGCAAAAGTTCAGCTGATTTATTCGAATTGTTTCCAGAGGACTTTGGCCAACGAAGGATCGAGTGAGACAATGGCATAGAAGAAATCGATTAAACACATCCCCACTACTCGGCCACCGGATTTGACACAGTTCCCATGCTGCAAAAGCCAGTCTTCAAACGGAGTTTGATGAACTGGGTTGCTGCAGGGCCGCGTCGAGCGGTGCATACGTACTACCAGATGCTAGAGCTTCGAGATTGGGCAGGAGGGGGAAAGAATCGAGTGACGGTTGCAGGCCCTGCTCAGCCAAGGAGTGTCCGCCGTACACGTCATAATGTTTTACATGAACGGTGCACGAAGCAAGTACGCAAATCACTCACAAGATCCGAGTACTCCGTACTGCTCCATTCCTATTCGACAGCTCCTCGACAGCAACTCGACGCTGCTCACCATCCAACTGCATTACATATCCGATGTTTGAGAAGTTCGATAAGAAGCTGGAAGCCGTCATCTCCGCCGCGCTATGCTGTTCACGGCATCGAGGCGATGGCGCCATTTGCAACTTGTGGGGTCATCGCTCAAGCGCTTTTTGAGGTCAAATGTCTCAACAGTCGAGGTCGAGGAAGCCATACGCACGCACCCAGAAATTTCCGGGAAGAGAATTTTCTGCTGATGAATCATTCAGAACGCCTCTGGCAAAATGTTATTACCATGCTCATCGGCACCCTGCCGTATCTGAAGGCTGCCGCTGGCACGTTTAGCATCAAGTGATCAAGGCGTTGCCCACCAGTGCCGCCACCACCATCTCCGACGACACACTTGGCACATCTCATTGCTTTCACCGTTGTTGTCTTGGACACCGAGCGGATTGGAACGAACCCCTCCGCTCGCGTGTATTTATGCGGCTGTTCAGCCCGTAATTCACTCATATAACGCCTGACGGAGCACCCCTCCTCAACGCACACGCGGGATTACACAATACACAAAGCCCGACCCTGCAAAGGCAGGCTGGTCCGCGGCTTGTCGCCTTGTCGACGGGCCATGCTGCTAAACTACATTCGCGCTGGTAAACGCCTTGCTTCGTTGGCGACTTCCGTGCCACAGCTGGGAGGTCGGCATGTTCACGCACAGATCTAAGCCTGAGAATTATGTGGGTGAAGGTGCTAGCGATTTACTTTATACTCGCCTCTCGTGGTCCACAAGCTACCACCTCCTCCACCTTTCTTCTACTTTTTGCGATATCAACTCCCGTATGCTTCCTGTCTTCTCTCTTGTACAACCTGATCTCCCTTGCATGTTTGTTACGTCTCCTCGGCTTATCAGCTGGTTTGGTTTTATATCGTCTGGTCTGTCGAACACGAGACCTCTTCTCAGCCCTCTGGATACATTACTTGGATGTGCTCAGTAGGCTTCATCAACAACCACGATGCCTAGTTAAAAAGAGTACTCTACAATACCACACGCCTTCTCATCCTCAATTCTTGATGCGATTTTGCACTGATAGTTGACCGAGACTTGACCATTGGCCGACATGTCCTCCTTCGCAACCAAAACAGGCCATGCCTTGGCCAAGATTCTTGGTATCAGACTTGAGCACCCTAACGAAGACGCCACAGAGAACGGTCTCAGAGGCGAGTCAATCATCATCCAAAGCAGTGACAGCTTCATCGAAGGGGCCCCTACTACATCCCAATGGCTTCACGATCAAATACCCACGCGACAACAAGTGGGCGAATTTGCCAAGTCCTTGTTTCCCTTCTTGTCCTGGATAGGACACTACAATCTCCAGTGGTTCGCTGGTGACGTTGTCGCTGGAATTACCATCGGTGCCGTTGTCGTGCCTCAGGGCATGGCTTATGCTTTGCTGGCCAAGCTTGAGCCTCAGTTTGGCCTCTATTCCTCATTCATGGGAGTCATTATATATTGGATCTTCGGAACATCGAAGGACATATCCATTGGGCCGGTAGCTGTCTTATCCACAGTCGTGGGGAGCGTCGTCGATTCTGTTACCTCATCTCCGTATACCGAAGACCTTCCCCCGCATGTCATTGCCTCCGCTCTGTCCGTCATCGCTGGTTGTATTGTTTTGGGAATCGGTCTTTTGAGATGCGGGTGGATCGTTGATTTCATTTCTATCACATCTCTGTCTGCTTTCATGACGGGATCGGCAATGACCATTGCATCTAGTCAACTGCCAGCTCTCATGGGGCTGACTGGGTTTTCGAATCGAGACTCTGCATACTTGGTCATTATCAACACCTTGAAACATCTCCCCGAGACAAAGCTTGACGCCGCCATGGGATTGACGGCACTGTTCTTCCTGTACCTGATTCGATTCGCCCTCACATCGGCTGCGGAGCGGTTCCCAGCTCACAGGAGAAGCATCTTCTTCATGAATACCATGCGGACCGTCTTCGTCATCCTCCTGTATACCATGATTAGCTGGCTGGTCAATATGCATCGGAGGGAGCGACCCCTGTTTCATGTTCTTGGCAATGTCCCAAAGGGTAAGACAAACCTCAATACCAATCAATGCGAGTATTCTTGGCTAATAGTATGTATGGAAGGCTTCCGCAATGCCGCTGTCCCAAAACTCTCAAGCAACGTCGTCTCACAATTTGGCTCCCATCTACCCGCTACCGTCATTGTCATGCTCGTTGAGCACATTGCCATTTCCAAATCTTTTGGTAGGGTCAACAACTATTCCATCGATCCTTCACAGGAAATGGTTGCCATCGGCATGACCAACATCCTGGGGCCCTTTCTCGGCGCATATCCATCTACGGGCTCTTTTAGTCGAACAGCGATACAATCAAAGGCTGGTGTTCGCACCCCGGCTGCTGGCCTCGTCACTGGAATTATTGTTCTCCTGGCCACGTACCTTCTCACAGCCGTCTTCTTCTACATTCCTAGCGCCACCCTTGCAGCAGTCATCATCCACGCCGTCGGCGACCTCATCACGCCTCCGATTACCATTTACCAGTTCTGGCGCGTTTCCCCCATCGAAGTATTCGTCTTCTTTATCGGCGTTTTCGTCAGTGTCTTTGCCCAAATCGAGGACGGCCTCTATGCGACGGTCGCCATTTCAGCCGCCATTTTCATATACCGCAATTTAAAGGCCCGGGGACGATTCCTTGGCAAAGTGCGAGTCCACTCTGTCCTCGGTGACCACGTTATTGGCGAGGACCACAACACAGTGCACGGAGAGTACGGTACATTTGACGGAACGTCGGATGCCTTTGCACGCAACGTATTCCTTCCTCTGGATCATGGAGACGGATCCAATCCTGAAGTAGAACTTGAGAGTCCTTATCCCGGAATGTTTATCTACCGCTTCTCTGAGGGGTTCAACTACCCCAACGCCAATTTTTCTCTGGACTATCTCACCGAATTTATTTACTCACAAACGAGGCGCTCCAGTCCCGAGCGCTTTGAACGCGCAGGAGACAGGCCTTGGAGCAACCCCGGCCCTCGGAACTCTGCCAGAACTCGGCGTGATCTGGCAGTCGACGAACGGCCTACACTCAAGGCCATCATATTAGACTGGAGCTCTGTCAACAACGTTGACATCACATCTGTCCAGCGGCTCATTGACGTTCGTGATCAATTCGATCGCTACGCTTACCCCGACGTGGTGGACTGGCACATGGCAAACATCAACAATCCCTGGACCAAGCGTGCCCTCATTGCCGCAGGGTTCGGCATCCCAAAAAAGACTCAGGATGGTCTGAATCACAGATGGAAATCCATATTTAGCGTGGCTGAGATCGGCGGAAAGGACTCTGCTGCCGCTTTGGCAGATGTCGCCGCCAACGAAAGCGGCCTGCAGGCAGGCCAGTCGCGAATGAGTATAGTAGACGAGGAGATGGGCCCTGCATCTGATTCAGAGGAGGACTCGCCTAAGCCGGGCGATGAGAAGGCAGAAGGTGCCGCGAAACAGAGAAGACGCGGCGCGGTCGTTCACGGGTTGAATAGACCTTTGTTCCATGTGGACTTGACCAGCGCAACCCAGTGTGCGATTGCGAACGTAGAGGCCCGAGAGGAGTTGAGAGCTGCGTCTGCGTCGCCATCCTGATTTATTTTGGCGCCCGTTTGATCTCGCTTAGAAAGGATTGGAGTTTGGGCATGATAGAATTAGCGATGGCATCAGCATGTATTCTTATACACTGGACACAATTTTTTTCCGAGCCAAAACATTGTTGGATCCGATGAACGATCCGTACCGTATCTTCGTAACAAATACGGCGAGTGTCTCTTGTATGCATGTCCTGCTGCGATGCTCTTGTATCTCACTTTCTCGGAAGCGAGTGCAAACAGTCACCTGATTTCGCGTCTATTTCGCCACACAATTCACGCCCCACCAACCTCTCTCACCACGCTCATCAACTTTGTCGACGATTCTGGAAACCTCTCAGCATCGGCATGTACTACGTGTAAAAGCGCCAAGAAACACAGAGCCCCGATTATCTCATTTGAGCCCTTGCGGCGGGATCGAGACCGAGACACGCTCACACGGGCCGCGACCGCCCCCTCGCCTGCCACCATGCCGATTGGTATCCGGCGCCTGAATGCGAAAAAGTCGCAACCAAACCCCGGCATTGTCTTCATCAAGCCACTGCCTGGACCGCACGAGAAGACGGCCCACGGGTTCCTAGAAAGAATTGCTGCGCAGTGCCGTGAGTGAGCCTCCGCCCACGCGTCCCCCTGTCCCCGTCACTTCACTGTGACCAACGCTCCTCTCTTAGTCCCCGTCACGCGCAAGCACCACATATCCATCATGACGCTCGAGGAGCACGAACCAAACCGCGAGTTTGTAGGCCGTAACTTCAACGCCGGCGAAGTGATCCAACTTGTCCTGCGGTCGCCCTCGACGGGCCGCTGGCTCCCGTTTGAATACGTCCAAATGGTCATGATGCACGAACTGGCGCATTGCAAGCAAATGAACCACTCTCGGGCCTTTTGGGCCGTGAGAAACCAGTACGCCGCGCAGATGTACGAGCTGTGGAAGGAAGGGTACACGGGAGATGGCATCTGGGGCCGTGGCGCGAGTCTCGCCACGGGGGAGTGGGAGTGGGAGCGGAATCAAGTGCGGGCAGACGAGGTTCTCCCGGAGCATTTGTGCGGCGGGACATTTCGCTCCAGGCGGAGGAAGAGAAGGCCGAAACCTGCATTGACGTATGGGGAGCGCAAAGAGCGGAGAAATCTGAAGAAATTTGGCAAGAACGGGATTGCGCTGGGAGCGGATGAGGAGGCAAAGGTGAAGCTGGAGAAGGGGAAGAGGGTGCAGGCGAAACCGCGAGTGGCGAGCAGTGCGCGGGGACGGGAGCTACGGGCTGCTGCCGCGCTGGCAAGGTTTGAGCAGAAGAAGGCGGTGGTGAAGGGGGACGAGGAGGACGACCAGACGGCCAAGGATGAGGCGGAGCCCCCGAGTGAGGGCGAGTATGAAGATGATGCTGGTGACGACGGGGAGGCCGCTGTCGACGTGGACGGGTCGACGCTGAGGGACGGCACGGGCAGAGCCATGGTCAGAGTATGCCAGGACGAGGATACCAGCGATCCTGATGCGCGAAACGAACTGGGCCAGCTGGCAGAGGTGTTCAGGCGGGCAAGGAGAGATGACGCTGCAACGACGAGCCCCCAGAGGCAGCAGGTCAAGGCGGAACCGCAAATGGAGACCTGGCCATCTTCATCTTCATGGTCAACAGGGCCGAAAGAAGAAGCATTCTACGACGGCCCACGACTCTACGACGTGCCGGCTGCACCGGCTGCCACGGAAATTTCCAAAAGGCCTCCCGGACAGGAACTCAGCGGCTGCTCTGCGCAGCAGCCACCGGCGCCCAATAACTCGGCCTGCTCAATGTGCTCCTTCGCCAACTCTTTGTCCGCGGTGGCATGCGCCATGTGTGCCCATGTTCTCGACCCGACGCACACGCCAAATTCCTGGCGCTGCACCGGCGCGGCATGTGCAGACAGCCAATATGTCAACTCTGGTGACTGCGGTGTCTGTGGTCTGTGTGGTCGGAGACGAAGTTGACCTGCTGCCGGACTATCAAAGCAATGAGCGACGAGTCAAGACCCCTTAAGGATATGCAGATGGTACGGTTACACCAAGCACCGATGCAGGCCATGGTCGTACGCGTCTCCATTTCATTCACGTGGATATACTAGAAACAAATGACTCTCCTTTGAGGATCTCAAGCACCAACCATATACAATATGCAGATTCCTCCTTTTTCCCTATCTCGTGCCGGACAGGTCCTCCAAGTGCCATTGAGGCCGCGAATCCCAAGCCCAGCAAAGCACATGGAGGTGCTGCTCGATCGCTCGGCCCTCCCGGTGCCGGATAGCAGCGCGGTGACATCTACGATATGCGTGGATCCAAGCCAGTTCGTCATCTTGAATCAATTGCATCATTTTGTATCCTTTCTTTGCTGGGCGACGGCATGCTGACAATTTTTTGTACGCAGAGACATGGACGCGCACGACGAGGATGAAGCCCAGCTAAGCATCTGCGGCGGCATGCCCGGATCAATAGACGCTTGTTGAGGCGCTCCAGAAACGACGGGGGGGGCTGTCCCGGACGGAATTTCTCACGGTGTCGGCCATGGGCACGAATGACACTAATGTCATTTTTAACCGGCAGTGGCTATGCTGTGTCTGTGCCGCGACTCCGCGAGGTCGGCAGGTTCTCGCGGAACCCTGCCAGCCGTATGTGCTGCGGGGTCATCGAATGGCGGGAACATGGCATTTACGTTGAGCGAGCCGTAGGCATTGGACAGACGATGAAAATAGTGAGGGGAATCCAACTGCTTTGCTTAGTGAATGAGCACGGAGTAAGCTTGGATACAATGCGAGGCACGTCAACGTCGGGACAGGTTTGCAATAAGGCAGTAGCTTGCGTGCTGAAAAAGCGTTTACATCCACGGGTTGATCTGGAGATTCGGAGCCAAGGCAAGTTCGGGCATCCTGCGAGATACCATTTGTTCCGCTGCCGTGCCAGACAGGTCGACCGTTTTGTTGCATATTTGCAGCAGAGACGGGGCTCCGGAGCTGGTCCCGGGCGTCCGCAAATTTCACGGGGCACTCGGGTCCGCATGCTAGAGGAATGTTTAGAGGGAGCCTGGGGCTAGCATCGAGATGACTGGCTAGATGGCAGTGACTGGGTGCCTATCCTGTTGTCGATGGCGATATACCCGAACTTGGTGTCGTGCTGTTGACGGCGTCTTGCGGGAGGTTCGCACCAGCACAAAGGTTCGCAAGGATGTCCCGACTCCACAGGCAATCCCTGGGGCCTGGAGTAGCAGGATTACCGTCTTCGCAGGCCAGGATGCTTTTTGTCAAGGCTCTGGATCAGCCGGGTCGGGGCCAGGAAGCGCGACCTCAGTCTGGCGTTGGCCGGAAAGCTTAGCCGGCACGTCAAAAGTGCCAAAGCTCTGGACATGGCCCACAATGTTTCAGCCGGGGCCGGATTGTTGGGAATTTGGGATGCCAATGCCTACCCGGATGGTGGGTAGACACGATGCCAAACGTCGTGTTGACATCAACCAGCATTGCATCGTGATCCAGGTTCATGCCTGAGGCTTGAGGCACAAACGAGCTGCACGTGCACAGTGTATCGATGCCGCTCATCGACAACCGATACAGGGCAATTGAAGATCTCGTCTGCAATTGAGTCAAGTGGCAGTCCTCAAGGTTTGTTTGTTGCGGGGTACCTACCAAGGTGCGAGGCACGTTCTGTGTTCTGTACAACATACAACATGCAGTGACTTGTCTTCCCTGCCTGTCGTGCACTTGCTCCCCTCTTGCCATGAGCCGAGCTAGCAGGGATGCTACCCCGCAAAGCGCTGCCATTGGGCGACGCCCTTGGGGTGTTGCAAGCCGCCCAAAGTCATGTCTAGTGTGGTACGGAGTACATAGTACACTTACACTGTACATGCCAACTGCTGGCTGCTACGGACTGATGAAGCAGCGGTTTGTCGACGGTGATTGGAATCAAGCTTGCCGTCTCTCAGTTCTGATGAATTGACGTTTCCTTCTCGGTTGCAAAGTCGAGAGTGAACACGCACCTGGGCCCTTGTGCAGACGTGGGACTTGAGCACCAAAGTATGCGCTGTGCCGCAACAGCAAACAGGTCGAGTTGAACCAGGAACCCGACGCTCGTGACTCGCGAGTTTACCGTCGGCTGCCACGTCATCTGGACCGCACCTTCGCCAAAGTCATGCACTCTACAGAGAGAACCTCGCACAGTTTCTGGGTCTGACTTGGGGCGGCCACAACCAGCCATGGCGTTCATGGTTTTGGCTTTCGCTCCGCAGCCAGTGGGAAGATTGAGTCGAACCCTCGAGCGTGCAGTGCACATCAAGGCGGGTGGAAAGCAAGCACGCCACCGACCACCCAACTGGCAAGTAGGGTTGCTGCCGTGGAACAACATGGTTTCCGGATGCGCCTCGACTCGACCTGCGCACGCCAAAAGCCATGACTGGTGCCATTCGGTAGATCGAACTGCCCCATCGAATCTCGTCGAATCTGTTTGGTCGGATGGGCATCCATCCTCCTTTGAACTTCAACCAACCAACCCTCATCAGCCCCCCTCAAGCCATCGCTCGACGGACGCCCGACCGGTTCATAGCTGATGGGGCGAAAGGGTGAAAGGAATGAAAGGCGACAAAAGTCGGCGAATGAATGACCAACCGGCGGACCTGACAAGCTGGGGCAGTGGCCGTAGGCTTCGTCGGGATCTCGGCAGGACGGTTGGGAGACCAGACTGGCACGATGCCATCAGCCTTGATTATCTGACGTCTTTGGGGGCCTTGGGCTGAGCTGTCCAAACGTCCGAGACACCCAAGTGGGTGGAAAGATCGCTGTTCCTGGCTCGTGCCAGAATCTCGTCCTCATTACTTCCGTATCGTACATAAACGGAACCCTGACGCCAATCGGCAGTTGTTCGATTTCGCCAAGCTATACTCCGTACAAAGGCAGTATGTAGTTGGCAGCGCCTAGCGAGCCAACGAGTCCCTCGATCCCCATCCTCCACGACGGGCTTCCCCCCCCGGATCCACCGATCGTGGCCAGCGGGCCTGTCGACGTCACCGGCTGGTCTCGGGTGCATCCCATGATGAAGCTTGTTATTGTCCTGCTCTACTCCCACGTTCGAAGCAGAGCTCCTCCACCACTCAATCCCGCGGCTTGTGCCCGTCCGTGCTTTTGCTTAGAGTTCCTGGGGAGCTCGGACCATGACCTAGTTAGTCACCGTCCGTTCGTCCCCCAAAAGCCGGGTACTACTACTCGGGCCAAACCCTCCAAGTGAGATGGTACGGTGGATCGTACCACCCCCTCTTGCTCGTGTTTGATAGCCGATGGCGGTTTGACATGTCGCTTGGTCGGTGTTCTTCTGTTGCTGGCTAATGCGCATGCTTTTCTGGCCTTGTCGTTGAGGCTGGGTGAGTGACGACTCCCCGTGTTGACGGGGCCGTCGTTACATGCCAGAGTGCTACGAATGACAAGCCAGCCAGCTTTTGAAACCAGAGCGTCCGATGACAGTGGGATTGTCCCGTTTGTTGGCATGATTCGCAGTGACTCGCTCCCCCTTAAGCCTCGCCTCTGACCTGATGTTGCCTGCGCCCTGCTCTGAAGTGAGCCCATTATCCATGATCCACCAGCCGCCCCCCACCCCGCTGCCTGTCACTCGTCCGTCAAATCCATCGGTCCGTCAACCCATCAGTCCATCCTGCGGTCGGTTGGCGTCGACTCTCACCGTCCCTGGGCCGCACCATACAGTTATTAGTCTTCTCCCCGCATCGACACCCACCCTGGCCAGTCTTTCAGAAGCCAGCATCGCCCAAAGGACAGCATTTATACCGTGTTCAGTACTCCGTACGTACTTGAAAATGAATATGTACGTGCGACCCACCCCACCCCGCGCCCCCTGCACAACTCATCGGCTTCTCTCCACTGTTCCTTCCACTACTTCTTCTGCCTCGCTCTTTCCCATGGGCGCTCTCACTTCCCCAACTTAAAACCAAGCTTGCCCACCTTTCTGATCTGGATGCCGGTTATCTGCTCGTCGTTCCTTCCAGATCATACATCACACACACGCCGTCCATCGACACCTCCTCTTTCTCAGCTGCCTCCTACACCGACGCCTTTGTCGCTCTCCCTCCCTGACTCTCTCACGACCTCTGCCCGCCCGTTGCACGTTGCACGCTGCACGCTTTACGCCTGCCTCCCTTCCAGTCTCGAGCACCTCGACAACCTCCACGCCAGCTCTCTCGTCCGTTCCAGCCATAACATTTGCGCCTCACGTAAAAATTCAGAGTATAACCGCCTCGCTTGTGGCCTTGTTTTCTTCTCTCGTCTTCTTCTCCTTTCCCGGGCAGAACTGGTTGAGCAAGCCCGGACCGTTAGAAAACGGCTTCACCACGCAAGGCCCGCTCGCTATCAAGCCCATAATGTCCTCCGACGGTTCAACCAACGGCGCGGGTCACCGCCGTAGCTCAATCACCCAGGCCGCTCTCTCAAACCTCTTTCAGCGCGGCCCGTCCAATAATTCGAGCGGCGGTAGTGGCCAGATGAATAGCTTTGACCCTCAGCGGCGACGGCTGTCAGTCACCACCATCGGCCTCTCTGGCACGTCACCAACCAATCCCCCGACCTTTAACGTGCGCCGCGGCAGCATGTCCACCAACTCCGACTCCATTGACGAGAATGCCATCGAGGATGAGGACGTGCCCCCCGGCTCCGCTAGAACCGCCCCGACCACGCCCTTTGTCCGCCGCATGAGCTTCGGCGCTTCGGCCATGAGGGGCTACCGCCCTGGTGGCAACAGCCCTGGCAACGGTAATAACCCAGCCTCACCCCCGTCGTCGCTCGGACGAAGAGCCTCACAGAACCAAGGCCCTACAATCGGCGCTGCTCTTTCTGCAGCGAACCGCCGAGCCAGTACTGCGAAGCCTTCTCCCGCAGTTGCACAGGCAAGCAACACCATGCCTTCAAGAGCCTCTTCTGACAATGCCAATTCTCGTGCAGACCAGCAGGGCTTCAACTGGTCCGAGCAGCTTAGGTCTCGAGCCGAGAGCTCCGTCTCCGCCGGCCCACGACCTTCATTCTCGCTAGCCTCCTCTCCTCCAAGAGCGGCACCCCACCATGACCGCGCCAAATCCGTCTCCGACATGATGCATCCGCCTGTTCAGGCACCGCCACCGGTGCAGCAGCCCAAGCAAGAACCACGCAAGCCGGACGCCTTTCAGGAGAGAATTCTCAAGGGAGACTTTTACATGGATTGAGTAGTCTCTCGCAACTTCCTCGTACATTGGCGCCCTTGTGTGGTTTGGTTCGTTGATGGCCATGCTCGAGTCCTTATCAGCAATGGACACGGAGCAATGACGTTGCGCCTGGTTATGACGAGGAGCGCGCAATCTTTCGATGGCTTTTGCCTTGAGACACGGGCCAGTTCCCTACCTAAGTGATTGGGTTGGCTTTTTTTGTTCTTGTCCTGGTGGCAACGCTTTGGACAAGACGGCGGATTGACGAGAATTTGTCAGTTTTTCAAGCGTCATAAAGCACCGGTCTTTTTTTTTCCATCATCAGTGCTGTTTCTGCGAGAGTTTGCTGTCAAAATACTGCCCCCAATATGCAGCGTCGGTAGGCGGAACCCCGTCAAGAACATTCGGAGCATGGCGATGATTTGTTTCCCTCGGCCGCATGGTCAAACAAAAACATTTGGCAAAATAGTAGTTGGTTTTTTCTTCTTCTTTTCTATGAGAGCCACTTTAACGACAAAGCGAAAGGTGTGGTATGAGTATCTATCAGAGACGAAACGGCGCACATGGCTTCATGTTCATGTACTGTCTAGTGTGTGTTTTTTTTTTTTTTTTTTTTTTTTTTTCGCGACACGGAAACATGGATGACACATGGCTGGAGATGGCTATCGGGATGAGATTTCGAAATTCAAATCTGGTGGTGGGAAACACACACAATTTCGCTAGGCAAATGGCGTTGACGAGTGAGTGCTTGATTTATTTTTATTTTATTTTTTTGGTTGAGCGCAACGGCGTAACAGTGAAAGGGCGTTGGCGACAGGCATATGCTAGGCTCGCTTGCATGACGTATGTTGATACTTATTTGTGTTTGCTGCTCCAAGGACAGCTAGGAATAGTGGTCTCGAGCCCCAACGTTTACCTAGTCAGGTAGTCAGATAGTCAGATTGAACGAATGAATATTCTGCAGCCCTGCGCTTAGCACGACGCATGTGACGCGTGCGTGCGAGCGTGCGAGCGTGCGTGCGAGTGAGTGAGTGAGTGAGTGTGTGTGAGAGAGAAAGAGAGAGGCAAGGTCGAAACAGAACCCCGCGACCCGTGGTATCATTAACGACTTCACAGCCATGATGATAATGTGCAAAAAGGCACCACGCCTACCCGTATACGCACGACGACATGGCCACGACCAGCCACAAGTACAAGATACAAATTACAACGGATGGATGAAGACGCTGCCCGGGCAGGCAGGCCCCGGGAGGACCAAACGCCCCCATGGTCATCAAAAGGAAAAGATATCAGGATGCGGCAATCCCCGAACAGCCACCGGCCATTGCGTCGAGCTCGCTGCGGGGGAGTCTTCCCCGGAGCCGTCCCGGTGCCCGGTAGCTTTCCGTCTGCGGCCCGCAGCCATGTCGGGCGCATCAGACGCGGATGGGTCGATGCGGTCTCGGAGCGTGGCCCTGCCGCACCGTCACCGTCACTGTCCTGCGTGTCAAGGGCACCCGAGAGAAAGGGGGAATTCCGTAGACGGCATGTACGTATGTATATTCAGAGGACATGGCGTCAAGGTGGTATCATTCATTCTCCTCCTTCGGTCGCAATATCCATCGACGCAATCCCACTCCCCTCCCCGCAACCTTCAGCAAAAACAGACACACTTTCCGCCCAACCCCAGCCCAGATTACCAAGCCTGCTCAGCAAGCACTAAAACGACGTCCATGTACTAAATAAGGACGCGAAAACGCCTCGCTCTGCACACCATGAACAAACGCTGCGTCTGGAGCCGTAAATCAAGAGTAAAAGCAAGAGCCATCTGTGCGCCGCAACGTACCCGTCACTGCCAAACAAACGCACCAAACAAAGCGACCTCCATGTCTTTTATCTTACACACATGTATATCTCGTGTCTCCGTGTCCTTTCTGGCAACCTCAATCTTGCCAAGCTTGTGCGTGCCGTCATTTCGAGTGTCGAACGAGAATAGCCTAGCTGGCTAACATGTCCCGTTTGTCCAATGTAAATAAAAAAAACGTAATCTTTCCGCGTCTCCAATCCCTTGGTTCCATCACGTCCTTCAACTTGCTCTGATGTGGTAGACGAATGCCTCCGTGGCCAAATCAGGCAAACAATGCAAGTGGTCATGTCCCGGCGTCGTTTTTTCCCCTACACACGCGCATCATGTAGTAAAAGTAGAGTGAAACACTGTCAGTCCGAATAAATTTGGCAAAAAGCAGACTCCTTCTCAAAAGAGGCGAGTTTCTTCACGAAGGCGGCTCTTTGATCCTTGATGGTGTAAACTCGAAACTGCTCCCATATAAACCAAACTCTCTCGTCTTCTTTCCTTGGCACTTTTCTTCGCATCACTGGAGCCATGTTCGTCGCTTGACGCCGCGTACATCGGCCGCTCATACCCGGCGGCAGTTCTAGGCGGAGGGTGATGGCCATGGCCGTCGACTCCATTGGGTAGGCCGTAGCCGCTCTCATACGCCGGCCTTGAAGCCCCTCCTCCGTGTACGGTCAAGGGTGGTGTGGGGGTGGATCGAGCAGTCTGGACGTGGGACATCAGCGGTGGCGTCGGTGTCGACCTGGAAGGTTCTCTTCTGCGGTCCATCCGCGGTTGGGTGTGCGGCGAAGCGCTACCGCCGGACGACGTCGACGGGCGCGTCGGTTCCAATCGTTGAGGCGGTGCGCCCGCCTGTCCCTGCGATTCCGCCTCTGTGCTTGGACGTGGCAGCTGGTATTCTTCCGGGTCGATTCCGAAAATGGCCTCGTAGTTCTGCAGGAACATGGCGAACACTTGTGCGGGGATGTTGAGCGTGGGCGAGAACACAATACCAACATTGCGGACGGTCATCTTATTGACGTCGGAGTTGTTTATAATCCGGATCAGGAACGCAATCAAGTATTTCAAAAGGGTCGCGTTTGCCCGGGGTAGTCTTTGGCCCAGTTCCTTCATCTTCGCAATCTTTTCATTCCGATCCGCGATCTCAGTGGTGTGCAGGAAGGGAAGATGGAGATCCCTTGTGAGTATGGCAGTTGGGAGTTCTCGCAGATAGAGCTTCAACAATGATGCAACCGCGTGAATATCGTGATACTGCTCATCAGCAACAAGGTTGACATCACTCTCGGCGTTGAATCGCTCGCGAAGCTGTTTGATGACTAGATTCGATCCGCTCAGTCGGAAGATGCCCTCTTCGCTAATTGCGTTATGGTGGTCAAGATATCGTATGCATCGATAGACAACGGATGGCAGAGGCACGTTGACGTCAACGGGCGGGTTGTACCGGACCGCCTCCGCCAACGGTGCTCCGAATACCTGACGGACAGGCCCTTGGTGGCCATGAGAGGGAGGGGCATTGGAAGCAGAACTGGCGTCGCTGCCTCCGAACAACGAGTCCTGCCCGTCGGAAGAGGTGCGAGTCTTGGGTCCGAATCCGAAAAAGCTTCGCTTCCGCTGCTTCTTTTCGTCGTGTGTCGGAGCGGCCAGGCCTGCCCGATTGCCCCAGACAGATGAATCCGAAATGATTTGGGGATCCTTGGGTGCGGAGATCAACTTGTTGGCTTGAGAGGTCATGGTCTCCCCGGCGAGGTTATGTGGGCTGTGCTGCTCAGCAAGAGCCGTAGATCCCTTTTGCGGCGCTTCACCAGCGTGCGTGGAATCGTACCTGACCCCGATCAGTGTGTCCGAGTTTGCGTGTTTGTGCTGTGTCCTGCTCGAGGGGCTCTTCTTTGACCTGGCGCTGCTGGTCTGTTCATGGCCAGAAGGCTGTTGGTCATGAGGAGACTTGGCGCTCGGGGGCAGCGGTTGTCTGTCCTCGTCTGCATCTTGGTAATCTATCCACTGCAAAAGAACATCTACCCAGATATCTCGCTCCTTGTCACTCTCAGCGCACAATATGTGTTTAACATGGGCGCTCGAGTCTCTCTTCTTGGGCTCCATGATGAGAAACGCGTGCCTGAACTCATTGTCAAGGTCTTCCCCCGTGCTTGGCTGTGCTGATGATGACTGGTTTTCGTTGGTTTGTGTATGGGATTGCTTGCCTATATGGGCATTCCGAAGCCGGATTGTACCGAGATGCGCGCCCCCAGGGGTCTCGTAGTACTTGAATTCTGGCTCCGGGCCTTCCAAGACAAAGAACCTGGCTTTCCAGCCTCCAAAGTTCTTACCCTTCTTTGTCAAGTACCCGCTTCGAAGTGGTCGGCCGTCTGCGCCAATGTTGAGTCCGCTACCTTCCGGACTTGGACGGAAAGACGATCCTGTTTCATCAGCGTTTGGTGGAAGGGTGTTTGTCGACAAATACTTGCACAACTCCACCGCCGTGGCTGTGTCGAATGGCGTGTCGAGAAGCTCAACCATGTATTCTTCCAAAGCAACCCGTCGGGCATCCAACTTGGCCGGGGCGTGACCGGTGAATAGTGCGCGGTCCGGCGTCTTGGCGGTATAAGCTGAACATTGCTTGAGCCTCGAGTCCAGTTTGCTAAGTGAGGCAATGTCCTTCTCGACTCTCCAGAGCTCACTACTATGAGCCCTTGAAATGACAGCAAGCGTAAAGACAGGGTCTTCCTCGAGTTGAGTCAGAGATATGAGACTGGCTCTCGACGGTTTCATCCGCGAAGACGCTACCTGGATCTTGATGGATGGTAGGGCGTTGGGAGGCAACAAAAGATTCGGGTACTCCTCCGTAACAAGACCCTTGTGAATCATTGCGCGTGCTGTGGGTGAATGCTGGCTGGCTTCGTCACTGCGCTTCGCTGAGTTGAGCGGCGGAGTAGACGAGGAGCCAGCCGAGCTGAGAGGTGGTGGCGATATCAACGGTGTGGTCGGAGGCATAATGATGGCTTGTCGTGGTGCTCGAGACGACAAAGGAGCCGGTGCGCCAGCCAGTCTCGCAGACACAGGTGCAGAAGCCGAATGCGAAATGTTGCCAAGTGGGCGAGGACTAGCTGGCAGCCCGGGGCTACGAAGAGGTGCCGCGATGTCGATTCTCTTCTCAGCAAGCAGCAAAGCATTTATGGAAGTGGACTTGTCGTGCTCTTGGGCCGTGGGTCGGGATGCAGGGCTGGCAGGCAGGACTGTGCACTTGACAGAGCTTTCTGAAGAGGGTTTGGAGGTACTTCGCCCTTGAGTATTTCTCGAAGCAGCGGCTTGACGTTCTTTGTCGTCCTCTTCTCTGGTTTTGCGTCGCCCTCGGGTTTCAGAGACCATCTCATCAACCTCGAAAATGTGATCGTAATCAGAGTCGCTGTCATCCTCGGCAGCGGCCGCCAGATTTCGTCCAACGGGTTGCTTCTTCAACTGCAGAGGTGCCGGCGGTGGCTTCCGCGGAGGGGAAGGAAACTGGCCAAGCCCATGGTCTGGTTGCGGCAAGGGCTCAGTAACAGTCAAGGATGGAGCAGCTGTTGGTATCTTGGGTGGTGGAATCTTGGGTGGTTCGCTCGGACAGCTTCGGGACGGCTGTAGGGAGGCATTGTACGAAATGTCCCCAAGATGTTTCTCGTTCTTTTCTTTCCAAATTCTATCGCAAACTTTGTCGTCTACTTCATGATCAAACTTGTCCGACGCATGGTCTTGTGGCTTCGGCATAGCAGGCTTGGGTTCGAGCAATTCGCTGACTGCAGTTGGCGAGGTGAGCGGTCTGTCGGCTGGAGGGGTAATCGGATAAGGTGCCATGGGCATATCAAAGGGAAAGTCCTTTGGACTGTCTGCGTCGAGCGATGGAGAGACCGGTGGTCCGTTTGTTTGAACCCTGGGATGCGGCTTTGGACTACGTGGCGAAATCGTACCCTGGTATTTGTCGACGCCAAACGTTTCAGCTTGTTGCCCAGATGCGGCCTTTATTATGGCTGCGCTGGTCATAATTTCTTTGAGTTTCCTTCTGTACTTTTCTTTGTCTTTCAAGGCCGCCTCGAGATCTTTGTTCAGGCCCAAGATCATGCCTCGCTGCTTGTCGACTAGTCTCCATAATTGGCTGTTCTGTTGTGACTGGGAACTCTTTTCCTTCAAAAGGTATTGTATAACGGCTTCTGGAGTGCCCGCTGTTTTGATAAGGTCAGTAATATCTGAAGCGTTGGACGCATCCTGTAGACCACCCTGGCTAGGAGAGCCTTGTTTGGATGAAATCGCGGAGATTGCGGTGTCCATTGAGGAATTTCGGGGTCCCCCTTTAGCCACTTCCGTCGGAGTTGTGGCGATTGTGGCAGCCATGACCGGTCTGCCAGCCTTTGGGGGGCCTGGCACAGGCTTCAATGTCACAGAGTCGGAAACGCTTCGACGATCATTCGAAAGACTTGGATAGTTTAGTCTGCAAAGCATGGAGGGTCAGCAAGCGCACAGAAAAGGACGGCGAAGGGCATTCCTGGAGCGAGAATAAAGTGTCGAACGAATGAGGGAGGGAGGAAGGCAAGAAAGATCCCCAAAAGCCGGTAGCAACGGTCAAGTAATATGTGTCAAGCGCGACATAGGATCGGAAGCAAGAACCTGGGGATTTCGTCCTCGGGGCTAGATGGGCTTGACGAATCGCTATAAAAGGCCGTCTGCCCAACAGATGCCCTAGATGTCGTCTTGACGGCCGAGCTGCTGCCAATAGGCCGGAATCCCTGTTGTGTCGCAGAAACAGCGGGTTCGGGAGGCTTCGTGCTTGACGGAGACGTCGCCACGTTGCTTGCGGTGGACAGCGGACTAGGTACGGGGGGTCGAGGAGATCTGGAAGACGAGCAGAAAACGACGTTAGCAGTCTTCTTGAGGGGTTTTTTATTTTCCTGTAACAGTTTATCTCAAGGCAGCAGAGCCTTGGTTTCAGCTTGAACAAAAGACCGGACAGTAAAGAAAGACCAAAGCTGGGGCCACACCAAAAAAAAAAGGCAGCAGTATAAAGAAAGCCCATAGTGGCTGCTGAAAAGCTCTCGAGCAAAGCGCAAAGAACTGGGAAGAGATTTCCGCCAAGTTCTATGCCTATGGAAGAGGGGGCTCGCTCAAGGTTGAAAGAGTCTGGTCCAAGGTTCTTGCAGCGCAGACGTCCTCTTGATTTTGATTGATGAAGCGACTTTGGCCATGGCAGGCCGTCTTGGGACCAGCGACAAAGAACGGAAACGGCGGTATACTGTAACTATGCATTTTTTGAAACATGAATCTCGTAGGCAAGCTCACCTTTGACCTGGATACGGTAGCGAGCCCAGACCTGCGAGCGAGGGCACGTTGATCAAGCGTCCAGTCGACGCACTCGTGGGAAAGTCGCCGAAGGAGGTTTGTAATCGAGGGGAAGAGGATATTTGAGAGGCATGAGACGAGGGCGAGTCCCAGTGTTGTCCGGGTCCAGTTAGAGTATCGGCAGTCAGAGGCGTCCCGGAACCGACGCCGACACTAGCACCAGCACCAATACCAGCTCCAGCTCCAGCTCCAGCACCAGCATCAGCATCAATGTCTGGGTTCGAGTATGCTTCGGAAGATGAGGCCAGGCCACGCGGCGGCACATGCTGCGACATAGTCCGGTTTATGCAGAGCAGCACCAGCAAGCGCCTCTCCGCAGGCGTCGGGTGGAGAGGGCGTCTGGCCTCTTGACCTCGGCCGTGGGAGGAGGCCAGGAAGAAGGCGTTGGCGAACAGCGGAACTGAGCGGACCGCCGTGTCAGGGTGTCAATCGACGACGATGGAGGAGGGCGTGTGGATGCTCTGAGCACACCAAAAAAAGATGGAGGAAAAGGGGGGGAGGGGGGAGGGGCGGGGCGAGGCGTTCGAGGCGGCGGCGTGAGAGAGAGAGAGAGAGATAGACAGACAGAGAGAGAAGAGAGTGCACATGGATGTCGACGAGGTCTCGAGCACTTGAGACGCCAAACCAACCTTGTGGCCGTGATCCACTTTGCAAGTACGACTACTAGTAGTACAAATGAAGTTCTGGGCGATGCCATACAATAGAATAGAATAGCATGCAAGCACAACGCCTGGGCCAAGGCCAAGTCCAAGGCCTCGGAACGGACGGCTGGCGATGGGACGGAGTACGGAGTAGTAGACTTGGACATAAAAGGCTGGAGGCCGTTTGATCGGCGCATGGCGTTGTATTGCCTTGACCGTTGGACGATTGGTTTCTATCTGTCACGGATCCAGCCAACCAGTCAGTCGTCATGGACCCGGCTTGTGACTGAAAACACAGACAACAGCAGATTGCAGATTGCAGATTACAGATTGCTGGGCAGATGAGTGGCCAGCGGCTAGTGCTGTGCAAAAATCACATCAATACTCCGTGCGTGTACTCCGTACCTTATTTAGTTCTCGACGTGTGAGGCAAATGAGGCAATGAGATTCGCCATGTCCCCTGAATTGGTTGATCCCTTGTCACGTACCAGACACAGACATCCTTGGCATGCATCTGTCACGATGTGCTGTTTCAATACATACGGGTTCATCTGGTGTAGACAAGGAATAAAAATGCCCCTCCTCGCGCTCAGTCGTTGCACGCTACTCGGTTGCATGGCGAGTTACGTACGCCCAGGGCGAACAACAATATTGCTGTGGTTGATATGATATGTGTGCGAGCCTTTGCAGCAAGGATGTCCTGAAAAACTAACCCGACGATGAAAACTCCGTGACGAGTACTCTGTCTGGGAAGCAACAGATGGTTGGCATTACGAGCAGTACTCCGTCGCATTACGCCGTAGGGTAAAACTTGAGATGTCGGCTTCAGTCGTTGGAATGGTGTCCTCTCCATGCACGGTCGAGGCTCTTCGATTTGTTCCTAGTACGGGGTACCGAGTACGTATCCTTGAGTAGGTACCCGGGGGAGTACTTATGTACTTGGGTAACTGGCAAAGGTCAAGTGCCCAGGTGCTCATCACTTGAGCATGCATCAGCACACGCAAAGCAGTCGAGTCGAGTCGAGAATGCTCCGTGACGTTTTATTTTTCCACTTTATTTTAACTCGGGCTGGTGGGCATTTCCCCGAGCCCCGAGACCCTTCTCGATTCGCACCGAGCACACGGCGCGCAACGGAAAGGTACCTAGGTTCTACCAAGTACGTAGCTGGCATTCGGTTGAGTGCCTAGGTACCTACCTAGGTACTTAAGTACCTCTTAAAGAGGTGGTCTGCACCTGCCCGACTTTGCGTTCCGCATAGATGCCATGCACGTGCGCAAAAGGTGGCTCCTCCCAAGACGCCCATCGAAATAAAGGCAATTTCGCAGCGTCGTAACTAAAGGCAATGCAGGCCCTCCTTTGCGAAGCATGTTCATTAGTGCCCTCATCTATCCTCAACACGCAGCCTCCTGCGGCGAACCTTAGCTGGCAATCCGTCAGGGGTCTAACCTCGCACTACTCCGGAGTTCGTACGGCGTACGGAGTACTGCCTACTGCATGCACCTCGTGCCCGCTGCCGTCCTCGAGGCTTCAGTCTGTCACATTCTCAAACAAACTACAAACTACTACGACAGTGTCTCAAGTCCCCGACCTGAACTGCCACTCTCCTAACCACCCAGGGCCGCAATAGCCGGCAGGGATGCCCTCGCGAGCCATTGTTACGGAGTAGTAGTGTGTGTGGCCTCGAATGAAATTAGCAACGGCTACGCGGAGTTCGACAATCCAGGAACAACTGGTGGGTTCAAACCTAACCGGACTCCCGCCAAGTCTTCTAATTACGGTTGCCATGGCCCATCAGACTCCCAGTGGCTGGTTGGCTGGCCTCGCTAGATATCATTGCTTGTACCCTAGTAGGCCTCTTCGTTGGCGAGGGTCGTCACTCGATCCTGCCTGTGGCTTGGTCGCCTTGTGCTTGGTGGTTAGTGCTACATGATCAACTCGCCTTGCGAATCGATATCCGTCAACAACTTCACAGCAAATGAAGGAACGGGAAGTCTGGTATTGATCAAAGTCATTGATGTACGTACTATTCTCAATTTGTCCCCAATATGAATGACATGGGAGGGGAAGGCGGAAAGGGGGAAAGGGGGGCGACATCCCGGAGTCAAATTCCAAGCTAGAGACAAATCGGAGGTAAGTAGGCGCCGCCTCGCATTTCATCCCATTCCATCTCTAATGATTGGTAGTCGTACAAGCCAAAAAATTCTTACTGGCAATCTCCTGCCCAAATATCCTGAGACTAGCAAATCTGAGGCGCCGCAGCTTTTTGAGCGCGGAACACGGTGTACAGCCAGCCCCAAGCAAGCCCCTTGATACTCGGCTCGAGCAAGGAGACAGAATGCCCGTCTCAGGCATCCCTCTGTCCATTCCAAGCCAACTGGTCGCCAATTTCTAGTGCCTGGACATTTGAAGCAGCTAGGGCCGTATGCCATTTTGCCGTCAAGTCGATTTGCCATGGTCGCGGTTGAACTTGGACCGCAAGCAAGCCACTGCAGCCCAACATGGCTTGGGTGACTGTACAGTTCTGTACTGGTCTGTACATCCATAAAACCAAAGCCATGTAGGAGGCTTGTCAGTAAAACAGTGCACCGGCGATGCAACGCAAATCTACGAACTGTCTTCATTGGCACGAGAGCTGAACACGCCTGGGCAATCAGAGAAAGAGTCTCCTCGGATACTACCACTACCCACACATACATACACGTGTACTTGCGCTGGGTCACTTGGCGTGCCCAAACTCTCACGCCATTGTACCGGAAATATTTGCTGAACCGAATGTCTCGTCAGCAGACAATGCTGGAAACCCTAAGCTCATATCTATGAAACAACAAGGCCTCTCGGCGAAATAGGTAGAATTCGCTGAGCCTGTCGTGGAAGTACTATCCCGGAATGACTCGTTGGCTAATCAGACCCCCCCCCCTTCCAAAGACATAACTCGGTAACGTAATTTTTTACTCAGAGAGTCCCGTTAAATAAGGTGTTTGTCTCACAGTACGAGCAATCCAATTGGCTCTCGGCTTCGAGTCGCGGCCCAGCCGCCTCGCTCAGTGGTTCATCAACCTGGAATCACTTCTTTCTTTCTCAGCCTGGACCGACGAACCTTGCTTTACTCAGAAACAAAAGTTTTATCGCCCGTCGAAGTCACCACAGTGAACATTGGGTGCTTGCTTTTTAAGGAACTACAATCTGGGCTCTGTTTGTGTTTTCAGCCACCTCTCCAGAAACGCGGCCAATGGTGGCGCAAGACATGGCGCTTGCTCGCGCGGACATTTTGATGCTCGATTCCAGCCGGATAAGGACGTGCCACGTTTTCCCTGTACGATACAATAAAGCTGTGTTCTTCGAGTGCACCGCAGAACTTTGCCCCCAGAAGGACGGTCAGGAACTGCTCATACACACATGCAGGCTATGTGCGATACAAGCAAACGTGAAATCTCACAAACTCGACTGTGGCGTGGTATAACTAGCCTCTTTTCCAAGGCCCAAGGCAAGAGCTCAGGGTTGATGATGCAGCCAAAGCATACATGGACCTGCGGCCTGATCAGATATGGAAATGTCTCACGGCAAAGAACAGCATCTGCAGCCACTCGTCAAGAGAGACGGATTGGACTTCTGGGTCTCTTGTTTACGGGATGTTTACTGTGGGTGTCGATTGATGGGCTGTTTGAACTTGGAATTCCTGTCACACTGAGCACAATGCGAGAACCATGTGCATGCCGGATGGGCCTCCCTCGGCCGGGGGGAGGTGATCAAACCCAGATCAGAGACAGACCAAAATTTCGCAACCGTTTGGCGTTTGAGACTTCTTCATGATGAATTAGGCGTCATGGTGCAGTAATTCCGGACCCCCAGCATGTGTTGCACCTCTGAAACGTCGCATCTGGCATCTATACATACCTACTTGGGCAGGTAGAGACACCAGTGCGACCTGTGACCAGGTTATCGAGTGCTTTTCACGCTAGTGGCCAGTGGTTGCTGACAGTAAAGACAGATGCCGACATGCCAACCAGGACGCCGCTGTTTCAAGAGTCGATACATATGCTACTACCGGTACAGATCGCGGCCTACATGCCCGGATAGTCCCGGGCAACACATACATACATAACCTTGGGCTCTCGCTGCTGGGTGGTGGCAGCATCATAGTATTCATGCCATCGTGCCCGGTAGCCGGGCAACCGGGCTCGTAGTTTTGTCAATGGCTACTCCATACCCAGGTGCCTAGGTATGGTATCGACTACGTGTACGGAGCGAGTACTTTTACCCCTGCCTGTACTTGATTCGGCCTGGGCTTCCATGTCTCGACGTTGAGGCAGCATGGTTCAGCTGAATACCCCGTAAGCAAATGCTTCTGGGTTCTGCAACGTCAGCCACGGGCTGAATACCAACATGACGGTGCGTCGGCCGTTACAGATCCTTGCCACCACTCATCTACCTACGCGCTCATATCCCACACGGCTGGCGGAGGAATCCAATCCAGTTCAAGCAAAATGCTTCCTTGGTTGAGTGACAGTCGATACGATACTCAAATCAAAATATATAGATGAGTGAATGACCAAGCACTCCAAGCACAATCAATGGCAAGCATCAAGGAGCATCTCCTCCCGGGACCTATAACGCAATGCAAGAAAAGCTGCCAGCATTCAACGTCTTCAGCCCAACGAGAAAGCCTTGACAGCTGTCCGCATGTGCTTCTTTTCTGTTTTCGGGAAATGGTGGATGGAGCTCATCCTAATAAATGGATTCCTCATGCTTGTTGGTGGTTTGCCGCCTGCCGTCTGACAACGTCATCCATCCTCCCCCCGGCTATTGGGTCCGATCGATGCGTCTTCAACGGCTGTGGCACACGAGCCCCTTGTAGTCAATACCTGCTTGTGTAACAAAGACATCTCGTGAAGCCCAAACACACTGGGATGGACACATCCGGCTTACTGGAGCATGGCACCATCCAAGGTGTCTTGGAAGAATGCCAAGCGGTAGCAACTCCTTGATTCTGTTCTGAGGCTGGAAGAGGTTGTTAGGCTGTCCCATGAGGCGACTTGTTTGTTTCGGCAAGTCTGCCACGTCAAGACATGCTGCAGGATCCGTATTATATGTTGCTCACGTTGACAACCCACGACTCAGCAAATGATGCAGTCAACTGCCGAGTTGCAAGCACTCGCATCGACGCTACTCGCACCTGGACGTCTAGGTTCTCGAAGACGGGGCGAAACGCCCAAATGCTCCCCCTTCATGGTCTGATATCAACCACGGCGAGGCCCGACTGCCAACGATACTCGGTAACCACCTGAACCCAACAGCACCGACGACGGAGATTCAGGCCGTTGCAACCCACCGCCCGAGTCAAGCGTCCACAGGCCCGATTCGTCTTTTCCGGCCGGCATTTCTCCAACTTGTCCCGAGGCTATCGCAGGGCTTGGGCTTGGCAAACGAGATTCCGTCCCCTGGCCATGGAACCCAATCAACCATGTGGCCTCATAATGCATTGAACAAGGGAAAACATGCTCGGGATATCCCAGGCTGCCAGGGTCTGGGTAACCCCCAACCCAGCAATTCCAGAAGCCACGGGCCTGCTCTGACTGGCGCATCTCCGCCATATTCTCCACCAGCTCACGCCGGAACCTTGGCAAAATACCGTGTCCAACGTCATGGGACCATCAGGCTCGCTATTTGGGCGCCGCCGCCGATGTCGTGTGCCCCATCGGCTCGCCTGGGAGTCGGGACCGTGGTGCTGTGCTACCTGCCATCACGTCCAGCCAGGCGAGCGTGGCCTTGCCCGCATGATGGATGCGTCTTGGTTGCTCCGCCTTGTCCATTCTTACTGGCATCTCGTGCGCATATATCTACCTTGTCGTGCCGGCACCCCCCTCTTGAGCCTTGACAAAGCCAGAGTCTGATGTGCCTCGGTCTGCGTTGCAAAACTCTGCATCTGCCCCCGCGACACCAGCCATCAAGATCGCTGCTGGAACTCGGCGCCATCCATCAAAATGGGTATGCAGAAGTCATCGCCCGCATCCTCGTTACCGTGGCCGCCACCAAAGCTTACCTACCCTCTCGCAGGCCGCCGGAACGGCGCCAAAACGCGCCTGTACCTCGCCCGGCCCGAGCCAGACATCGTCACCTCCCGCCGCCGCGTCACACGAATCATCCCACCCACCCCTCCACCGTGCGAAGAGCCCATCCCCGTGCCCGTCGTCGAGGAGCCAGCGCCCGAGCCATGCCCATGCCCGCCAGCGCCCTGTCCGTCCCCGCCGGCTCTCCCCGCGCCAGAGCCGCAAATCGAAGTCATAGCCGTCGACGTCGAACCTCGAGTTAAATCGGCAAAGTCCAGCCGCAGCCGCTCCAGGAGCCGCAGTCACGTCCGCGAGAAGGAAGTGTACGTTAAGCGCGATCGCTTCATCCCCGTGCCCGTGCCCGTGCCCGTGCCCGCGGAGTCCAGGTACGAAACGTATCGCTACGTCGAAGCGCCGAGGAGGTGTGTCGAGCCTCCGCGGGAGAGGAAGATGATTGAAGACAATCAGGAAAGGGTGACGCATGTCCACGTCCACACCGAGGATAGGGAGGCGAGTCGCGACAGAAGGCCCTTCCGCGACAGGGACTACTACGACCGAGAGTACTACGAGACTGGGAACTATGGTCGGCGATGAGGTGTCCACGCACGCGATGCGAGTTCACCGCTGGACAATTTAGCTCGCAGATGCGAAGGCTGCATTGACCAGGATGACTCCTCATGCTCTCCAGAGTATATGATTCAGACCAAGGCTGGGATGTTGTATTGACGGGAGCGAGAGCGGTCTGGGTTTGGTTTTTGACTTTGGCCCGTGAACAAGGGTAATTTTTTTCCTTCAACTGTCCACGTCATGACATATGTGCCTGGTGATGAGTTAGACTGATGCAACTACCGCATGTGCTAGTATAACTCGCCATGGCCTGGTGCCTGCCCTGCCCTGGTCCATATACTTTCTGCATCTCCCCGTATGTATACGCATTTGAAATGTGCAGCCTTGCTCCGCGGCAATCGCGAGGCGTACGGGGGGGGGGCCGTTAATATCGAGCAACAGGCAGAGGAAGAGGACGCCTTCGCGAGCGTCGAGCGACTGGTCCACGCTGCTCGGCCGTGTACGCAACTGGACGCGGTAAACGGCCGTCCGTCACCGGTGCCTGGGAATAGTCCATGTCCGGCTCGTGCGTCGGCGCGTCGACAGCATACGCTGCCGTGTCCGTCATCGGCGGTGCCGGGCCGGGCACGTATCTGGTGTTTGAAACACGGGCTGTCTGCCTGCCGGATGGCCACTTGACGACGTTGCCCAATTCGCCCATCCACCAGAGGCCAATGACAATGATGAGCAGCGTGACGGGTATGGCGACGGCCCAGTAGAGCCACTGGCCCGAGTTCATGTCGCGGATGTCGTTGGTGTTCATGCCAAAGATGCTAGAGATGGCGCTCAGGGGGAGAAATACCACGGTGACAATGGTGAATGCGTAGATGGCGTTTTCCTGCCTATCCTTGGTCCAGTCTAGGCCGTACACGACGGCACGTTCCAGCTCATCTGCGTAGTCGGTGTGGCGGCGAAGGTCGAACTCGCGCTGTTCGACGAGACGAATGCATTCGTTCAGGAATAGAGCCCGGAATCCAAGCTCGTCTGTGGTCGAGAGCTTCGAGCCATCTTCGAGGTCCGCTGCATCTTGGTCATCGAATCTCAGGTACTCCGCGCCGTGTCGTCTCAACGGCGGGCTGGGATAATATGTTGCATCCTCCTCGTACATGTCGTGGGCTCGTCTACGGCGCCAGGGGCCATCGTCAATTGCTGCTGCTCCTGCTCCTGCGAGAAAGGTCCCGTCGTCTCTGGCGGCGAGGTTTGATTTGATGCTTGCCAGAGTAGATCTTTGTTTGGTCACTGTTTTTCTTATGACTGTCATTTCTTGTTGGACCAAACCAATTCGATGCTGGTACGATCGGTCAGATGGCTGGCTGGTGATTTCCGCATCCTACCAAAACCGTCAGAATCAATCCAGTGCCTACAAAGCGACCATAGTGCAAGCGCTTACCAGCAATGTCAAGTATTGTGCATAGGTATCCATGATGTCCTCTGCTTTGCCCACTTGATCCTGCAATAAGTTGAGTGAAAATAGTGAAAGTACTTCCAAGGGTAGTAGAGCAGAATCGCCGAGAATGCTTCGACTCGAGATGCCCTGGATAATGCGGTTCATGCCATCCATCACCAGCACTTTAGCCTTGGTCATGTGCGCAAGCCACGCATTCCTTCCGTCACTGGCACAGATCAGGCCAGACACGATGTGAAGCCAGGCCGTAACGAACTGCCGGGGAAGGTTGATGTTGGCCCTTTTCTTCTCATCGGCATAAGACATGACGTTCTGAAATAGTTTCGCATCTTGGGACATGTCTCTAAGAGCTGTCCTAATCTCCAGTGTGATACTCTGGCTTGAAGGTATGGACATGATGGGGGGCTCTCCCTCCAGCTGAGGTATCTACAGCCTCATGAGCACCTTGATTGCGGCTATTTTACCAGGGCTTGGCTGGGTATCATACCTTGAGATGGGCCTTTACAGCTCCCCAGTACTTATCTATCGTTGGTCCGTCAAACGTGGAGGGAGGAACAGCTGGAAAAGATCATCTGCAGCATTGAAAATGTCAGTTCTCTCTTCATGCATGAGTCTGAGATTGTCATCCGCCTTTTCTTCAACTTGAGTAGATTGCTTCACCAGGAAATCATGCACGTCCCCCCTTGTGGCATCTCCGCAACTTTTGTACGCTCGCTGATCAGCGTACGATGTTTGACCTGTCAAAAACTTCTCAGCCGATGCTAGTTGTTCCCTCAGAGCCTCCAATGTCTTGTTTGTTGCAGTTCCTTTTGTGTCAGACCGTACTTCTGCCGCCTGGAGAGTGAGTACATGTAAGTACTCAGGAGGATTCTTGCGTGATTTTGAAGGCTCGACTCCCGCACCATGGGGCTCCAGAGGCTTCAAGGCGGATCGCGGAGGAGAAGGCCGGGGCCTGAATTGTGAAACAGCATTTAGAGACTATTCAAATCAAGAATGGTTGAAGCGTGGAAATCTTACACCATCTCCATCCTCAACATGACACTTCCCTGGGGACGAGCTGCTAGTTGTAAAACTTTGGACCAGTTCACCGCTGTCACCGCGTGATTGTTACATGTAAACTCCAAGTTTCTCGGCCAAAAAGCGTGAAAGTTGGACAAGAACATCTGCCGCGGTTTCGCTTGTGTCAGAGAATGTTCAAGTAGTCAGCCATTCAGCAGCACTCACAAACCAAGTGGAACATGCCACGGCAGGAAAAGACCAAGTAACCGCGTTCCCATACTGGACATGAATCCTTCCAGGCGTTGACCCAGCGGCCTCCGGCGACGGCTGAGACTTGACTTGGACCAAGTCTCCGCAGAGATCGAGCTCGGACATGGTGCCGCAAGTTACGAGGAGTGCTGTTGACTGGTCAGCCACCGGGGACTTGTTTTACTCGGGGGGTGTTTTCATACAATTGTCCAGAACTACGCACCAGAGCTGCGCGATATGAAAGCATTCATTAGTTTTGGTGGCGGCCACTTGGCGCACAGCTTGTAGCATGTCTCTCTGTTCCGTTGTGCGAGAGTACTGTGCCTGCAATAGTGTCTGAGAGGGAAATACGGACGTGGTTGAGCCCGCAAGAAGACCCGAGTACTTCTGCAGAGAGAAATACGGGAGACAAATCCATCTCAAAGAGCCTGTTGGCTTCCCTTGATCAGAGAGCTGGTTTGTAGGAGACTTCAGAGGTATTTCGAAACATCTTGGCTCCATATACCCAACCCTTTCCCCTTTGGGGTTTTGTCGTGTCCTGATAGAGCTCTTTTTGACATCTGCTCTGAGCTTTGCCAAGGCAAGTCTTTCGGGCTCGGGGAAATGGATTTGGCGCGAGATTTCGGCCTGCACCGCTGTCAGAATCACATCACGCATATATAGCATCAAGATGCAGTTACCCAAAAATTGTCAAAGTGCATGACTTCTTGGCGAATATGACTGTCATGTGGTTAGAAACACTCCTGGAGCTCTTTGGTAGGCTCGTTGTTACTCACAGCCACTTGAATAGTGACCTTTTCTTGCCGATCAGCTCGGTCAATTTGGCTGCATGAACACCTCCAAGCTCGGCACTCCCGGTGTAATGTGAAGAATAAATCTTCTTTGCGTTTGAATTTGCCGTACTATCATGATCGGCTCTACGTGCGGAGTCCGAGTCTACTGCTGGCGATTCCAGATCTGACAGTTCTTCCTCAGTAACAGGCGAACTTAGAAACAAGAAATTGAACTCGTCATATGGATCAAAACCTCTGGCTGTGGGACTCGGTGGACGAAGAGGCCTATCATTCTGTCCTTGGTCAACATGATAGACTTCTGCATCTCCAGACTTGTACGCGCGAACTCTGGGGCCATCATCGCCGCGGCGGTACCGCCTCCTGAATGGAGAACGGCTTCGATCAGAACTTTGGTCCGCATCGCTCCTGGAAGATGATGGCTGCCACGAGCCAATGTCGACTGCTTCCCTACTGTCCATTATTGGGGGAGACTGCGAGCACCTCCCCCTTGGCGGGAGTGGAGGGATCGCAGCTGACAACGACGCCTCCTCGTCGTAAATGTTAGGCGCAGAGATGGCGTCTGCATCACGATGCCTCGCCCGCCTCACTTTGGAAGCAGGCGGACCTGAAAATGTTTGCGCTGGCGGATCATCATAGGGCGACGGCATGCGCCGGTCGAGACGTGTCCAAGGCGGCAAGGTAGATTCTGTCGTTCGCTCTGGGGCATATCCATATCCGTCGCCAGAATATTGGCCGCGACGCCTCGACGACGTTGGCGCGTTGAAAACATATCTCCGAGGGCGACCAGACTACAGGTAAAAAGGATTAGCCAATTACCAACCACGGGACCAAGGGGAAAACGCACGGCGGGAATTTCTACGTCGTCCTGGTAGAAGCGAACCCGTGGCCGTGGCCGGCGCGAGTGGCCCTCAGCAGCATCGTAATGGGCCATGGCAGAGCAGTGCACGAGCACGAGGACGACAATCACTGGAGTCGGTTCGAAAGCAAGCCTGTGGGCCGATACATGCCAAGCTCGGAGTGAAGGTATTTATTTTGCTCACCAAGAGGAAGAAGAAGGGAAGAAAAAAGAAAAAAAGCTCACAGGTACCTACCTATGCAGCCATAGATAGCTATGGGCAAAAATCTGACCTCATCTGCCTGCCATCTTCCTGCCCTTGTTTCCGTCGGGTCTGACTCGGCTCGTTAGCTCACAGTAGCTGGGGAAGGAGCGCCCTGTGCTTTGCAGCATCCAGAGCTGATAAAACTGCTCGCCTCCTTCTTCCTCCCCAGCCGATCCACAGTTGGCATCTTCTTGTCATGGTGCAATATGCGATAGTACAGGCGAGTATAATGCAATGCTCTGTGGCGCGTATTGCCTGGTGATGGATGGTCTCTTCATCCAGCCCCCCATCCAGGATCCCGGCAATTGACCCCGAGTCGGTACAGTTAGATGGCTAGAAAGATGCATTTTTGGCCTGCAGGGTCGCGGCTCCGAGGAGTAGCGCCGCACGCCCATCAATTTTCCCCAACCATTCGCCCATACCATACCAACTTTGTCAAGGAACCAACACCCGTTTCCCAAGGTGCTTCCCTAATGATCCTTTGATTTTCGCACATAGACGAGATCCTTTGCTATGTCTTCCGAATACTCTTTCCAGAGTTTCGATGAAAGGAAGCCGAGCAATCCCTTGTGCTGAATGAGAAAGGGAAATAAAGTATCCAATAGACTGGCCAAACCGCGCCGCAGACTTAGAGTCTCTTCCTGTGACTCGTATGCATACGCAACTTCTAGTGCGTTTTTCAGGTGAAAAAGTGCCGCAAAAATCTCGGTACGATCCATGGGTTCTTTCGTAAAGGTTTTCGTCAGGTAATATGCCAGGTCTCGTGCCATCTGTTGAAGGATTTGGGCAATGTGATCCTTCATGGCTTCGACTCCAAGATCCACGGCGCCAATGTACAGCAACGCGCTACGTGTGATACAGGCGAGGTCACGAAACTTCTCCCGGTCGTACTCCAGTATCTCGAGGCCTATGTACGGTTATGGATCAGCACTCGGCATTGAACCACCGACGAGGACACACGAGACATACTGTGGGTGTACATGAAGCGCAACGTGTATCCGACGACTTGGTGGCAGAAAGGCAAGCGCACGTCAGTTAGAAGCCCTTTCTGTTTCCTGTCAGCATGTGCAAGTCTCGCACTCCCGTCTTCCATTCTTCACCCTACCTTGCTTGCGGGTGGGAGCTGATTGGCAAACCAACTTGACTGTGCTCTCACGATGGCGCGGTGCACTTCAAAGACTTCGTGTCCAGCCCAGACGAAGACATCGGCGCCAAACGGTCGGAGCCACAGCCTGTCGGAGCTTCCTGTCAGCGGATATATTCCATGGGTATTGACGAGCTGGCTCATGCGCACCTAGCACCTGCCCGAGGCGCCGCCGCTTGGAGAAGCTTCTTTGATGGCGAAGCGGCATCTGGATCCTGGCCATCGACGGAGCGAGTGAGTTTCGAGTCTCGAGATGTCGTCTTTGCCGCAGCCCAGGCCACATTCTTCTTCGGTACGGTCGCAATGTCGGCTCTCTGAACGACTGGAGCAGGCGGCGCAGCTAATGGCCTTTTCCCCCAGGGATTTGTTTTGGGGGGGGACGCAGGTCGTAGGCGATCCATACATGGCGTATTTGTATTTGTATTTGTCTTGCTTGTGCTCTGGTGATTTGCCCGCAAATGTGGCCTCTGTAGCTGTCTTGGCCTTCCGTCTATCGGGGCGCGAGTCATGGTCTCTCTCGTCTCTCTTCGCAACGGTCCCGGCGAGCGGCAAGGCAGGCCAGGTGAAGAAAAGTAATAAGAGCGCAAATGGTGGTTAAAGCATATTGAGCAGCCCGGAGGCCTCGAAATATTCCAAGGCCATGCGGAAGTTGTGTTGGTGCTATGACGACGGGTTGGAAGCACAGGTGGGACGAAACGTAGGTGCATGCAAGTAATATATGGATGAATGGATATGGCTTTGGCAGCAATGAGGAAGAATGGGATGAGTAAAGAGGCTGTGAAGGAGACCAAAAAGTTAGGTATTTTGTGCCCCAGCAAAAAGCTCACTGCGCGCTGTGTCTGTCTCTTCCTCTTTTGTCACCTTCTCTTGGTTTCATGAGCTGAAGCCTCGTGTAAACAAAAGTGAGCGAGAGCCAAGGCAACAATCGAACCGCTTGCCCGGCTGCGTGTTTGCCGACATAGGCCGAGTGCATTGCATTGTCCTGCGTGGGTGATGCAACGGCCGTTCCGATTTTATGCAGATAACGTACTTGGGTACTCGACTTTGCTTTCGATGTGAATATGTGCATAAAAGTAAGTAACCATTGCTCCGAGTCATGGACTCGCCGAAGTTGGCGCTCCGTACTGCAGCATTTTCCATGCTGCTAATAATAAATCATAAGTCCCGTTTCCGGCAGAGATGGGGGAAAGTGAATCAGAAACTGTGTCACGTTGGCCTGCAATCCATCCCATGGCCCCGGATCACGATGGAGACGGGCACGTAATGTGGTCATTTCTACCCGGGGGTGTCCAGGAGCGCGCTCTCGCTCTCTCGACGCCACCTTGGCCTGGACACTTGGGTGCTTGCGTAATACAGCGGGATGCACAGCGGGGTGCACAGCGGGGAGCAAACAGCGTCACCCGCCCGGGACACTTGCGGGCAGTCCTACCTGGGTGCTTAAGTACTTGGGTACTTGGCTTAGTAAGTACTGAAGTAAGGGACCTTGGTGTCAACAGTAACTCGCCTTATTCTAAGTACTCAAGCACCTTGAGTACTTAGTATGGAATAGGTCAAATAACAGAAAAGTGATCGGGGACTTATCTTGATGAGAGATTTCATCAGAAAACTAGGTACTTTCTCGCCCCATATACTCTCCGAAAAACCCCATCCCTTATCATGGCCCTTGATCCTCCCTGCATGTCACTCCTGTCTGAATTGCAAGTACCTTGCCGCTAAGGCTGCTGCTGAGTGTCCAAGCATTTCGATACTTCAACCTGGTTGGGCGTCACGGGCGGCCTGGGTCCCTGCCTCACCTTCCAGGCTCGCAAACATTCACGACAACCACCACCTTCACCATCCCGGCGTTTTCGCCCTCGACCGCACACATACCCACGACATACAGACACCGCTTCTGCATCCTTTTGCACTGTTGTGCCAAGTCAAAATGTCGGAAGGGCCGGTGCAAATATCCTCCAAGGAGCAGTTCGATGACATCCGAAAGAGCTCAAAACTCCTAGTAGTCGCCTGTGAGTAATTGGTCCATCCAGGTGCATTGACTAAGCTGTCGCGTCGCCTCGACCCCGCCACCAAACAAGGTTGGTCTTTGCTTGGTGATCGCGACCGATGTCGCCAACACGGACACATATCGCAAGCCCTATTGCTGTCTTGGCTGTTCCCGCTTCCTTTGTCTTGATGCTGACTCTGCTTCTCCCATAGTCTTCGCCGTTGGGTGCGCTCCTTGTCGACGATTTGCTCCGACATACCAGACGCTGGCTCAGACAGCTTCCCGTCCGAGCATCCTTACATTTGCCTCTGTCGATGTCGAAAGAGCCGAGCCCCTTGCCAAGGAATACCTGATCACTGCACTGCCGACTATCCTACTGTTCCAGGAGGACAAGCTTATACAATCGGTCGAGGGTGCTAAGGCCTCTGACATAAAACAAATCATTCTCAACATGTATGCTGAGTACCTGTCTATCCATCGCGGTCGCCCTAGTACTCCCATCAGCGGCAGCGGTTCATGGGTCGGCGCAGAGATCCCCCGTGGATACAGCGATATTTCCGATCAAGTAGAGATAGGCAACTGCGAGCTCTCGAATGCGGACGAGGGTGCCGGGACTGTCAAGGTATTGTTCGACGTCACAAAGCCTAGCGCTTTGAGCGGCGACGACAGCGACGCAGCCAATGACTACGTTCAGAGCGGAGCGGACGACCAGCTACTTCTCTTCATCCCTTTCCAGGGTACAGTCAAACTTCACACATTACAGGTGGGCCGAGACAAAAACCGCAGTCGGCTGCGAGCTAAAACTAATGGGAGCACACAGGTTACGTCTCTTCCGCCCAAGGATCAAGATGACGTCTCGAGACCTGAGGTGATTCAGCTATACATCAACAGGCCTCAGCACATGGACTTTAGTGAAGCCGACGACACGGAGCCGACCCAGGCCATCACGCTTACTCCGGAGGATTGGAACACCCAAGGCACTGCTAGCATCAACCTGCGCTTTGTCAAGTTCCAAAAGACAACCACGCTAATCATATACGTGCAAAGAGGCGAGGAGGGGGCTGACGCCGTGCGACTTGACCGGATCAAACTCATTGGCGAAGCCGGTACCAAGCGCGAAATGGGAAAGCTCCAGAAGGTGGGAGACGATGAATAAAGGGCATATCACAGACGTGCACACACGTGCTTATTGGCAATTGCTGAGACGTCATTGACAAATATGATATGACAATTTAAAGCTTAGCGCGGCCGTCGTGGACAGGCCTGAGGAGCGTCGACACCAGCGGGATTTGCGGTTATCAATAGAAAAGGAAACATACAAAGCCATCAGCACCCTACATCTTGACCCAGATGTAGCTTGTGCGTGGTGTGTGGCATCAATGTAGATGTGTTACGAGGAGTGCATTCTCGAGAATCTTTTTTAACTACCAACCAAACCTCAGTACGAATTCATGTCCAGCCTTCATGTCGCGATCCAAGTGGTAGAAGCACCTGCACCAATAACAAAGCAGCCGGCCTGCAATTATGATTCATCTGTGGCATGATTGACGCTGCGATCTATCCATGGTAAAGGACTCGAGCAACACGGGATAAATTTTCAGATCATGCCAGCCGCACGAGGAAGAAGGAAAAAACCAGGTAAAAGTTGTGGCGCTGCGGCGAAATTTTATGGCCCAGGGCGGCGTCCAAAGTTGCTGAGTCAGCAGTTCCACCCGCCTGTACAGGGTAGCTCACAGATGTGTGACCTGACATTCTCTCTACGTGCGACGCCTCTTTGCCATGTGATAGGGTGGCCAGGGACTTTTGTCTGAACTTGTGCTACAATCTTCAGAATGTACATGCAGTTAATTCCGCAAGAAATGGCGATTTGTAGGGCGGTGCACGACGCAAAACTTGTGCCCGGAGCTCGCGTGTACAATATACATGGGGGAACGGTGCCAAACAACCCAGGTGCCAATGCAAGCGCCAATGCCCTGCAGCTCAGCCCACGGAATGCGCATGAACTGAATCTGGCTTCAAAGATTTCGTAATAGTACCAGTTACTACGACGTACATGTTCCGTACGGAGTACATTCGGAGAACTTTCCGTAGACGCGGCCAACATCCGCCCACTGGGGATACTAGATCCGCTATTGGTCAGAAAAACCCGCAGCCGGCATGGGAGCCGTTCACGTTTCCCGAATACACCTGTGACCAAATGACATGCATCGCTTTTGTCATGTTAGCCGTGATCTCGTTGGCTCACCCCAACCTGGCTATCATGAGTGTGGTCGAGGTCTGCGTATCAAGCGGCGCAGCCCGTTCTATTGCCGGATGGCTTGAGTACGGTGACCGCCCCATGACCCAGATTCTTCCGCACCCGCAGCCGCCATGTCTCAACTGCCCAAGCTGGCCCCGAGGCCGCCGGGAGAAGCACCATTGAAGCCGGGCAAAGAAAACCCCAAGGAGCACACGGAGAGCGAATGGGAAGCCCAGCGGGCGGTCATTGAACAGCTCTACATCAGCCAAAACCGAAGGCTGGTTGACACCATGGCCGTCGTCTTGTCTAGACATGGGTTCGCGGCAACGTAAAGTTTAACAGCTCTTTTCTCTTTGTTTCTCCTTTCCGCTCCTCCTCGGTTGCCATCCATCTCGGCGCTAACATGATGATCAAGGGAGCAAATGTATAAAAAGCGGCTGAAGAGGTGGAACCTGCGAAAGAGAGCGTATCGCGCAACTTCAGAAAGTGCCGCCTTGGCTTCCGCCGCAGCGGCATCAGCGTCGGACCATGCCGCGTCAAGCAAACCAGCTGCCGAGGTGCCACGCCAAACACGAGATCGCATACCGCAGCCGGCTTGCACCACCATCTCACGTACCACCAGGCTGGGCCCTTGTGCAGGTCTCGAGCTGGTCCTGGATAGCGCCCGCTCCTGGATCTCATGTAAACTGGAATCTGGACATGTTGCACTGGATCCCATGGTGCAGTACCTTGCAAATCCGAGCCGGCCGCCTATTCAGGACAGCCGGACCATGTATCGCACGTTTGAGCTGGTGTTTGACCTGTGGCACCACGGAAAGGGCCAGCTCGCCGGCATGGCGGCCAGAAGGGCGTTTTTCATTCTCGAATTCGTCCTCACGGCAGACCACCCGGACCTTGTATGGCATATACTGGACACGGTGTACGACATGGTAGACAGGTGCCACACCCAATTGTTGGGCATGTTTCTCGCGCACGCGGGCGAGCTTTCGAGGAGACGTCTCCCACAGGAGCATCCCCTCGTGAAAATCCTCCAACAGCTCACAAAGTGTGACTATCAGACCCGGTCGGGGAGGGAGCAGGTGTGCCATCTGTTGCGGTCAGCCTGGCTTCGGAATGTCGACATTCTCAGCGACCACATTGGCGCCCTGGCGTCCACACATCTCTGGCTCTACGAGCAACTGATATGGGACGGTAGAACAAGCCTTCGCAAGGACTGCGAACTGGCAAGTAGAAGAGAGCCGATGGTGACGGCATTGGCGCACCTGCACCGGCACGCCGAGAATGATGCCCGCGTGTCCAACTTGGATAGGCTGCGAATCATGGCCCTCACGTTAGAGTACACACAGATGGATCTTGGTGATGGACAAAAAGCAGAAGAACTGGCCACGAATTTGCTGAACCAGACATCTGTCGACATGGAAGCAAGCCGCTCCGACGCCAGGTTCCATGCATATGCCCTCAAAATGCTGGCCAGGCTGCAGGAACATCGGCAAGATTGGGCCGGGGCCGAAGAGAATCTCAGATATGCAGTCGAGAAGAGAGAGGCTGCCCACGGAACGGGTTCCGACTTGCGCGTGATACGAGACATGTGGGTACTTGCTTGGCACTACCAGAGGACAGGAAGAGATGGCGTTGCGAGACAGACTGTGGATGACGCGATATCAAGAGCAGAGCAATACCTGAGTCAAGGGGAAGTTGAGGAAGTTGGAGGAACTTGAGCGTACGTGAGCCGTTGCATTGGACATGTCAACGCCATTGGAGAGGGGGTTTTCTATCTCCCACTAGACTTTTCCCGTCTTGTTTAACAGATTTGCCAGCTTGGACGGCGCTCTGTTGTTCGAAGAGGGGAGGTGACGTATTTCAATTCTAGATGCAACAAATAATACCGGACCCGACCGTGAGACTAAAGTCGTCTTCAACGGCGTCACCTTGGAGCTCAACGGCTGTAGTTGCGATGTGGGGCAGCTTGGCCTAGGTCTAGTGCCCCGGTCTAGGTACTGCTCCGTTCTCCATGCTTGATCAAGTTACATCCAGGACCCGCTTTGATGACGTGGGTGACTTCCAGGCACATGCAGGCGAACGACAATTCAACCGCATCTCTCACGATGCACTTGGTGTCACCCGAAACTTGGTTCATCTACGAGCAGTTCAGTCATTAAACGAACCCATTCAGCATCGTACTATCAAATAACCATGTCTCGAGGACCGCCACCAAATTACTGTTTGTCCGCGCCCAGCAGCTCCATTCACACGCACTCCCGTCTGACAAGCAGCCTGCGGCAGATGCGATTCTAGAAATCCCAGAAAAGGCAACGACACAAGATATACGCAATGCCTACAAGCGGCAAGCTTCCCCAAGTCCCACGCGTCTCAAAGCTTGCACTGAAAGAAAAAAAGTTCAAGAAAAAACATGCCCGAACTGACAATCTCTCCCCAGCGCCGCGTTGAAAACCCACCCGGACCGCGTCCCAATCGACTCCCCAGAGCGCGACACCCGCACCCGCAAGTTCCAGCTCGTCAACGATGCCTACTACACCCTCAGCGACGCCACCCGCCGCAGAGACTACGACGCCCAGCGCAGGCTCTTCACGCCGTCGGCTCCGGACGCGGATCCCTTCCAGGAGGCTGACGAGGGGATTCCGCAGCAGCCGGGAGGAGCCGCCGGCCAGGGCGCATACTCGTGGGCGTGGAACTTCTTCAACAGACACGCCGCCGCCCACGCCGACGACGCCGAGCGGGAGCGCACCGGGGACGCCCAGTTCAGCAACGTGTTTGAGGAGATGATGCGCGAGGAGGGCATGGCCGAAGATGGGTCGAACGCGCCGACGAGCAAGTTCTGGAGTTTGATTGGGGGGCTGAGCGGCGGCGCGTTGGGCTTCATCCTCGCCAACTTTCCGGGCATGGTGGCCGGAGCGGTGGCGGGGAACAGGCTTGGTGCGGTGAGGGACGCCAAGGGGAAGAGTGTGTACGAGGTGTACTCGGTAGGCTTCACCTTGATGGCATCCCGTGCTTTGCTTTTGACGGTGACACTTGTCGTGCTGACAGGTGCTTGTTGGTCTAGGCGCTTCCGCAGGACGACAGGGCGAGGCTGCTTAGCCAGCTCGCTACGAGGGTATTCAGTCATGTCGCTGGCATATAGGTGGCGGCATGTCAGTCGTGTGAGGGCTGTTTGGGTTAGGAAGGGTCTCGGTAGCGATGTGTTTGTTTTTGAAACACCCCCTGTATAGCAGCAATATAATACGAGTATGTATTATCCTGGGTCAGTTGTGTCTCATCATGTCAAACCAAGGAACGTATGTGACAAAAAGTTCTTTGTTCACAGCCTGTTTGGGACAGCGAAACAGTACTTCGGATGTCGCTGGCCACTCATTAATATTGAGCTTGAGGGATGACACGCCCGGGTGCTTGGCAGCCAGTATATCGCATAAACTCGTCTATCGGTCCGGCACGGACACATATCACGTAGTGGTCATTCAAGGCCACTCTTTATTGACTAGGCATTCTTAATTCATGGTGTCAATGGAGACGTCAAGAAACCCAACGATGCCATGAGATGCCACATACATTTTGAATATCGTATGATCTTCAATCCGAGATAACTTCCATACTCCAGCAAAGGCATGATTTCCTCATCTACAGCATAGCCAAGTCTTCGCAAGTGCCGAGAGCGTCGCATTTTATTTTGAAAAGGGTCATAAATTCCCAGACCGTCAAGCGCCAAGAACGTTCTTCTATCTTCGTGGAGGTGGGTTAAATCCAGGAGGGCCACCGCCGGGGGGGTTAAACCCCGGGGGAGGGAATTGCGCATTTCCGGGAAATCCTCCAGGCGGGGGAGGGAAACCTCCCGGGAAGCCGGGGGGAGGACCTTGGGGCCAGTTAGATTACGTTGATATCTTTGATCGGCGTGGTTGAACCTACCACCTCGTCCGGCACCAGGAAAGCCGGGGGCTCCCGGGAAACCGGGAAAGCCTGGGGGCGGAGCGCCACCGCCAACTCCGGCGGCAGGACCCTATAAACAAGAATGATTAGCATATCGGGCGATACAAAGACAGCTGGAGCGGAATCTTACAGCCAAGGATGGAGGAGGGGCACCACGACCAGCGGGTTTGGCGACTCCAGGTCCGGCTGCGAGCGTCGACGGAATGCCGCCCGGAGCACTCTTTCCAAGTCTAGCACTGGGATCGGCTGGGGGAGGAGACTCGACGGAGAGGGAGACAATGTGGGCGCCGCGAACAATGGTCAGACCGAGAGTTCGTTTTTCTTCCGTCTCGACAACCTGGGATGATGAGCCGGGAGCGGACGGCTTGTTAGCCTTTCGCTTCACACGTCTGAATTCTTCGGTATCGGCGAGGACTATATTCATATGCTACCACAATATAAGTATTTTTCCTGTACTGTAAACGTCGACTGAGCTTCGCGGACCTTGTCAAATGCAAGCATCTGGCCGGTCATGGCACGTCCGTCATTCAAAATGACGCGCATTCGCCAATTAATCTAGACGAGGCAAGTCAGCTTTTTATTGGCCATGTGGACGAAATCGCGACATTCGGGGGATCAAGGAATGGACAGGACACATACGTAACCGGCCTATTTCGAAATCCAACAGTTAGTCTCATAACTACACCGACAGGTACTAGCAGAAGGGCCTTGGCATCGGGGTCATACCATCTTTCCTTGTTTGTTAGACATCTTGAAGGTTTATTGAGAGCTTTCCAATACAGCCTCTCGATGTTCTCAAAAACTAGAAGTCGTCCGCGGAGCTCTGACGCGACCGCGATGACTGCAACTCACTGCCTGGCGCGTGCTGGAAGTTGAAAATGGTCCAAATTTTGCGGAGCCTCACCGGAGAAGGCTGAAGGGCAGAAACGAGCTACAAGCCTGATGTACCATTTCGCGCTAAGCCATATTCAGGCAACACGACTCCATTTTCCCCTTCGCCCCGCTTGAGGGCAGCAAAACCCTCGAAATTCCCTCGACTCACAAAAATTGGCGACTGGCCCATCCGTGACTTTGCGACCTTGGACAAAACAACGATACCCGTCTGCAATAACCGCAACAATGTCGTCCGAGAAGCTTAACAACCCCATGCGGGAGCTCAAGATTCAGAAGCTCGTTCTGAACATCTCCGTCGGCGAGTCTGGTGACAGATTGACCCGTGCCGCTAAGGTGCTTGAGCAGCTGTCTGGTCAGACTCCTGTCTACAGTATGTGCACAAAATCAGCCCGCAGCCGACTGTCTTGAGTTGACCTAGGCATCGACTAACAAGTCATCATCACCACAGGCAAGGCTCGTTACACCGTCCGTACTTTCGGCATCCGACGTAACGAAAAGATTGCTGTCCACGTTACCGTCCGTGGCCCAAAGGTAAAATTTTTTTCCCCTGAAGCAAGCACCGAAACGCCAAGTCGCATGGGGAAATTTAACAACAAACGGCAGGCCGAGGAAATTCTCGAGCGTGGTCTCAAGGTCAAGGAGTACGAGCTGCGCAAGCGCAACTTCTCCGAGACTGGCAACTTCGGCTTCGGTATCAGCGAGCACATCGATCTTGGCATCAAGTACGACCCTTCCATTGGTATTTATGGTATGGACTTCTACTGCTGCATGACCCGCCCTGGTGAGCGTGTCACTCGCCGCCGCCGCATGAAGAGCACCATCGGTGCCAGCCACCGCATCAAGCGCGAGGAGACTGTCAAGTGGTTCAAGCAGAGATTCGATGGTATCGTCCGATAAATATAAGACGATGGAGGATGGAGTTATGTGTCTTTATGGGATGTCTCGGCGAAATTCGGGAAACGAAAAGGGACGACGTGGTCAATGTATTCGCTCTTGCCTTTGATGCATCTGCTCGACCAAAAAAGAGTCGAGCCACGGCCTCAGAGACCGACCGGCGCCTATGCCGGCTTCCATACCGACTTGTCTTGTAAAGTGACGTCTCATCTCCAAGAAGAAAGACTACCATGCTGCTTGCGTGTTTCCACATGTACCAGCCCTGCCTGCGCCACCAAAAAACTGCGGCAATGATAGTGATATTTCGTGTTGCTGTGCTTAAAAAACCTGTCTGTCAAGTCACCTGCACGTCGGCTCTAGTGGTGATAATTACGTCCCGACATCTACGAGCTTTTGTCTTCAGGGTGGCCCAAAACGGAAGTCCACAGCGCTGGGTGGAGAAGGGGCTGAGCCAAATTCTTGCATTGGACCAAGCCTTCCATCGCGCCGGTCAATCTGATGGATGGTGAGATTTGATCCTCACCGAAAGGCTTAATGACGTGGACCGTGGACCTGGGATTGGGCATAAATCCTGTGTGTCTCGCCACAAATACTCAGGTAGCTTTCGTCTGACATGTCGATATCAACATCAGACAACACGCGGGCACTTGAGAAGCCTCGCACTCACGAGCAATATTTCCCTGTCAAGTGTCAAGTACAATTCACTGCACGCCCGAGGTCAATATTGCTTGTGGATGAGCATATTGCAATGGGTTCCTCCGAATCCAAACAGATTGAGGCCCGGCTACTTACCTCGTCCTTGGACAAGGCCAAGTTCAACAAGTCCTTCAACCTCTACTACGAGTCTATGCGCTACGGTTTGAAATTTGTCATTGGCCAACACAGGAACGAGCCCTCTAACATTATATCTCTTCCTTTGGGATGGTATGGCGACTTGATATTATACAGCGGCCCGGGCACCGATTCAGACCCGCTGGCTGTGGTGAAGTATGGGAATAGAATGGCCACGTTTGATGAAGTCCGACTGCCGCCCAAAGGACCTGGTCAGGAGCTCATAAAGGAAGAAATCCGATGTCATCTCAACGGCATGAACTTTGCTTACACCTTTGCCGTGGCAGTGGGCGAGAGTGGGCATCCCGAGAGGTTCGAATGGCGAAGCAGCAAGACCGAGGAGGTCAGGGAATTGGGCGAAGTGTCTCGTGGTCGGAAGCTGGTCCGCCTCAACCACGGCGATGAGGTTGTGGCAGTTTGGAGCTGGACGAGGCTCAGATGGACTGTGAACAAGGGAGCAGCCTTTAGCTTTACAAACAGCGGCGCCACGGGCGAGCTGGGAAATGCGTTTGCGATTATGGCGGTGACGTCGTTTGTAAGGCAGTATCAGAAGGATGTCCAGGCGAGTATCCGTGCCTGAGTGACGGCGTCATAAACGAGCTCTTGGGGGGATGACATGATGAATTCTCTCGCTCTTCTTCTTCGTCGAATATATCATGGCACAGACTGGTAGGCGTGTGGCAACTGAATTGCCGGGCGGCTTTCTGATGGCGTAGGCCGCAAATGATTTCACTGGAAAGCTGTTGCCAGTACTCCGCCAGTCGATTGGGACTTTTATTCGGTAATTGACCACGCAATGTCGAAGTCGTAGTTTTATGCACCGGGTACCTGGCCAACTGGCATGGATGTGTGTGCGTTGTGATGACGGCTAGGACCAACTCGGCACAAGTCAGAAGCCAGCCCAGGTACTGCCTCTTCGGCACCAGTGGCTGATTCCTGAGGCGCAAACCGGAAGGGAAAATTGTTAAGGCAACCTCGGAATTTGCAGGCAAAACCGCGCACCAGCCTCTGATAGGGTGCCTGGGCCAGCTGTGCTCCACCCGCTCCCTCACACTCTTCTCCCATCACCGTTCTCCCGAAAATCTCCATTTGCTCTCCTGCAAAAGGCAGCATCGCAACCCAATCTCCCCTCTCCTAATTGCACGTTGCTGCAATTGCTCCTCTTCCATTCAGATCCTCTCACAGCCCACCAACATGTTCCGGAACGCTCTCCGACAGTCCACGCGTGCCGTGGGCGCCGTCTCTGCTGCCGGCAGAGTCGCCGCGGTGAGTCCTTAGACCCGACCCGACCGCCAATGCCATCGAGAACCATCTGCATTCATCGAGAAAACCATACCAGGAGCTCAATTGGGCAGGTGGACAAATATTTCCAAGCCTTTTGGGTTCTCCGACGCGCTGGCGGTGCCGGCCCGATTTGAGCACTTTGCTGGGGCTTCGGCTAACTTGCTCCCGTTTCCGTCCCAGTCTCGAAGTGCCGCAAAACCCGCCGTTGTCGCCGGTCTGCAGGCGGCTCGAACCTACGCCGACAAGGCCTCACCAACTGAGGTCTCCTCGATCCTCGAGCAGCGCATCCGTGGTGTCCAGGAGGAGTCTGGACTCGCTGAGACTGGTCGTGTCCTTTCCGTCGGGTATGTGGAGCTCTACGACACCAAAACGTCCAACTCGGGGACATCGGCTGTATCACGACGGTGTTCGAGATCACAACCCTGGTCATGATGACGAGGGCGTTGACGTTCCAATTATACACGGGGTCGCTGACAGAACCTCTCTAGCGATGGTATCGCTCGTGTCCACGGTCTTGCCAATGTCCAGGCCGAAGAGCTGGTTGAGTACGTCTCCACGCCCCCTCTTGCGTCTCGCACCTGGCATGCGGGCAACAGAAAACAATAAACACCCACCGCTTGCATACGAGGGCAGCGTATCCTGTGTTTTCTATTACCCTGTGCTCTGGGTCTTCAATTCTTTGATCTGGATGGCTTACTAACGCTGCTTACCCCTCCCCAGGTTCGCCTCTGGTGTCAAGGGTATGTGCATGAACCTCGAGGCCGGCCAGGTCGGTGTTGTGCTATTCGGTTCCGATCGCCTTGTCAAGGAAGGCGAGGCTGTCAAGCGTACCGGCGCCATTGTAAGTTTGCGAGCGCCGTGCTAATCTTCGACATCAATATCTACTAACATGCCTTGTTTAGGTCGACGTCCCCGTTGGCCCTGAGCTGCTTGGCCGTGTCATCAACGCTCTCGGCGAGCCGATAGATGGAAAGGGCCCTCTTAACACCAAGGAGCGTCGCCGTGTGCAGCTCAAGGCTCCCGGAATTTTGCCTCGCAAGTCTGTCAACGAGCCCGTCCAGACTGGTTTCAAGTCCATCGATGCCATGGTACCCATTGGTCGTGGCCAGCGTGAGTTGATCATCGGCGATCGTCAGACCGGCAAGACTGCCGTCGGTCTTGACACCATCCTCAACCAGAAGCGATGGAACAACGGCAACGATGAGTCCAAGAAGCTGTACTGTGTCTACGCCGCCGTTGGTCAGAAGCGATCCACTGTTGCCCAGCTCGTCAAGACCCTCGAGGAGAACGATGCAATGAAATATTCCATCGTGGTAGCTGCGACTGCTTCCGAAGCTGCACCTTTGCAGTACATTGCGCCATTTACAAGCGCAGCTTGCGGTGAATGGTTCCGTGACAACGGACGGCATTCCCTGGTGATCTACGACGATCTGTCCAAGCAGGCCGTCGCCTACCGTCAGATGTCCCTGCTTCTCCGTCGTCCTCCTGGTCGCGAGGCTTACCCGGGTGACGTTTTCTACTTGCACTCTCGTCTGCTCGAGCGTGCTGCTAAGCTCAACAATGACCATGGTGGCGGTTCAATGACTGCCTTGCCCATCATTGAGACTCAGGGTGGTGATGTATCTGCCTACATTCCCACCAACGTCATTTCCATTACCGATGGTCAGATCTTCCTGGAGTCCGAATTGTTCTACAAGGGTATCCGTCCCGCTATCAACGTCGGTCTGTCCGTCTCTCGTGTCGGTTCCTCTGCGCAGCTCAAGGCCATGAAGCAGGTCGCTGGTTCCCTCAAGCTTTTCTTGGCCCAGTACCGCGAGGTCGCTGCATTCGCCCAGTTTGGTTCTGATCTGGATGCTTCCACCAAGCAAACCCTGGCCCGTGGTGAGCGTGTAAGTCACGCCTATCGTTTCCTGCATCAGCTTGCCTACAGATGCTAACAGACCCACTACAGTTGACTGAGCTTCTCAAGCAGAAGCAATACTCTCCCATGGCTGTCAATGAGATTGTTCCCCTCATTTTCGCTGGTGTCAACGGGTACCTCGATAACGTCCCTGTGTCCAAGATTCTCCAGTGGGAGTCTGACTACCTTGCTCACCTCAAGGCCAACGAGCCTGAGATCCTCAACACCATCGAGAAGGAGGGTGCCATTAGCAAGGAGCTTGAGGCTAAGCTGAAGGACGTCACCCAGTCTTTCATCAAGAGCTTCCTTGGCTAAGTGTTTGATCAAGAATCTGCTCGAGCGACATAGAAAAAGGACTGTTGGGGATGATGCTGCTGTCTATACCGAATTTTATAGTTGAGATTCTCTCTAGAGTGGGAGGGATAAAGCCGAGGGGTGTATTTGATGGAGCGATGGGTGACGCTGGGAGATTCGCCAATCGTAACCACATGTAAAAATAGAGCTCGTTACTCAATGAACGCCCTCAATTCCTTTTGTCTTCAATCACACACGTTCCTCTTTGAAGAAGGCATTCTGAGGATGCGTACATAGAGGTGGAGAAACTTGGGTCGGAAAATTTGCGGCTTGACAGTGATGCGGGTAGACATGACGTGGACTTGAAGTTATGGGCTAAATGATGCGTTCCTTTCCTCTTACTGCCTGGCTTTTTTCCCATTCCAACCAACACATCATCAGTTTTACGCTACTAATCAGCTCAGCAAATCATAAAGGGTGCTCGATATCAACCTTGAATATCGTGTGGAATTTGGTATCTAACTGACCTCAATATCAAGTGCCATTAATCAATAAAAGGGACTGCCCATATTGTTGGAATTGGAGAACAGACAATCACTTGTGACTGCGTCAGGATGGTAGACCTTTACAAAAGTGCCAGGTTCCAACGCTCTGGACTTTTCCATTTCTTGTCGCCCACGCCTGATACGATACCCACCCACCACGAAGCAGTCGCCCCGCTCTTCTAGTTCTGTCAAGCCAAGCTATCTTCACTTATCATTTGGGCGTTCTTGCCAGGAGGGGAAGGGTGGGGGGAGGTCGTCGTAAAATTTAACAAATGAGAGAACTTGAAGAATACCACCAGTACAAGCTATGGATGGTAGAAAATCAAATCGAAATAATTCCTAGCTTTAGCCTACAGAGTTTGCTACTATTTTTCACGACTCACGACTGCAGTTCTCATAGTCTGAAGTTTTAGTATTTCAATGTGAATGTTGGTTACAAAGTGACTCCCGGTGTTTTCAGATTGTTTCGAGTGGGGAGCGGGTTGCCGAGACAGCGCGCTAGAGCTGGTCCCATGGAGTGATAACGGCTTATCGTGCCTTGTAATTGGCCCCAAGTCTAAAGTGGAGTATCGACACCCTTCCAGGACCCAGAATAAAACGAAGGAAAAGAAAAATTTCCAAAGCGTCGCTCGCCTCGCATGGACTTTTTGGTTTTTCGATTCTCACACCTCGCCAGTGAGTGCCAGAGAAGCATCATTTTTGCAAGTGTCGTCTCTTCTCATCTACCTTCAGAATATATTCGAAGCCATTTGAATTGCGCACTTTTTGTCTTCTGAATTGGAGAAATAGTCTAGCTACGATGTCCGCCGTTCCTGGTCCTGTTTACGGCCTCGAGGTCCCGCCTGGCGAGATCTTGATTCCGGCCTCCATGGAATTCCCTGCTTCTGTGAGTATCATATCTAGCCTTTCTGCAATGCCTCAATATGAAACCGTCGAATTATTCAATTTCAATGGACATTTCTCTGTATTGCGTCTGCCTTAGAACCAACTAATCGACATTCCCAGTTCCGCATTACCATGGCTGCCTTGGACCCTAGCCAGGAGCCTGAGGCTGATGAAGATGGCAATGTGCCTGCTGTTCCTCGTGCAACTTTGCGACTTGTGAAGCGCGCCTTCCCTGGCCTTGACGACGAGGACGAGGACGACGAAATTGATGACGAGTACATGAAGGCTCTACTCGCTGCTTCTGACGACGATGAGGATGAAGACGATGAAGAGGCTAATGGTGGCCCTAGCGATCCCGCCAAGGCCAAGAAGCAGAAACAAGCTGCTGCCATCAAGAAGCTCCTTGAAGCCACCCAGGAGGATGACGATGACGAGGATGACGAAATGAAAGATGCGAAGCCCAACGGTGTGAAGGGGAAAGCCAAGGGAAAAGCCAAGGGCAAGGGCAAGGCCACCAAGGAGAACAGAGAGGCTGAAGAAGATGACGACGAGGACGAAGACGAGGACGAGGACGAGGATGATGACGATGACAGCGATGATGGTGCCGACCTCGAGAACTTTGTAGTTTGCACGCTTGATACTGAGCGGGTAGGTCAATCGCCTTGACCAGGTCAATTAATAGGCGTTGGGCTAACAGCGGCATGCAGAACTACCAGCAGCCCCTTGATATTACTGTCAACCACGGCGAGAAGGTCTTTTTCGTCGTTACTGGTACTCACACTGTGTATCTGACTGGCAACTACATCATGGATGATGACGAGGGCGACTATGACAATGAGGACGATGAGGAGGACTACGACTTCGACCCTGACGAGCTCGATTATGCCAGCGACGACGAGAGCGACGAGCTCGATGATGTCAAGGATCCCCGCGTCACTGAGGTCGATTCTGACGATGAAGAAGCCCCCAAGTTGGTCGAGACCAAGAAGGGCAGGAATAAGCGCGCTGCCGAGGAGGCTGATGGTCTCGATGAGATGATTGCCAAGGCCGCCGACTCCAAAAAGCAACAGAAGAAGCTCAAGAACAACAAGGGGGAGGCTGTAGCTGCCGATGAGAGCAAGAAGGACAAGAAGGTCCAGTTCGCCAAGAACCTTGAACAAGGACCTACTGGCTCTAGCAAGCAGGCTGGCAAGCCCACTACGGGCGTCAAGGTTGTTCAGGGAGTCACCGTCGACGACCGGACCATCGGAAAAGGCCGTACTGTCAAGAGCGGTGATACCGTTGGGGTCCGATATATCGGCAAGCTTGCGAACGGCCAGCAGTTTGACGGTGTGTAAATTCGATGCTGTTACATCTCATCTGTTTTATTCTGCTAACTCGCAAAATTAGCTAATAAGAAGGGTAAGCCCTTTTCCTTCAAGGTTGGCAAGGGTCAGGTTATCAAGGGATGGGATATCGGTATTGTCGGTATGGCCATAGGTGGTGAGCGTCGCTTGACCATCCCGGCGAATCTTGGATATGGCTCTCGTGGCGTGCCCGGCATCCCTGCCAACAGCCAATTGACTTTTGATGTCAAGCTTCTCGAGATCAAATAGGTCCATTGGCCTCTTGATTTGCTGTATGGATTTCCCCTATGTTCTTGATTTGACGTGTAAAAGACTGTCCTGGGCGCGCAACTCCGAGTTGATATTGGCACGAGCTGGTTTGCGGCGTTTGTCCTGTTCCAGGATTGGAATTTCCATCGCAAAATCCACTGCGATGCTGAACAGTCTTGGACCTGCCTCCATTTGCGGACTTGTTTGATGGATGCTGGACGCAATAATGCAGTTGGCTATGGCGGGGAGGGAGGGTGAGGCGATGATCCGCATTTGCATGATTGGCGTATACATTGAATTGAGCAGTGCGCTATTTGTGGCATAGACCGCCGCTGATGGAAGGATTCAGGGCCTTCAAGGATTTTGGTGTATTTATACAATAAAAGCCATGTTTGACAGAGGCTGCGTGACATCGTCGCGACACACGGCGAAGATACTGTTGACCTGTGTACTTAGCTTGACCTAGCCAGATGAGCTTTTGAGGAAGTTGTGTTGTTGGCACATATCCGAAAACATTTGCGGGCAAGAGCCATCCAAGAAAATGGAAAGAAACGGAAGGTCATAATCAGCCACCCACCAATTCACGTGTTGAGCGAGTTCAATCTGAGCATGGGCCTGGGAACCTGGAAGCTGGAACCTTTGCCTCCTCGCCATCCATCCGTGCCGTCGTCCGACTTTGATCAGTGGCATTCATTCCATTTGCCCAACCTGTGGGCTGTGGAAGCCAACTCACCTGTCTACATGTCTATCGACTCATTCAAGAAATAGATATTATTCAGTTGGCTTCGACAAAGACAAATCAGCTGTTGACGCACAAAATCGTATCCAAGTACGAGGCAACATGCTGCCGAAGCTGCTGAACAAACGCAACAGTTGCCCAGCACTGGACCCAGGACGACAGCCCAACGCGGGCAGCAGAAAAGATGAGGAACAAGCAGACTTGACCCTGACAAAGGGTCGACCCGGGAGTATCAAGGTCTTGTCCGAGATACGCAGTGCCATCCGAGCAATCAGACAAACCACGTACAATTGTATGCGCTTGACCCCGTATCTTGGCAAGTCATCGCTGACACCCAATAACTTAGGCTCGGATAATTCCAACATCTTTGAGTGGAACCAAGGGCGATCCTCATCCCCGAAGGCAGACAGAAAATATGTGAGCCATGGCGTGAGTGGGATGGCAACACCTATTCCTTTGCACAAAGGCAGGGGTATATCGCCCAAAGCCCTGGCTAAGCGGCTCAGATTTGACAACTTTGGAGCTTCGCCAAATGCAACAGTTGTTCTTCGAGGTTCTTCTTTGCGACGGCGAACCTCTCTGCAAGCTATGCCAAGCTCTCCCACCATGCCTCTTGGTGATGCTGTCAGCTCTATTTCCTCGCTGGGTACCGACAAGTCGTCCGTCGTTGGAAACAATTCAACTCGCAAAACATCAGTGGATTCTAGAGCTTCTCAATCAACTTCCAACAAAACTAGTCCGAAACGACGTCGGAGCCGTAGGCATCCATGGTCCAGATCGAGCCCAGATGCTGGTGCGTTACAAACCATCGACGAAGGGCTCTATCAGCCACAGCCCACGATCCTCACCGTCGAGAAAGCAGCAGGCGCCAAGGTGTATCTGGAAACTTACTTCAATAATCTTCTGAACAAACCGGACGCTCGGACTACTCGCCAACAATATCTTGAATCTCAACTCTACTACAGTCCGCATTTGGATCTGGCTGAAAAGGAGGTCATCAGGCGATCATTTTATTATCAAGAGACGTGCCACTCCAGAGAGACACGAGTGATGAGAACAAGATCCCTTCTTTCTCTCGATCGTCAAGAATTGTCGTACGCGGAAAATTATGACTGCCTCAAGGTGCTTGGCCGAGGCAGCTTTGGGGTTGTGAAATTAGTACGTGAAAAGGCCAATGAGGCACATGCGTTCCCTCGGCAAGTTTTTGCAATGAAGGTCATACGAAAGTCGGAGATGCTTCGAAGCTGCCAGGAAGGACATTTAAGAGCAGAGAGGGATTTTCTTGTCGCATCAGAAGGTTCCAACTGGTCAGTGTCTTGAATTTCCGCCCACTTCGGAGCCGCTTCCGTGCTGACCGATCATAACATAGGATTGTTCCATTGGTAGCAAGTTTTGACGACCTGACAAGTCTCTATTTGGTGATGGAATACATGCCAGGTGGAGACTTTTTGGGTCTACTGATACGAGAAAACATACTTCCCGAGTCAGTCGCAAGATTCTATATTGCTGAGATGATTCTGGCTGTTGAGGAGGCGCACCGACTCAAGTTCATTCACCGCGACATCAAGCCCGACAATTTTCTAATATCGGCATCTGGGCATTTGAAGATATCGGATTTCGGGCTGGCATTTGACGGTCATTGGTCTCATGACCTTTCGTATTACAACTGTCAGCGGTACTCCTTATTGGGCAGGCTGGGTATCCGTGTGGACGGGGATGCAGAGGATCGAAAGAAATCTGTCAATATCAGCTCGCAAATACCCTGGCTGCAAGCAATGAAGGATATCTTGGACCGCCATGAACGGAAAAGTGTAGGGAATGATGACGATTTGCCTAGCCTTCTGGGCTAGAGAAACAGATGTGGCAACCGTGTTTCAGCAAATTCTGTTGTCGGAACGAGCCAATACATGGCTCCAGAGGTAATCAAGGCTTGCAAGGGCTCTGATTATGATGGAAGATGCGATTAGTAGAGCATTGGCATCATTCTATATGAGTGCCTCTATGGGCATACTCCTTTCTTTGCCGACGATGGTCGAAAACAGACGAAGAGTAACATCCTGGTAGGTTTCGTCTGAGATTCAGAAGGACGAGGGAACGCAATCGCCTGATGATCATGCTTTTAGGACCACAAAAAGATCTTCTCGTTTCCACATCGACCTTTGGTCAGCGATAGATGCAAGGACTTGGTATACCGGCTGATCCAGGATAAAGAGCTCCGGTTATGCTCAAGGCGGTACCAAATGAAAGATCGCTGCCAGGTTGACAATAGGCGATACACAGATGTTTTTGGGAGGCACGTATTCCCAGATGACGCGGAAGATATCAAATCTCACCGCTGGTTCAAGAATTTCCCCTGGGACCGTGTTCATGCCATCAACCCGCCGTTTGTGCCGCACATTACCAGTCTTGATGACACACATTATTTTGACGAGTCAGATCCTTTTACAGAGCCCATGGCTTCATCTGAAAACGAGCCAGCGGAGCCGACACATGACCATATTCGCTGGGTGCTTCGAGAATGCCGACCTGTGGTTCAAAATCTGGCGATCGAACTGATTGCAACTCCATACGATTCGGCAAGACTGCGTAGTGCTGATCGCAGGATTGACAGAGCATTCAATATGTCTCCTGAAGAGCGTAAGACCATCAAAACATTCATCCGCATGTATGGGAGAAAAGAACGAAAGCGACCTAGAGACATATTGTTGCGAGATCAGAACACCAAAACAACGGCCCTGGACGTTAGAAAGAAGACGGCGTTCATAGGGTATGCTTGGCGTCGTATGCGTCCTGGAGGATACATGACGCCAAATCTGGGAAAGTACGAGATGACCGAGCTCTAAACCCTGTGAAGCGTTGACAATTGAGGAGGGAAGGGCGAGAAACTCTTAGACGAGTATAAGATCCGAACATGAAAACTGACAAAATGAATTACCGGTCGCCAGGCCATAATATTATTAGTATTGTAGATCCTTATTCTCTATCTCCCCTTTTTTTGCCCCTGGTATCGTTGTACAATAAACTTGACAAAAGTTGTGACTACACTTTAAGATGACTGCCGTGAAACGGCGGCGGCCCTGGCATTTCGTATCTCCCATTCAAATTCTTTGAGACCACGGATCTCGGCGGAGAAGAATAACAGTGCCAGAAGGCCATCGACAACACCGGCGGTCAGGCTCAAACTGGCCAACAGCATGAGGAGGAAGGAAACGAAGGTGCGCGGACTGAACCACACAGCTATTAGGCATCCAATCCAGATCAGCACAGCTGCGTAAAAGTGAAAGCCACGCCAGTATCGCTGCCTCCTCTCTCGAGAAGTGTACTTTTCCGTCATGGCGAGAATCTCGTCGTAGTCGGAGAGTGTGAGCGTGCAAGTGTGCTCGCCGTCATAGCGAAGCTGTAAGTCGTGCTCGGTGGGCTTCTGAGCCGCACCGTCGGAAAGACTGTAGCGCTGAAGAGTAGCCCGGACGCCAAAATGATCAGATAGGGAGCAGTTCAACTCTGGGTGACGACCAGCGAGTTCTACAGCAGCGGATTTGACTACCCAGCCCGTTCCACCAGAGACATGGCCTGTTGATGCGAAGACGTAGTCTATGCGTTTGCCCTTGGGGTCTTTTGTGTCGGGATCCACGGGGCAGGGGTCGTGTTTGAGCTTCTTTTGCTCTTCTCTGCTCCATCTCCATGTGTTGTAGACTGTATCACTGGCTGCTCCATTGACACGGTGGTTGTACTCGGCTGTCGGGACGGAGAGACGGCGAGCCTTTTCTTCGGCTTGGTCCGATGCCCCGATGGAACTGTCCGGGTGGAGGATGCGCCATGTGTCCCGAATGGGGGCGCCTGATGTAATGATGCGGTAGGCGAGGGAGAGAGGAATCATGTTGAAGTCGCCAAGGGCGACGACCAGGTGCCCACGGTCAGTGGCACCGCGGACGAGTTTTGCAATGTCCCATGCCTGAGCGATCCGGTGACAGAGATACGAATCATCAGGTCCGCTTTCGTAGGGGGCATGAGTCTTGAGTACAATACGTTTAGCTGCGAATAACAAGACAAAACCGGAAGATGGTGACTAAGAGATACTGCAGCCACTTACATGAGTGTTGAAGACTTCAACGACATGCCCTCTCCCTGGTCCATATCTCACCTTGGCCGTTGCAACGCCCTTTCCGACGAACCAGTCACCCCTCCAAAAGGCGGTTGGCCGTCCGTTCAGTCTGTAGGGGAACATGGAACTCTCCTCAATAGGCCAACGACTCAGGATCGCCAAACCACCCCCAAATGCACCACTGTGGTAAAACTTTCCATGGGGGAGGATGGCCTGTGTGGCGTCCCGGATGGCGCGGTAGTCGTCTTGAACCCAGCATTCTTGTAGACACACGATGTGAGGAGTCGGTTCGAGCGTAGCTATTTGTCTGCCTATTTCGGCGAGACGAGGAGTGCGGAGGGCTGATATGTGGAGGAGGCCCCAGCAGTTGAGGGTCAGGAGGGTGATTTCTGATGGGAGGGCCGGTGCCACGCCGGTTTCAGTGCTGTGTTGTGCTTGGACGGCCTCATCATTAGACAGGGACATTGCGAGCCTTTGGGTTTTTTTTTCTGTTACTGCTTCTGATACTGAGCATTGGGCGGTGGCCTAGGTTGGAGATGCTCGACCTTGAGGTTGGTTGGGTGGTGAGGAATGGCTGCCACGTGATGAAGTAAAATGAGCTCCAAAACGGCAGTCACGATGGAGCAATCATCGGCGTTCAACTACAGCGAACCTTGTTCGTCTTTCTTCTTCTTCTTCTTCTTCTTCTTCTTCTGCAAAGGACAAGATGCATGTCCAGGCGCTGCGTTATTTTGCTTCGTTTTCGCGTTGGAATTGGCTTTTAGGTTTCAGTGATGCCAAGGTCATGAAACCCGTCACTCATTCTGGTAGGTCACGCCACACAGATCGATGCAATTGATTGGCAGCGCTGATGCGGAGGATGAGCTCACACGGTCACACCCGTCCACGCATGTGGTTCCAGCGGCATCGGCGAAGATATCGGCACTAGTTCCTGTGACAGAGGCCGTGAGAACCGAGGCTCTAGTGACGGCAGTGTGAGAAGCGGTCCCGTCGCTACTCTGGATGAGGACCTAGATCCGATGCGAGTGACGGGCCACTAGAATACCGCCAAAGCTAGTGAACGTTGTCAATTGAGAGATTGCATACCGAGTTTAGCACGACTGTCCGCAAAAACCGACAGACGGCCATACTTGGCTCCACGGATGAAGGGACGGACGTGTTTGGCTGCAAGGCTGTCCTCCGTTGCCGGACCCCTTCGCCGCACACCGGACTTGGAGGAACTGCGCAAAACCTCGTCTGCCAGGTAGTTGGTTTGGATATCCACTTGGGCAGATCGACAAAGGGCGATACAGATCTCGCTCGGTGCTACTGCTCGTCAGCGGCTGCCTCTCACTACCTGTCCTTTCCTCGGTTCCGCTTCCCCCCCTTCTGCCCTTGCTATCGATCTCCCGCCAGACCTTTGGCGTCCTTTGTCCCACCACCCACCCACCTTTACTGGCCGAGATCCAGGATTCCGGCCTTGCGATGCCACCGGCGGTTCTTTGTTGTGCCGACATGGGATCCACGGTTCATTATCCACGCCTTGGTGATTTTTATCATCACTTTGCGCCGTGGAAATTTTTGCAGAATTTTCGTGGCACACGTTACATCTCGACGGCATGCTACTCCCTACTCCCTACATACAGCCTCGGGGCTTGTGCATTCGGAGAAAGCTGGATCGGACTTGCTTCAGCCTTCGGGAGCCGCTCTTGACTTGGACTTGTCGCCGCCCCAGCAAATAACCAATACGGGTGATCCCTTTGTACTTGCACAAAGGACGCCCCGCCAGAAGCCTCCCTCCTTAGTCCTGAGTCCTGAGTACTGGGCCAGAGCGTCTCCGTATCGCCGGCAGCCGACACCTCCCCCGTTATCGCAGGCTGCAGTTGTGGGCGATGGTAGTTACATGGCTTCTCGCGCCGGCGGCTCCAGCGTAATATCCGGGTCGTGCGTCCACCCTCGTTGCCGCCGCCTAATAATAAATAATAATAATAGAGCTCTCTGCCGCCTGCCGACTCTCCTCCTCACTATCCCTTTTCTTATTTTTTCTTTTTTTACGAAGCCATATCCATTGATTGCTCGTCCCCTTGGTCTCACTTCTCGCGGCATAATTCTCCATCTCGATACTACAGTCTACAGTTGTCACCATAGACGCCTCGAATCGCCTCCTTCCCTTTGCGAACAAACAACCCCCCTGTCGACGACGGGCCTCGCATACGTCCATATCCCCAAGCCGTACTCACTGTGACTCGCCTCTTGTTGAAAATGAATCATATTATAAAACAAAAAACGACCTATTCGGAGCTTGTTCAAATCGCTACTTTAAAATTCAAACCGTCCCTTCAGCAGGGGTCCGAACTGCCTCTATCATTTCGCGACGTCTGCAGACAGCTCCAGGCCGTTCCCGGCGTATCGTCCACGTATTTTGGCCAGCAAATCGAACGTCCTGGAACGTGGACTTGGATCATTCGCTGGGCGTCTCTGGCAGCGCACGACGCATTTCTCGCATCGCCCAGTTTTACAAATTGGATCGCTTCGTTCCGCGCCGTAGTGGAGACGTACATTTTCTGGAAAGCTTTGGTCCGTGGAAGTCTAAGTGCCACATTGAATGCTCCCTGCACAGAGGTCTTCACGGCCTACGGCACGTCCGATTCCTGGCTCGAGATGCGAATGAAACCGTTTGCGGACAATGTCGACGCTGCGAATCTTCCAGGCCACCACGGCTCATTCTACGGTCAGTATGACGTCCTCATGCATGACTCTCCAAACGTCCCCGAGGGGACGACTGTGAGCATGATGCTCGGCTGGGACAGCAAAGAGGCGCATCTAGCCGAGCGTGGCGAGGGCAAAGGTGAGCTGCTGCGCTTCAAACCCCCCTGCCTGACGTGAACAGCGTGAACGGAACGCTTACATAATATCCAGTCATCGACAAAAATATTCACTATACGAGGGAGGAGAGAAGATCAGTCGACATGGTACGTTGCTTCCTCGTATACGGTCACCGTGAAGGCCGAGATGTCGCTTCAACTAACTAGTTCTTCTCGCAGTACCACGTCAAACTAAACCGACTTTGATTCGCGGGTGGCAGCGTCTTGGATATTCTTGTTTTCCATTCTCAATCATCAACCGGCCACGCCCCTTTGTTGGATACCGTCCTGGATAGTAGCGTTGAAATTGAACAATAAATAGGCTAGGGCTGTCTGCCAGCCTAGCCTCATGCCCCCTCCCTCTATGACTGTGCCTTGAAGATACCTGTCTGTTGTCGGCCGCAGCAGTCGCTCATCACACCATCTGCACCACAAATCCTGCGCATCGCCAGAGAGTGCAGCTGTTGGACCCTTTTTGCCGGAAAACTCCCATACGATGATGACGCAATGGAAACCGGAATAGATTTTGCCTGCGCTATTGAAAACAAATACTTCAGTGCAGCCCCATTCACTCACAACCCGTAAACTCCACAAGGGTTTTTTCTTTATTTCTTTTCTTTTCTTTTTTTGGCCACCCGATCAACGTGCTCTCTGACCTCCTACGTCCCTGCCTGTGGAATAAATATGCCCTTGCGAACCACCACTATTCCTGTGATGCCGCCCGTCCGATCGAGTCGCACCCCGAGTCATTTACAAGGCGCACATAGACTAAGCGGGTACATGCTAAACTTGCCATCAATTCGGTAATCATACTCGGTGCTTCTCCGATTCTGGAACCAAAAGTTAGAAATACTGCACCATGAGAGGAAGGAGGTTGGTAGGGATTAAGGTCCATACCGAGTCTTGAGTAGAGCATGTACAAGGCCATACGGTTGCACTCCTCGGTGCCGGTGATGGTGACCAGTCGCTCGTTGCTGTTGTCTTGGGGTTCATTGATCTTGATGACACTACCACTGATCTGTCGAATTTCGTTAATCTTCTGGCCACCCTTGCCAATGATAGCGCCGACCATGTCGTTGGGAATGTAGATTTGCTGCGTGAGAGGGCCGCCAGGCATGCCATGCTGCATGGGCTGTCCCTGAGGGCCGCCGTGAGGCTGGGGACCAACATGAGGAGGCATATGCTGCGGGGCGTGAGGAGCACCCCCGTAGGCGGCTTGTTGACCTCCATACATGGGCATGGCGGGATTGGGAGGGGCAGCATTATGCGGGTAATGCGGAGGGTAAGCGGCCGGAGCCATGTTGTGAGCCCGCCGATCCTGGTGGCGGCCGTAGTTCTCTGGTCGTCCATAATGACCAGAAGCTGGCTGAGGCGAGTAAGGGACGACTTGCATGCCGCCAGGGATGGAACCTGCCGGGGCACCGCTACGAGTGGCATACGCGGAAGCGGCTGGGCCACCGAAGCGTTCGTTGAGCTGCTCCAGAAGCGTGCTTCCAACGTAGTACGTGGCGATGTGGACGGCATCTGCGACGCCCATCACAACCAGGGATCGCTCGCTCGACATGGGGAGGCAGGAGTCAGAGGCATTGAGCCGGGCACCCGAAGCTTCCTGGATCTCACGGATCCTGGCGCCACCCTTACCAATGATGGAGCCAATAAGAATGTGAGGGATCAGAAGACGCAAAGGATACGTCTTGGAAGAAGCGGTGGAAGCCTCACCAAGCGGCTCATTGTTCAGCGTGCGAATAATCAAGCCAAAAGCCTGAGAGGGGGAGGGCATGTCAGCTGGGTGCAATCGAGGCGCGAACAACAGAAGCTTTAGGTTGGCCTTACCTTGGCAACAGCGTCTACTATTCCGCTGACTGTCAGGATCCGCTCAACAGCACCCTTTTGATAATCGCTGACGGTGCATTTCGCATTCGACATTTTCCTAATGTTAGACACGTTCTCGCCGCCTTTACCAATGATTGTGGCAGCTTCCGGACTCGAGATGACGGCTCGAATGTGAATCCAAGATGTCTCGTCGTGGGCAGCTGCAGAATTTGCTGCATTGTCGCTCGATGCCGTGGCATTGGATGTATCAGCGGCCTTTATGTCGCTGCCTCCGTCTGTTACAGGGACATCGGGCTGATCTGACTTGCTGCCATCCTCATCTCCATTCTTGTCGGCGACATCAATGGTGGACTCGCTAGCCTCCGCCTCTTCATCGTTCTTGATGACCTTGTCCAGTGCTGGGCGCTTCGCGTCGGGCTGGTCTGTGGCACGAGACGGTGAGGAAGCCTCCTCTAGAGGACGTTTCGTCGAGGTTGGTTGGGGTGGTGAGGCAGACATTTTCTTCTCCTTTGTTTAAATTGGCTGATGTAAGATATCACAAACACCCGGGAATACTGAGCGGGACTGGGATTTTTTTCCTTCTTCCCTTTTTTTTTTTTGAAAATGGTAAATAATGGGAGACTGTTCAAGATCTCCCTGTTATATTTAACGTCTTTTATCTACACTCAGGGGTTTTCGAAAGGAAAACGTGCTGGTGTAGTGACGAGGATCGCTGGGGTCGGAAAATTTCTGCAATGCTCGTGATGTGACTGGATATTCTGGCTAGTGTCACGAGGGCGAGGGCGAGGGCGTGGACGAGGACGAGGACTGAGGGCGCAGGCCAAAAAGTGAAAAAACGGGTTCAGGATATTGGTAGGCGTGATTTTTTTGGTGGTGGTGTTCCTGCTGGTGATTGATCTGCAAATGTGAAAATGAAGGGTGCCGAAACGCCAGGGCTTTCGTTTGGTGAAATACTCCCAGGTGATGGTGTAGGACAAAGAGTAGGGAGGTGCGATGGTGAAGGTTGCTTTGGCTGGTAGAAGGACGAAGTGAGGAAGTGAAGCGATCGGCTATTGGGACTCAAGACGATTTCGCAAGTAGAACAAGGAAGAGGCAAGCATTAAACTCGGACCAAACCTTTGCTGGCCAGACGTCGAGGTTGATGACCAGACAAATGATATCGCGAGGCGAATGGTGGTGGGTGCGGATGGGCTGAACCGGCGGAGAGGGAAACCGAGAGCGCCAGGGGGACCGAAAACGCGCCAGCCAGTGTGAGCCAGGGGCCCGGATGGAGCAGTGCGGTCGGAGCCGAAAAAGACGGATCTCAAAGACGAAAAGCTCTCTTTGCCGAGTGAGAATGTGATGGTAGCCCGACGTGACTCTGGAGGCGTGTTCGCGAGGAGTTTGGGGGGATGAAGAAAGTCGGCCGGAGTGGAGAAGAAGGGGAGGACGAAAACCACGTGATTGTGGAGGGTGAGTTCAGCTGTGTGACGTGTCACGTGGCAGCCGAGCCGGGTGGGTGGTGTGGTTGCACCGGCGGTAGAGCAGCGGATGAAATGGATTGAAAAGGAAGCCAACGATTTTCGGACCTGATTGACATGGCCTTGAAAGTCGAAATAACTAACGTTACGGGGTCGCCGGCATGAGCCATGAGCTTGGCCACGGCGCCGCTGCACATCGTCCGGGGCCTCGCATGAGCCGAGCCTCCACATTGAACTCTGTGTGATGCATCCTCACCTTGACCTACCGAGTCGAGAGTAAACCTACTCTGCTCTGTCGCGGACACGCATGTCGTCTCGCCTCGTACATGCGCCGCAGTGATTGATGCCCCCGCACGCTTCCCGCTTCCGCTCGCTCGTCAAATTTGCCACCCGCGTCCTGCACACCACTCGACCGACAAACAATGGACGAGAGCTCGCGGGCCACCGAGGCCGACGTCTACGCGGCAAACCTCGACTTCACCGTGCGAGAGCTGCAGCGCAAGGTGCGCGACCACCAAGCCGAGCTCGAAAAGGTGAGTCGGCCCCGGACCGCGTCCATGCCCGCTGTTCTGTTCCCTGACACGGAGAACAGATACGCGCCGCGCAGACAGAAGCCCCCCTCTCAGCAGAGGACCAGGCCGCGGTTATCAAGACGGCCCTGACGACCGTCAACACCGCCTCGGAGCCCTTCCTCCCGTTCGCCGGCTCCGTCCTGCCCGCGCTCCTCGCCCTCCGCCGCGCGCACACCACCATCACCGAATCGAGGGCCTACCTGGAGGCCCGCGCCGCCGAGGCGGACCGTGAACGCAAGCAGCTCGAGTCCGACCGCGCCAACCTCAAGGACCAGCACCTCCTCACGGACGCGCTCACGTCGCGGATCGCAGCCCTGCGGCAGGAACTCGCCGCCAAGACGGAGATGAGGCCCGAGGACAGCGCCCGCGAAAAGATGGACGAGCTGCGCGCCAGGACCAAGACGTACGACCGGGAGCGGAAACAGCTGATGAGGGCGCTGCTGGACTTTATCGACAACCAGCTCGCTCCCATGCTGGCGGCCGAGGAGCTGGGCGGCCCCGTGGTCGGGGACATTACAGAGGTCGACCCGGACGAGTTGGCGGCCGGGTTCAACGCCCAGGGGAAGCCGAAGAGGCCCAAGGCCGGGGAGGGGGACAAGCGACAGAGGAGGATAGACGAGATTTGGGGAGCGGCGGCGGGGAGGACCAGTGGCGGCGGCGGCGGTCGCGGCAGAGTGGACGGGGAGGAGGAGATCCAGGCGGCGGGGAGGGAGATGCGCGAGTTGACCGAGGAGTTGTCCAACAGGTTGGTCCAGGCAAAGGGGGATAATTCCGCCTCGTACGTGGTGCTGGAACGGGAGTCGGCCGCGGCGAGGTTCTTGGTCAGGAGCAAGGTTGCGCAGTTCCATCCCAAGGACGCCAACAGGCTGCGGCTGATTGATTTTGGGAGAGACTTGGAAAACTAAGACGGCCATATCTACTCTACATGTGGTGAATATACAACAGCAAGCAATCAAGCATCAACGCCTTCTGCGGCCAGTACACCCCTGCGTGCGCACAATCACCAGGTAAGACTGTGACTACACAATCGCTCAAGCGCTGTCTCCCCCCCAACCCTCGGAGGCCACGTATCCCAAGACGCAGGCAATACACCAATACACCTCAGCTCTGTAGGTGTTCCTCTTGTCAGATTGGCCCCTCGTTCGCTCCGCCTACGTGTGAAGCCAACGACTTTACCACAGATTGAACTCTGCAGTCTCTGGCACCTTTGCGCCATTAGGTGCGGCCCTCTTCTTCGCCCATTCCTGTGCCCGATTAAGCTCGTCGGGGAAGTCCCTCAGCCGAGAGCAAGCCATGTCGAGCCTTTTCGCGCTGATGGTGAAGTGTTCCGGCACATTACCAAGCCCGCCGAGTTCGTAGTACACGTAACAGCTCTCCCACCAGGCGTCGGCTCGGATGAGATGTCTCATCTGGCACCCGGGGCAGATTTGCATGGCCAGGGCGCCGTTCGTCTCGCCCTTCCTCTTAAACTTGGACGACGGCTTCTCGGGAAGCGGAGCCTCCCTGTCGTTCTTCTTGACCTTGGGCTGCTGCTCTTGTGCGACGGCCGCGTCTTCCGTGGCCTTCTTTGCCTTCTTGGGCGGCTTCGCCGGGTCGACTCCGTTCTGCTGGGCCGAGTGGTTTGGGACGGCAGGGTCGGGCGTCTTGTCCTCGGCGGGTCTGACGCCGACACCAGCAAGTTCCTCGAGGTACGACTTGTCGTCCCGCATGCGCATCTTGTACCTGAATTCCTCGACGAGGTCCAGCACCGTGGCGGAGGCCCGTCCCCCCGACGCCCCGTCGCGGCTGCGAGACCACGCATCGGCAAAGGGCTTGTCGAGCGTCTGCAGGGATCTGATCAGGTCCTTGGCCGCCGTCTCGTCGTCAAACGCAGACGGCTTGAGGCGCTGCAGCTCGACGGCGGCCAGGGCAACGGCGTCGATGAAGGCCCCCTTGTCGTCCGTGGGCTGGGCGTTCAACTTGGCGTCCAGCTGTCGCTGGGCGATGGGCGCTCTTTCTTTGTCCGAACAAGGGCGGATTCTCGACCGCAGACACAGGACCATGTCCCGGGGCGTCTCTGCCCCATCCAGCTGCAGGTAGGCGCGGTATCTCTCGGGGATGCTTCGGTAGATGATCCGGTGCAGCCTTTGCAGGTCATGTTTGGCGGCGGTGTAGCAAGCAAGATTGCTCAGGTATTCGGCGGTGTCCATGCGGTATTGCTCGCACAGGACGTCGTACTCTCTTGCGGCGAGAGACTGGGCATGCCTCTCCTGCTCAACCCGCAGTTCGTACACCTTGTCCGTCTCGTATTGCTCTCTTGCCGGGAACTGCTGCTTGAACTGGGGCCGTGTCGGGACGGCAGGCTTCGCGGGCTCGCTCAGGCTGCAGTCTCCGCCGTCAGGATCGACGTATCTCCAGATGCCCAAGGCTTTTGAGATGGCCGCAACGTCGCTGAACCAGGCTGGCCAGTCCATACGGTCTCCGAGGAAGGGGACCGACTCCAAGGGTTCCTCTGGCGTCGGAATCGTGAGAGCCATGGCCGCAGACGGGTGTGCAAGTCAATTGCAGCTGGGTGACCTCGGGCGAACGTCGATGCAGCTTGACGAGTTGAAGCTGTGAGTCGCCAGGACGGACCAGATCTGCGGATGACTTGGAGAGTTGAGTTTTTTGTTTTTCTTTTCTTTTCTCATATTGACTATTTATTAATTTTTTTTTTCTGCCTTCTATAACTCCGTCTTGACCAGGGGTGTGTCTCAGGACCCAGCGGATTGTGGAGGCCGGACTCGCTCGCGGCTATTTTGCAGGTTCCGACAATGCGGACATGGAAACCCACCACGACCTGATTGGCCAATTCCGTCCTGACATCCCAGCTGCGGCGCGGCACGCGTTTCGCCTGCGCGGAAATCGCGTCTCCATAGAGAATAAAGCTTCAATTGCCCCCCCCCCGTCGCGCGCGGAGGCAAAATCCATCCAACGACCAGCCACTCCTCCCCTTCTCTTCCCTTCTCCTTGGACATCCCACCAGGCACGCACCGCAAACGACCGCAAACGATCCCAACAATGTCCGCCGCCCCCGAAACCCTTGCAGCCTCAACCTCAGCCGCAACCGCAACCGCAACCACGTCACCGCCAGCCAAGCGCGTCAAGACCGACCTCTCCGCCATGGACCGCCCCCCGCCACTGCAAGTCAAGAAGCTCTCCGACAAGGCTCGCCTGCCCACCCGCGGCAGTGCCTTCGCCGCCGGCTACGACATATACGCCGCCAAGGACACCGTCGTCCCTGCGCGCGGCAAGGTCCTCGTCGATACAGACATCAGCATCGCAGTGCCCGCGGGGACTTGTGAGCCCGTCCCCTCCTCCCTCCCTCCCTCCCTCCCTCTCCTCCACGCACCATTCCACACAGGAGGGACTAATCATTGCCGGGGCTCGTCAAAAGACGGCCGCATCGCCCCCCGCTCGGGCCTAGCAGCCAAGCACTTCATCGACACGGGCGCCGGTGTCATCGACGCCGACTACAGGGGCCAGGTCAAGGTGCTGCTGTTCAACCACTCCGACGCCGAATTTGCCGTCCAGGAGGGCGACCGCGTTGCCCAGCTGGTCATTGAGCGCATCTGCACCCCCGAGGTTGTCGAGGTTGAGGAGCTGGAGGAGAGTCTTCGTGGAGCCGGTGGTTTCGGGAGCACCGGTGGGTTTGCCAATGGCGCCGCCGCTTGATCATGCCACTCATTGCAGGGGAGCAATTGATATTGATGCGCAGTCAACGAGCCCCAGGCGAGCGAGGGACTGCCTCCAGTAACAGCTCATCCACCACGATGACACGTCATGACTTTCTTTACGTGGCGGCGTTGAAGCCGAGCTCGTTGAGAGTGCTAGCATCAACAACTTCAACAATAAAAACAACTCACGCCCAATTCCTACCTTCTGACAGACAAGATGAAATCTGCGAATCATGTCATGGCTGGTTACACATTCAAGCCTAGGTCTACTTACTACTGCCCCCTCTGACCATGTTCCAGCTCTAATTTATATTTGCTGCGTCTTGAACTGTACGCGGGGACTCCTCAAACATTCCAAATTCTGCACCAACTGCAACTCGGAGCCTTTGGACTTGATTTGCTGGTCGCCCTTTCCACTGACCCTTTCCTCCTCCATCAGCCGCGCTCTCGTTCTCTCAATGATGCCCGGCATAGCATCTCTCGTCCTGGTCAACACCTCATGCATGCTGGCCAGGACCTTTTCGACGGCTCGCGCCAGCGGCAACTGTGCCGCCGACACAGTGTCGTCGCTCAACCAACCTGCGCGATTGACCAGTCCCGGGACAGATTGAACCGCCTCGCGCATCCGAGCCGTGATGAGAGCGCCAAACATATCGCCCGTGCCGCAAAAGTAGCAGTCAATCGAGGGGAACGTGATTTTGAAGAGACGTGCTCTGCCGGTTGATGTCATGCTTGAGCCGATGACAGACAAGTGCGAGGGTGGTTGTCCTGGTGACGAAAAATTGACCGACGTGATGACGACGTGAGAAATGTGGTACTTGTCGTGGAGAGCTTGGATGGCGGTCTTGAGAGATTCCACATCAGCAATCCGGACCTCCGACAAAAGCCTACCAACAACATTGTGTCAGCACAGACTGGGTAATAATCGTCGACAAAGACTGAAGCCAAAAGCATACTCAGCCTCAAACTGATTCGGCAGAATCAAGTCGGCATGCTCGATGAGGCCCTTGTAAGCGGGAACAACATCCTCGGAGACGTAGATTTTACCATTGTCCCCCATGACCGGGTCAAGAACCCAGAAGAAGTTCCCGGGCTGCGCCTTGTTCTTCTCCCTGAGCTCCTTGGCGATGCTGCCCACCGCGACCACGGCCTCGGCGCCGGGTATGTACCCCGACAACATCATGTCAAAGTCGTCGAGATACGACTGGCGCAAACCACGGTACAAGTCTGTGATTTCTTGCGCCGACACCTTTGTGCCCGTCCAGCGCGCGTAGCCGGTGTGGTTGCCTACATGGCATTAGCCAGCCGACCACGTCAAGACGGGACGGGGTGCGATGGTGGATGATCCGTACTGAACTGGACGGTGTTTAGGGCAGCAACGTCGTAGCCGAGTGACTGAAGGGTGAAGACGGCGATTTTATTCCCCACATATCTAAACGACAATGTCAGAAGGCTCGTCCCTCGCAGTGTGGCAGTTGGCGATTTATGCGACAGCAAGTAGCTCAGCAAGCGGTGCCATGCCATACCCGGATACTACCTAGCGACTCGTGAGCAAGCCGTGTCCATGCCCAGGTAGCACTCGGTCATGGAATACATACATGGCTCGCCACAGCGAGAACCCTCGGGGTCGGCGCAGGCGCAGAGGCCGTCATGCTTCCAGACCAAAGCGTGAATGTGCGTGCAGCTGTGCGCCAAGTTCCAACGAGCAGGCCGGAAGCGTCTGGCGTTCCGTTTTGACGGTATAAATACAAGAAAGAGCAGCAGAGACGGTGCACCCGGGCAGAAGTGCAATTTAGGGGCCCAAGAAAGATGAGGATTGTCGAAAAGACCAAAGTGCTGTTGCTGTGTCTTGGTTTCCTTGCTGATGAGTCTTGCGGCTTGCCCAAGTAAAGACGGCTTTGCGCCCAGAGGCATTTGTCATGTGCATGTGCGGTAAAGTGGGCTACTCCTTCCTGTCCTGAGACGCGACTTTGAATCTTACAGCAGCAGCGGCCGACAGTTTGCGCCTGAATCACGCCACGTGATGCCTCTCGACGCGCGCAACGGGCATCTACTGCGCACTGTGCCGCCCTCAGTTCTTGATGCCGTGATGTGGTGCCGATACGGCGAGTGCATACTCCGTCCCTCCGGACAACCTTCGCCCGCCGTGTCGACTTGCTCATTCTAGGCGCGCCGCCAGACCTCCTCATTCATGCCCGGCCAAATGACTAAACGTGCCTCCTCGGCCACGAACCCTCGGCGTCTCCGCCTTGCTCGTCACGGCCTCAGCCTCGGTTTGACGACATTGTAACATCACCCTCTCGAACGCTAGATCAATCTCCGCGCCAAATGCTTGGCATTCGGTGCACGGCACCACAGGAATGGGAGCTGGTCCGCGGCACGGTGGCCAAGGTTCGTCGTCCGCATCTGTTTGACGGAGGAGAGGTGACGACGAACCATCCATTGCCTGGCCTCAACGACGCCGCAGCTTCAATTCATGTGACGTGCTCAGACGCTACCATGTGCCCGTCCGCGCATCAAATAATCATGCCATACGCCTATTGGCAGTTCCTCACGCGTCAACATGCTTCGTTATCAATCTCGTCATAATCACCATCGCAGGCCATCCATCATAAAGCTCGTACATACATATATACACATACACATACCCAGTGCTCAAATCCAAAATCCCAGCCAAGCGGCCGCTCCCTGAAGTTGCTGCAAACGCCGTGCATGCCATGAAATAAACCAAACACGAACCAAATCTCCCTAAATCTGCTCCAAATCCTCTTCTGGAATGGCAGAAACAAATGCAAAGTTGAGCCAACGAAGCCAGGTTTTGTTCGTCTCCTTGTTCTTGTGCTTCTTCTTTCTCTTCTTCTTGTTCTTCTTCTTATCCACGCCTATGTCCCCAACGCCGTCCTCCTCTTCTGTAATGCCATTGTTTTTTTTGCTGCGCTGGCTCATGCGGTATGCCAGGTGCAGATAACTTCGGACGGTCAAGTCTTTGAGTCTGAACCGTTTTTCATCAAATGTGCTATATTCGACCTCGAATTGGAATTTGCGTGGTTGGGCTGGCTTGCGTGTCGGTTTCTTGTCACCGTGGTTGCCATCACGCCATTTTGATCCTTCAACCTCGTCCAGACCAGTCTCATCGTTGTTGATGTGAGTGAGGTTGGCATAATATTGAGTGTACCCTGTCAAGGTAAACTGTTGTGGGTAGTAGGCTGGCCCAGGTAGCGCTGCTTTGGGAGGGTCGTCTGGGATGATCAAGTTCGGATCCTTGGGCTTTTGCTTCCCCTTCCCTCTCTTTCCAATGCCAACAGATCGCAGCTCCAAATTTTCAGTCGACTGTGCGTTCTCAATTGCACGCTTGTCCTCCCAAACAGCTACATTTTCCAGCCCAGTCACATTGTATTCGAATACTCGTATGGTTGGAAAGTAGTTGGGTACCACACTGGGACTGATGAAAGAAAGTTGATATCGTTCGGCATACTTTCCTCCAATCTTCTTGAAACCCTCCTTTTTCTTCCTGTGCTTTTTCTTCTTTCTCTTTTCGGTGTCAACCTCGGAAAGGCTCTCTTCCTCATCAAATACCTTAGTAGCCGAACCAGGAATATCTCCCCAAATGTCCCGTAGCTCTTGGAGATAGCCGTCTTTCCCTAGGACTGAAAAATCAGACTCGTCGATTGAATCTCGCTTGACACTGCGTGCCGTCGAAGCCGTGTCCGTTGCCACATTCAAGTCGATATTCTTTGTGTCGCTTAGAAGGAAATGATCAATATTCATATGGCCAAATAGCGAGGCGACCACCACGTCGCGGTACTTTTGAAGCCATAGGGTATATCGCTGCCAGCAACTTTCGTCCCAATTCTGCTTGCTGTTGGTTCTCGCGGGTGGAACGTGGCCCATGAGTATGGCCTTGGCGCCAGTCCGTCGCACAAGATCCAATTGCACGCGCAGCCATTCCATGTGCTTGTACCCGGGCTCGGACGGTAGTGCGCAACCATCCACAGCAGCATTACGGTCAAAAAAGTACATTGTGTTGAGACTGAAGACGGTAAGCTTCCCGGGGATGACGTCAACATGAAACCAGCCGCCGAATTGGAATGAATGACGCTGCTCCTCCGGGATGAATCGATTCCAAATCTCCCCGTAGGCTGCGAACCATTGATTGGGGCCGGGATACATGATGTTGTGGGGGAGGAAGTCATTATTTCCAAACGTTGGTATTATGGGAACGTCGAGTTTCCCCTTGGACGAGCTGAAAGTCTTTATGATTTTATCAGTAACGAGCTTGTTGCTATCGAGAACAGCCTTGTTTGTCCGAGGATGCGCCTCATCGCTGTCGTGTCGCGCCGAGTCGCCCGTCCATATTACAAAGTCAATGTCGTTCTTGATATTCTCCTGTATCCATTGTAAGGTAGCGTCTACAAGGGAGAATGGCGAGTCGCAATCTGTCTTTTCTGCTCCATAGGTTCCTGCCATGCCACGGCCCCGATGGCACGCGATACCATCTTCGGTAGATGTGTGAGGCTTGTAGAACTCATCAGGGTGCAAATCTGAATGTCTTGTGAGTAAATGCTGGTGGCCAAGAAAGGCAATATTGGCCCTCAGGGGGTGGAGCGGGAACAAACCTGTTATATGCAGGAACCGACCGTGCAGCTTGCGCGATTGCAACTTTTCATGCGGAAACACCTTTTGGGACGAGTCGTCCAAAATCGGCGACGAAATGACGCCATAGCCCAGTGCCAGAAATGTCTGAACCTGCAGCCAAAAGGCTGGACGAGGCATTCTAGGCGCCGAGACACGGCTGTGCTTTCAGAATTTGACAAGAAAAAAAAGAAGAGGAAAACTCTGCCCACCACCACGGGCGTTCGCAGATCTAAGGGTCTGGCACGACGCACAAGCACGTATGGAAGCTGGTGAAGAAGAATGCCAGCGACCAGCTTTATAACATTCATTGACTGTCGCGCAAAGGTGCGAAACAGGTAGGAATACTCCGTGGGTGCGAGCTAGCGTGTCAAGATTGTGCGGTGAGGTCATGCATGCGTATGACCTGGGAATCCATGAGTCGCGGCGAACCCTCCAAAGCGAGCGCCTGATCTTCTGGTTCGGCTAAGGCCCAAGAGATGGGTTGTTGCGTCGGTGATGGGCAAGGATATTCACCTACTCGGGCGAATTGGCCTTATGACTTGCACGGGTCTTTTCAGGGCGACGTAACAAGGTCGGTATGCGCGGCCCAGCTGTGTGTGGTTGCACGAAGAAAGAAATGAAGCCGAGGGGCACGATGGAGTGACGATGTTCAAGACAGGATACGGAGAGGAGACGTCAACGTTTATTCACGCAGAGGATCTGAGGCAAGTGCAGCCGGATGCCACTTGCCTCCCATGCCCCAGACAGAGAGAGACAGAGAGAGACGACTGACTTGTTCCTTATTACAGAGTACACAGAGCATAGCACACACTTACGTACCTACTCAAGTACCTAGGTTCTAAGGTCAGTACTAAGTAAGTACCTAGGTACTTGAGAAGTAGTTTAGTAGTTCCCGCTCAAGCCCATCTTCCTCTGCAAGACCGATTGGCATCCCGTCAAAGACTCCGTCAAAATTCTCCAAAAATCATGGCAGTGTCCCTTTTCCATCCTTCATCACCGGCCACGTGCCGATCGCAGATGAACCAATCTTCAGGCATCACCGCCAGCACGTGCTGTCATGGCACGGCCTCGAGTCGTGCGAACCTGCGCACTCCGACGCCACTGCGCCAGGGCGAATAGGGACGCATGGCCGGGCACACCTCGACTGTGGCTCTCTCACTCTCCCGTCGACATTTCCACTTCCTCACCAGACACATGGCACGAGCCCCGGATTACAAGGCATTTCAACACCTTGATGGGTCGACGCCGGAATGGCGCGGTCAATCAACGACTGCGTGGTGGTGTGTTGCTGCTCGTCTGACCACGCACCTTGAGTCAAGTGGCGGCAGATGACAACGCCATCATTCGACGTCGCCCAGCTTCTACCAGGTGTCGCGGCGTCTACTTTGCGCTATCGGCGAGGGTCCTAGTAAGACAACCGAAGCCCGGATGAATACTTTCGTCTCCCTCGCTGACAACGCTTACTTCCGTTGCGAGACGTGAACCGGCATTCCGGCCATCCTGTTTCACAGCCCGAAGTCCCGTGGGTGGCCATCTGCTCCCTACCAATACTCACGTGGGTGTTTCAAAGAATATGCGTAGGTTTCTTGCATCATTCTTCCAAACCCGAACTTGTTTGATAAGAGTGTCAAGTCCGCAGATCCCAGTGTGAAATGTACTCATTGCAACTTTAAGCCTAAGAATTAATGCATGCTCAACCGGCAAGGAAATCTTTGTAACTACCTGATTCGCCCATATGTTGTGTCCATTGCTAGAGCCAACAAGCCAAGAGGACACGATTATAACTTGGATATCAGGAATGTCAGGCCAAGAACCTCTATTGCTGCATCTTTTTTAAACCTGATAGCCACTCTGACAGCCATAGATTGATCCACGTCGAGCGGTGGCGGCTCTCCTTTTGTCTTCTCTGCTGGACCGGGATATCTTCACTCCAGCAGGGTTGCTGTCCGATCCGCCTCATCAAGTAACCATCAGCAAGTTGCGGATGCCTGGCACACGAGCTTACGAGCAACCACTTCTTTGGCCTGGGTCAGACTTTTGACATCTCTCATGGAGTCGCCATCGTCAGGCCGCTCCAGCAATGACGGAATGACTCTCTTGAGCCCCTATTTGCTTAATGCATTTTGAGTTTAGGTTTTCAGAGGAAGAAAATAAGACTGGAATCGAATCCGTCCGTCCTGAGAGAACGAGCTACGAAACTGGAATGCTAGGCTCGATAAGTCACAGGTCTGGGGCGAAAAGCGTACGCCACAAGTGTCAGAAGACGCGTGGCGACTATATCTCCTCAGACGATAAGTGGTGATCGGAGATTCTAGGTGTTCTGTTGAACTACCGTCAGGACAAGGAGGCCATGGACTAGCGCGAGATTTGCCCCATGTTTCCTCTGTGCAAGGCACGCTCCTCTCAGTATGGTTAGCAGTTGGGGGTGAAACGTACTGCCTCATCTTCCGGACAACCGATGGGTGCGTACAGTCTCGACCGATGTCCGACGACATGTTAGAAGTCAGGCAAGCATTCCAGGACGGCGGAATCTTACCTAAGGTTGGGGGCTGTAAAAACATGATATTACCCCGAAAGCAGGTCCTGCCAAGTGTTGTATGATCAGTTCCTGCGTACATCATCTGATATTCGTCGTCATCATGAAAGCCCTTGCCATTGTCATATCTATTCTCGCGGGAGTCGGATTGGCAGGCCGATTTCCAGCTTGTAGACGGGTGAGCTTCCAATACTCATTGAGCAACAATACTGTCTGACAACTCAACTAGCCATCCAGCGAGTGTGTCATTGCGTGCCCGCAGAACCGGTGTCCCGCCGGTTCTGCTTGCTGTGAAACAACCTGTGGAGGTCGCATCTGTGTAAGTCCACACAGATGATAAATGAACAGTATACTGATATTAGTTGATTTGCAGGAGCCCGTAGGTACTTAGTAAAAGGCGTGGTCTGAAATGGCAGACTGATTGTGGGCGGTCCCTCTAGGAACTTCCTGACTGAAACTTGCCTCCGAGACTGGTAATGGCAGAAATCTGTTAAGGAAAAGCCGGGGCTGCACAAGAAAGCTTTGGTTGTTGTATGAAGTTCTCTATATACAGAGTTTAAGCTCGGCCAGCCAAAAGCGGGCAAGTTCTGAATATAAACACCAGACCATGTCGAAGTAATTCAAGAGCATATATGACGTCTGTGTCCCTTATACGCTGATTTTCGAAAATCTGTAAGACGACGATGCATCGAGCCGGGCCATTGTTTGTACGAACTGCCGTGGATATTGAAGGAAGTGGCAGACGGGAAGCCCTGCGAGGCTTCTCGAGGCCAAGCTCACCAGAGGACTGCCCTTCCAGATACTGCAGACATGGTCAATGACTAGGGGGTTCCGCTGCTGAAGATTGAAGAAGCCGGTCAACCGACGCCGACATGACGCTCGTACGAACGTGCGACGAATGGAACACAGAAGAACGAGACCAATTGCATGATGGCGATGAAAGATGACTCAGTAAGAGCCGAGTCTTATTGGAAAAGAAAACCTCTTAGCGAGGCAGGTTGCTAATGGTCGACGTCGAAGCTGCTGCAATGTCGCCACGATTACCATGGGAAGCCGTCACGGTATTTGCGTACGGCGACCCTCAAACGAGCGGCTGTATTGGTCTAGCAACGATTGATTCCTCGATCTGTGGCGATTCTACTCAGGAAGAAGGCCTGGCGCCGTTGGAAATTGACGCCGTGAGGATTCTGTTGCGATGGAGGAAGGAGTAGAAAAATTGGACGCGGTTTTCAAACATTGCCGCTGGAAGAGGCTGGGGCCCAACTCCACTTTTGTTATGGGCCAAAACTGAGTGTTAGGGTTAGGGTCTAACGACATTCCAACATTCTCCTCGGCCACCTCGATCGAGACGAATCCGCACAGTAGCCTTCCTCTTCGATGAAGACAAAGCCACCCCCCACCGCCTCATCACTCTGAAGACATACGGATGGCTGCTGCGGACGGGCGGGAACGTCTCAAGCAAAGAGGACACGGTCGCCATCATACGACTGCATCGCTTGCTGCTTCAGTCTGCTTCTGTCTGCTTTCGGCACTCGGCAGCTCACCACCACCACCCTGACAATGGGGCTGTAGCCCACCTTCAACGACGTTCAATGGCCGCTTCATCATATACAGCGTGGAATCGTGGCACCAGGGGTCTTTGACTTTGGGGGCAGTGCCACAAGACGTCAAAGCCGCAACGGGCCACGCCACTGGCCTCCATCGTATGACACTGACGCCATTCCTACAATATCAGCAGCATACCTTGGGAACCGCAGACGATGAGGAGGATGCTTCGATTTTCTGTCACGACTGGGGCCGTTTCCTTGCAAGGGTCCTTCATAAGTTGCACAGGCTGTTCCAAGTGACCGTCACGACAACAAGAACGACCCACGAAGAGACTCCCCCAGACGACCATCCGTGGTGCGGATCAACACATGCTAAGAGGCGACGTTGCAACCTGCCAACCTGGACGAATCCTTGGCCATGAGGGCATTGTGGTAGTGTCCTCGACAGGGTCTTCCGTTTCTCGCTCCACGCCAGGAGACCGTGTGCTCATCTCATGCATCTCAAGCTGTGAATACTGCCGCAGGGGTATGCATAGCCCATTGCACGTCGGGCGGCTGGATCCTGGGCAACTCTATCGCAGTATGCCCGGATTTCGCACGCGGACGCTAGTCTTGGCAAGATTGCCCAAGGAGCGGACGATGCAGCCGGGGTGATGCTCAGTGACGTCTTCCCCACGGGCCTTGAATGTGGTGTGCAGAACGGCAGAGTCCAGCCCGGTTCGACCGTTCTTGGCGGCGTGATGACGGCACAGAATCCAGATGTACTCGCCAGCCAAGATCATTGTCCTGATGTAGATGCCAGGAGACTGGAGACGGCAAAAGAACTCGGTCGACCGGCGTCGCGAACAACAAGGCTGGTCGAAACACGGTATCAACGCCTGTGCTACTGAACACGGTAGGGTCGGGCAAGCTAAGAGCTGCGCGGCTAGTTACACATCGTGGGTTTCTCCTCCAGTCTGTGTCGGAACCAGCGCAATCGTGCGCCGGGCTAACTCTTACATAGGGTTCAAGTTTGATCAGATAGACGAGGCATACAAGAAACTCAGCCAGGCAGGCCAGACTGGGGATCTGAGAGTATTAATCGATATGGAGTGACTTCCAATGGGCGACATCTTCTCCCATATGCGGACAGGAATGGCCTCGGCGAAATTTGCTAAGCTGGATTAAGGAAACATTCAGACTACAACACTACCTGAATACATTTTCATTCGCGTACTCCGTACAGCAGATTGAAACTTGATCCGAAACCAGCCACGTGCATGTCTCAAGCACATCGTCTTTCACCCCCCTCAGCGACGGATTCAGCCCGAGGACGATGCTCATGTCGGACGCGAGTCAGCATAGTATAGTCAATAATTGGTCTCTGAGCAGTCTTCCACCACGCCAACCACCTCACCCTCTTGAAGAAATCATGTTATGCCGATGCAGACTTCTTCCGACCGTGCCTCTTAATGTCGTGCCTATGCTGAGGCGGCGTGTTCACCGCGATGAGGTAGTTCTGCCCCGTCTCCGAGACGGCATGAACGGCGACGTTGTCGCCAAACGGCCACGCTTCGACAAACTCGGTGTCTCCACGACAGTCGTACTCAGCAAACTCGTCCGGGGCGAGACACTTGTGTGCGGCTGTCCAGGCATCCGCACGATGAACATAGACGCCTTGAATCTCTGTCGTCTGCAGGCTACCGCTACGGTCGACATTGTAGTCAATAATGGTCTGGACGACGTAGTGCAAAAATTTTGCACCCTCGGGAAGGCGCATCTCCCCGTCTTGGGTGTTTGCGTGGAGAGACTCGTTGTTGGGCGTGGTGTCGATGCTCACGCGAAACTCTTGGCCGTCAAAGGAGCGGGCAAAGACGAGAACGCCGTCACCGTGGATCCACGTCTTGCCGGGCGTCTCTTGTTCCAGGTGCTTCACATGGTACTTTTGGAAGTCGTCGGGCTTGAAGTTGACCGACTCCAGAGACTGGACGGCAAAGGCCTTTGCCGCCTCCAAGGTGCCGTGCGTTCCAAGCACAAATGTGGTACGGCTGGCTCCGGATGCGTCGTGACTATAGTCAATGACCGTGAGGATTGTGTGAAATAGAAGTTCCGGGACTTGATAAGATGCCGACTTGGTGGTGGGATCCATTGTCAAAGTCTGTGAACAAGCTGTGAAACTGTTGGCGGCAGGCTTGCCTCGCCTTCCCGTGTGGAAGCCCTGTCCTTTTAAATATTGAAGGGGTGCACAACTACCGTACGACAGTGGCGCAATGCATCATGTCACCTCCGAGTCGATGGCATGGTCTCGACGCGGCTGGCAGCATGATATCACGGTGGCGGTGGCCACGCCACATCACTCCTCCGCACCCAGAGCTTGATGCTGCAGCTCAAAAGTCAAAAGGATGACTGTGGTGTAGTTCAAATCCATGTGGGAGAAGTCGGAGGCTGTCTCGGAGAATCGGGTAGTGGTTGGTGTTGGTTTGTCGACTCTTGGGCCGTATTGCCGGCAAGGTGAGGTGACGTAAAAGTTTGGGGCCTGGTGGCCGTCACCACGGGTACATTTTCCATCTTGCGTCGAATAATTAATCACCTGAGACTAGGCCACCGGTTTCATAGCGATGTTGATGATTGTAGCCCAAACATTTCATGGCCGTGGACGGCTTCAAGCTCTCGAGTCTCGATCATCCGTGACAATCGACAACGCCGCCTCGTGTACCAGAGCCACGTTTGCCCTCATTATTTCCAGGAGGCGTTCGATCCCTCCCGTGTCTATTCTGTCGTACCGACGTGATGGAAACGAGCCAGCGAGTCCACCCTCCAAGACCAATCGCCGTCAACGAAAGCTGCCTGGCAAACAAGCAGGCGCCCAGGATTCGTCGACCTTGACGGGTCTGTGTCGCACGCAACAGCCAAGGCATGGGTTCAAAGAAGCGTCCAGCTCCAACTCTGTCGAAACGATGGCCGCATCCGCAACCTCGCACAGCCCGCGAGGCCGTCGCCGTCTCCGTCTCCGACGCACCCGCACACTCGAGGCCTCGACATTCCCTTCCGAGACGCGACAATGGCCCAAACACCAGACGCAGCCGCGGTCCATCCTGCGATCGCGAGAGACGACCACCACAGTCTCATGGAGTACGCCGTGAAGCAGGCCCTGCTCTGCCCGCCGGCCCGGACCAAGTTCCGCGTCGGTGCCGTCCTCGTTGACGCCCACACGAGCCGAATCATCTCGACAGGCTACTCCACGGAGCTTCCTGGCCCGATCGGCGACGGGGGCAGTACGCACGCCGAACAGTGCTGCTTCATCAAGGTCGCCCTGGCACACGAGCTGCCGGCCGCCCATGCCGAGCGTCACATCCGCCACGTCCTGCCCGCAAGAACGGTGCTCTACACGACCATGGAGCCCTGCAGCAGCAGACGCGGCGGAAGCACCGCGTGCGTCGAGCGAATCCTGAACCTCAGGGACGTCATACGTGCCGTGTATGTGGGCATTCGCCAGCCGGGGCCGTCTTGTCACTGCGACGACGGGATGAGGCGCTTGCAAGAGGCCGGCATCGAGGTCCGCATAACAGAGGACATGAAGGAGTATATTTTGAATGCTTCCCTGGCCGGACGTTGAGCAGACAAGGGGTTTCTCGTTTCTCGTTTCTGGATTCTCACGGTGCCGTGCCCCCCCGACCAAACCACGTCTCGAGGGCTTCCGAGGACTACGCTTCGTTGGCGTGGCTCTTGTGCGCGGAACCCCGGATGCCTCTGGGCTCCGGCGCTCTCGGCCGCCTCCACGACCGGCGTCCTTGCGCTCCATCCGAAGCTGCGGAAGAGCGAGCGCCCGAATGGGCACAGGGAACTCGTGTCATGGCCGTGGTGTCGTGGTTGAAACGAGATGCGCTCTCCTTTCCCCCTTGCAACGCTGGACTTGGTGCGGGCATGATGAGCCCGTCTGTGGAAATGCAAGAGAAGACGAGGGGCCTCCGCGAGGGCAGAGAGCACAGGACGACAGGGAAGACCGCAACATGGGAAGATGGGAGGAGAAGCACGCGAAAGATGCCACTTGCGCGACTCACCACCGAAGTCGGCCCTCGGCCACACACACCTCGGCTTCTACGCATGTAGCAGACCGTTTTCATTGCCTTTACCGCACCGACAACGTCTTTGGTACAATACAATCAGGGAGCTCCTCGAAGGTCCCTCGAGCAGGGACATGCGTACAATGTCGCACTGCAACGCGTCGGAATTGGCGCCGTGACAGTTGGACGCGCCAGAGTCCCAAGCGCCAACACACTCGGGACGCGAGACCGCATGGCAATAATACACAAACCCCATCGCTGTGATCCATCGGAGCCAAGTGCTTGGGAAGATCAACTCCATTCCAAAAGTATCGCTCGGCCATGCACGCTTCATTGTCAGCCACGTACACCTCGCGTCACCACCACAGGTGCTCATCAACCGGTCCGCTGACGGGGCCAAACGCCGAGCCTGCTGCTCCAACCTCTTCCCACCTTCCGTGAACAGATGACACGATGGGCTAGCGGTAAAAGTGACGGGGAAAAGATTCGGCTTCGGAACCATGATTCACAGGGCACAGAGGGCCATTCATCCCATTACACCGGACACGGCCCTTCCGGGGTTGCAATTTTTGCAGGAGGGCGTGGCAGCCAAGGCGATGGAGGATGCTGGGTTCGAAAGAGCCAAGATGACCATGTTGGAGAGGGAGTTGGCGGCGGAGGGAGGCGCCTTGGCCGGATTTTGGACGGATGGCAACGTAGGGGCTGGAGCGACGAGGATCGCGAGAAGTGGGAGGGGCCAGTGAATGAAGCGTCGAGGGAGGAGATTGATGCTTTTGGCGACATGAGGTTTGAGGCGTGGGTAACGTTGGCGAGGAAAGTAGTCAGTCGATGGATAGCAGCAGCCAGAGGTGGACGGCATATCTAGGTGGTGTAGCAAGGTATGGATACCATTGTCGATCCGACTTCTTGAGATCAACACATATGTCAAGATTGGGACCAGATAATACTCCCTTCCTTGACTGCATTACGCCCGCGACGCTGCAAGACACTTCTTCTGTATTCAAAGAAACACGTCTCGTTCTACTCGGCCTTGTGGTAGCGTGTGGGCACAAAGGGCATCTTGGTGACGATGCCCTTTCGCTTGCGTCCACGGACCACAACGTCCAGCTCAGTGCCTGCCTTGTGCAGACCATCCTTGACGTAGCCCATGGCAATATTCTGACCCAAAGTAGGGCTAGGAACGCCGCTGGTGATGTTGCCAACAGTCTCGCCGCCTCTCTGAACCTCGGCGCCGTCACGAGCGGGGGCGCCTTGGACGACGAAACCGACACGTCGACGCTCAACGCCGGCACCACCCTTGCTCTTGGGGGTCAATTGAGGGATGATCACCTCGGCGCCGTGGAAGCCGCCAGTGGCGCGGCGGTCCTTGGGAATGACCCAGGCGAGACCGGCCTCGACGGGGGTTGTGGTGTCATCGAGGTCGTTGCCATACAGACACATGCCCGCCTCCAGACGGAGGGAGTCGCGAGCACCCAGGCCAGCGAGCTGCAGGCGCTCAGGTCCAGCCATCCTGAGCAGAGACTCGACGGCAGGGCCCGTCGTCTCCAGGACGGGATACAGCTTACCGTTGAAGGAGATTTCGAACCCATCCTCGCCGGTGTAGCCCCCGCGGCTAATCAAGACGGGATGCGTCTTGCTGCCATCGGCCAGCTTGAGGTCGGCATAAATCGCGTTGCCAAAATACAGCTTATCCAGATTGACCTTGCTTGCCAGGGCTTCTTGGAGAATCTCGGCGGCCTGCGGACCCTGGAGAGCAACGAGGCCGGAGCCGTCCAGCCTGGTCCACTCAACACCGGCACCAAACTTGCCCAGCTCCTCGTCCAGGTACTTGCAGTCCTTTTCGAGGCATGCGCCATTAGTTACCACGTAGAACTCGTCCTCGCCTATCCGCGTGACGACAGAGTCGTCGACGATGCCACCGGTCCCGGGCCACAGGAACGTGGTCAGCTTGCTTTGCATCATACCCTGGTTGCTCCATCCAGAGGGCGTCAACTTCTCAAGAAAAGCGGCAGCATTGGGGCCCTTGAATACGTGCTGGACCATGTGGCTGACGTCAAAGAGCGACGCATGGCTGCGAGTAAAGTGGTGAGACTCGGCTAGCGAGGCGTTGGCGTACTGGACAGGCATGCTGTGGCCAGCAAAGGGCACCATCTTGCCTCCCTGGGCAATGTGCAGGTCGTACAAGGGCGTCTTCTTGAGACGTGTGTTGGCAGTGTCGGAGGCATATCGGACGTTGCCGCGCTGCTGCCTTGGCCTGAGCGCGGGTATCGTTGCCGCTCCGTGTGCCGTGTTGCTGAGTCGGCACCGGGTGAGGGAAGTCGGAATCCGGGGCGCAGCCCGTACGGCGTTTCCAAAGCCCTTCATTTTCGGTCAATCAGCGAGGGAGGGGGAGGGGGGAATGGATGGAAACAAGCAGAGATTGGAAGAGACATGTGCATCGCGACATCAATGCCGGCGGACAAGCCAATTTGATGACTGATGACTGATGAAATTCTCAATTGAGCAGGAGCTGAGCCGGAGTAGTGGGGCTCGGCTATCCACCGGCTCTCCGATATCGAAGCGCGCCGTTTTGTTTCTCCAGAGTCCAGACAGACAGTCCAATCTACTGCCGGCGTCGGCTTTACTATAGACTAGACTGCGAGTTGTTTCCATTACCTGATCTAAGCGACAAGCTGATGCCAATTCCGATTCACTGCCCCGTCTCCATGGCTGGACCAACCTCACAGCCAGCTATTAACGTTATCATACATCATACGAGGATGCCTTGCCCCAGTCAACTATGAGGCTCGTCGTCTTGCTGCAATAAACCACTTCATGTCTGCTGCGCATACAACACCGAAGATCTACAAACGCAGGCCATGCATGCCACCTGAATCAAACGAAACCTACTGGTGCTCAAAGCTGTACTTGAGCCAGCCGCCCAACGCCCGCAAACTCTCCCATCGCACGTTTTCATCGTCACTCTGCATCAGCTCCATGACCCTGGTCTTGAGGCCCACCCTTTCCAATTGATAGCGCTTCTCGGGGACTTCCTTGACCAGGCAGCCAATGTCATTACAGGCAATCGCTAGAACTTGCTTGTCGTTGTCCCACGGCTTCTGCATGATTTCGGCAAGTTTGCGGGCGATCTCGCCGTTCTCGAACTCGAGGATCCTTCTGGCGTTCTCAGCCCAGAATACTTGGCTTCGGTGAGGCGGCGACCAGCGGAGGTGACCCGAGTTTACCTCGGCAACGTATTCGTCAAAGGTTGTCTTGGTCTTGGTGTACTCGTCAAGCAACTCCTTGAGGCTCTGCAAATCTTCCAATAGATCACGGTCCGTCATGTGGCGACTGCCCAGGTTTTCCAACAGAGCCGGTAGTCGGGCGAGAACGGCAGTGGGGAGAAGCGAGGTTTGGTTCTTTTCGAGCAAGTTGTACAGCGTGGAGAGGATGAGCCTTGTCGTCTTTTCCTTTGGCGACAGCCGCAAAAGTTGAGTGTAAAGCAAAATGACGTCGTACTCGCTGTTTCCGTCAGTAAACCAAGACCCTCCGCAGCCCTCGCCATGATACTTGATACTTACTCGTTCAGGTCGTCGCCAATCTCATCAGCCTCAAAGCTCAGCTGCCAAATAACGAGCAAAACATGGTACAGCAACTGGAGGCCCACACCGCCACCCAGAGATCCCTCGAACCCAGCGTTGCGAACGCTGACGTTGCCGCTCCACAGATTGGCGGCAGAGTCTCCGCCGCTCCCAATTCCAGCAGCACTTTGCAGAATCTTGACAAGGGGTTGAACGGTCTCGCTTCTCTGGTTCCAAAACTTTTGGCGTGAGGGTCGGCCACAGAGCAGTGTCGAGTATTCCTGCACGGCTATGTCTTGCAGACCGGCATCAGCATTTTTGGCCAATCCAGACAGGTAGGTGAACACTACAGGCAAGGCCTGTTGGGTGGCTTTGGATTCGTCCCGTGACAGACACATCAGACTCGTCAAGGCATGAGATGCAAGGAGCGGAATGGGGTCGTCGGTGGTGTTTGAATGCAGCAACGGTAGGAAATGCCTGTATGGGTCGGTGTCCTTGAACAATGCTTTTGCTAGAGGCGGGACAGCTAGAGGCAGGGGCCAAATGTCAGTCGAGATGCCGGTTCTCCTCGAAAATGGGGGCGAAGATGATGGGATGGTAGAGGACTTGGCAGATGCATCCGGCCGGGAGGTGCCTCCACCTAGGTCAGAACTTGGAAGGAAGCATACCATCTATGAGATCTGCCAGAAGCACCAGAATGTACTGAATAACATTGGCATGTTTGCCTGCCGTCTCCAGCACACTTGGCTTGGCTGAGCTGCCAACAAAGAGCATTCTGTATCCATCGAGATCACCTTCAACAACCTCCTTTCTCTGCTCCAGCTTCTTTGCCTTGTCAACAGCACGAATCCTTGCGTATTGCTCTTCGGTAAGCGTACCCGCCCGAACGGCGCCGTCCCATGGAATTGGTCGTTGTCGAATGTTGCTTTGCAGGGAGGCCAGATAGGTGGGCGGATCGAGCGACATGATGGCGGCGCAGTTGGCGTCGGGGCGGTCGCAGAGGCGACGACTGCTACGGACCAAAGATGGGAGGGAAAGAATGAAATCGGAGGAAATATATCCAGCACTGTGAGCGGGCGGGCGCGCTGGCTATGGACCCGGATGGAGTGATGCTTGGGTCTCTTGATCAGATGAGGTCGTCGATATGATGCAGCCGACTAGCGCAGCGTCACACTGAAGCTTTGGTCTGGACTCTGACTCTGACTCTGGAGGTCTCCGATGCTCAGTCGTCGACGTGCCCCACCCGGCTACCAAGCTCCACGACAGGCAAGCGCAACGGCTCAGTTACCCGAGGATACGCCGCCGCCACCACCTCGAGCCCCAGCCACCAGAGTGACCAGCCAGAGAGGAATCTCGGGTACGGAGTAACTACGGAGCAGTGCTCCATTGATGGATTGCCCACCTCAAGCTAGGACCAAACAAACAGGCTTCCCCCGTCCGATCGAAATAGCATGCGCCCTCTCCAAGATCTGAATGCGAAGTTCATCAGAAGGCGATGGATAACAAAAATAGTAGTCGGACAATGGCGAGGAGGCCACGGGGCAGGTGTCACCCCTTGAAACCAGGTACCAGCAACATGCAGCCACGCACAGCACACGAACCGCCTCAGCATCGATACCCGATCCAGTGACCAAAGCTCTGCGGCCGCTCTCACCGCACTCTCGGCTCGGTTCATGAGGCGGCGTTGGGTGCTGATGAGCTGGCACAGCGGTCCATTGAGTCCAATGTCCCCGCCTAAATTCAGATTCAGGCGCGCGTACGTACTCGTGGGACACCAAGAGCTCGAGCTCGTATGGAGAACGGAGTAGGGAGTGTGTGTGGGTGTGGGTGGTTGGAACTTGGCCCCCTGGCCCGACATTGACAACCCCGGCAACCCTGGCAACCCTGGCAACCAGTTGCCCAAGCCGTCGGACAAAGCTGAAGCATGGGGGACAAAGTATCGTGGCTGCTGGGCCATACGGAGCAGTCAAGACTGAACTCGGCCCGTGCTGCGGAGTGGATGCCCTGGACTCGAAGCAAAAAAAAATATATTACACGAAGCGGTCCCTGGGAGCTCGTGGCATTTGTCAGTGCGGAGTGTTGAGCCGTCATCTGGAGGTGACGTCTTGGTGCGAGTCCAACTTGGCGGGGCTGGGCCGCTTCAAATCTTCCGTCGCGCGTCCAAGTCGGAGGAGGTTGGGGATTCACGCCCAGAAAGTCGCGGCCAAACCTGCAGCCTCTTAAATGTGAGGCGCGCCGAACGTTTCTCTCTTCCTTACCTCGTGTGCACCGTGCGACAAAGACAAAACACTCGGTGGGTTTGTCATTAATTATTTCACTTCGTTGGTGGCTGACTGAAAGCCCACGAGTTCACTTGCAAGACGCTTTCGACTGTTGGTCCTCTCCAGCGCACACACCTCAGAGACGTCACACAAGTTCCCGCATTCCAGTGGGCATTTTACTTCGGCCGCAAGTCGCCATGCAAATACACGTTCCAGTCTCGTCGTCGCCGGCGACGGGGCCATTGTTCCTGTTGCTCGGCGCCACGGCCGCCATCGTTGCCGCCTCGCCTTTTCCTCGCAGTGCGGCCAACGACTTGGGCCTCTCATTTCTTCGGCTGCGAGACGACTGCACAACCCACTGCGGATCCGAGAAACAGTTTTGCTGTTCTTCCGACCAGGTCTGCACGACCCTGGCCGGCAATGTAGCTACCTGTGCCCCCGGCGCCGGCGGCTCATACGCCGCGTACACCACGACGTGGACCGAAACGAGGACTTACACGAGCACCATCATGACGAATTGGGCGCCGGCCCCGACCCCCGTGCCAGGAGTCGATTGCAAACCTCAAAGTCCAGAGCAGGAGGCTTGCGGGTCGATTTGCTGTGCTGGCTGGCAGACATGCGCCTTCAAGGGCCAGTGCTCCTCCAGGCCGGGATATCAAGAGCCCAGCACCATTGTCGTCACTTCCAACGGTGTAGTCACCACTCGGTACTCTGCTCCTTACCGGGTCACCGGCACCACGACCATTGTCGGCAGCGGTGCTCGAAGCGATCAATCCTTCTACACCGCCACGGCAACCACCACCTCTGCGGGTTCAACGTCCACTAGCGACGGACAGACTATCGGGGCCGATGGAAGCAGCAAGGGCGGAACCGGGGGCGGTTTGAGTGGAGGCGCCATTGCCGGTATTGTCATCGGCACGCTGGCTGGTGTCGCCCTGCTCATGCTGTTCTGCTTCTGCTGCATCGCCCGCGGGGTCTGGAATGTCGTCTTTGGACGGAAAAAGGAAAGGACTGAAAAGATCATTGTCGAGGAGGACGTTCGCTATTCGCGGCATGGCAGCCAGGCACCGCCTTATTCCCGCCGAGACCGCCATTCCGGATGGTTTGGTGGTCGTCCAACATCTGTCGCCGATCGCCGCCGAAAGAGCTCGGATGGAAAATGGTGGCTGGGCCTTGCCGGTGCGGCAACTACACTGTTGGCTCTGCTCAACCTCAAAAAGGACAGGAAGCCTGCTAGACGGCCACAATCTTCACGGTACACCGATACGTCCTACACGTATTCCGACGTGACATACACGAGCCCAAGTAAGTCTACGTCGAGGTCTTGGCTCCTTCGTCCCTCTGTTCAAACGCTAACCGACCCCCAGGCAGCTCCAGCTCAGACCGGCGAACCCATCGCACCGGTCGAACAGGCCGGAGCCACCGCAGTGACAGCCGCGGCGGAGCCTCTTACTATTCCCGTGCCACCACGCGCCGGCCATAGAGCGGTGCTCCCCTTGCATTTCATGACGAACCCCGCATGTGTATTTTGAGTGTCACTTTTGTTGTCTCAACTGCCTGTGTGCAGGTGGTGAGATTTGGCGTTTCGGTATAGTCGTGTTGCATTTCACGGTTGGCCAGTTTTGGCATCCTGTCGTCAAGGTCGGCTTTGGTCATTATAAAATGGACCCGCTTGGGAATGAAGACATGAATTAGAATTCTAGACTGGATATGAGGGTGGACGGAACATGTTGCTTGACGGATTTGGACCAGACACTATGCACATAAACGACGGATACAATAGTTGGCGACCAACGCCTATAATGAACATACTTCCCGCATTGAGCATCAGCTCTGGTGGTGCTTCTCGTCCTGAGCTTGTTGCAACGGCTTCATCCTGCAACGCATGTACATCTCCGGCGTAGAAATCGAAAACAGGCCCAGTCACACCCGATGTGTCTTTACCTTTTTGCTTGCTCTCCCGGATGGGATCAGGTTTCCTCATGAATGGTGCCATCTCATGCACCCTCACAGTCCCCTCCAACACGAGGCACAGTCATGCACAAGAGACGGTAAACCTTTTGATCAGAGTCTTTATGTAGCCCTTTTTGCTACATGACATGCAAATGGTCAAACCGTCGCCACTCCTGAGACCCAGAAACGCAAAAGAAACAAGATATCCGTGTCCGTGCCCCCCACTCCCAATCTTACTCCTCAACGTTGCCCTTTTCGGAGACGTACAGACCATCCAGGAACTACGAGACACACACACAACGTCAGCAAAGCAACCCCCTCACATGTTGCGGGCAGATGGTTGCGGACACAGATTCGTCATGGTGGCAAGACCATCAATCTGAATCCGATAGTCCCCTCATCACACCCCGCTCACGGCGCAGAAAAGCCAGAACGAATTAAAAAAAAAACCCACCTTTCGGATATCCTTGTTGCGGACCTTGCAGATTTGCTGGATATCAGCAGCGCTCTGCGACACACGCTCCAGAGAGTTGCCCGTCAGGACGAGCTCGTCCTTCTGGCTCTTGGACAGCTCGACGTCAACACCCTCCTGCATGACGACCCGGCGGACGATCTTCTCTCCGATGAAGTTTCGGATCTCGACTTCCCACAGCCCCGTCTCGTTGCTCTTTTCCAGATTGACGTTGATGGGGAAATGCGCGTACACGTAGCGCATCTTATATTTGAACCCCTTCGTGACGCCGATGACCATGTTCTGGATGATCGATCGGACGGTACGCAGCGTGGCGACGTTCTTACGGTTGCCGTGGTGGATCTCGATCGAGACGGTGTTCTTCTTGGGATGGCCGAAGTTGACGGCCAAGTGGCCGAGGTCCTTGACGAGCTTGCCTGCTGCGTGTCAGAAGAGACGTCCTTTGCTGATTGTACATGAATATTTTAATGTATTCCACGGGAGGGATTTCTGTCGTTAGGCGTGTCGTACCTCGGGGACCCTCGACGGTGACGATTCTCGTCTTGATGCCAACCTTGACTGTTTGCATGTTAGTGAGTGCGTGTTAGAAGATGATTTTGTGTCTCCAATCCATCCATGTTGCGCCGTCAATTCGTCGTGGGGAATTTTCCGATGCCACTGCCTGGGAGTTGCTGCCAGGGGCTTCCGTGGCCATTTCTCTCTTTGTGTCTTTGCGTTTGATTTCTTCCGTTCCATCATCGGACCGGCTGGCATCGAAATTTCCAACTTGGAAAAGACGGCAACACTTTGTGGACTCTGATTGTCTTTTAAAACGGTCACAAAGGGAAAGAGGTCACGTACCCCCCTCAGGGATTTCAAGGGTTTCCTGAGAATGAATGTACTTCATCCTGCCGGTTGTGGATTGGGGATGTCGGGAGGTGAGGAGGTTGTCGTAGGTCGTCGGCTGCGCTCACGACGAATTGTTGCGAAATCGTGTGGGCGGGAAAAGTTCTAGGGCTCGCTGCACGTGAGCGCAAAAATTACGCGGGGCCGAAGTTGGGCCGCGCGAGGTTGCGTGGTGGGGGGCGCGAGTGGTGACTTTTCACGTGACTCTGCCGCAGCTGTCTGATCCACTCCCGTCTCAACGTGTTTTACTACAGTTAGTAGCTACTTCGTGTCAAAACGATGGGTTGTTGGACTTGCATAAAAATAGAAATAAAAAATAAAAAAACCCCCAAGATTTTGCGATCTTGTGGATGTAGATAGTAGAATCAGAGCCATTGCAGTCCACACATCACGCATTTTGCAACTCGGTCCGCAGTCGGTTCCCGTCGTCAAACATCCGAGCTTCGGTGGGGAGCTCCGCGTCCCTCCTCGACTCCAAACAATATTACGTCAGCGTCGTTGAAGCACCCTCACCCACGACATCACCAACTCACCCCAGCATAGCCCGCGGCGCGCCCTTCCGTACCTCGCGTACACCTCTTGCGCTGATCCCGCCTCCCCGTCAACGCTCCCAAGGCGCCGTGTACGTCCTCGCTCACAATGTCGTACTTCTTCTCCACCCCCGTCGACATCGACGTCCTCCTCGACGATGCCGACGACCGCTCCATGGTCGACGTCAAGCTCGACAAGAACCGCCGCGAAAAGGCGCCCCTCTACATGGACGGCGAATCCGTCAAGGGCTCCGTCACCGTCCGCCCCAAGGACGGCAAGCGCCTCGAACACACGGGCGTCAAGGTGCAGTTCATCGGCACCATTGAGATGTTCTTCGACCGCGGCAACCACTACGAATTCCTCTCCCTGAACCAGGAACTCGCCGCCCCCGGTGAGCTGCAGCACCCGCAGACGTTCGACTTCAACTTCAAAAACGTCGAGAAGCAGTACGAGTCGTACAACGGCATCAACGTCAAGCTGCGGTACTTTGTGCGCGTCACCGTGTCCCGCCGCATGGCCGACGTCATTCGCGAAAAGGACATTTGGGTGTACAGATACCGCATCCCGCCCGAGGTCAATAGCAGCATCAAGATGGACGTCGGCATCGAGGACTGCCTGCACATCGAGTTCGAGTACAGCAAGAGCAAATACCACCTCAAGGACGTCATCGTCGGCCGCATCTACTTCCTGCTGGTCCGGCTCAAGATCAAGCACATGGAGTTGTCCATTATCCGGAGGGAGACCACGGGCGCCGCGCCGAACCAGTACAACGAGAGCGAGACGCTGGTGAGGTTCGAGATCATGGACGGCTCGCCGTCGAGGGGGGAGACGATTCCTATAAGGCTCTTCTTGGGGGGGTTCGACCTGACGCCCACGTTTCGGGATGTGAATAAGAAGTTTTCGACAAGATACTACCTCAGTCTGGTCTTGATTGATGAGGGTGAGCTGCTCTCCCTGCCCTCCCGGCCTTGTTCGGGCCTCGTGTGTATTTTTCCATCCCAGCACGCCGTCGCTCACACATGTCTAGATGCCCGTCGGTATTTCAAACAATCCGAAATCATCCTGTACCGCCAGGCCCCTGACGGCCTTTCCGAAAACACCGGCGGCGGTCTGCAGCCTCTCCCGGCTCCCAACGAAGCCAAATTAGCCGCCGCCCAAGCTGCTACTGCTCAGGCATAGGCATAGGCATAGGCATAGGCATAGGTGTCCTATACCATGCACCTTGCGCAACCCCTCCCGCTTTTGTCACATGTTTATAATTCCCAAGTGTTCTTCTAGCGTAGGGCTCGGCGTTATTGGTACTCAAGGAGGCGACTTTCTCACTGTCGGCGGGCAACTAGATAGGTGGGCCACCGCCGTGAAGCTTAGAGGCAGATATTCGAACATGATTTTCATTTTTACTTTATTAACCCTTCATAAATGGTCACGTACCATGTTGTCCCGAGGTATCGAGTTCCGTGGAACTTTTCGGCTGAAAAAAAAAAATAATCTACATGAGCCCTCGTTGTCTCAATTCACACTCTACCGTGCCATTCATAGCACCATTACGTCGCCCGCCTCGAATCCAAATTGGTTGTTCTGGATCGCCGCAATCCTATCTAGCTCGTCCTGGTATTGTTTGCGGATATCTGCCAGCGACAGCACCTTGCGCTTGCTGGCACCGTCTCCATTTTGGTGGAGTGCTGGTGGTCCCTCGTCAAATATCCACGCTTGCTGTGGCTCAACACAGCTGAGGGCATTGATGAGAAGCAGGTACTGGCGTGTCACTGGGGTATCCAGGACATCGTCGCCCGTGATCTTGTCCCCCTCGCCGGCCAGTTTCAGTTTCTGGATGCGGTCCAGGAGGACGGACGCCGCGCCGCGGTAATTACTGCGCTTGATACGCCACGAGTACAGCACTTGATGGTACGGGAATCCCCGCACTGAATCGGTCGCGTTGCGGCATCGGTCGGCCAGGATGTCATCCACTTCTTGCTGCAGGCCGGGGAACGGCAACGATATGAGTTCAATGTTGTGATGTGTTTCGCACATCCTGTCCACGAGCTTCCGCAGGCCTGAGTGCTTCAAGGCATCGTCTTTGATGGAGAGCAGGCTTGTGTGAGCCAGCTCGAATTGCGACGTGACCAAAGCAGCGTTGAATAGACGACTCAGCATCTCGACCTTGGCAGAGGAACCATTCTTGGCGGCATCTAGGAACTGTACCGCCAGCTTGGCAAAGTCGACCACGTGGGAATACGCCTTGTGTGATTCGTACTGCGCGACTATGTGAGAGTAGTACATTGCCTGTCCGTTGTTGAGGAGATTCCATTCCGTATCTCCTAACAGGCCGCAGCTGTGTCTGTCGTTGGGGACAGTTTTTGTACCTAAAACCTATCAGTCAAATCTCTACCTACCATACGGCCTGAAATTCATCTTACCCATTCCAATGGCGGCCCTTCTAAAACTAATGGCTGCCGACTCAAAATCGTTGAGTGCCAATTGGACCCGGCCCAGCACGTAGACAGAGAATGGGTTCTGGTCGCTGAACGGAACAAGCTCAAGAGCCAAATCGGCTCGTTCTTGTTTGATGAGTGCACACTGGATGAGCGCTGGAGAGACTTCGATGTCGCTGTCTGGCGCGCAGAGGTTTGTTATGACATCCGTGATGCTGCTAGAAAGAGGTTCCCTTTTGAGGCTGTCAAAGCCGAGAAGGTGTCCGAGATTGGCCTCAAGAGCCGTCACTGTCTGCGTGCTATCGTCGCCAACCTTCTTGAGCTGAGACGCTCGGTCAGCATGGGCCAAGGGAGCTAGCAACTCGGTATGTGCCAGCCACTTCAGGAGTTCCAGCCTCCTGAGCGCACTGATGAGTTTTCGGTATACTGATCCAATGTCAACACGGTTGTGCAAGGCGTCCTCTTCGTTGTCAAACTCAAACTCCATGTGAACGAGAAGAATAAGCTGACTGAAGCACACGTTCCATTGCAATGCAATGTTATCTTGAACGCCTTTCATGATGAGCTTCTGCCCAAATTCTGTCAAGGGATAACGCAAGTGCCGTCGTCTGGCTTCCAAGGGAGCAGCCATCAGATCTAAAACGTGAGCATACAAACTGTCGTCAACAAGGGCGAAGTTAGCGCCAAGCACGTCGACAACCTGTGCACAGTCCTCGTCGGTAATCCCCCTCCAGAAGCCAGCCTTGTCAGAAAAGTATTGGATACGCTCCAAATCGGTTTTGGATGACTGGTCAAAGATTTCTTGTCTAAGTGCAGCTTGGGCTAGCTGGATATAATTGTCTGGGAAACCGTCCACAAAGGACAGCGCAGCGTTGACCAGGGCTGCCTTACTAGTGTTCTCATCGTTGGGAGAGCCAAGGTTGTGATAGAGCCGCTCCAAATCACCGCACAGTCGAATGGCAGAGACAAGATCGGTGCAGACCACCCAAGCCATGTCAGCCTCAGGATCGAAAACCAAACCAATGGCCTCTCCACGATGGCGGTCCAGTTCGGCTACGAGTCTGTAGAACCTGCGCCACTGTGTTTCACCAGACGCTCTGAATTGCTCATAGTCCATAGCTCCCGATGCGCCACGCTCTAGCGAAGCCGTTGCACCCAGTACCGAGCAAATAGACTCTGTAAGACCACGACCCTTGGGGTTGTTGCCGTCCTTTGATGCTCCCAGGCCGCGCTCGTATATTGACAAAGCCGTCTCGAGGGTTGCCCTTGTAAACCGTCCTGGTTGCAGAATACACTGCAACCATTTCTCCGTCACGTCGGTTGAGTCGCACGGTCCAGACGTTTGAACTGGCATAGTTCCGGCGTCAGGATACACCCAATCCCAATTTTCCTCCCACGACTGTACCATGTTCTTTCTATCCAACTCGAGCCGTTTGACCCTGTAAGTCATGTTGTTCTTCCACAGGGTCCAAAGGGTAATAGATCCTTCTGTAGGTGATGCGAGAACAAAGTCGGCTAGTGTCCAAATATCGGAAGATGATGGCGTGGACGGTACCAGCGTGGCTTGCGGGAAGAGATCGTCTACAACGATGGTGTGTGCGTCCTTGGCAATAATTTTCCAAAACTTGAACTCGCCCAGGCCGATAGGGGAGTACGTGGCGCAAATGCGTTGTCCGCGGCCGGATCCAACGAGCTGGACTAGATTTGACAGGGACGGGTCGATGGACCATTTTCCAACCTGTTGGGGTGTACGGTCGACGTTGAGTAAATCACCAGTGAAGAGAATCTGACCATCATTGACATTCCAGATGCGAATTCGGTGGTCGAGACAAATAGTAATGGCAAAAAGGCAGTGCTCGAGCCCAAAATTCGTCACTTGGATAGACGTCGCGGCACTGTATTCCATATTGACTTTTCCGTACTTGATTGTATGGTTCCCCTGGAATGGCAACAAACTTCGTAGGTTTTGAGCCCAACCTTGGACGTTGAAGAATGACTCCTTCCAGAGACCGGAAGACGCTATATTTTGTTAGAACGAACGGTACGCGATTTCAGGGCAAACTCACAGTCATCGTGCTTCGCCTTGTCAAACCGGATCATTCCCCCATCGCTCACTGTGACGAGTAACGTATCGGCCGTTACAGCCACCAGCCGATGCGGGCTCTTGAAACCAAGTCCAGCCGGTGACTGAACCTTGCAGAGTTCTGAAAGAACCGCGTCGATGGCTGTCCTCTTTCTGAAGAATTCGGGTCGCAACGTGAAAGTGTACAGCTGCGAAGATTGGTCTAGTACATGAACACAGAGGACATCGTGTTCCTCCGGATCGACGAACGCGACACAACCGGTCTGAATGGGAACCCCAAACTTGAAGTTCAAGACGAGAGGCGAATCGGGGGTCTTGTCCTTTTTGAACAGGTCGACGGCTCGAATACTCAATACGGCTCCATCCTCCAAAACTCGCCACAGAAAGCTGCGCGGCGCATCGTGCCAACGTCGGTGATAGATTGATGAAGAGACGGCAAGATTTTTCAAACGAAATGTTGTTTCGTCCTCGGCTGATGATTCGTTTGCAATGCGCCGTTGGCTGCGACCATTGTCATTTTTCGAGGGCACTCGGATGCTCACAACCGACGCGGGCGCAGGAGGCTCGAGGTTCAAGCGGGTCTCTTTGAAGGTGTATTGGATATCGCCTGAATCCATGTCGCCTCCATAAAAGAGTACCACTCCCCAGAGAAGCAGCTTCTTCGTAATATTGAGGCAGGACGTGGCGAGAGGCGGTTGCGTAGGATGGCAGAAATTCAGATTGAAACTCGAAGTCGCGACCACGCTAACCCAAAATAGAAACAAGCTCACCACGCTACCCTGCAGCACAACCAAGTGTAGCTAGGTTCTTTTTTTTTCACTCCTGTTTGTCTTGTTGCGATAGGCGAGTAATTGCGAGTGAGTAATGCCAGGCGAACTATACCAGGGCTGAAAATGCGTTTACATTGAGAATATCCCCCCGCCTGAGCGTTGTGGGCTAAGAAATCGACAACTAAATTAATCTCGCATTCTTGTTCGACTACTCGTCGATAGGTGTCACAACATACTGTGGAAGACGTACGATGATGAGGGTCCTCAGATGTGCACGTCCTGTGTGTATTACGAAGATGCAAGTGCAGCAAAGATAGCAATACAACGCTCATGTCAATGCAAAGTCAGCCAGACCGAGCCGGGCCTGTAAGTTATCACTAATCCCTATCCACATCTTTCGGAGCAGGGTCGCCGATACCATCCTCATTTATGGCAAACAACGTGTCGCTCTCAGGCAGACATGGGCTATCATAGATTTTGGCAATCCGCGTCTCGCCGCGTCCCTTCTTCAGGCTGATACGAGTCGTGCTAGCGTGGGCAATGATATTGCCACCGATGGGCTTCTTTGGATCAGGGTTGAACATGGCGCTCGGTCCGCCGTCAACCTGAGCAACAACCTGGTTGGTGATCACCACAGCAATTCCGAACTCATCAGCCAATCGCTGCAACGTCCGCATAAACTTTGCCAGATGAGTCTGTCGGTTGGATAGCTCTCCACGGCCACAGAAATCCGTGCGATACAGCGAAGTTGCGCTGTCAACGACGAGCAACGAGAATCGCGTCTCACACATCATGGCAGCAGCTTGATTCAACAGTTGCAGCTGATGGTCTGAGTTGTAAGCACGAGCGTAGGCCACATTGTCGAGAACTTCCTCTCCAGATAGCCCGAAGCGGTTGGCAACCGCAAGTAGTCTCACCGGTCGAAACGTCCCCTCAGTGTCAATATACAGACACTTGCCCTCTCCACCACCCATGTCAAAAGGCAACTGACATGTCACAGCCAGCGTGTGGCAAATCTGACTTTTTCCGGTTCTAAACTCTCCAAACAATTCAGTGACTGATCCAGTTTCAATCCCGCCTGCGAGGAGTGTGTCTAGATTCTTGGATCCCGTTGTGATGGAAATGAGTTCGCTTCGTCTCTGATGCATCTCGGTGGCGGTCGTGAATCCCATGGGGACAAGTTTGGAGGCTGGGAAGGGAATTAGCTTCACAGCGGCGCAATAATTTACCAAAAGAGAGAGGGGAGAAGAAAAGAAAAAACGTGCCTTCTCCTAATATCTTCTGTGCTTTTTGCTCTGAAATGCCCTTGATTTGCTCAAGCATTCGGCGAGGAGTATATGCGACCGACTCCACCGTGTTGAAACCGCCATCCATGACGAGTTGAATATCACGTTTCGTTAAACCGGCAATACCCTGGAGTCCAAAGGTCAGTGCCGTCGCTCGCTTGCGTATGAAAACAATATGAATTACCTCCAAGGCTGTGAGCGGGGTGGGAGCTCCGGGTCCTGTCATGCCGCCCTCGTCACCCATTTGGGCCTCGTCGTGCTCTTCAGCCATTTTTCCAGTATTCGGGTTCTCAAAAAGTGACGACTTCTTGAGAGGTACACGGCTCAGGTCGATAACGGAAATGTGAGCAACAATCTGAGGTCGTGAAGATTTGTAATGGTGTTGACATGACAAGCGCGTCGACACGCGTTGCAGGCAGAGCATCAACTCCACATGTTGCACGCCTTGACACGTGATCAGTCGTGAAAAGCATTACACCCTTGGGTCTGAACTCTGCTCTGAAGGTCTCATCTCACAAACATGCACGATCCTTATCAAGAAACCAATTCATCATCGTGTTAATCTCAATTAATCTTTGATTGTACTGAAGTATGAGCTATCCGAATTGTCATTCCCTCGTCCACAATGTTCAAAAGCAATGCCGTTCCTCCAAACGCCAGGATGCCAGAAAGCACAAGTAGAAGCGCCAAATCCATCATTTCTGATGCACACATGTCTCAATTGATGGCAATGCGGCGGGATTCATGCTTCTTCGCCTTGGGCACAACAATGGACAAAATTCCGTCCTTGAAGCTGGCAGTTACGCCGTCCTGATCGACGCGGTTGGGGAAATTAAAGCTGCGAGAAAACTCTCCAACGCTGCGCTCAGTGAGCCAGTACTTGGCCTTGTCGGCAACCTTTTCCCTCTCAGCCCCAGGCTTTTTCCCAACCTCGGCTGTGGCTGTGGTGGTGGTTGGCGTTCCGGGGCGGGATTGTGATGCGTTGGACCACTCTTCGTCCTCCTCATCCTCAACAGTAGCCTTCCTTGCGTTCTTGTGCTCCTCGGCATCTGGGAGACCGCCGCTCATGACGGTATCTTCGACTTGGCGACTTGGCGGAGTACCAGCCGTACAAGATCTCTTGGCTGTGCCTCGAATGAGCAAGGTCTGAGACTCAGAGAACTCAATCTTGACGTGGTCTTTGTCAACGCCAGGAAGCTCACCGTGGAGCTCATAAGCGTCCGCGGTCTCGCGAACGTCAAATTTGGGCTGCCATTGTCGGGTCAAGCCTTGGCGATTGGACTTTGGGTTCTGCTGACGAGAATAGGTGTCGTAGTCGTCTAGAAGACGGAACAAAGGAGTGAAGGAACGATCCTGGTTGTAGAAGGCTCTTGGGAAAAATGCCATTTTATGTGTTGTGATGTGGTTGAAATGACTTTGGATGAGCTTCTTTTCACTTTTTGGCAGTGTACTGTGATGATGGAGAAAAGAACCTATCCCTTAGAGCGCATTGCTGTTGCTTTTATATTTGTGCAGAAACTGTGAACTGACAAATGCTGCGACCGGCAGCGAACCATGCTGAACATTGTAGAAAACACTAGACATATCTAGAATCCACTAGGAAGCAGCTGTATTGCGTCTTCAGAAGCGCTCAGAAGCCCCAGGCGATGGAAGTGACGTTTCGAAGCTTCGAGAAGCCCATAGAATCTCCTTTTCAGAACACGCTCTATTGAACTACCCGCGAACTGTCGACACGCTCGTTTCTATCTGCATATGCCGCCAAAAAAAAAAGAAACGAAAGAAAGAAAAGCCAAGCATTCCGTCTATGGTATTAGATGCATGTAGGGAGCTTACCCGGATCAACATCAACATAAAGCTGGATGTTGTCTCGTGGTAGTGAAATGTACGTGATCCACGTTCCGTGTAAATGCTGCTGACTAATCCACCGACGGGAAAATGACGTCATGCTCACTTGAAGTTGTACATCCAGCACCATTACTAATAGGTAGGTGCTTGAGGATTCCGTAATTTTTGTTGGATTGCTGATACGATGAACAGAGAAAATGTACTGTCAAACTTGGTGGTGACAATAGTCACAATAATAGTCTGTACGAGCTTATAACTAATTGTGCCGTGACCGTCTAGATTAGAATCTCGAAACAGTATTTACATTTGCTGCCTGCGTGTCACGATGGCTCTGTGAACTACGTCCAGCAATGTCACCCGGAGCAAACTCCGTTACACAGGTGCCCAGCCACATTTCGTCCATTATATCAAAACGCATCGCCACTTACAAGCCACGGTTGAATTTCAACTTCATCTCTTGATACAATTCTCGTGATTCATCAATATTTGACGATGACAAAGGAATGTAGTCTCTTGCAAGAGATTCAAACTCCTGCCGACGTACAACCCTTGAGACCGCTGTGGGGAGGTGTCGCCCGAATTCAGCTTCCCGAAGTAGAAATTCTTTTACTGCACGGGTAACAGAAAACATCACCGTAATCCTCCAAAGACACGCGCGAAGCCAAATCCAAGTCAACCAGCCAGTCATGCATTCGCGAACTCCCGAAGACATGAAGTAGGAAGAGAATATCCTCACCGTCATTATCCGTGAGCAGACACAGTGATTCACCTTGCTAGTGTAGCCAGATTCGCCGTTGCCCTCGCTCCGACTGACGTGCTGGTTCGATTTCCCATTAAGACCGCATCTCCCGCCTTCCATGACTGCGCCGACCGCTCTGACTCCAATATCAGAGAACGCCCGCGCTGATTCACAAACAACCCAGATACTTCATTTACTATCAATATGGTCGCACCATCGGATATCCAGGCACAAAGTTCACTTGTGGAAGTACAGAAGTTGCTACCATGGGTGGATTCTGTGCGCGGTTGAACAAACCAATCAACCGTCGCCCAACAGATGGCTCTATCTCAGTACCATCTCTGGCGATTTTGACTTCTCGGTTTGAATTCCATGGGTTACGCAAACCCCTGGTTCGGAAGAAGGGAAGACGGTTGGTAGAAAGCCATTCTAACTTGAATGGTTTCCCCCAGACCTTTGTTTCATCGTCGGTGCCGTTGGCGTTGTCACTTGTGCTTTCGCTCTCTATATCGGATTCGCCTTCTGAGTCGTCTCGTTCTGCTTCCCAGAATATTGTACCTCGTGCGGAATCGTCTATTATTTTACCCCTAGGGGCATATTCAGTAGCATCTGTAGGAATCGCTTTCGGAAGATCGACGTTGGCGTTAGATACGACTTTCGGTGCAAACTCGATTGCGGCGGCAGGATCTTCATTGATTTCGGAAATCATCCGTGCGTATCCGAAATACTCGCCTGATTTATTAGCTGAGAATATCAAATAAACATTATCCGCAGTCTGTACCGAGCCAGTTAGTACCTTTAAAAAACACGGCCTATTCGCTTGGCAGCTGACTTACCTGAAATGCGTCGTTCAGGTTGTTTTCGTTGTGTGACTGCGTTGCCCAGATGCCGGTTTGCACACTTAGATCCAAATCTTCTGTCGTCAAGCTTTTCAGGATGAAGAACTTGTCCTCATGCTGGCGATCTTTACTATCGCGCCTAGACACCGGCAGGGGAGATTTGGCAAGAACTTCCACCTCTATGGTCTCGGCCTTTATCCCCGAGTCATCAGCTGCAACCTCGACATCAGCGCCTTCATGTATAGTTGACGGCGTCGAATTAGCAGCAGGACCACCAGGCGCCGCATTACCTGCGGATCCCTCGACTGTATTCTTTCGCAATCGACTGACGAGTCGGACAGACTGGAATTTCGAATCGTGTAGATTTTGTTGCGCCGTAGAGCAAGCAAGTTCATCTTTAAAATTGGCGAACGCACAATTACTCTTGGAAATCAGAAAGAGGGACTCCATTCCAGGGGTCACCTTGCACACGTGATGGACCAAAGCCATCAGGTTGGTTTGAGGTGGTAGGTTACCAATCCAAAGAGCATGGCCTCTCTGTCGTGGTTTTCTTGGAGGGCCGCGAACCGTATTCTGCGTTGCTGAAGTCGTGTCTGTTTTTTTTTTTTTTTTGAGTCAGTGCCTGATGCCTAGATGCCTTTGTTTGAGTCACAGGTGGTTTACCTTGGCCTTGTGATCTTGCAGCAGTAGTATTTCCGTTCGCCAATTGCGGAGGACTGCGAGATTGAGATTTCGCAGTACCAGCTACGTATACTCCCGACACCATTGCAGGCATTGCTGGTGGATGGCCTGGATACTGGCCATTGTGGGGATAGTAGAAGCTCGTTTGAGCAGGACTCATCATCATCTGGTTTGGATAGTAAACCATATTCTGGCGTCCATGTACTGGTGGCGAGTTTTGGGCTTGAGATAGGTGACTACCTGGGTAGTATTGCGGGATTTGCTGATGCTGGACATAGTATGCATGGCTCGGAATCGGCATGGCTACACCACCGTACGGCGGCATAGGGGCCATTTGATGAGCCATGGGCGGCGATGCGGTGGAGGTAAATGGTTGGCTATGGCAATGAAGATATTGAGTCGAGTGTTGCGGTCGGTAATTCATGGCGAGCAACGTGTTATTCATCGGCGCTAAATCGAAAGCCTCTTGATGGCCCTGCGTTTGTTGGTGTGCCATCGCAGCTTGCGCTGGAGTTTGCTGGAAGGAGGCGGACTGATAAGGATATTGGTGTTGGGTTTGCTCCATAGCAAATGGTGGTGATTCACCAACTTCGTTGGAGTTGGTAGATGAAGATGGTGGTGTCTGGCAAGGAGCGTCAAGCTGACTAGCATCCTGTGTCTGGTCTACTGAATCGCTTTGCATTTGAAATTCGCTACCGATATTCGAGTGTCAAGGCGGTGCTTTTTGCCTTCGGTCTTCTAACCTTTGTCAAAAGCTGGAGAAGAAAATTGTTCAAGGCTGGTCAAGATTGTCAACTTGAACAGAGTCTTGTTTGTGGCTGGATCATTCGACTAGTCGAGGCTCTGCCCTAGATCTACCGATTCATCGCTTGCTGAAGTGAGTTGAAATAGTGGTCGTATTTTCTGATGCGACTGGATGCCTTGTTTCAACAAGGCCGGTGAAATGCTCGTTCGTCCAGAAGGCCAATAAAATATAGGGTCGTCGGAGGGGTCTTGCCGTTGTGATGTTTTTGCGACCGACTCTGATGTCAATGGATAGAGCTAGTATAATATGTAAATGCCGACAGAGGGTGGATTTTCCGGAGATAATGGTCCGAGGTGTGTGAAGAGTGTTTGAGCAATGAAGACGTCAACTGGTGCATAAGCGCCCTCAGGGGGCCGTGGACAATGGCTTATCGAAGTCCTTGGGACTGAAAAACCAAGGCCGATTCAACTGAGCTGTATCATAAACGGAGGAAATCTTGAATAGAACGGGTGCAGAACTAAACAAAAACGAGCCTCTGACAACCCGTTTGGAGGAATGGACCGGCTGACTGCTAAGCAGGGTGCTGTTCTTGAAACGGTGGGATTTTGGGGGGAAGGAGGGGGGCAGATGACGATTGGAAAGATGAGCCCTGCAAAGGGTGCAGCAATTATTCAATCTTGTTCCAAGTTTGAATCAGTGTGCCGAGTGGCGAATATCTTTCGAGGAACAGTGAGAGCGAGCCAAGGCTGCATACACTATGTTTGGAGCTTTGGTCTGCAAGGCAATTGGACTTGGCAGCTATCACCCGTTTTTCGATGCCAGCTAGAAATTGCGTCGAATGAGCCACCCTTGTGACTAATTACTGACGACAGGGCTGAGTAAACAAGGAGATCTGTTGAATCAAGAAAGTGGGATACGCTAGGGAGGTTTGTGTGGTGTACTAGCAATGATGCTGGGGCTTGGGATGGATACAGGTATCCGATTGCAATAAACGGACCTGCAAACAGACCAAAAAAAAAGAGCCAGGATTCCTCGTTACAACGCCTGAAGCCCTTTGACCCTCTTGAAGCCCCACGACGGGCGAGACAACGTCAGGGGTACGATACAGTCGAGTGTGCCGTGTGTAATCCAAGAAAGCTGCGGCAGCTTAGGTATTTTGCGGTTAAGACTTTTTCGAGCTAGACGACAAGACGACAAAGCATGGGACAAACGAGACAAAACAATCAAAGTGGGGGTTGGATTGAAGGCGATTTGTGTGTTCCTCGTTTCTAGGTCGGACCACGATGGTTCTATCCGAGCTTGATGCCCGGTGTTGACTTGGGTCTGTTTTTTCGAGTCTCCAAGTGTCCGGGGTTGCAAGGCCGCGATTGTTTTTATCGATGCCAGGTTTATGTCCCTTCTGTCAGTACTAGTAGGTATACTAAAGCAAAGAAAGATGTGTCCATGTACCGTCAAGGTCTTCTTCGGAGCTCGGACTGCAATGCAGATATTCCCCATTATAATGGCTAGGGAGGGACCAGGCCAACATGGGGTAACCAATGGCTCAGGAACACAGACATTCGTCGGTAGTAGTAGTTGTCACCCAACAACTTGGCGGGTCGGGTCAATGCCGATGGATGAATACAGAAGAAGAATTGACATTTGCACGAGACATGAGCCACAGGAATGCTTGCGTAAGTGTGTGGATGGCAGAGACTGATCGACGCCAATGGCGCTTTTGTGTTTTCTTTCTTTTTTTTTGGAGGGTACGAACTCTGGGTCTCAAGTCTATTGCAAGCGAGCAAGAGCAGACTGGTCAGTCGATGCCTCTTTCCGAAAGAGCATGGCTGTTCCCAGTGAGTACAGACGTGTGTACTTGAGTACCTACCTAACTTAGACAACCTATTCTGGGCATGGTGCCGTCGTAGTCACTTGACCTTGCTTGCAAGTAGAGCGACTCCGGGAAGAAAGAATAGCAGAGAATCGCGGCAAAGACTTGACGAGCGTACGGCGCACCACATCTCCGACTTTTCTTCCCGGCCCCAGTGCGTCGTCTATTTTGGCCTGTATATCTACCACACGGTCCACACCCAGCAGCACTTACACATCTACGAAATCCTCGGGTTGCAGCCCGGTGCCCTTGACCGTGCTCCATAAACGCCAAGCAGTTGTGCATCTGGACGGCAGACGGACAGGGCACCGGATGACACCGACACCAATCACTACTAGGCGCTCTTGACAAGGCCCATCGACTCCGAACAGACATGGCCTCGCAGAGACCGGACGAGCTGGCAGCCAGGCCGTGATGACGGTCTGCAACGGTCGACCCAACCGGAACGACACTTTGGACGTGGCTTCTGCTTCTGCAGTCGAAAAGAAAACATGCCGCGGCGATCGGGTTATCACTTCCCCATCTCCAGTCTGTCGCTGACAACTAGCAACGTCGAAGCCGTGCATCGCTTTTCGAGTCAGTTTGACAAGACAGCGAAGAGTCAATTAGCACAGCTTTTGTCCACGGTACCAAGTCTTGTCGTTGTGGCTTTGCCTTTCAATTCGGGCCAGGCGTTGCTCCCCTAATTCGTTCTACTCCGTACCATCGTCAGTTTCCATTGAACCGCCTCCGTGGATACTGTACGCCTCAACCAAACGGGGTACTGCCTGGCCTGAATCCACCGGGGATTCAGCTTTCGGAAAGGCGTGGCAAGGACCCTAAAATATTGGTAAGCCGTCGTTGACGAGCTATAACGCCCTCATGGAACTAGCCAATCCATTGCTTCTGCTTTCTTTTTGCCCAGTGTACACTCCAGAGGAATGAAATCAAACAGAAAACTACCACATGAGGCCACGCGTCTTCTGGGCCCGCCATCTGGTTTTATCGTTAGGCTAGTCCGTCTATTCTGGCAGGCGAACTATTTTGTTGAAACTCCCATCCGGAAAATCTTCCCGGGCTCTTTGGAACACAGACCTCGTCGTGTACCATGGTCACTGACTGCGACTTGGATGTTAGGACAAGCTTTCTCTGGCAAAATTTGACTGACACAAGGGGAGTTACCGGTCATGTCTTGCGGCCCACAAGCCATTCTGCAGGGTTTGCATCCATCCCGCAAGCCCCTAAACAATATTCAGCCGTCAATTGGATGATATGACCGAGACCAAATATCTGCCAAGGTTCTAATTGGGGACGGCCTGTTTTAATTTGTGGAGTTGAATTGCCTGCGGAATATGGGATTTCAATTTCGCGATTATCATGGCAGATGGGAAATACCGACTGCCATGACATATCTAAGCACAGAAATCGGATGAATCAACCACAGCCATATCTGATGCCCCTACTCCTTACTCGCAAAGATACCAAGCTGGACAGGCGCCGGAGATTGTCTATGCGTGGATGGTGGCAGGCATCCGGGCGGCACGGCCTGACCGCGCCCGCCAATGCCAGCTCTGTGGCTCCGGTACCATCACCATGCGAGTAACTTCGAATCATGTGCCAACAAGACCGATGGCCATCGGCGAATTTTCAAAGTACGGATTTGCGTAGCAGTGCGTTATGCGCCAGGCTGCACCGACACCTCTGGCAAGTGCAGTCTGTCTCGCTGCCGCCCGCACCATATGAAGTCATTCGCCCACACAAACAAGGGTACATCTCATCCAAGTGCTCAATGGAGAATAGATTCCTCGGGAGGACGACGATGCTGGTGCGCAAGTCGTTGGGTGCCAAATCGGTCATGGTGGGTTTTGCCACCACATCTCCGGAGAGCGTTGCGGTGGCTCACGTTGGAAAGCCACTCCGGTCCTTCTGCCGAATGACGGAATGACGTACCTAATGCGCATGGCTGGCTTCGAGTATGCTTCGCGCCCCTGCTACGACATGGCGCAACCCTGTCCCTGATTTCTGTCGTCACCGTCCCAGCAGAATAGGCAAGTCGCGAGGGGGGCAAGCGAGTGTCCATTCAAAGCGACCGAGGTAGGCACACTACACACATAATCACACGTCGTCCACGTCCAGCACGAACAATCGGTCTCTCTCTCATCTCAGCATACGCCACCATGCAAGGCAATGCACCGACAAGTGATGGCCGCAGAGGACCTTGCGCAATTTGATGTCAACCGAGCAGAATCTAAAAGATATGTTGCTTCAGCTTTTGGCCGGCTGACAATGACATCAGTTCGGCATTGATGCCTTGCAGCTAGCAGACTAAGACAGCCCTTGAAGTACGTCAGGCAAATGATCAAGAATAACTCCCCGGGTGCGGGGGCACGTCATGGACAGACAGCCCAAGAAGCTGGCTACGGCTACGGAGTACGTCAATGCGAAAGGATCGTTATTGCAATGCCGGAACCTACTACTACCGGGTAGGTTGAGGAGATTGAAAGCCCGCGCCATCAGAGACTACCCTATACTGGGACGCGCAGGTTAACGGACCCTGAACAGCTCGGCGAGGTCTGCCATGACAGGGATTTGTGGCGGTGATGAAGTGTATTGTTTATGTACAAGTGAATATTTCGACCATGTGTAGGTAAATAGCTCTCAATAAATCGACTAGCAGATTTAATAACTCAGAACTCAAGCTAGCTGCTCACACACCCCGTCATCATACTCTCAACCAGCCATTGCAAAGCACAAAAGCTTGAACAAGACATGTGGCCGGTTGTTGAGGAGTCAAATGCTGGCCTGTTGTTGCGAGAAATCACCGTGGCAAAACCGCCCCATCTGAAAGTCGATCTTGGTTGTCTTGAAGCTCATCTAGATTATGTTCCATCCCATGCTCCAGCTGTCGCCGGGCCTCGAGAGCAGCAGAGTGTCTCAGCATGTATAGTTGAGGGAAATTAGAACAGCACGTAGTCCAGCGCTATTTGACTCATTCCGAACTCGAAGGAACAGGGAAGAGAGTACGGAGAAGTCGTGTTTACCCTTTTCTTCTTCTTCTTCAAAAGCACAAGTAGAGCGTAGTCGCCTATCGCCCACCATACTATACTCCTGGACCCATTCCAACCATGTCCAAGGCAAGGCTATTGTACAAACAGCACCCATCATCTCGTCTAATCCTTCTTCATCGGCAGTATGGTCTCTTCAATGCCGTCCTTGGTGATGATGAGCATCTGGAGGGCATCGCCAACCTCAATGTGACGCTCTACTGCACCATCAAAAGCATCCTTAATAATCGTCTCGACTTGCGCCCGGGACAGGGGATGGCGCTCCCTCTCCTTCAAGTCGTGGCCCTCACCGCTGCCGGGGACGTATTGATTCTTAAAATTGACCTGGTTATCAAGAAACGGCATAATCAAGCTTCCAGCAGCACCACCGGCTCGGCACTGCTCTCGTTCGTAGCTGCCGACAGGATCGTACGAGTACACAGCACCCTTGCCCTCGTCGTCCAGACCGCCCAGCATGGCTGTCACGTAGTAAGGGAAGAATCGCTTCTGGTATAGGATTGTTGACAACCGCTTGGCGCAGGCATTCAGCGTCATAGGCTTGCCATGTCGGTACCGATAGATCTTGCAGATGGTGTCGAGCTGGTCTTTTAGGGCGGTGCCATCGGCGGCGAATCCGCAGACAGAGAGCACAATAGTGGCGTCATCTTGCGATGCGGTTGAGCCACCGATCTTGAAAACTTTGGGAGCCATTCGAGAGTTGATGCTGTAGCCACTGGTGTGTCTGGTATCGCCGGCCATGATGGTGAAGTCGGCACCAGCGATGCCCAGTGTGGAACCGCCGTTGTCGGTGTAACTACGGTTGCGTTAAAATATATGAGACTTCGAAGGAACAGAGAGAGAGAACAGTACGGGTTGAAGCGATGCTCGCGAGGTTCTCCATTGGTCTGGGGAGCATCCGAGAAGGAGTAGTTGGGGCCATTCATGACCGGGTTTTGGCTAAACATGGCGGCCATTTTGGCGGGTAGTGTGTGTCGCTGGAGTTGAGACCGAAGGGACAGAGCTGGATACAATGATGGGTCTGCGACGGATGGACGATGCTCGTGTTGGGGGTGACGCTCTCGAGCTGCTTGTCGATGGAACTTCGGATGGCCTCTATTGCATGGGCGCGTCGTCAGGTCTGCTGGAGCCTTGCCAGCTGCAGTGGAAGCCTCACGTTGGGGAGGCTCTGATGACTAAGCTGCCACAGGACGGGCAAGTGCCAAGAGGCACCTGCCCAGGTGTTGAGCACCTACCTCTAGACTTGTTAAGTACCTACTAAGTACCTGCCTAGGTAGATAAGTAGGTAGGTACCTACCTACTGGGGTACAGAGGACGTTCCCCCCAATCAGAAAGGAGTCACCGCCACTTGCAGGGGAGGGTGATATCCCCAGATTGACTTTACCATCTGCTACCGAGGCAAGGCATCAGGTGTCGTTTCTCTCTTTGGTAGTCTTCCTTCTTTGCTTGGACATTGCATCCCCTTGATTCGTTTCTCATGCCATAACATTTTTGCAGCAAACATGACGCGAGATATTCGCGCCAAAGCGTTCGAACGCATAGCAGCGCTCTCTGCGGCGAGTTCTGCAACGTCCTTCGACAAGTCAGATCTCGACAGGCTGTGCCGCGCCTGTCACTCTGCACGAGGCCGAGAGTATAGCCATGGAGGATACAGCACTAAGCAAGCTGGCTCCCTGGGTCGGATTCCAATGGTATGGGCATGCTGGGCAACGCAATACTCGAAGACCTGGCAGCTAACTTGAAGCCTAGTCAATTCGCGAGTTCGAGGTTCTCGTGGCCTTGTGCAAGACTGCACCCAGCATTCAGTCGGGCCAGAGCGCGCAAAAACTCTCGTACCGATTGATTCCCTATATCCTCGAAGCACATACCCAGGTCTTTGCGTCGTCGCCATTCTTCCGCAAAGTCGAGCCATCACCGACCGAGTCCCTAGCCTTTCATCTCACCGCGGCACTGCTTTCTCTAGGCACCAATTATGTCGACTTAAAGGAAACCGTTGCAGACGGAATATGGGCTTTTACCAATGCATGTGGTAGAGCGACTGAGAGTGTACTCTCGCCATTGTCTGGAGATCCTGGAAGCCTTCCCGTCGACGATGCAATTCGTACTGTAACAATTGCTCTGGCCGTCTTGGGTTTCCTGGACGCTGCTTGCGCGCAGGCCGACTTTTGGAAGGCCGGAGGTAGGCTGGGACTGATTCAAAAGATTAATCAGCTTCTCTCTGAACCATTTCTGGTTGCAGTGGAGACGTCGTTATCGACCATTCGAAACTCCCATAGTCACACCCACGAGGTTCGAGAATGGAAGCGGTTGCTGCGCCAGTATGCATCTCACGGACGGCCGCTTGGTGCCTTGCTCATCCGACGTAGCTTCATCTGGCTTGTACTCTCTAGCACATCATTAATGATTGCCGACGGGCCTGCCCTTCGCAAGCAGCACGTTCTTGACCTGCTCATGTCTGGAGATATATCCGCCTTGAATGAACAAGCACGACTCCTGGACCGAGATTTGAGATCGGTCGAGGTGTATGCCGGAATTGCCACCGAACAAATGGACTACCTCGATGCTGGTGCTGATTTCGTCCGCCTGGGCGCTCCGGACCAACAGAAGTTGGCATATGATGTCAAGTCTGCTGCCATGATTGCCTACTTGAATTGCTCATTCCTCAACGAGGACGTGGCCGATTCCGATGTCCTCATGGGCTGGCTGCAAGAGACTCTGGAAGACACATTGCAAATGTCTGATGCTGGACTCTCTGTCGTCGTTCTGCGATGTATGGCTCTGATCTGCCGGATTTCACCGTCATATTCGCCCGCCGTCAGCCGTGCCCTTCCTCGCTTTTTGGTCCAGACGGCACCGCACGGTGACTCTATCAAAGTCGCCTCGAAGAGCTTGGCCTTTGTGTTAAAGTTGCTGTCCAAGGACGCCATCATCAGCACTCTTTATACCCTCGGAAACGTCTTGAGCCCGGATTCCGACGCAGAAATTGCCAACGGTCTCGCTAATGGCGTCTCCGATGAAGGCGCAACTGCTGGAGGCTACAACCGCAGTCGTTCCGCTGGCAGTTCAATCTCACTCTTGATGAATGGCGGGCAAGAGACGGCCATTGTCTATGGTAACGTGGTGGAGGCCATTTGCACTATTGCCACAGAGTCTGGCGACGAGAAGATTATTGCCTTGGCCCAGTCGATGCTCCTCCAAAAGCTTGACAAGGTCAATGCTAGCGTTGACACCAAGGTAATTTCTGGCGCGGCCAAGTTATCTTTCCATGGTGGACAGCTAGAGTTTCGGTCCTTGCTCAAAATGTACAGCAGAATCTGCCACATTGGCGTCGTTGACCACAAGGACTTCCTCCTGACTGCCGTTATGAAGGCCCGGACGTACATTTCCGCCAATTTGCGCCGTGACTCCTCCCTCTTCACAATCTACTGGGAATATCTACTCGACGCCATCATCTCGCTTGGTGATGCCGAATCTCCACACCACACAAAAGAGTCAGACGTGCAGCTGGCTGCTCAAGAAATCGCCGAACTCCTGCGTCCTTTGGCAGTGTTCATGGCCAGCAACGATGTAGCGTCAAACCCCATTGACGACGACGAGACGTATTTGCTGCTCAAGGACGCGTGGTTCAACATTGTCGTTCACGGCTTCACCACAACTACAGATCGTGGCAGGAGGTACATTAATGAGCTTCGTACTATTGCTGTTCATTCGCCTCCCCTGGTCGCTGGAGAGCGCATGGAGGTCGTCGAGAGCGACATCGAACTCAACACGGTGCTCAGACGCGCAAACAGTGGGGAGCGAGAGGCTGCGCAGAAGAAGCTCTTGATCGAGTTGATACCGTCCAAGGTATCCGACATCAAGAGCCTGAGCTATCGCAAAGTCATCTTCCTACAGGCCGCATACCTTGTTGAGAGTCTACGAGCCGATACGGGTGACTGCACAAAGGTCTTGTCCTACTTTTTGGAACCCAGCATGCGCAAGGGCGAAGTAAGCAGCACGATGGAAGGCATCGCCGCCGCAGTCGTGGAAAAGTATCTCAAAAAGACGCTGGCTGGCTCGGAGCCCACCTTTTCAGCACAGTATGCAGCAATACAGCTTGCAAATATCTTCTGCGTTTGTTGCCATCGCATCGAGCGCGTACAGCAAGCTGCGTTTACCTGTGCCGACCGCATCCTTGGAGATGTGCCCTCAGCTCTGTGCCAGAGGAAGTCGCTCTTTGCTCTTCTTGAATTGCTGTCTCTCATGTGGTCGAGTTGTCTCGAGGCTGAAACTGATCCCTACGCACCCGAATCCACCTTCAGGTCTGATGTCGGAAAAGTGACCGTGGAATTGTCCGACGACTTTGATTTCCGCCGCTCGACACTGAACCAACTCCACCGCAAGGCAAAAGTCTGGGTCAGTGCTGCAATCAACCTTGCCCCCATGGACGTCAAGGGCTTGTTGCAGACGTACCTTTCCGAGTTTGACAACGAGGGAGCCTATGGCCGCATCTCTCTGGGCAGATCGTTTGCGCTGGAGCTGGGGTCCACGATTCCATCGTCGGACAACCGGCTTCAGTCTCTGGAAAAGGTCGGCACCTACGAGATTAATACAGGCTCAGACCTCATTGCGCAGTATACCACGAGACAAGAATATCGATACGGCGAGATTTTGCCAGATCGTGGAACTGAGCTGATTAGCTTCATGAATGGCAATCGACGATCGTCATTTTCTCAGTCACATGTGACGGAGAGTGCCAATGCCGCAACTGCTTTGGCTCATGTCGAGGCCCGCATCTTGAGCAAAAAGGCGACGTCCTTGAACGAAGTCCGCGACATCCTGAGACGGGCTGCGGCCTTGCTTTGCCGAAGTTACCGGGACGAGTCGGCAGTTGCACAATCCCTCGTTAGCATGCCATTCGCATTGTTTACCAAGCCGTCCATCAACGTCGGCGTCTCCCTGTGGCTGGGTGTCATGAATGAGAATCCGCGGCTCGAGCCAAAACTCTTGAACTGCATTGCCCAACAGTGGGAGTTTACTATCACGCGAAAAGTTGGCCTCTTTAGCCCGGCATTGGTAGATGTTGATTCCTTTTTCCTGAAGAAAGAGTTTGCTCCTAGTGACCTCGAGCTCATGGCCAAGAAGCGACGGGCTGTCCACGACCTGCTGTCGCCGCACACTCGACTTGTGCAATTCTTTACCAGCCATTTCAACGCCACTCTGCTGGGAAGCAGTGACATACATAGGGTCTTCTTCCGCATGCTAGACCTCACGCTGACTGCTTTGAAAGAGGGCCCCTCGCACCCCATGACCCGAGAATTGCGCTTTCAGCTTGTACTCCTCGGCCTCAGGGTCCTTCACTCCTCGAGCACTTCAATTGGAGAAACGGCACGGTGGAGCTTCAAGGACAAGATCTTGTCAGCGGGTCTCGCCTGGTTCAGAACTGCCCCCAAGTGGTCTTTCGGTAGCAACATTCTTCAGATGAAGACTGAAGTCCGATTGATTGCTGACGTTTTGGCCGCCATGAAGTCGACTTCCCCTGCCGGGGCGCCTGTGGTTGGCAATGTTGAGTCTCTACACGCCAAGGAGCGGTTGCTTCAATTGCTGCTGGAGCATGAGCAGTCAAGGCTCGCTGTTTGGATCAACCCTCTCAATCAACAAGGGCTGCAATTGCCGGTACACAGTACGTCAAAGTCGTCCGTTGAGAATGCCCTGATTCCTCTTGTCAAAACAGCCTGGCAGCAGGATCCGTCCATTGCCATTGAGCTCGCCACGAGGTTCAACTTCCCTCGCCTCCACAGGGATATTCGACAACTGCTCTTGTCCATCCCCGAGAAGGCCATATCCAATCCAGAAGCTTTGCCTTTGATATTTGGAGGGATATTGCCGGACGATGTAAATTCACAGCTCAAGGTAAGTTCGCCGCGCGCTTGTCCCATGATGGTTCTAACGGATTGCAGTATCTCCTCGTTTGGGAACCTGTCAACCCTCTTACAGCCGTGACCTTGTTCTTGCCAGCCTACAAGAACCACCCCTTCATTATCCAGTATGCCATGAGGGCGCTGGAGAGCCATTCTGTGGACGTCACCTTCTTCTACGTTCCCCAAATTGTGCAGACGCTCAGGTATGATGCCCTGGGTTATGTTGAGCGATACATTTTGGAGACAGCCCAGTTCTCTCAGTTGTTTGCACATCAAATCATTTGGAACATGAAGGCAAACTCGTATAAAGATGACGACGCTCAGGTGCCGGACGAGATCAAGCCGGCTCTTGACTGCGTCATGGAGAAGATGTTGGAGAGCTTCGCTCCCCTGGACAGAGACTTTTATGAGCGGGAATTTGCCTTTTTCGACGAAGTCACTGGCATTTCTGGCAAACTCAAACCCCTCATCAAGAGACCGAAGCCCGAGAAGAAACAGAAGATTGAGGAGGAGCTCCGCAAAATCAAGGTCGAGGTCGGCGTCTACCTCCCTAGCAACCCTGATGGTGTTGTCATTGGCATCGACCGCAAATCCGGCAAACCTCTGCAGAGCCACGCGAAAGCGCCCTACATGGCCACGTTCCGCATCCGCAGGAACGAGAGCGGCGGAGACGAGACCAATGGCACGGCCCTCGAACAAGCCCGAGAGGACAAGGGCCAAGACGAACATCAGTCCCAGGACCGCACCATTGAGGTGTGGCAGTCTGCCATCTTCAAGGTCGGCGACGACTGCAGGCAGGACGTGTTGGCCCTCCAGATGATCTCCGCCTTCCGCGGCATCTTCCACAGCGTAGGACTGGACGTCTACGTCTTCCCGTACCGCGTGACGGCCACGGCCCCTGGCTGCGGCGTCATTGACGTGCTGCCCAACTCCATCTCGCGCGACATGCTTGGCCGAGAAGCCGTCAACGGCCTCTACGACTACTTCATCTCCAAGTACGGCAACGAGGACTCGCTCCGCTTCCAGCGCGCCCGCAGCAACTTTGTCAAATCCATGGCCGCCTACTCTGTCATCTCGTTCCTCCTGCAGTTCAAGGACCGCCACAACGGCAACATCATGATTGATGACGCCGGGCACATTCTCCACATTGACTTCGGCTTCTGCTTCGACATCGCGCCCGGGGGCATCAAGTTCGAGCGCGCGCCCTTCAAGCTGACCAGCGAGATGGTGGCCGTCATGGGCGGGTCAACCGACCACCAGAGCTTCAAGTGCTTCGAGGAGCTGTGCGTCAAGTCCTTCCTCGCCAGCAGGCAGTACTGCGAGAAGCTGAGCCAGATCGTGCTGCTCATGATGGACAGCGGCCTGCCATGCTTCAAGCCGGAGAGTGTCAAGCACTTCAAGGAGCGGTTTGTGCTGGAGAAGTCGGAGAGGGAGGCGGCCAGTTTCATGAAGGGCCTCATCAAGACGAGTTATTCTAGTTACAGCACGGGTGTCTATGACCAGTTCCAGCTGCTTACCAACGGAATACCCTACTGAGAGGGAACTCCTCTGATCCAACTCTTCTTTTCCTGGCCCCTTTTTTTTTTGAGCCAAAAATTGTCGTGTTCCTTGTATTTTATTTTACTTTTTATTTTGTGCTATTCAAGTAGTTACAAGGTACAATCGCATAATACACAAGCTTACATGGTTCGCTACGTCGAAGCCATGGAAATGCCAATCCTGTAAAAGACTGGCGCCTGTCCCGCCAGGTAATATCGATTGGTGTTCCCATGGCGTTTTTTACACCCCGTCAATCGGGAGGTCTGGATCCCCGGACTCATGGGGTCATGCAGAGCTCTGCTTGAGCATGTGCGTCGGGGCATTATAACTCGTGTAATCTACATGCACAAAGGCCCTATCCACAATGGGCACCGACTCCAAGAAATACGTGAGCACTTCACTTAGGTCGTGGCTGTCCTTGAGGGGCGTAACGGCCGACAGGACAATGTCCACTTCTACGAACAGTTTGTCGCCAGCATGGTAGGCGCGCAGATTCTGAATCTGTCGGATGGCGGTTGCAAAGCGCATGGTGAGATAAAGGAGGAGGTTACGTTCGTCGGGTTGGGCCGAGAATCCGGTGAGGTTGCGGACGTGATGGGCCGATGTTTGGCTCCATGTGAGGATGACGACGAGGGAGAGGACAAGACCGCCCGCAGCGTCGAGCCACCATATTCGGCCGTAGAAGCCGACTGTACACAGTTAGGGGTGACTCTGCAGAGTGAGGAGACCTATTGCACATACCGATGGGGAAGAAGATTGAGCCGATGTTGAAAATGACGTCGGTCTTGGCGTCCTCGGCCCTGAAAATATCTTGGTGAGTGCTACCCTTGAGGAAAGAGCTCGGCAACGTACAATGCTCGAACGCTAGAATTTTTAACTAGCCTGCACCAGACCCAACATCCGCCTTTGATAACGATCGTGCTGACCATGATGATGATGGCGGGAAGGCCGAGCTGAAGAATCTCGTGTTCGGGTTTTGCAAGACGTTGGACACATTCGAGGCCGACTTGGACAAAAGATGTGACCATGATGACGGAGAAGACTAGGACTCCCACAGGTTCCAACCTGTGAATGGATCAGTTTGGGGGATTGCTGTCAGAGAAGTAGCTGGGGGAATTCGCACCGACGACGCCCAACGGGGTAGTGATGCTGATCCTGCTGACCAGCCGAGATCAATCGTGTAGTAGTCCAGACGATAGCAGTGCTAAGAAAGTCGAGAACTGCGTCTACCAAACTAGCCAGTACGGACATGGAAGGCACAGATACAATCACGGCGACTTTCCCGACGAGCAGAATAATGTTGGCAATCATGTTCACCCAGATGGCGAGCATGACAATTGGATCATCGCTGTCAATTTCGGCATCCTCAAGCCACGGAAGATTTGGCCGTGGGCCAGAGTCGCTGGAGTTGGACTGAACAGCGGCGTGCGGCGTGCGATCCTCTCCCTCGCCATCATCATGGGCGTGTTTCAACAGAGGCAAGTTTTCAGAAGATCGGAAGATGTCCTTTGGTGTCCGTTTTTGAGGCAACGCCACTTGCTTGGAGACTTCATCGACAGGCGAGCCGCTGGTGTTGGGATTTGCGTTGGCGTTGGCGCTGGCGCTGGCGTTGCCGTTGCCGTTGCCGTTGCCGTTGATGGTGCCATATGAGCCCGAAGCTTGCTGATACTGCTCCATTGAAGCGCCGAGAGACGCCGATGCAGATTCGGACAGAGACTGAGATGAGCCTGGTTCCTCGGCAATGGTGGCGGGGACATCGATGGGCCTGAAGGCAGAGGCCTCGAGCTCGGCATTGTACTCATTGAGCAAATCGTGAGGAATGGAAGAGTCCAGAAGACAGTCTATGTACATGTATTGCTCAATGAGCTCGTTTGTCCGCTCATAGTACTCTCGTCTTGGACGGACGTCAGTGTTGCATGGAAGCGAAGGCAGAGAGAGAGAGAGAGAGAGAGAGAGGGCGGGTTCGGTGTGTCACTCACATGGGCCTCTTCATGGTCTGCAACTCGTCGTCGTGTTTCCAGTAGCGCTCCCATTGATAGCGAGGGTTGCTTTTACCAATCAGATTCATGCTGCGAGCCAACGGACCCTTGAGAATCTGACTCAGGCGGTTCTCATCCCGGAGGAGGCGCTCGATGGCATCGTCTTCTTCGTGGCGCATCCACAAGCCAGCTTCCTCGTCGTCGGTGCCATGGCGATGGAGGGGAGGAGGCCAAGAGCCGGCCAAGCTCTGTTGAGACCGGCTGCGGATGAGCGAGGCGAGAGTACCGGTTCGAGTGGCAAGCGGATAGTGGTGATGGTTGTCGTCAAGAGAGAGGAGTGAGGGCCGGCGAACCGGACTGGAGCGGTGATTTGGCGAGCTCATTTGAGCGGCAGTTCATGGCAGGGCTCTCAAAGACCTTCATCAGACTGCAGACGTCGGCCTTTTGGCGAGGCTGCGGCCGACAAGAGAAGTGAATGAATAAGTGGAAAGCCGAGGTCTAATGAAAGGGTCCAAGCAAAAGGAAGGACTTTGTAAAGTTAATTTTTTTCCCCAGGGAATGCACGACGGCTGACTGACTCGAGTCCCTTTGTCGGTGAGTGGTACCAGTTGGTAGACAATGATATGGTTTTCTGGTGGGGTTTTTTTTTTTTTAAGTTGCAGAGAAGAAGTGAAGCAACATTTGAACCCTGGGTGCATAACGTTATCTTATGTCTTGCACCAAGGAAGTAACGAACGATTGACTGTAGGTGGGTGCAGGTGCAGGGTCAAAAGCTACAGGGATTGGTGGGCTCCACCGTCAGGTACCTGCTCGTGCAAGTGCCCTACTTGAACCTACCGAAGCGCTTATTAAGTAAGTACTTAAGTACTCGGTACTTAACTTCGTTGCAAAGCATGACGCGTGCTGGCGACAGAGAATCTAGGTACCTAGATACTTGGGCTATCCGTTCAATGCCGTGCTATGCGCATCCCAGATTCGGTTCTTCAAATTAGAGGCAGCTAGCTAAGTATCTGCCTGGCTTCAAGATGGGGGCTAAACCGTGAATATTTGACCAGGGCAGATGATCGATTGATGCCGGCGGATGCTAAATGGCCATCGATGCTGTACAATACTCTATAGCCTGTAGGTACCTACTGAAGTATTGAGAACTAAGAACTTAAGTAGTCACGAAGTAGGTCAATGCAGTGAGTTCATGACACTTAGTGTACCCGCACAGTGGGTTGCTCTAGGTACCTAGGAGCCTAGCTACCCTAAGTAGGTTGGTACCTAAGTTTCAAGGTAAATAATAGACCAAGGAGTGAAGGTATGTACTAAGTAAGTAAGTAAAGTTAAGTGCTTAGTTAAGTAGGTAGTGTTAGTACTTGCATAGTGCATTGGTCAGACTGATGAATCCATCCTGGAGACAACTTCATGCCTGGCTGAGCCTCGACTATTGGGTCAAGTGCCTAGGTAACTTACCTACTCCGTTCCCAGAACGAGCCCCCTCCCCGACTTGTCGCCCGTCAGGTCGCTCCTTCCCCTGGTTGGCTGCCGTCGTCCCAGCCGCCAACAGAGTAACATCGAATACTACTCCGTATTCCTGCCGCAACTTGCTGGTAAGAGCATAGTTATTCAGTCTTCATTTATTTGAGGCATTCATTCCTCTGTCTTCCTGCCCCGGGGAAAGAGCACATGTCCGCCGTGCGGTGCCGAGTTGACACAGCCAAACTTCTCCGACGCTAATGCTGACGCAATGACACACATACACACACACACGCGGACTATGCTCCATCTGCTGCCGAGGAGCACCACACGGCTGGATAAGCTGTACGATACCGGAATCTCCATGTAAACAGGTTTGACGGGTGACACGGAACAGCTTTTACAATGGCCTGGTTCGCGCGCGCATTTACCCTCAATTGACTGACGATCGCCGCCTCCAGGCTGCTCCGTACATGAGCTGCTGACCTTTCCAACTCGGTCATTCGCATCGACTACAAGTCGACATCTGTATTACGCAGTGCCCAGTCTCAACCCCGCGACAAACTAGCAGATTTCTTTGCAGTCTGCTCCCGGTCCGGTTTTCTGCACCTAACCCTTTGTTGTTCGAATGCCGAGTGTGGACTGGGTCTGGGGCAATTAGACACGCATCACTCCGCCAGGTAGCTCTACGTATGAATTATGCAGTCGCGGTACCTACACTTCTTCAGAGGATACCGCTGGTCGGTCCGCTGCAGACAGCCGCATGAAGTAGCGGCTCCACAGAAGCTCACAGCTTACTCCGTACTCTGTACCACTTGAGCCTTTATGTAGCATCGCGAGTTCGCAAACACACAATGATGAGCTTCTTTGAAAGTTTTATCTTGTCTGCCTCCCAAGGCTGTAGAGCCATACAAGTACATATAGACCACACAAAACTTGTATAAAAGGGGCGTTGATCTAATCTTGGACTAGAGGTGATCAAGTTGCAACGCATCCATTGGCCAATGAAAAACCCAGCCAGGGACATCCTTGTCCAGGGTTTAGCCGTTCGCACAGGCAGCAGTTGCAGGGGTCTGCCCTGGTCGTGCGCTTCCTCCATCCAACCAGCCATGGCCCATCACCAAATCACCTCCGCATTTGCTTGGCTCATGTCACATTGCGTAACTATAACAATCGTACTGCTATTCAAGAGTGCCCCTGGTCTGTTGGATGGACCTCTAGGGGCAGCCAGGACGTCAGTTGAACAAGGTGCTGGTTTATGAAGCTGGGCATGTCGTACCACTCCTTGCTCCAGATCAGATGCCCGTACGGAATAGAAGTAGCATCCAGTCACTGACAGGACAAGAGGCAATGACAAAGATCGAAGGCGGATTGTTGACTCTTGAGTCTTGGCCACATGCGCACGGGCAAGTGTTCCAGACTTCCAGTTGTCAGCAGTTGACGATTTGAAAGCTTGTGGCACTAGTTTGCCCGGTTGCGCCTTCCAGTCCTACGGATCCTTGGCAACCAGCTCTTGCCCTGGCGCGAACCCCAAGACATGGCATGGCATGGCGTCTCTTCTTTCTTGTCGCGATGGCTTCTTTGTGCCTCCCGGGCAATGGTGGCCATGCCATGGGCCATGGCCGACGGGTGGCCAGCGGCGACTGTTCCACATCAGGTTGACGCAGTTGGCAAGCCCCCGCCACGCAAGATTGGAAACCTTTGTTGAGACGTTCCAGGCCGATTGTCGCAATCGGAATTTTTCAAGCGGCACCGCCCTAGCGACATGCCAGCAAGTTGGCCAGTTGGAGTACTTTTGCTGAAGTTGACGTCGCCACTGATGCAAAGTTTCAGACACAGCATCACTCTGGGTCGTGATATTCAGCAGACAGAAACCCGAGTACGGCGGACGATGGACAGCACAAAACTCTCTTTCGTTAATTGTCCATGTCGGTTCGGGTGGGACATGATATCCACGGCCGCGCCTCCCCAGAAGAAGGCCTCCCTCCTATTACTTGGACAGAGGGAGCCGAGAGTCCAAAAGACACACGCCCAGCGATGCCAGGCACATCTTTCAGCCTCTGACCTGCACAGCCGCCAGCGATCGCAATCCAAACCCGGCCGTGCGGATCGTAGACTGTGGGAGGGGGGGCAACACATGTTGGGTTCCAGTTGGCGTCGCTGATGAAAGCTTGTTGTTGCCGATCCCCATGGCCTGAATGCACGCAGCACACTAACAACTTACCAACCGAAAGCATGAGTCCGCGGGAATCACGTCCGCACAGGGAGAGACATGTCTTGCCCATGGCAGCAACCTTTTATTGTGTCCACGACAACCCGCAAAACATTTGTGTCCGTCGTACGGAGCACAAAGCGCAGCAAGTACTTATTCTGCGGCGCCGACAGTGTCAGTGTTGGGCAATCAGCGGTCTTGCGCTACCTTCCCCCCCCCCAAACATCAATGCCGCCTTATTATAGTCTGCTGCCATTGGAAAGAAGGGGCACCGAGTAATAGCCAGCGCCCCTGAGTGACGGAAATAGCAGCGACCAGACTAGCGGAACGAGTAATGTGCAGCTGCTGCGGCGCGCCCTGGAAGTGGCTTTCCTTGTCCAATACCTTCTCCGAACATACTATCTGGTGTCAGAGACTAGGCACCGCCACCCGTCATCGTATTGGGCGGGTGGCCACAAGCTTTGCGACGACGGCGGAGTTATTGACAGTCTCCGAGGCGGGGCTGTGCATGCATTGACCTGTGGTCGAGGATTCCTCGAGCTGCGTTCAGGAGATCGGCACTCTGAAAATCTTGAACACCGTTGGAATGCTGGTTAGTTACGTGCGGGATGGTCCCGTCTCCCTCCCGGTGCCTGTGGTTCCACATGATAGAAGTTGCTTATTAAGGCTTCACTAGATTGACGCTACGTATTACTGATATTCCGCTTCGTTTTTGGACTCGGGTTTGCTTGTTCCTTGGCCAGATCAATGCAGAAAAGTACAGGCGTACGAGAGCATCGGTTTGTCGTTGTTGGTGCGCCAAGTGGACGGAGCAGCAGGCAATTGCACAGAGCACGGGATAGCTGCCTCCACGGTTTCCCCCTTGTGGATTCACTACACTTCACGGCTTGACGGATGAAGACGGAGATGGCGGAGGTTGTTCCCACGGTTTCTCAGCTCAACACACATAAGCATCGACGTGACTCGCTCTTTTGTGATATAACAAAGCAACAGGCGTTGTCGGATATATCCTGAAGTTTTTGCTCAAGGGTCACCCAAGCAAGCATCCATCTACAGAGTGGACTAACGACCAGTGAGCCAGCAAAACGGGATTGTACGACACAGTCTTCTGCGCGTGAATGGAACCTATCCACCAGGTGCCTGACCTGGATGGAGGCTGGTTGCTGTTTCTGCTGTTACGCATGAACTACTACGACTTGGCTCTGGGTCCAAAAGCAGACGTGGCTGCTGGGCTATGACATGGAAGCGTAGGATGGACGCCCCATTCATCCATTCATTCATTCATTCATGGAAGGGGATGATGATGGCATGCCGGCAATGGTTTTCCGTCTGCTTGACGAGTTCGTTGTCCTCTTTGTCGTCTCACTCCCCGCTTCCCCTTTTACTCTTGTCCCATTTGTGCCTCTTTTGCCATTTTCTGACGGTCGTGCTCCGTACTCAGTCTCCGTACCAGCACGGGAACAGGGGAAAGCCAGAGAGAGGACAATCCCGGCAACGGTTAGGGTGCGGGCAAGCTGCCAGGGACATGAAGACTAATAAAGTACGGAGTACGTACGCGCCTGTGGTTTGACTAGCATGGGCTAGTGCGTAATGGTAGGGGCAATAGTGGCAACAATAATAACTGCGCGGTACTGCGACCTAAGCGATATACCTACTGCAGTACCTAGCAGGTACAAGCAAGTACCTACCTATCTACCTCGGTTCTATGGTTGTACAATGTCCAGACGCCGCGGCCGCGTCCAGCTTGTCGGCGGCGGGATGCATACTTCCTAAGTACTTAAGTACTTAATGTACTTACCTGGACTCACCCATGGGCGCTCCTGGAATTGGAAATTGGTGTGCCGAAAGTAGATCCGCAGGCAAATTACCGTTAAGTAAGTACTTACAGAACTTGAGAAGAAGAGGTCGGAGCCCGCCACGGACATGAGGCACGGAGAATATACTAGTTACTAGGTACCTACCTAGGTAAGTAGGTACTTGGCACTTTAATTTAATTGCCCAGGTACTAAGTAAGTGGCCAGTACGCACTCAACTTAAGTACGTACCTACTCAAGTAGGTACTTACGTTAGGTACTTGGGTACTTACGTAAGGCTCCAAGGCTCCAGTACGCATGTACGGAGTCCCGTACCCCGTACCGTAGCGGCGGCTGCCCTAGGTCACAGGTGCAACCAGTTGACATGTGTCTTGGCCAGCGAGTGAGCGAAGTGAGTGAATCAGACAGAACCAGGTGAGCGAGGGTCAAGCGCTTCCCGTAGTGGGTAGTGGCCGCTGGCCCCAACATTGCAAGTCGATTGTCGATTGGTGGTTCGCCCGCGTTCCCGATGGCCGATGGGCCAGGCCACGCTTGCAGGCCTGGTTCTGGTTGCCAGTGGCTGTTCCGTCGTCTGGGAGAAGAAGCCTTGCCCTTTCTCGTAAACCTGGCCGCTGCCGAATTCCACCGCCCCCCCTACCACCAGACATGTTGCACGTCTCCCTCCGACTCTTGATCTCTTGACTATTTTTTTGTGCCAATTATCCATTAGCTACTGCACAGGCTTAGCGTTTTGTTTGTCGAGCAACCGAGTCCTCGAGCCTAACTCTTGTTTGGAAGTTTGGGTCGATTGCGACCCACGACACGACAACGGCTACCGACAACGGGCAACGGGCAACGGGCAACGGGCAACGGGCAACGGGCATCTCCATTTTTTGGCCTTGTAAAGTTTAGCCTGGTTGCCTTCCCCCCTTCTTCTTGCCTGACCGTTCGACCGGTCTCTGTCAGCCTAGGCCCAGGCCCAGGCCCAATGAACACCTCGAACCGTCCGCCGCCCACCAGTTGACCCGCCCTCGAATTAGGCTTGGCCGTTGGTCGTTTCTCCGTGCCTGCCGTTCGAATCTCCTTCTCGCACTTCTCCAAGAAACAACCTTCCTTTTCCCACCGTGGTCTGCGGTGTCTAATTCTGCCTCATTTTCCGCTCTGCTCCTGTGTTTAGCCTCTTTGCTCTTTCCCTTGCTTCTCGTCTTTATTACATTTTTGCTCTGCTATCTTCCTTCCCTTGTTCTGCTCCTTGCGAGATTAATGTGAGTCTGCACACCATCTTCCCGGCCCCTTCTCTCCATCATCCCGGCCAGGCCATAGTATCACCGATCTGAGGAAAGTCTTGCGTTTTGTAGCAGCCCGTCATGGTTGTGCAGAACTTGTGGGCCGATACATCATGTTCTTCTGACCAAAAGAGAGAACAAACAACCCCTGAAATCTGTTGGACGACGATGCTATTCTTGCCTAGATGTGAAGTTGTTGCAGTCACATTCTCAAACCGACGACTGACTTTACTATTGTTATCTCAACACAGTTGTCCGCTCGGCCCTTCTGAAGTATCGTACAGTCAAAATCTCCGTCGGAGTTCCCTATTCTGTACCGTTTGCGCGACCGTGACACCTCGTATCGCAAACCCACCTGCTCGATTTCACTTCTGACAATTTTTCCGGCCGCTCTCGTCAAACCCAACGACGACAACAATCGTTCGCGACCCCGTCTTTGCCGAGGTCTGTTTTTTTTTTTTTGCGTGCAAGCGTGTGTGCGAGAAGCTTGCAAAGGACCGCAACATAGCCCATTTGGCAGGCAGTCTACATGCCTAGGTTCTCAGTTGCGTTTGCCAAGCGGAAATCCGCTGCAGATGTCCACGAAAATGCCCCAATAGCACCCCAGGATGCCCCGTCCTTCCGTGTCATTGAACGATCGGAAATCGAAAGCGGCCGATCATTCGATGGTGGTGCGAGAATGGCCAGAACATCCAGGTCATTTCCTGTCAAGACCAACCTCGTCGATTTGGGCGTGGAGGATAATATGTTTGCTGATCTGAAGATCAATCGGTAAGTCGGCCAAGGCCATACCCGTCATTTGTTGTAAGAGACATCTACAAATGGCCTCTATTCGCAGCGTCTTTACTCGGTGTGGCACCTGTTTGTGGGAGCCAGCTTGATGGCTAATCAATCCGAAAAGCGGTAGCAACATCTCAAACACCACCAAAGGGACCTCGACCGATATTTCCTCGAGACACAGCAATGCCTCTACCGCTCCGTCATCCGCAGATATGGGAAGCCCCAATGGTCACGACGACATCCGATCAACGCCACAATCAGCACCGCACGAAAGCCTCAGCCGGCCCGGATCCAAGTCCATTGGCGCTGGACTGTTAGACCGAGCCACGCGAACCTTTTCATTTGGAGGGCAAAAGAAACACTCCATCCCCCCGCCCAAGCAAGACCCCGTTCCGGATTTACCTCCTGTTTTGAGTATCAGTGGAGATTATCCCGGTGCCTCCATCTCCAGAGGCATGACCTCATCCACGGCAAGCACTGCGGTCCCGAGCAACAATCCCGGCGCCGAGGATGGCAGTGAAGGAGCTTTAGATCTGGGCGGCGACTTCGGGTCCATGTTCAGGTCATTTGATAAGAGAGCAAGCACTGCGACCCTGACAATGACCAACCAAGACTCAGCGGCCCCGAGGTCCTTGACTGGCAATCGATACGGCACGCCATGCCCTCTGAGCCCAGACAACATTAACCCAAGTGAGCCGCTCTTGAATCAACGCAGTCCGACGTTGAGTGACGATGGGCCAACGTCGCCCACACCCCCCCAGAACGACTTGCCGCCCCCTGTTCCACGACATGAACATCTCAACTCCTTCAAATACTCGAGTCGACCGGCAGACATTGTTGAAGACGAAGACGCAAAGCTTTTGCGAGAGTCTTTTACAGCAATGAAGCTTTTGTCGGTCGATCCTCCCAAGGACAAATCACAAAGAAGTCTCTCACCCTCACGACAAAGTGAGAAATTAGAATCGTTGACGCCGACAACACTAGAGTCGAGTCACCTTAATCTCGAAAAGGAGGAAAATATGTTTGAGGGCAGCTCATCAAACATCACGCGAACTCCGCACCGACATGCTCCGCGGTCGTCGAATCCTCCGCGCAACAAGGTCATGACTCCTGCTCAGTTTGAAAGGTACCGACAAGATAAAGAGGGTCTGGGTATTGCTCAGGAGTCCCGCAGCGACGTCTACGCAGTGGTGAAGGTCGAAGATGATGATGACGAGATAAACTACGACGACGACGAAGACGAGCAGGAAAAATCAAAACAGCAGACGAGGCAAAGACGAAAACAAGAGGCTCACATGGCGGTGTACAGGCAGCAAATGATGAAGGTTACAGGAGAAACCAACGCAGCACCTCTGCCCACAAGACAGCCAATTCGACCCGGCATTCCGTCATCTTCTAGTGCACCAGTCCTGGGCCACCTGAACGCGTTGTCGCCGGATCCCGCAGCAACGACGGGTGCTACTTCTGAAGAGGACGATGAAGACGTACCACTAGCCATCCTTCAAGCTCATGGATTTCCCTCCAAGAATCGCCCGCCGACCCGACTCAGCATGTCCGGATCGAATCCCAACTTGCGTCCCTCTGTCGTGGGGCCACCCGCAGGCGGCCGTGCCCCTTCTGTCATGGGCGACTCTGCATCAGTCAGTGGTCGCCGTCACTCTAACCTTCCAGCTTTTGCCCGAAATCTCCCCCAAGATCCTTTCGTTGGTGCTAGTATTGCTAGACCTGCCATAAGGGAGTCGTTGACCTTTGGTGCCAATCCCAGACAACCCTCACCGCAGCTACCACAGCAGGGAGGAGGTCCTCTGCCGCCTGGCGGTCTCGTAGGCGTCATCGCCACTGAGGAACGATCAAGGGCCCTGCGACGAGGCACTCCTAGCGTTGACCAGAACAAGCTAATTGGCAGTGCCATGAATCCTGGGGCGAATACTGGATATGACCCGTATACAGGCATCCCCTCTCATATGATGTATCAGGGAGGAGGGATGCAAAGCATGCATCAGATGCCGCAACAGCAAATATTAACTCCTGGTGACCAGGCGCAGATACAAATGACACAGCAAATGCAGCAATTCATGCAGATGCAAATGCAGTTCATGCAGATGATGGCGGGAAGTCCAAATGGCGGCCCGATGATGCAGCAGCAGCCTCCGATGCAACCACCATACGCGGGTCGCATACCTGGTAATCAGTCCATGGGTGACCTGTCACGCCACTCCATGGTAGCCGACTCTACGATAAATCCCCGTCAAATGGATTACGGTATGCGTACAATGAGCATGGTACAACCCAGCTCGGCTTCCTTTATGGCATCGCATCAGCAGGGAACCTCTCCATCCCCTCGCGGCTCTGGTCTTCACGCCTACACGCCTTCAATTGCCCCCTCTGAACGGAGCAATGTTGGCTTGCCTGGACGATATAGGCCCGTATCGCAAGCGGCGGCATTGTCTCCTCTTCCTGGTCAACATGTGCGATCCAACACAATGTCCGGCGGTCTCTCCCTCTCTAATTGGAGCGATGATAAAAGCAAATCCACGGTAAAGCTCATGGGTAATTCCCGTGAAGGCTCAGACGACGATGAAGAGCAAGGCTGGGAAGCCATGAAAGCCAAGAGAGACAAGAAGCGATCAATTTGGAGGAGTAAGAGGAACACGGCAAATGAATTCAACATGGCCTTTTAAAGCCACATCCACCAAACTAGAGTCAGCCTCTTGCAGATTCTTTTGCCCCCATTTCTACACTTCCAAACCCGCACCTTTGCGCCTTTTGGCTTATGATTTTTTGAGTAGTCGGCCACTTGCTATTATTCACGCTCTCCCTAGGCGGTTACGCGTCGCATCACGTATGATAGATTCTGGATATTATGTGCTAATTCGAGTAATTTAAGTGGGTGAAAATTTCTTGCAAGTTTGTCTCACAAGGAGCATTATGCGTTGGGATTGATGCAGGTATAAAAGCTTCGACTTTGCCATTGGGTGGTCTTTGATGGCTAAACTAGCCTTTGCTGCAGCTTAATCTAATACACAATGTGCATAGCTGATTAGACAGGTCGTGGATGTATTACAACATCTGCAAGCATGATGGAACGACCTGTCTTCTACAACTTGAAAACTTGTAGCTGAATTTTCTATCATATTTTACGTAATTTGGAAACTTTCCGCTTGACGTGGGAGAGATTCCATCATCACCCTTCGATCTTGCCTTGGGTCCACTCCCTTCTCTTAACGCCCATCTCGACAGCAGCCAAGCCCCAATCCTCGCCATGGTTATGACCCTTTCCATTGATACCGGCGCGGGCCTGAGCTTGCTCATCGCTTAGCACGGTCAAGACGCCAAAAATGACAGGAATACCTGTGTCTAGCTGTACACGCATAAGGCCGTGGGACACAGCGTCGGCAATGTACTCAAAATGCATAGTTTCACCTTTGATAAGGACGCCGACAGCGATGATGGCGTCAAAAGCACCCGACGCGGCACCGCTGGAGAGAGACGTCAGGTCTGTTGTTGAAGAGGCGAGCAGATCTGTTGCCGAAGGGGCGCCAGCCGAGGTGGATTGGATCTGGGAGGCAGAGAAGAGCCTATGATTTGGTCAGCACGACGTTTTGCCTTCTTAACTAGATTAGTCAGTCCGTCAGAGCTTGCAAATTGACGGCCACGGAAAACAAAGAAAGGAAAAGGAAAGGAAAAGGAAAAACCTGACCGCTGAACAGCAAAGGGAAGCTCAAAGGATCCCGGACACGACTGGACCACGATATTGGACTCCTTGACACCACAGGCGAGCAGCTTTTCCTTGGCTCCAGCGACGAGGGGAGCAATCACGGAGTCGTTCCAGCGGGCGTGGACGATGCCGATGCGGAGGCCGGAGCCGTCGTGCTGCTGGGGGGTCGGGCCTTTAAGAGAAGACATGCTCAAGTATTTCCTGGGCCGGCTGGTGGATAAGATGACGGTGGTGTACAAAGACTTGGGAAGGATTCCGATGCTGAGCGCTGCCAGAGGGAGAGCTGGTCTCTTGGACGCGGTGGTTTCGTCGCGGGGATACGTGGCTGGCTTGGTGGGGTTTCTTGAGGATGCCGAAGATGGGCTGCTGACTGACCAATCACATGTAGTTGAGGGCGACGGCCTGGAGATGATCCTTGGATCGTCATTTTGAATATTTCGATAAATTGTGTACGGGGGCGAAGCGAGCGATTTCAAGAAGCTGGGTTTCATTATCTTGTCATCTGTGAGGTGAGGTAAATGACGCGGCACTGCGTATCATGCCTTCCCAAACTGGTGGCGGCGGCTCTTTCCCAGCGAGAATCCAGGGAAGATTCGACGCAGAAAGAGATGGCGTTCGCTACTTCTCGAAATAATTTGTTAGAACGGGTGTGCGTACTTCCTCCATCAACAAAAACACGTCTCGAGATCAGCATGTCTATTAGTTTTCATCCCTTTAGACCTTTATTAATAATCGAGACACATCTGTACATTTCATAATGGCGATTCATCCTCTTTCTCAGTCCACTGTGCGGCTTTTGGGCTCGTCAATGAACATTGCGACACCGTGCGATTTGGTCAAGGAACTACTAGATAACGCGCTGGATTCTCAAGCAACTGCTGTCGAAATAAGCACTTCTTCAAATACCATTGATAGAATTTCAGCCAAAGACAATGGAAACGGCATCGACATAGATGATTTCAGCGCCCTGGGCCGACGGGCACATACTAGCAAGCTCAGAGAGTACAGCGAATTGATCAAAATTGGGGGTACGACACTTGGATTTCGTGGAGAATCATTGGCGAGTGCCAATTCGATAGCAAATGTCACGATAATTACAAAGAGACCCGGGGATCCCATAGGCTGGCGGATCGACTTATGTCCTGGCACCGGTGGTGTCAAGGACAAGCGGCCAGTCTCCTCTACGGTTGGAACCACAGTGACAGTTACGAGACTATTTGAGAATCTTCCGCCCAGACGGCTGTATGCTCTGAATGAAGCGAAGAAGACTATTTTACAAATCCAACAACTTCTATGGCAATATGCTTTTTCTCGTCCAAATGTCAAGATGTCACTGAAAATAATAGGAGATAGCAAACCGCTCTGGACTTACTCGCCAAAGTCGCCAGACCTAAAGCGAGAGGCAATTTTACAAACATTTGGTGCAAATGAAATGGCCAATTGCGTTGAGATATATGAAGAGATTTATTTGAACAGGGAATCGACATTCCAAATCGAGATTCGAGAGCCTGCTCGATGGGTGTTTAGCGGCTATTTCTGGAAGCCTTACAACACTTGCAAAAGTTCGCGAGCGTATCTATCTATTGATAGAAGGCCAATGTCTGTCGGGTGGCAGATCACCAAAAAAATGATTGGCATTCTGAAAGCGCACATGTCTCAGGCTACGACACCCAAAGTGGCAGAAAGACACTCTGGTGTGTTTCTGCAAATGAACATACAATGTCCTCCATGCAGCTACGACCCGAACGTCTCGATGAGAAAGGATGAGCTCTTTTTTTTTGAAGAAAAGAGTCTTCTTGATGGCTTTGAGCTTGCGTGTACTCGAGCATTCGAAAAGCACAGCCAGGCCCTTGCAGCTGCGCAAACGCCGGTCACTCCTGTTAAACAGCCGGATGCTGTTCCAAACCGTGAAGGACAGTCTATAACTGAGGGTAAAGATGGTGGTCTTTCATATGCCTTCACTGGTAGAGCCAGCAGCCCACATGACAATATCCAGGCCCATCATAGCGCCTCAGGGGTTACCAGACCGAAGGTCAAGACTACCATGAAGACAACTTTCGAAGTGAACATGGGGCAAAAGGAGGATAATGATTCAGACCAAGAACACATGGATACGGCTGTCGAGGTGGAAATTCCACCCGAACCATCCTCCGTTCGGGACAGTCAGGCAAGCAATAATGAGCATCATCCGCGCCAAACCAAAACAATTCGTCATTACTTTCACTCGACGCACAAAGACGACTTCAGAATCGCCTGTGATAGTACATCAACTCCCGGAATCCTAGTAGAAAGCCCAGTTAGTCATCAATCAGACGAGTACAGTCCTTCCAATCGCACTCCCTTGCAGCCCCTGAGCGACATCGCCATGAACAGAATACGAGAAGAAGCGGAGTCAAGTCCAGAACCACCGGGATCAGAAGCAATAGTTCCAGGACAGATTATAAATGCCGTATCGTCATTCCGACGGAGTACAAACACAGTCAGTCATCTGGCGACTCGGGGGCCGGAGAGGACAGCTCCGTCTTTGAACAGGGCAAGGCCAAGTTCTGAAGAAACAGAAGACGACGAAGGCCTTTCACCCGCAGATAGCATTTCTCTAAGGATACTTACTCCTCCGTCCTCGGATCATAGATATAGGCATGAGCTAGAGTACTCGCAATCTAGATCTCGTCCTCGGCTCAACAACTTTTCCGTTTTCGGAACAAACCATGCTCAGCAGAGACATAACGGCCCTCGAAGTGACGCCTCGGGAAAAGGAACATCAGCCTCTGGTCAGACCAGCGTTCCCTACGAAAACGCGACCAGCGCGACAGCTGTGTTCGGTCCATCCCAGGTCAATCCGTGGCGTGCTACTACTATGCCTCGTCTCGCCACTGATAGTCCGACTCTTATTGTTTCGGGTAAGCAAGGCAAAACCCGCAATGAAATTCCCAGAAATGACATAGCGTCGGTCCTGTCATCGGATCTGTCACGCTCTCAAGTACCTGAGCCGTCAAGTCCCTTCGCAAGGTGTCTGGCTCTTTCTCCCGTTGACTCTCAGGAGCTATGTGCCCATATGCCAGCCCTTTTCGACAATAATGGTGGGAGGAAAGAACGCCAAGAGACTGACAAATCAAATGAGGCATTGACCGAGCGGCATATCCGGTCCTCCAGCAAATCGTCTCGATCGAATCATGAGTTGGCACGTACGACAGAAGGCTCTCATGAATCCCTCACGCAGCCGGAGCGTTTTCGCGCCCATCACGGACAAGTCAGGCGAATGTCCACAGACCGACTGCCCCTTGAGAATATCGATACTGGGAGGCAAACGATTGGTTTGTCTACCATTATTCGTCAAGGCGTCCAAGAAATTCAAGATCAGTTGAATCATGATTCCGTGCTGGAGGCATACATAACCCATGGAAACCTAAGAATGTCTCTTCCCTTCCGAACCCTCTCGGATACTCACAGTGTCCAAAAGGAGTTGCAATTAGTAGTACATTCATGGGTGAGAAGAAATAAGATTCCCGTACACGTGGAGTACACACTGGAAACAAGAGTAAAGGGTAAATGTATAGCAAGAAAATAGCGGAAACATATGGTCATGAGCAGCAAGGACAGGGTGTGCTACCCCATTAGGTGATTGCCACCTCGGATGTGGTTGTGGTTGTGGTTGGGGTTTTTTTCTTTCTTTTCAAGCCTCTGAGCCAACCCGAGCGTGCAGCCCGCTTAAAATAGAAAGAAGGAAGTGCCCGGTTGGAGAGCAAACTCGTATCTTCTGGACTGAGATATGTGGCTTGGAGGGGCTAGTGGGGTGAGGGTCTGTTATTACTTGGCAGGCCAATGATGTGATGGTAGAAGATGCGCAATGATACAAAATACAATTAGAGTGGTAAATTGGCCAACACAGCTGAGCGTCGGAGCCTCATTTTGCGGTTGATTGCTTTGCACCCGATAGTGCTGATTCAAGCTGCTGCCCGGCACTCCATGGGGATGGCTCGTGCGTGCGTTTCAATGTTGATTTATTAAGCTCGGACGGAACGGGAACGGGCCAGAGGGCTGGATGAAGGGGCGCTGGATTGACGGCCAACGTTCAATGTTGAGGCGGTAAATTATAGAAGATGTGGTCGATTTGAAAGATATCAGACACCAAGACTCAGCCTAGCTGACTTTGTACGTCTTACTAACTACAAAGCACATTAGTTACGGACTAATCGTGCCCGCCCCACTTTATGTGGTTCGGCTAGCAAAAGCCCTCACCACCAAAGGTGGTGCTCGACAGCAAGGCGGGCCGGACACCAAGGCGGGCCAATTTTCAACCTAATAACGCTATTAACCTCTTCGCCTATAATGTACACCCTTCTCGTCCCAAATTTCTAGTAGATCTAGTACAGAATCCAGACGCCATTTACGTGCCTTTTTAGCTGCTTCAAAAAACGTCCTCTTGGCGTGGTTGTGGCGCCTTTTGTCGGCATGCTCTTTATGCTTGCTGTTCGCCTGATGAACTCGAGAAAGGTCTTTGCAAAGGCGTGATTGGAAGGAGAAACGGCGAATGGTTGACGCGACAGGTATGCATTTGTTGGCGGTGACGGGAGGGGAGCCATATGAAGAGGTGCATTATCTGTTGACTGTTTTTCTAGACCGGGAAATAAAAATAGGACATGTATAGAAAACCAGATATTACAGCCCTTTTTAAAAAAAAAATCAAAAAAATCAAAGGTCGTCACTCATTCATTGGAAGCTTCAACGAAAAAAAAAACCCCGGATGTAATTACGCAGCTCATTAAAGATCCACCTGATCAATCGCCGGCCACCATTGAGACCAGGCCCCCTGCTCGTCGAGGTTATTGCTGACTTCCGCGAAAAGCTGGTTCAACAAGGTATTAGTGTCGAGCTCGTGCTCGTGCTCGTGCTCGTGCTCGTGCCCTTGAACCGGCCAAGTCGCCTGCGCCGAGGGCCGCTCCGCGCCCCGAATCTCCCGAGTATGCGCGTCGGATCTATCCACGACACGGAACTCGTGGACAGACTGGTGTAGAGTATCAAAGTCTGCTCGTGTGCGCCCCTGGTATCGTGTCCGGTCCTCGGTTGCTCGCTCGTAGAGCACGGATGCATGGTGTATCGTTTTGATCTTGCGCGTGCCGCCCTCTCAATGTTAGCGCAACGGTGGCCACGGTCGTGTCATGCTTGCGGGCGGCTTACCCATCCGTCGGCGATTTTCCAGACAAGTCGAAACTTTTCCAGGTAGTCGAGACACATTTTGAGACAGTCGCTTGCTCGCGGGCTGCGGCCCAGGTTCATTCGGGGGTATTTCGCCACGTAGAGGTTGAGGTAGCCGGCTGAGAATGCGCAGAACCCGGCAAAGGGCGTCATGAGATGCACGCCACACTCGGAGGCCTCGTGTAGAATGGCGGCGATGTGCTCTGCCGCGCCGAAGAGGAGTCGGGAGCTGTCGTCCCACCAGCCCTCGGGGGCGGGCGCCCCCAGCATGGGCTGGTCGACTGGACCCCGTGGCTCCGACTCCGGGGTCGGCAGGAAGGGGAAGTACTCGCGGTGAAGCATGAGGGTGCTGACAAGGCGTAAGCAGGGGCGGCGGCGGCAAGTTGGGAGCCCCGTCGACCGCTACCGCTGTGGGAAGGGGATTCTTACCTCACGTAGTACAGGAGATTGAGGTAGACGAACGTCTCGCCGAAGCCGAGCGTCATGTGGACGGCCACCGAGTTGCTGGGGTAATGGAGCTTCCGATGCTGGCCTGCCCTCCAGGCCTCGTGGGATTGATTATTTGAGTACCTAGGTAACGTCCTGCCCCACAAGATCGCCAGCCCCCCACTTTCGACAGAGTTTTACACTACAGATACTACTTTTTTAAAAATTAATAATAAAAGAAAATAAATACTAAAAAATATTATAAAATAAAAAATAGTATTAAAATTACTTATATTTATATATTTTAAATAAAACTTATAATATACTAGCTTTATAAAATTACTAGCTTTTTATTTTTATTAAAGCTTTATATTATAAATACTACTTTTTTAAAAATTAGTAATAAAAGGAAATAAATAC